GAGATGTAACCACAGGACTGGAGATGTAACCACATGACTGGAGATGTAACTACATGACTGAAGATGTAACCACATGACTGGAGATGTAACCACATGACTGGAGATGTAACCACATGACTGGAGATGTAACCACAGGACTGGAGATGTAACCACATGACTTGAGATGTAACCACATGACTGGAGATGTAACCACATGACTGGAGATGTAACCACATGACTGGAGATGTAACCACATGACTGGAGATGTAACCACATGACTGGAGATGTAACCACATGACTGGACATGTAACCACATGACTGGACATGTAACTACATGACTGAAGATGTAACCACATGACTGGAGATGTAACCACATGACTGGAGATGTAACCACATGACTGGAGATGTAACTACATGACTGGAGACATAACCACATGACTGGAGACATAACCACATGACTGGAGATGTAACCACATGACTGTAGATGTAACTACATGACTGGAGACATAACCACATGACTGGAGACATAACCACATGACTGGAGACATAACCACATGACTAATAGAAGCTTTTGTTGCTAAAATATGTAAACGGTCTGATGAGCGACCACAGCTTTATTAAAGAAAGCAAATTAGTTTTAATTTATTATTTTTAGTGCAATATAAAGCTTGTTGCTGTAAATGTAAAGGTTTTTTTATATATATTTTTATTTTCTACTTTTTAATAATTCTTAATTTATGAAGTTGACATGGCTAAAAATATTTGCTTTAAAACGCCACCAGTAGCTCGTGACATCTAAGAGACTATGATCTACCTCATGAAAACCACTAGATCTACCGGCTCTACCATTGTAAACGTTATCGTGAACCACAGCTCTCCAGACTGTCAGGGTGATCGCGTCTAGATTGTTATCTCCCCTTATGTTATTGAATATAGTAGTCAATTGAGGGATTTAATTTTGTTATCTTTCCTTAGTTTTAAAACCATTTAATAGATTTTCAATTTTTAATTAAACATCTAATTAAATAAAAAAAATTGATAGACTAGTAAGCTGTATTGTCAATGAAGTATATTGTATCTGAAAAGTTTGAACGAAATCGCTGCATTAGAGGTGGGTCAAAATTGAGTTGCAAGATTTGCTACAAACAGATGTTGCGAACTAAATAAAAGCTTGTAAAAATTGCTTGTGTTTACATAGTCAAGATATTCACCTTTCAACTTTCAACTTTCACACATGTTTATAGAGGTCTCAACAAAAAGTATCTGCTGCATACATACATACAAAAATATCATTAATATAACTGGTCAGCTATGAAAGCATGTCGTATGACATACAAACACACATGTTAGCAATAACATTTAAATTGGCTAGCTATGAAAGCTTGTAATAATTCCTAACACCGAAGGATATAAAATCATAGTAACAAACCCTATGACAACATTTAAAACAGTTAAATGCCATGCAAATATAACAAAGCCACAGTATGTCAAAACATCATTCATGACAACATCCAATGTATTCCATGTGGAATATTGCTAACTTTAAGTCAACAAGCAACAAATATTGGTAGATTGCGATGAGAAACATATAACGGAGACAGTATCTGTAACAAAACATCCCAACTTTTACAAGAGACAGAAATGACAAATGTGCACATTCTGTCATTTCCATACATACTTTGTAGGTCTTGTATCATTTTCACCAGCCCCAACCCCCACCACTTTGGTAATAGAACAGACAACCCCCACCACTTTGGTAATAGAACAGACAACCCCCAACACTTTGGTAATAGAACAGACAACCCCCACCACTTTGGTAATAGAACAGACAACCCCCACCACTTTGGTAATAGAACAGACAACCCCCACCACTTTGGTAATAGAACAGACAACCCCCACCACTTTGGTAATAGAACAGACAACCCCCACCACTTTGGTAATAGAACAGACAACCCTCACCACTTTGGTAATAGAACAGACAACCCCCACCACTTTGGTAATAGAACAGACAACCCCCACCACTTTGGTAATAGAACAGACAACCCCCAACACTTTGGTAATAGAACAGACAACCCCCAACACTTTGGTAATAGAACAGACAACCCCCACCACTTTGGTAATAGAACAGACAACCCTCACCACTTTGGTAATAGAACAGACAACCCCCACCACTTTGGTAATAGAACAGACAACCCCCACCACTTTGGTAATAGAACAGACAACCCCCACCACTTTGGTAATAGAACAGACAACCCCCACCACTTTGGTAATAGAACAGACAACCCCCACCACTTTGGTAATAGAACAGACAACCCCCACCACTTTGGTAATAGAACAGACAACCCCCACTACTTTGGTAATAGAACAGACAACCCCCACCACTTTGGTAATAGAACAGACAACCCCCACCACTTTGGTAATAGAACAGACAACCCCCACCACTTTGGTAATAGAACAGACAACCCCCAACACTTTGGTAATAGAACAGACAACCCCCACCACTTTGGTAATAGAACAGACAACCCCCACCACTTTGGTAATAGAACAGACAACCCCCACCACTTTGGTAATAGAACAGACAACCCCCACCACTTTGGTAATAGAACAGACAACCCCCAACACTTTGGTAATAGAACAGACAACCCCCACCACTTTGGTAATAGAACAGACAACCCCCACCACTTTGGTAATAGAACAGACAACCCCCACCACTTTGGTAATAGAACAGACAACCCTCACCACTTTGGTAATAGAACAGACAACCCCCACCACTTTGGTAATAGAACAGACAACCCCCACCACTTTGGTAATAGAACAGACAACCCCCACCACTTTGGTAATAGAACAGACAACCCCCACCACTTTGGTAATAGAACAGACAACCCTCACCACTTTGGTAATAGAACAGACAACCCCCACCACTTTGGTAATAGAACAGACAACCCCCACTAATATGATGTTACACAGTTCCATATTCTCTCATTTTTTCCTCTACAAAATGTGTATGGTGAAGCTGTGAACTCATATGGTTAAACATAAGGTATAACACAATAAATAAAATAAACTCTAGAAACAAATAAGTGAGACAATGGTGCACACAATTAAGATATTAAAAATGTATTTAATTCATGCAAGTAGGAATAGGTACAGAAACAGCACCTCTAATAGAGAGAGATGGAACATACATTCCTGTTTTCTACCAGCTCATTTTATGAGGGTCCATTATTTTTGCTGTGATGGGTTACCTAATTAGGTTTGAACTCATTATTCTCAGTAGGTACAACTCTCAAAATTGTGTGTGAATTGTGTGTGGCGGGGCAATTCTAGTTTTCCTTGTTTTGAAATTAACAAATCTGTATGAATGTTGTTAGTTAACTAAGGTTTTGTGTGTTAATTCTGAGAGAATTTTTTTTGTACTTCAGACCAACTTAGTACCAGAGTTATCTGTCATATTTAATCAAAACTTTTCACTCATTTTGGTAAGTAGTATCACAGTGCTAGGAAATATAGCCCTTTTTTTCTATGACCAGTGCAGGGACTTTTGTTAAAAGAAATAGTTATGAGCTTACTTAAATTTCATGCTAGGCTATGTCTAGGGAAAAATGAAAAGTATTAAAGCAATAGAAGTGGAATATAACAGGTCAACTTGCAACTGGCATAAACTATTTTGTCTACCCTTTTGTACTGTTATACACACTTCAGTTACAGTTGAGTTAATAATGCAGAATTGCTAATTAAGTCAAAATGGAGATGCGAGTCACAAGTAAATTCAATACAGTTGTAATTGGAGAACTAAATGGTACCTTCACATAGATAGAAATGCAAGTCACAAGTAAATTCAATGCAGTTGTAATTGGAGAACTAAATGGTACCTTCACATAGGGATGCAAGTCACAAGTAAATTCAATGCAGTTGTAATTGGAGAACTAAATGGTACCTTCACATAGAGATGCAAGTCACAAGTAAATTCAAAGCAGTTGTAATTGGAGAACTAAATGGTACCTTCACATAGAGATGCAAGTCACAAGTAAATTCAATGCAGTTGTAATTGGACTAAAAAGTAGATGGTACCTTCACATTCACACCATACATGCAGTCTAAAAATTATCTACTAAAATGTAGTTATCAACGTGTAAATTTGATTGATACACTACATATTTACTTCATACAAACAGGCCTGGTAAAATAAACAAATGACTAGTTTAGGATCAATAATTTTTAGAACAGAATGAATTTATCAATTTATCGTAATTTTTGTTACTTGATACAGGTACTTATTTGCTAGTAGGCAAGATATAGATCTAGGATGTTTTTGTTATATAGGCCTTATAGCCTATAGACAGGCAAAAAGCATTAGTAAAAAGAAACTTGAGTAGGCCTAATTAGTAAGCTTAATTATATTGCTGTGATTGAATTTTTAAAAGTACAATAAATAAGTAACTATGTTGACTGGTAGACCTTGAAGTAATTAGATCTCTATAGCCTACTAAACAAATTAGACCTAGTCGCTTTAAGTGCTTAAGTAAGAGGCAGGGAAACTGAAAGGTTCACTAGGCCCAAGATCTAAACATTTAACAAATTAACTTAATAAAATATTTAGGCTAGACTGATCAAAGTTATACGATACTTAAATGCAAATTAATTTTATTTAGGCTACAACGTTAGTTGACCAATACTACTGCAGTAAATAAATAATTAAATAATTGGCCTAGGGCATGCCTACTCAGATTCATCATTTTTTAACTTTAACAAGACACAAGATCTAGAAAAAAAATTCTAGATTCTAGTCAATGGTACAGTACAAAGGCTAAATAATAAATTAGGCATTCAGAGCAGTTTAATTTTTTGTCAAGATCCACACCCCAGATGGAGAACTCACTCTACCAACAGTAACACACTGACATGACATCACCACATCAACATCATTGTCATCATCATCCCTGATCCTGTGTCTGTTGGAGTGAACTGCTTCACTACCCCCCTCCCTCCCACAATGAGAACAATGACATTAAAATTTATACCTGTATGATCAGCAAATATGTTTCCTTGGGAACCTCTTGACTCCTTTGTAGCTTTATTTTTACTTGTTTTTCCGGAACTTGGCTTTGGTTCCTTCGAATTTGGTGCTCCCATTTCTCGCCTCTCCAGTGGGCTTTTGTTTGGCTCAGGCTGCGATGATCAGTCGCAAATTGAGCCCTTAAACTCGCAATAATCCAAAGCGAACTACATATCCAATACGAATAAACAAAAACAATTACTTAAACTGAAATAATTAAACACTCCATTACACAAAATAATAGGCGTTGACACGCCTTTGTTCAACTCTCAGCACAAAACCCTCCACTTCCTCTCTCTATCGGTGGTGGCCATGTTTGATCAGAAATACTATTGAGTTTGAAAGTGAGGCAGAAGGATAACCTTTGCCTCTTGACCCATGAACCTTGGGGGAAAGCCTTGATGTATCGTCTGAATGTTTTAGGTTGAATTTTGGATTTTTAAAAATAAAATATTCTGTTATTTCAAATACACCATTAAGTTCCTTACCCCTTAAGAGAACATTTGACACCACATTTAAATATCTAGCTTACTCGGTTGACGAGAAAAGAGAGAATTTGAAAATTAATCAAAATTGAAAATGAATGACAAAACAGCGTTCTTGGCAGGGTCTAGCCCGTAGTGTCGAAACGAAAGTAGAAAAATTTTAGTATTGTCCGTACTGTCGAAATTATTTTTTGCTATTTAAAATATTAGATATTGATTATAGTTATAAACGTTTTTGATTTCTTCAAAATATATCACAAATACAATATGTAATTTTGTGTATTAAAAAAAAAATAATCGCAACGTAAATCGGTGTTACAAAATAATCGTACGTGTTAATACTCGATTATTATAAGGGAAAAAAATGTCTAAAACAAGAACCAAAACAAAAAATTACTAAAACAAATAAAATTTTATATTCCTTCGTTTTTGAATTTACAAAAACTGAAATCGTCATTTAAAAACTCAGTTAATGGCATTTTTACAAGCTTTTATTTAACTTGATTGCTCGTGCTATTTCTCTCATGTCTGAGTCAGAGTTTCTTTCAGGCATCTCTTCTGGGGGGGGGGGGGATTTAATGGATTTTATATAAAAAAAACATTCTTTTAACAGTGTCCGCTTCCCCCCCCCCCCCCCCCAGGTGAAAAAAAGTCTGGAAGAAACACTGGCCTGGGTGGAAACTTTGCTAACAAAAAACAAAATTATACCCGAACCGATGGGGTTAAACTTGAATGTCACTTAGGTTAGATCTGATAATGCAATGTGCCACGAACTTTGACTTAATTAAAGGTGTTTCGTTCCTTTTTAAAATTAATTAAATATTTCTATGGCCTATAGTGCACACTTACTTATAATTTAAGGCCTATATATAATAAATATAAGCCTTTTTAAAAAAAGAAAAACGTAAATAGTAACAAAATATATGCGTGCACTATAAAGATGTATGGGACGGAGTGGTCTAGCGGTAGAGTTCGAATCCGGGTTCAAGTCAGTAGAGTCCCTGAGTCCACCCAACTCTGATGGGTACCTAACTCACGTTAGGGAAAGTAAAGGCGGCTGGGCATAGTGCTGACCACACTATCTCTTCATATGCCGAGGTCACAGAAACAAGTGAACTCTACTCAGTGGTGTAGCGAGGTCGGGTGTCACCCGGTGCGGCACTTAATGGTGTCACCCAACCAGAGGCGTTGAGACCCTCCCCGGGGACAAACTTTCAAGTTTTCGATTTGCACCCCCCCCCTCAAGTTTTTCTCTATATATTTTGCTATTTTTTGCCTTGGTGTTACCCCCCTAAATGGTGTCACCCGGTGCGGTCCGCACCCCTGCCCCCCCCCCCCCTCGCTACGCCCCTGACTCTACTTCACTTGCCCCATAGACCGTCAGGTTTGAAAGGGAAACTTTACTTTACTTACTAAAAAGATGTAGATCTAGAACTAAAACATAATGACAAAAAATTATTAGCTTTAAACATAATATTGCACCATATTTACATAACTGTTCGTGACTATATATACACCCTTCTCCCATGCATAATATACAGCGATCCATGCTCTATTTATATTATATATATTTGGTTTATATAAAATGTGGTGCATTAATTATTGTGTTTAAAGATAGTCATTTTATTTTATTCTTTTTTTAAGACAGTTGTTATATTTTTTATCAGTATTATTCAACAAATTTAATTTATATCAGTCTCATTTTGTTGCGACCGGGCACCCAAAAACATTTCAAAGTGCAATATTTAACTTTAATTGTGTTTTTCAAGGTTTCTAATTCTAATCTAAATTTAGATGGGTTAGCTGAGCCTAGTTTGAAGTCTTGAGTAGCCTATATGTTAAATGGCCCACTCTCCTGTCACCTGTCTATATAAAAAGGTTGGTTATTGGGCGTTTGACTGCTATCCGTAGGTCTTGAGTTTAGATCCCAGAATCAAGTACTTAGGACGTATCTGAGTTGACTCAGATCTGATGGGTACCTGACTATGTTTAATAAAGGTCATAGAACCGACCACATTATTATTATCACTTCTTATGGGTCTTCAATGGTCACGGAAACAGGAAAACTCTTCTTTGAAGTATGCCCTACTTACTGTAAGGTCCGAAATGGTATTTCCACGTGCTTTATTTTTCTGTAAAATGATTATTATTGTAGTTCAAATTGAATTTCTCCGACGAAGTTTAAACTTAGAAATCTTTTTATTTTTTAATAAGGGGTCATCCATAAATGACCTCACGCTTCCCCCTACCCTCCGTCACACATCTTCACAAAAATCAAGACCCCCCCCCTAAATGACGTCACAACCTCAGTCTACAACCCCCCCCCCCCCCTTAAAATTGCTGTATAATTTTTCTTATAACATCGATATTTTTCCAAAATCTTGTCAGAACTAGATGTATGTCGACGGGAACAGGGCATTTCCACCCTGTCAATTACCCCCTGGATATCCCCCCCCCCGACATTACCCCCCCAGAGTAATTACCCCCCCTGTCAATTACCCCCCCCCCCCTTGTCAATTACCCCCCGCCCAGTAGGACATTACCCCCCCCCCCCCCGGACAGGGTTAGAGTTAGGGTTAGAGCTAGGTTTAGGGTTAGGGTTGTGTCTAGCTTTGGTTTTGGTTTTGTGTGAAGTTTTAGGCTAAGGTGGATTCTTAGGTTTTGGTCTTTTTCTTAAGGTTTGGATTAAAGTAGTATATAGGTATAAAATTCTAGTTAGAGTTAGGATTTTAACTTGAAAGGGGGGGGGGGGGTAATTCCCCGGGGGGGGGGGGGATTGACAAGGGGGTAATTGACGGGGGGGGGGGGGGGGCGGACACTGTCGAAAGTATATATTTTCTATATAAATTCCATTTTGTTCGGGGGGGGGGGGGCGGTGAAAGAGATGCCTAGAAGAAACTCTGCCTGGAAGAAACTGCCTGGAAGAAACTTTGTTCTTGTATTTGTTCTCTCTGAAATTGATTAAACCATCATAAAGAAGTCGCAACCCACCTTGCCGAGCTTTGACTTACGTTGATATTGTTTTCTGTACTATTGTCATCGTGGATTCTGGGGCTAATCGCTTAAAGTTTGTCAATATTAGTGAATGAGGCTGACCAGGCGAAATTTTGTTTTTCTCTGGGTCACGAGTAAACTTTTCTTCGTCAGATTCTTGTATCTTACCTTGCATCAGAGTGGATGTACTTGAGAAAGTTGGCATTGGAGTAACTCAGCCTTTTAGAGCGGCAAATAGATTGCGGGGGTGAACATGTACAACACTATTTTAGTTAACGAGTAATATACTTGACGTGTAACTAACTAGTACCTACTTATAAAGTTCATGAAGTCTACATCGGTGTTAGAGCCAGAAAGTATTTTATTACCGGTTTACTAACAAACATTAGGGTACTCTTGTAAATTCCCTAAATCTGACATCCTCACCTACTTCTGTAATAAAGGTGATCCACCTCCTCCAAGCAAAAGTTTGAAATTAATCTGATTAATCCTGTCATAAATGAAGCTCTCGTTGTTCATGAAGCGCCGTAACTAGCATCCCTTTCTGATATTAGAAACTTGTCCTAACCCCCCCCCCCCCCATAAACCTCTCGTACATAAAAACTACACTGGTATATTAATCCCTTGCTTTTTATTAAGCACCTGTCAGTGTCATCAAGCCATACATATCTTGCAACATATTACAGCTCAATTAGTTGTACAAGTCCATGTAGTACTTTCAAGCCTATTTACTAGTGATTGAGACATTGTCGCCTGTGCTGGTACCCTACATTTTTAAAAGCTTGCCAGTGGGATATATATACACTTTGCTACAGAGGCGTAGCGCGGGCGTGGAGTGCGAACTAGCGACGTCACTGCTTTGCTATACTTTAATGTATGTGTTAACTATATATATGAAGATTGATAATGTGCATAATTATTTTTTTTAACCTCCCAATACAGATGCATAAAAATATGCAATTTGCAATTCTCTTGAATTACTTTTACTAATACTAGTGTAAATCATAGTAAATGCTACACATGTTTACTTCACTGTGAGATGAATGCCCTTCCCCCCTCCCACTACAAGAAAATTACAGGTGCACAAACTGGCTACTTAAATTTATACTGTAACATGAAGCGATAGTTTACTTGTTTAAAATTTTTATTCACATTAAAAGAATACTTTTGATGCTACAATTAAGTAATAGATCATATAGGTTACAAGTGGACAAGTAAGTAGATAGATAAATCAATATTATCAGATTTCAGTATGCTCAATAACTAGACAAAATGGAATCAATACATACAACCTCCACAATAAATAAAAATTTGATGGCAACAGACAATCTCTAATCCACATCTTAATCTAACAAGTTTTTAATATTATATGACTGTGTGTAACTAGACCTTAGTTTCACACACAAACATAAATATATGCATATATATATATATATATATATATATAGATAGAAAAACATATTTATAAACAAATACTGCGTAGCAGAATATCTCTACATGAAAGCCAACCTAGTGAAAAAATTGAATTTGCACATTCAATCGCTAAGAAATTCAGCAATAGTATCCAACACCTCCACAAAGACTCCAACTGCCAGATTATCCACAAGTTAACCAGCCCTTTTTCAGTGAGTACAGAAATGTTATAAGTATAAGCTTTTCACCAATAAAGTACATCAGACCAAAAGGTTGAAATACAGTGGACCCTCACTTAGCTGGAGGTCTAGATATTGAGGATGCTATACTCTCACATTGACAACATGCCCAATCCACGCTAAGCAAACTATGATGAACCTTCTTAATATAGGCTTAATGATCAACTGGAAAAAACAGAAGAGATAAGAATCAACAACAAACAGGAGTTCCACTTAGGATACAAGAAATGACTATTTTGGAGCAGGATCGCTTCACACATCTAGGATCTGTTGTAAGAAGATGGGGGAGCAGATGAGGACATCAAAAGACATATCAGCAAAGTATCCAACATCCTCCGCACAATATGGATGTCAAGAGCTGTCTACAGTTTTCCAAATATGACTGTTGAACAGCAATGTAAAATTTGTTCTCCTCTATGGTTCTGAGACTTTCAATAATGAATGGCTGTGTAGCAAACTGAACATCAGGTGGCCTGAAATAATAACCATCTGTGATGTTCTAACATCCATCTTGAAGAGACGCCTTAATCCTCAGGCTGGTAAATCCTGGGAAACAAAAAATACACATTCTGTAAGAAAATAAAGACAAAGGTTTAATCTTTAAAGAGACGCCCTCCACCAGTTGCTGTTATGGTGACATATTAAAACTGAAATATCTTGAGTGTGGAAATTGTACTAAAATAAAGATTGTCTACAAAGGTCTACCCTTTATTTCAAACATTTGTTTGACAATGTGGCTTTGGCAAACATGCTGACTGATATAGCACACATTTTGAATTAACAGTAAGATATCTGAGTTTTTTACATTTAGAATCAATAGTGTCCACATATTAGTTCATGTATGAAAATATCTTTTTTAGTTTAGTTCAACTCATATATAGCCCTACTAAATATTAAAATAAAATAGCATCAAAAATTTTTTTTAGTTACCAGTTATACTATGATAGCACCTTCCAGCAAGATTTCACTGTTTTATTAATCCAGGTTCGCTGCAGACAAACAAAATGTTTTGGTTAACAAATTAAAAATATCTGTATCACATCACTTAAGTTTATTTAGCCTGCCGGTCCATGGGGCAAGTGCAGTAGAGATAAGCTGTTTCTGTGACTTCAGCATATGAAGGGATAGTGTGGTCAGCACTATGCCCAGTCTCCTTTACTTTTCCTAACGTGAGTTAGGTATCTATCAGAGCAGCTGGGTGAACTCAGGGAAGTTCTGCTGACTTGAATCCAGATTCAAACTTGAGACTTTGGGTTATACCGTCTTGCTCCATTGCTAAGCCACACCATCACCTTACATAATTTGCTTTAAATCAAATGTTTGCACCCCACTTCTCATTGGGAAGTACATTGCAGTACAGTTGGTGCTTGTTTAGTGTAACCTTAAATTCACAATGATAAATAAACAAACGATATATAAAATATAACGATATACAAATAATACAGTGTATGTGAGTAGCAGAACATTGGATAACTAACCTGATAGTCTCAAGTTCTAATAATGGGCTCTAGTAACTGGTTGGGAAAATAAAGGTGGCTGAGCATTGTATTGAACTTGACTACACTATCCCTTCCTATGCCAAAGTCAGAGAAACTCATGATCTCTCCATCTGTCCCATGGACCTGAAAGGAAGCTTACATGTACAAATAAAAAAAAATTAACAAAATACAATCACAACAGTTCAGCTCTACATAATGGTTTTTAATTTATCATTCAGCTTTATTATTCAGTGTTACATTTTTTACTGTTATAATGCAATTAGTTTACCAACAAAAGTTTCACCTTTAATTAAATCAGATTGGAAATTCTTTCATATTTACAATCATACCTGGTTTGTTTCAACCTATCACAGCACTTGGTTTTATTTTTTACTGTAATCATAAACCCATAAGCACAAAACACCTGCAAAACAATGACAAGATCAGTTTACTTTATTATACTACAGTATAAATGGTACTTAAAAGTGATACTAATAATATTACTAATATCTTAATTTAGTTTACACTCTTAAATGAAATATTTAAAATTTAGAATGTAGTATAGTCCTCCACCCCACAGAAGTCACATAAAGGGATCTGAACAATTAACTCTTAAAGTAACATACATGGTAGTACTCTAGCCACTTGAATACAGAGGGTTGTAAATCAGTTGATTGCAGTGTTCTAGAACATTGTTGGTATCTTTGTCCCTGTGTCTGTCTTATTCCTGTCTCCATGTTGAGAGAACCTGAAGATTAAAGTTTTGAAATTAGTAAAAATTTAAATAAAGTGCTTACGTCTAAGGCCCAATGGCATCGCTAGATCGGGTGTCACCCAAGTAACGAGGTTTATCTTTAGTCTGTTAATAATACAGTTGGAACTTGGATGTAGCAATGTTTTCTCTATAGTTAGTACTTTAGTACCTTTACGACATGGTATCACCCCCACCCTCTGGTAATAATTGTCAATTTGTACTTAAAAGACTATTTAACTTTAATTAATCATTAATGGGACTGGCAAAACAACATTTTTCTTCTGTATATTTTGCAATTTTTTGCCTTGGTGTCACCCCCTTAAATAGTGTCATCTGGTGCAGTCTGCACCCCCCACCCGTGCTATGCTAGCTAAGGCAAGGGTTATCAATAAAAATGTTATAAATAAAAAAAAATATTAATAAATTAGAAATTAATTATTAGCCTAATAATGTAATATTAATTATAATTCATTAGGCCTATCCTATTATTAAATTAATTAATAATAAAATACGCTCAACTGGAGGTGAACGTGAAACGGGGAATAAAATACGTTAAAATAGAGATGTAGATGTAGATCTAATTATTGTGTAATTTACTAATCAGTGCCAAGATCTATTTTATTTTCTACAAAAAGATCTAGAGATCTAGATATTTCCCACCAAATCAATTAATTATGTTTTCTGTTGGATCTAGTTTCGGTATCGTAAATTATTTAAGTAAAATAAACAACGATCTTAGCTGTTCGACTACTTAAAAATATTTCAGCGGGATTTTCGACAGTACGGCCAAGTTTAAAATATCTGTACTTTCGTTTCGACACTACGGGCTAATCCCTCTTGGCATAACATGACATCGTCGACTTGTGTACACGAGCTTTTAATTCCCGCCATGGTAATTGCGTCAGCTTAGGTAATTTACTCACCGGAAAATAACAAAAAGCAACTGGTTGATAATAAAACTAGATCTAGTTATTTTATTATTTTTTAAATTCTACTCTACATGTTATTCATACCATTTTATGAAGTAATGAACACCTGCATAAATCAAATGACCATAATAAATATTTTTATTTCAAATTCTAATTTTAAATAATAAATAATAAATATGCTTAAAATAATAAGATAGTATCAGTTATGATCGTTTATAAATACAAATACATTTTACACTCAATTCACATTATATTGAGTCAACAGTGTGGCAGCTGAGGTTCATACATGGTATATTTTTTTTTTACATTACAATTTTTTTTCATCTTGAAAACATGACGTATGTGATTTTTTTTTTTTAAATCTCCAAACATCGTCACTCGCGTGATTGCTTGCTTACGTTTACTATCCTGTGGATGAAAAATCCCACCACGGTCGCGGGTCACCGTGAGTTCAGCAGGCCTATAGTACACGTCATAGCATGAACACGCGTACACGAGATGGTCGGTGTCTTCACTTCTCTCTCTTTCCCCCCCCCCCCCCCTCCCTCTAGCCAATTGAAAAACAGACCTACTTCCCTACTTCTGGTCATTTTTTTTAAAAGTTCGGTAATTTTTTTTTTTAAGTTCACATATCAGGCATGCAAGACAGCCAGCCAGTGGCGTAGCGAGGTCGGGTGTCACCCGGTGCGGCACTTAATGGTGTCAGCCCCCCCCCCCCCCAAGGCGTAGCGACTCTTCCCGGGGACAAACTTTCAAATTTTCGATTTGCACCCCCCCTCAAGTTTTCGATTTGCACCCCCCCCCTCAAACTTTCGATTTGCACCCCCCCCTGCAGCCAGCTGTATTAAAAAATATTTTTTAAACTAGATCTACGTCTAGCTTAAAAAAATAAATGAACGCTTAAAATGCCCGTAAACAGATTATTTAGCGCCAAAAAAAAAAGGCCGCTGAACGAGCATTTTTTAAAATACGCAGCAATGAAAAGGGCTAACGGCCGATCAATTAAGTCTAAAAAACGCCCGTAATTAGGCCTAGCTCTGAAAAAGGCCACTGAACGAGCATCACTAATTATATAAACGAATAGGCCACGCAGCGTTGACGAGGTTAACCACCGGTCACGAATTAAATTCAATGCAGCTACTGTCGGCCCACAGTGAAGAAAAAATCAATATACTAATAAAATTACTAATACAAAAATAATTTCCATAATTTTACTTTTTCTGCACACGCTACAATTGAATTATAATTAAAATACTAGACTTAACAGTTCATTCCGCAAAAAACAAAAACGAGTTGTTTCTGTGAGGTAACTAGCGTAACAATGACGTCACGATAGTAAACAAAGCGGACAGAAATGTCTGCATGGGTACCTCATATGGAAATTCGATATAAAATAGGCGAATCATCATAACTGTAATTACTCATTATAAATATCTCAATTATATATTACTACTTCTGTGCCGGGGGGTTTCGACCGAGTGCTGGGCCGTTTAAAGCGACAGTTCAGTTTTTCCCAAGAGTACTCGACAAGAATAGCATGTATTAATTAAAACCACATATCTGGCTATTTTTTCGGCCATTTTCAGGCATGGCGTCCATTTATATAGCATGTCTCATTAAAATAATGATGAGAATTAGCGAGATTAGCAGTTTTTTCATTTGTCGTGTATAGGACCCCTAAAATAAACGTAAAAACCGTCAGAAAACGACGCGTGACGTTTCAGGGTCAGAGGTCAATCCAGCCATCTAAGCAATGAGAAAATCTAGAATGTTTGCTTACACGTTTGGCATTCTTCAAGCTTTAATTTATTAGAATTAGATTTAGACCTAGATCTAGACTAGATCTAGATCTAGAATCTACTTAAAAATTATAAAATATCATTTGCAATAATTTCTCGTTTAAACTTTATTTATATTGAAAGGTATCATAATAAATAACAGCAATCAAATGTTGTTAATAGTATTTATTACTAGTATTTAATATTTAATTTATTACTCTATGATAATATTATTTATAATATTGTTTTAGGTTTTAGGCAGGCCTATTTTAAAACTATTTATTTTAGTATTTAGACCTTAGACTTAGTTCAAGAAATATTTTTTATTTAGCCTTTAGCTCTAGATCTATTATTACCATGGCATATAGATTTAGATCTAGATCTAATTTAATTATTATAGCCTACTATTAAAAATTATATAATTATAAATTATAGCCTAATATTTTTTTTTTACTAGGCTTAATAATTAATAATAATAAAATTTTAATATTTTTCTGACTAACAATGCAACAATGTTATGTATCGATATCGAAAGTTAAATGTAATTTAAGTCTTAAGTAAATAAGTAGTTTTTAAGTAGGCCCAATAATTTTTAAATAGGCCCCTACTAGTTTTTAGTCTGAGATTTTACAAAGTAGGCCTGCCCTATGGCCTATAGATTTTGGACTATTTTAAAAAAATGGAAGTTGAGTCACCCTTTTTGGGCCTGATAGTCAATGGGGTAGCATGAATCAGTTACCTACTAGAGGTGTGTGAACTCAGGGACACCCTATGGACTCGTTTGGGTTCCGAACCAGTGTTTCTACTTGATATTTTGGGGGGTGGGGGTGGTCAACATTTTCCGGGGGGGGGGGGGGGGGGGGGGGCGGACACTGGTAAAAATATTTTTTTTCTATATAAATTCCATTTTGTTCAGGGGGGGGGGGTAGACTCCAAAGGGATGCCTGGAAGGAACTCTGGTCCGAACCCAAGGCTTTCAAGTTAGCAGCAATGTGCTCTATACGTCAGCCTCTCTGCTTTTATGTAGACTATTGGCCAGTAGTAGACTAAAGTCCATTGACTTACTTTTAACCATTTGTAAAGGGAGAATTGAAATGGTTATCATTGAATCAATTTTGAAATTTTTGTTAAAAATACCGAACACTTGAGCCATATGATACAGAAATGATGAAACCCAGTCCCCCAGCATCTAGTCCAGCCCTATCCAAAAGCTTACCCTTGCCAATAAAAAAGAGGATATGAAACGTGTACTTTTAGTTTTTACCCAACCCTAAAACTAGAGGTGGATAGGAGTCCTTTTTATGGCATGCGTTTAAATGTTCAAATGTCTCGACATCAGAAATTGGTCACAAGTGGTGGGGCGTAACTTTTTACATTAGTGGCGGAGCTTTTAAGACAAGATCTGTAAGCCATTCTACTCTCATTTGGTTGGGGGCTGATGCCAGTACTCATAACTCTGGGAGAAAAATTGTAAGCAATCGTGATTTGAAGGAATAATTTGTATCATCTTATTCAGGTCCATGTGGAAGAAATAAGATGGCTTCACCCAGCGAGGAAGAAGATTTTATGTCATTGGCTGTTAAAAAGGATGGGATTTCCTTTATCCCAGGATTCCCTAACACAGAGACACTACAGCCTTGCAGTGACATGCTGTTGGCTGCTTCAAAAGCTGTTTTGGTTTGAGATTTATTTCATTTGGTGTCACCAGTAGTATCTTTAAAATGGTTATTTTAAAAGTAATTAATATATGAATTAATTATTAAAGTAATTAATATATGTATTAATTAAGATACATAAAGAAAAGTTCATAGTCTAGCTCAAGATATTATGAATAGTTTTCTTTTTTTCAGTAAGTTATAGTTAAATTATAACTTGATTTGGGTTAGGTTTTACTGTTAGTAGTTTCTGTTTAGATTTTTTTCCCATACCTTTTTATGTGACCTCAGCATATGAAGTGGTAGTGTGGTCAGCACTATGCCCAGCCACCTTTACTTATCCTAAGAGTTAGGTACCCTTCAGAACTGGGTAAACTCATGGATGGTCTATTGACTTGTACCCAGATTCGAACTCAAGACTTACAGGCTAGCATTCTAGCTCTCTCCAATTAGGCCACTCCGTCCCTGATTTACCCTTAAGCCGGAAAGATATTGCCTAAATCTTATTGGCTCTGATTTGTAGCATTGGTTGTTCCCATGATTTTCATCCAGATTGGTGCTATAAAAGAACTAGATGAGATTTCCTTGCTCTAAAGATCTGGGCAACAAAACAACAACTGACAGTAATGTGGTGGCCAGATCAACACTAGCAACAACTGACAGTAATGTGGTGGCCAGATCAACACTAGCAACAACTGACAGTAATGTGGTGGCCAGATCAACACTAGCAAATTGAGTCCAAAGTTCTTTCCTTTATACTATATTCCATCCCTTGTTTTTAACAACAACCTTCCACCCCTCTTATGTTTTTAACAGCAACCCTCAACCCCTCTGGAAGTTGAAAGTTTATTCAAGTATGGCGAGGCACAGGGGGACAAGGAATTTAGAGAAGAACTTTCAAAGTTTTTAACTTCAGAATACAACAGCCAGGTTGATAGGTTAGCTCATTTGTGTTGCACAAGAAAGAGAGAATCAGTATTCAGAATACAACAGCCAGGTTGATAGGTTAGCTCATTTGTGTTGCACAAGAAAGGGAGAGAATCAGTATGTGAGGTTGTAGACTATTGCGTGGTTTGGGGCTGGTTTTAAAACAAACAACCATAACCCTAACGCCATCTTATTCCCAACTTGAATCCTGGCCAGGAACCAGTGGTCAGCTGAGATCTTGTCCATTGTTAGCCGTTGTCTAACAAGATTGGGGTGCCACTTGATGTTTAGACCAACAATTTATCAGATATACTTCCTCTAGCTGATCTAGCCTTAAAGCAGATCAACTCTACATCACCTGTTCAACAGGAAATTATGTTACCAAACTCAAACGGAACTCTTTAATTTGTTTTATAAAATTAAAGCGCTATGTAAATCTATAATTTTCTATTTCCACACCAAATGGCCAACATTTCCCCACCAAATGGCCAACATTTCCCCACCTAATGGCCAACATTTCCCCACCTAATGGCCAACATTTCCCCACCTAATGGCCAACATTTCCCCACCTAATGGCCAACATTTCCCCACCTAATGGCCAACATTTCCCCACCAAATGGCCAACATTTCCCCACCAAATGGCCAACATTTCCCCACCAAATGGCCAACATTTCCCCACCTAATGGCCAACATTTCCCCACCAAATGGCCAACATTTCCCCACCAAATGGCCAACATTTCCCCACCTAAAGGCCAACATTTCCCCACCTAATGGCCAACATTTCCCCACCTAATGGCCAACATTTCCCCACCTAATGGCCAACATTTCCCCACCTAATGGCCAACATTTCCCCACCTAATGGCCAACATTTCCCCACCTAATGGCCAACATTTCCCCACCTAATGGCCAACATTTCCCCACCTAATGGCCAACATTTCCCCACCTAATGGCCAACATTGCCCCACCTAATGGCCAACATTGCCCCACCTAATGGCCAACATTTCCCCACCTAATGGCCAACATTTCCCCACAGCAACAATTTATTTGTTACTGCTGGAGCCACCAATGGCCTTCACCTAATTTTGTCGCTACTGTGTGAGCCCACCAGCCCAGTGTTTATTGAAGATCCTAGCTACTTTATTGGCATCAAGCTCATTAGAGATGATCTCAAGATGGATCTTGTATCTGGTAAGTCAAGCTCATTAGAGATGATCTCAAGATGGATCTTGTATCTGGTAAGTCAAGCTCATTAGAGATGATCTCAAGATGGATCTTGTATCTGGTAAGTCAAGCTCATTAGAGATGATCTCAAGATGGATCTTGTATCTGGTAAGTCAAGCTCATTAGAGATGATCTCAAGATGGATCTTGTATCTGGTAAGTCAAGCTCATTAGAGATGATCTCAAGATGGATCTTGTATCTGGTAAGTCAAGCTCATTAGAGTTGATCTCAAGATGGATCTTGTATCTGGTAAGTCAAGCTCATTAGAGATGATCTCAAGATGGATCTTGTATCTGGTAAGTCAAGCTCATTAGAGATGATCTCAATTCAATTTGGTATTTTTAAATTAGAGTTTTCAAGATTAGCAATCATGGTGGGGCAATCAGTATAATTGTTTATAATAAATGATTTTATGTAAAGAAAAAACAAATAAAATTAAATATTTTGTATGCCTGCACACATTTCCAAAAGGATAAATAAATAATGGAGTGTGATCAATTTGTGTACATTATTCTTGTGTGTAGTGTACTGTGATGAACAGGGGATAGTACCTACACATTTGGAGCAGGCTATCTGTGATTACAAGAACCAGAGCAAGGGAAGTCACTCCAAAAGATTTTGGGCAGCTGTTTATCTCATCCCTGTATTTGGTAACCCAACAGGGTGGGTGTACAGCCCAGGTATGTACACAATTACAGGATACACGCTTACAACATACTAATTACAACATACATGCCTACAAATTAGACTTATTTCAAAATTACCTCGACCATTCCATCTTTAGAGTTTTATTTTAGTGACAGACCCAGTTCATACAAAATGAAAAGGTGGAATTTGATCTGTGGAGAGTTTTTGTTGTGAATTTTTTATTTAGAGAAATAGATTAGTAATCAGTGAAAGCTTTTAGCACTTGGAATTAGGAGTGAGGACTAATCCTCTCCACCACTGTAGACTAATCCCCACCACCAGACTAATCCCCCCCACCACTGTAGACTAATCCCCACCACCAGACTAATCCCCCCACCACTGTAGACTAATCCCCACCACCAGACTAATCCCCCCACCACTGTAGACTAATCCCCTCCACCAGACTAATCCCCTCCACCAGACTAATCCCCTCCACCACTACCTGTCCACTCCCTTCTAGAGCGATGTGTAGAGCTCATCCATCTGGCCAGGAAACATGATGTTCTTCTCATCGTGGAGGATGTTTATAACTTAATTTACTACACTGACAAGTGTCCCCCGCGCTTGCTTGCATTTGACAAGCCATCAGACCCAGACTACGCTGCAGGACACGTCCTCTCCAACGCCACCTTCTCAAAGATTTTTGCTCCCAGCATTAGGCTGGGCTGGATTGAAGGGTCAAGGCCACTCCTGTCACAGTTGTACAACAGGTTTGGTTGTGTCAATAGTGGCTAGCTGTGTTGACCATTACTTCAGTAACTGCAGTATTTGTGTTGACCATTACTTCAGTAACCGCAGTATTTGTGTTGACCATTACTTCAGTAACTGCAGTATTTGTGTTGACCATTACTTCAGTAACTGCAGTATTTGTGTTGACCATTACTTCAGTAACTGCAGTATTTGTGTTGACCATTACTTCAGTAACTGCAGTATTTGTGTTGACCATTACTTCAGTAACCGCAGTATTTGTGTTGACCATTACTTCAGTAACTGCTGTATTTGTGTTGACCATTACTTCAGTAACTGATGTATTTGTGTTGACCATTACTTCAGTAACCGCTTTCTGTTGACAGTAACCTGAGCTTGAGTGGGGGAGGCTTGAGCCACTGCATGGCCAGACTGATGACCCAGGTCATCTCTAGCGGGGCTCTGACCCAGCATGTTATCCAGTTGAGAGACACGTACAAGGTTTGTAGGTCAAGTGTACAGGGTTTGTAGGTCAAGCATACATGGTTTGTAGGTCAGATTGTACAAGGTTTGTAGGTCAGACGTACTGGGTTTGTTGGTCAGATGTACAGGGTTTGTAGGTCAGATGTACAAGGTTTGTAGGTCTGATGTACTGGGTTTGTAGGTCAGTCAACCAGGGTTTGTAGGTCAGATGTACTGGGTTTGTAGGTCATATAACATAAAATGACACAATATATGAGGCCATGTAACATGAGTGTCCTTGACCTGTTGAGATTTCTGTTTTCCTCCTGTCAATGTCTGTCACCCAGGAAAGAATGTCTGCCTTGTGTGACTGTATAGACCAGTTGAACATCACAGGCTGGAGCTACACAATACCAAAAGTAGGTGCTGGTAACACTAATTACACAATACCAAAAGTAGGTGCTGGTAACACTAATTACACAATACCAAAAGTAGGTGCTGGTAACACTAATTACACAATACCAAAAGTAGGTACTGGTAACACTTATTACACAATACCAAAAGTAGGTACTGGTAACACTAGTTACCAATAGTTTGATGGTAGTTGAGGTAACTGTAAACACATGTTTCTGTAGGGAGGTTTCTTCCTGTGGCTTGTCTTCCCCCCACACATTGATGCAGCACAGTTTGCCAATCTGGCAAGTCAACATTCTGTTTTCTTCCTGCCAGGGTCATGGTGAGTTGACAGTGTAACATCCTAATGTTACATTATTACTTTCTTGTGTACCAAGTATTAGTATATTACAGTATAGAGAAAGAGTTGTAATCGTGCAAAAAAAATTCTCAACATTTTACACCTCCCTGAGTCGGAAAAATATAGTTTTGCAATCTTGTCTGTGTGTGTGTAAACACGATAACTTGAGTACCGTTACAGCTAGGTTGATGAAATTTCATTTATAAGTATCATATCAAATTTGTAGTTCTATATCATTTTTTTAGCGATTTCCGATTACTTTCAATTTTTCAAAAGCCTATAACTATAACTTGAGTACTGTTTTCAGATAGATGAACAAAATTTCACATATAAGTAAAAGATTTATTTTTCTGCTTTCTGTCAAAATTTGAGTAATTTCCGGTAATTAATAAAGTACTAATAATATTCCGCACTATTATACACAGATTGTTTGGCTTTTACTTGGTGCTCAATTATTTTTTCTACCAGATTCTATTTTAAAAAGTTTAATCAATTATAATGGATTAAAAATATTGTCTATATCCCAGTTGCCATCCCCTGTAGTGTTATATAAGAATATTTGAGAAAGTTTAGGGGAGATCACTCCTGGTTTATTTAGTCTAAAATCATCCTGATGTTACAGCCATTTTTTAAACCTTGTGTGGCATGTAGAAGTCTCTGGTTGACTTGTGATTGTGTTCCTCAGGTGTTGAGGTCTCTGGTTGACTTGTGATTGTGTTCCTCAGGTGTTCAGCTCAAGGCTCGTACAAAAACTGCGCTCGTTTGTCCTTCAGCTACATCACGCTCCAGGAGATTCCAGTTGGTGTACACAGACTGGCAGCTGCCTACAGGCTCTTTACCAGCACAACAACCACATCATGAAACCACATCATCAGTACAACAACCACATCGTGAAACCACATCATCAGCACAACAACCACATCATCAGTACAACAACCACATCATCAGTACAACAACCACATCATCAGTACAACAACCACATCATGAAACCACATCATCAGCACAACAACCACATCATGAAACCACATCATCAGTACAACAACCACATCAACAGTACAACAACCACATCATCAGTACAACAACCACATCATCAGTACAACAACCACATCATCAGTACAACCACATCATGAAACCACATCATCAGTACAACAACCACATCATCAGTACAACAACCACACCATGAAACCACATCATCAGTACAACAACCACATCATCAGTACAACAACCACATCATCAGTACAACAACCACATCATCAGTACAACAACCACATCATCAGTACAACAACCACACCATGAAACCACATCATCAGTACAACAACCACATCATCAGTACAACAACCACATCATCAGTACAACAACCACATCATCAGTACAACAACCACATCATCAGTACAACAACCACATCATCAGTACAACAACCACACCATGAAACCACATCATCAGTACAACCACATCATGAAACCACATCATCAGTACAACAACCACATCATCAGTACAACAACCACATCAACAGTACAACCACATCATGAAACCACATCATCAGTACAACAACCACATCAACAGTACAACAACCACATCAACAGTACAACCACATCATGAAACCACATCATCAGTACAACAACCACATCAACAGTACAACCACATCATGAAACCACATCATCAGTACAACAACCACATCATCAGTACAACAACCACATCATCAGTACAACAACCACATCATCAGTACAACAACCACATCATCAGTACAACCACATCATGAAACCACATCATCAGTACAACAACCACATCATCAGTACAACCACATCATGAAACCACATCATCAGTACAACCACATCATGAAACCACATCATTATAACATGTGACAACATCATCTGAATGAAAACCCCATGAAAGTACATTATCAATTCCATATGCCTTTTATACTTGGAGACATTATATTACACTCATTTATTTCATAGAGCGAATTAGTCCTTAGGTGGACTTTGTTATTACAAAAACCACTACCTCCACCCTACCCCCCTCCCTAATGCCAAAACTGTAGCCACTTTAGTGGTGGGCTCAAGATTTGGATGTTGGTCAAAATATATGGGCTTTGTTACACAAGACAAATTGTTACGCTAGACAGATTGTGACATAAGACAAATAAAAATGTATGTTACATTGGCGTATCAAGTTTTATTCTAAGGCTAAGAAAGCACTCTGGTCATGTGGCTGGGGTGTCTAGACTAATGTGGTAGTACTTTAAATCATCAGGGGCAACAGAGGCCGGAGAGTTGCTGAGGGGATCCTTGCCTCCAGTGATCTTTGGGAAGGCTATGACGTCTCTGATGGACTCTGTCCCACACATGATGGACATCAGGCGGTCAAGACCTGCAACACATGTCAGGCTGGTCAGTTGGAGCAATCTTCACTCTAACATTGCGGGACTGTACTAGCTAGCTAGGGCTACCTTAATACCTAGGGTTCTAGCTAGGGCTACCCTAATACCTAGGGTTCTAGCTAGGGCTACCTTAATACCTAGGGTTCTAGCTAGGGCTACCTTAATACCAGGGTTCTAGCTAGGGCTGCCTTAATACCTAGGGTTCTAGCTAGGGCTACCCTAATACCTAGGGTTCTAGCTAGGGCTACCTTAATACCTAGGGTTCTAGCTTGGGCTACCTTAATACCTAGGGTTCTAACTAGGGCTACCTTAATACCTAGGGCTACCTTAATACCTAGGGTTCTAACTAGGGCTACCTTAATACCTAGGGCTACCTTAATACCTAGGGTTCTAACTAGGGCTACCTTAATACCTAGGGCTACCTTAATACCTAGGGTTCTAGCAAGGGCTACCTTAATCCCTAGGGTTCTAGCTAGGGCTGCCTTAATAACTAGGGTTCTAGCTAGGGCTACTTTCATACCTAGGGTTCTAGTTAGGGCTAATGTGTAGCATTCTGGCAAGGATACTATAGCCAAGATAAAGGATTAACCCACTTGAACTAGGGCTACACCTGAAAAAAAATTAACCCCCAAAGTGCTACACCTGAAAAAAAATTAACCCACCAAGTGCTACATCTAAAAAATTAACCCACCAAGTACTACACCTAAAAAAATTAACCCACCAAGTGCTATACCTAAAAAAATTAACCCACCAAGTGCTACACCTAAAAAAATTAACCCACCAAGTGCTACATCTAAAAAATTAACCCACCAAGTACTACACCTAAAAAAATTAACCCACCAAGTACTACACCTAAAAAAATTAACCCACCAAGTGCTACACCTAAAAAAAATTAACCCACCAAGTGCTACACCTAAAAAATTAACCCACCAAGTGCTACACCTAAAAAAGTTAACCCACCAAGTGCTACACCTAAAAAGTTAACCCACCAAGTGCTACACCTAAAAAATTAACCCACCAAGTGCTACACCTAAAAAATTAACCCACCAAGTGCTACACCTAAAAAGTTAACCCACCAAGTGCTACACCTAAAAAATTAACCCACCAAGTGCTACACCTAAAAAAATTAACCCACCAAGTGCTATGCCACCATGAGGAGGACAGCCACAGTCTAGGGCAAACAGCAAGTGTTCCAGCTCTGAACTGTCTTCCTGCAACCACAAAATGTTCATTTACACATGACATACAGATACCAGTGTTTCTTCCAGGCATTTCTTTTGCCCCCCCCCCCCCCCCCCCCGACGAAGAAAATGGAATTTATAAAGAAAACATACTTTTACCCCGAAACTGAACAACATGTTCATTTTAATAGTTTACATATCTCATACAGGTATATGAACAAAATGTTCTTGAAAACTATTTAGATAATATGAGCCAAATATGTTACCGACTTACACTTTCAAGATGTTTTTCAGTTATTATAATTCAACAGGTTTAAACAAAAGACAATGAATGTTGTGAGATTATTGTTGGGTAAGGTTTAGAATTAGAGCAAAAATTTTTTTAAAAAGTTCTTACTTTGAGCACCTCTGAGAGGACGTAACTTTGCAGCTTGGAGCTGTGGATCCTGATGGAGCCACCCCCTATCTCACTCCCATTCAGGACTAGGTCGTAGTGCTGGCCTCGTACCTGCAACAACCAATCACAGAACTTGTATCAATTTCAGCTTTCAAATCTCTGGGAGTCACTTAAGTAGAACTGAAAGAAGCAGCCATAATGGTGTCAGGACAACAAACAGCAACAAGAGAATGGAGTCAGGACAACAAACAGCTACAAGAGAATATAATGGAGTCAGCACAACAAACAGCTACAAGAGAATATAATGGAGTCAGGACAACAAACAGCTACAAGAGAATATAATGGAGTCAGCACAACAAACAGCTACAATATAATGGAGTCAGCACAACAAACAGCTACAAGAGAATGGAGTCAGGACAACAAACAGCTACAAGAGAATGGAGTCAGGACAACAAACAGCTACAAGAGAATGGAGTCAGCACAACAAACAGCTACAAGAGAATATAATGGAGTCAGCACAACAAACAGCTACAAGAGAATGGAGTCAGGACAACAAACAGCTACAAGAGAATGTAATGGAGTCAGCACAACAAACAGCTACAAGAGAATGGAGTCAGGACAACAAACAGCTACAAGAGAATGTAATGGAGTCAGCACAACAAACAGCTACAATATAATGGAGTCAGCACAACAAACAGCTACAAGAGAATGTAATGGAGTCATGACAAAAATGGAGTCAGGACAAAAGACCTTGGTCCGCTACAAAAGAATATTTTGTACCTGTTCTGGAGAGGTGTAGATCAGGTCCAGGTCATCAGGATGTGGGGCGGTGAAGGGGTGATGTGCTGATTCCAGACCCTCCCCTGGAGACATCACATTGATAAACATCCTGATGTTAGTTCATCTCCCACATTTACATACATCCTGATGTTAGTTCATCTCCCACATTTACATACATCCTGATGTTAGTTCATCTCCCACATTTACACACATCCTGATGTTAGTTCATCTCCCACATTTACACACATCTTGATGTTAGTTCATCTCCCACATTTACACACATCCTGATGTTAGTTCATCTCCCACATTTACATACATCTTGATGTTAGTTCATCTCCCACATTTACACATCTTGATGTTAGTTCATCTCCCACATTTACACATCTTGATGTTAGTTCATCTCCCACATTTACACATCTTGATGTTAGTTCATCTCCCACATTTACACATCTTGATGTTAGTTCATCTCCCACATTTACACATCTTGATGTTAGTTCATCTCCCACATTTACACACATCCTGATGTTAGTTCATCTCCCACATTTACACATCTTGATGTTAGTTCATCTCCCACATTTACACACATCTTGATGTTAGTTCATCTACCACATTTACACACATCCTGATGTTAGTTCATCTCCCACATTTACATACATCTTGATGTTAGTTCATCTACCACATTTACACATCTTGATGTTAGTTCATCTCCCACATTTACACACATCCTGATGTTAGTTCATCTCCCACATTTACACACATCCTGATGTTAGTTCATCTCCCACATTCACATACATCTTGATGTTAGTTCATCTCCCACATTTACACACATCTTGATGTTAGTTCATCTCCCACATTTACATACATCTTGATGTTAGTTCATCTCCCACATTTACACACATCTTGATGTTAGTTCATCTACCACATTTACACATCTTGATGTTAGTTCATCTCCCACATTTAAATTTACACACATCTTGATGTTAGTTCATCTCCCACATTTAAATTTACACACATTTTGATGTTAGTTCATCTCCCACATTTACATACATCTTGATGTTAGTTCATCTACCACATTTACACATCTTGATGTTAGTTCATCTCCCACATTTAAATTTACACACATCTTGATGTTAGTTCATCTCCCACATTTAAATTTACACACATCTTGATGTTAGTTCATCTCCCACATTTACATACATCTTGATGTTAGTTCATCTCCCACATTTACACATCTTGATGTTAGTTCATCTCCCACATTTAAATTTACACACATCTTGATGTTAGTTCATCTCCCACATTTAAATTTACACACATCTTGATGTTAGTTCATCTCCCACATTTACACATCTTGATGTTAGTTCATCTCCCACATTTACATACATCCTGATGTTAGTTCATCTCCCACATTTACATACATCTTGATGTTAGTTCATCTCCCACATTTACATACATCCTGATGTTAGTTCATCTCCCACATTTACATACATCCTGATGTTAGTTCATCTCCCACATTTACACACATCTTGATGTTAGTTCATCTACCACATTTACACATCTTGATGTTAGTTCATCTCCCACATTTAAATTTACACACATCTTGATGTTAGTTCATCTCCCACATTTAAATTTACACACATTTTGATGTTAGTTCATCTCCCACATTTACATACATCTTGATGTTAGTTCATCTACCACATTTACACATCTTGATGTTAGTTCATCTCCCACATTTAAATTTACACACATCTTGATGTTAGTTCATCTCCCACATTTAAATTTACACACATCTTGATGTTAGTTCATCTCCCACATTTACATACATCTTGATGTTAGTTCATCTCCCACATTTACACATCTTGATGTTAGTTCATCTCCCACATTTAAATTTACACACATCTTGATGTTAGTTCATCTCCCACATTTAAATTTACACACATCTTGATGTTAGTTCATCTCCCACATTTACACATCTTGATGTTAGTTCATCTCCCACATTTACATACATCCTGATGTTAGTTCATCTCCCACATTTACATACATCTTGATGTTAGTTCATCTCCCACATTTACATACATCCTGATGTTAGTTCATCTCCCACATTTACATACATCCTGATGTTAGTTCATCTCCCACATTTACATACATCCTGATGTTAGTTCATCTCCCACATTTACATACATCCTGATGTTAGTTCATCTCCCACATTTACATACATCCTGATGTTAGTTCATCTCCCACATTTACATACATCCTGATGTTAGTTCATCTCCCACATTTACATACATCCTGATGTTAGTTCATCTCCCACATTTACATACATCCTGATGTTAGTTCATCTCCCACATTTACATACATCCTGATGTTAGTTCATCTCCCACATTTACATACATCCTGATGTTAGTTCATCTCCCACATTTACATACATCTTGATGTTAGTTCATCTCCCACATTTACATACATCCTGATGTTAGTTCATCTCCCACATTTACATACATCCTGATGTTAGTTCATCTCCCACATTTACATACATCCTGATGTTAGTTCATCTCCCACATTTACATACATCCTGATGTTAGTTCATCTCCCACATTTACATACATCCTGATGTTAGTTCATCTCCCACATTTACATACATCCTGATGTTAGTTCATCTCCCACATTTACATACATCCTGATGTTAGTTCATCTCCCACATTTACATACATCCTGATGTTAGTTCATCTCCCACATTTACATACATCCTGATGTTAGTTCATCTCCCACATTTACATACATCCTGATGTTAGTTCATCTCCCACATTTACATACATCCTGATGTTAGTTCATCTCCCACATTTACACACATCTTGATGTTAGTTCATCTCCCACATTTACATACATTTACTACTGTACTGACTTATGCCCCCTCTGCAGGTGCTGCCCCTGTAAATTATCCCCCCCCCCTACACCCTATGGTTATTTGGGTTAGGTTAGCGTTATCTAACATTCAAAGCAACTTACTAAATTAAAGGGATAGAAGCAACGCACCAATCCAAGGACAGGGGGGGGGGGGAGGCAGACCTCCCACCCCCTGATACACCAGAATGTAACTGGTGACTTACCTCCATCCTCTTTTGGCAAAAACAAAGGGAAGTTATCCACCCACAGAAATTTGAAACCTTCTTGTCTAACTTGTATACCTGAATTTAAAAAAAAATAATTTCTGAATTATGTCCCTTATACCAACTTTTGATTAAGGATTACAAATCTTGACCTTGGTTTATATTTAGATAGTAGGGCCTGCCTATTTTATATTTCATTTGTTAAATTAAATGGCTAATGAAAAAATAATTCAGCAATAAAAATATTTAAAGATTTTGTTTAATGGAGTCACAGAATGTAGCTAGTGGAGTCAGATATTCTAGCCAGTGGAGTCAGCGGTAATAGTTAGTGGAGTCACAGTATGTAGCTAGTGGAGTCAGATATTCTAGCCAGTGGAGTCAGCAGTAGTAGTTAGTGGAGTCTTAAAAAAGTGGGCATGAGTCAGATTCTGGACAAGTGGCCGAGATTTCCTCAGGAAATATTGGAGGTAACCCAGACCAAGTCAAACAGGAAGCAACAAGAGCTCATTACAGCAGACACGGTCTGGTGAGCAAGGTAAACAAAGCAGTCATGCTTGAGGTCAGATATGGGCTTCACGCTTGACTGAACAGATTTGGCTGACCTAAATCTCAGGTTTAAACTTGGCCCAAACAAAGAAATGAATTCAATTATCATAACTGTTCCTGGACGTGCCAGCACATGTGCCTCAACACCATTACTAAATTATGCTAGGTACCCATCAGAGCTGGGTGAACACATGGATGACTCACAGATTTATGATCAAGAAGGCTATCTCCGTACACCAGTAGGCAGTTACATTTAGACCCCAAATTTACATTCAGACCCCATCAGTTATCTTTAGACCCCCATCAGTTATCTTTAGACCCCCAACAGTTACCTTTAGACCCCCAACAGTTACCTTTAGACCCCCATCAGTTACCTTTAGACCCCCATAAGTTACCTTTAGACTCCATAAGTTACCTTTAGACCCCCATAAGTTACCTTTAGACCCCAACAGTTACCTTTAGACCCCAACAGTTACCTTTAGACCCCCATCAGTTACCTTTAGACCCCAACAGTTACCTTTAGACTCCAACAGTTACCTTTAGACCCCTACAGTTATCTTTAGACCCCCACAGTTAGACCACAACAGTTACCTTTAGACTCCAACAGTTACCTTTAGACCCCCATCAGTTACCTTTAGACCCTATATCAGTTACCTTTAGACCCCCATCAGTTACCTTTAGACCCCAACAGTTACCTTTAGACTCCAACAGTTACCTTTAGACCCCTACAGTTATCTTTAGACCCCCACAGTTAGACCACAACAGTTACCTTTAGACTCCAACAGTTACCTTTAGACCCCCATCAGTTACCTTTAGACCCTATATCAGTTACCTTTAGACCCCCATCAGTTACCTTTAGACCCTATATCAGTTACCTTTAGACCCCCATCAGTTACCTTTAGACCCCCATAAGTTACCTTTAGACTCCAACAGTTACCTTTAGACTCCAAAAGTTACCTTTAGACCCCAACAGTTACCTTTAGACCCCCATCAGTTACCTTTAGACTCCATAAGTTACCTTTAGACTCCATAAGTTACCTTTAGACCCCCATAAGTTACCTTTAGACCCCAACAGTTACCTTTAGACCCCAACAGTTACCTTTAGACTCCAACAGTTACCTTTAGACTCCAAAAGTTACCTTTAGACCCCCATAAGTTACCTTTAGACCCCCATCAGTTACCTTTAGACCCCCATAAGTTACCTTTAGACTCCATAAGTTACCTTTAGACCCCCATAAGTTACCTTTAGACCCCATCAGTTACCTTTAGACTCCAACAGTTACCTTTAGACTCCAAAAGTTACCTTTAGACCCCAAAAGTTACCTTTAGACCCCCATAAGTTACCTTTAGACTCCAACAAGCTGGCTGCATTAAGTCGCACCTGGCCCAGAACTTGGTGCTGGAGAAAAAAGTTTTGGTTTAGCAGAGTCACAGGCTGGTCAAGTTGTCAGTTAGTTGTACTAACACAGGCTGGTCAAGTTGACCAGTGGTCAGTTAGCTCTACTAACACAGGCTGGTCAAGTTGACCAGTGGTCAGTTAGCTCTACTAACACAGGCTGGTCAAGTTGACCAGTGGTCAGTTAGCTCTACTAACACAGGCTGGTCAAGTTGTCAGTTAGCTCTACTAACACAGGCTGGTCAAGTTGACCAGTGGTCAGTTAGCTCTACTAACACAGGCTGGTCAAGTTGACCAGTGGTCAGTTAGCTCTACTAACACAGGCTGGTCAAGTGGTCAGTTAGCTCTACTAACACAGGCTGGTCAAGTTGTCAGTTAGCTCTACTAACACAGGCTGGTCAAGTTGACCAGTGGTCAGTTAGCTCTACTAACACAGGCTGGTCAAGTTGACCAGTGGTCAGTTAGCTCTACTAACACAGGCTGGTCAAGTGGTCAGTTAGCTCTACTAACACAGGCTGGTCAAGTTGACCAGTGGTCAGTTAGCTCTACTAACACAGGCTGGTCAAGTGGTCTGTTAGCTGTACTAACACAGGCTGGTCAAGTTGACCAGTGGTCAGTTAGCTCTATTAACACAGGCTGGTCAAGTTGACCAGTGGTCAGTTAGCTCTACTAACACAGGCTGGTCAAGTGGTCAGTTAGCTCTACTAACACAGGCTGGTCAAGTTGACCAGTGGTCAGTTAGCTCTACTAACACAGGCTGGTCAAGTGGTCAGTTAGCTCTACTGACACAGGCTGGTCAAGTTGACCAGTGGTCAGTTAGCTCTACTAACACAGGCTGGTCAAGTGGTCAGTTAGCTCTACTAACACAGGCTGGTCAAGTGGTCAGTTAGCTGTACTAACACAGGCTGGTCAAGTTGACCAGTGGTCAGATATACTTACAGGCTGGTAGTGCTGTCCAGCAGCCAGGAGCAGCCAGTCATGTGGCTGTAGCTGCATGCCTGCAGCCACCCTCTGTCTGCAGGCAGTGTCCAGCTGGCGGTCAAGGCTGGAGCCCCAGCTGCCACCTGCCTTTATCTTGGCGGCCACCAGTTTCTGGGGACACAACACGACCGTGAGATCATACATGTATGGGGGGGGGGCAGCACATACATATGGGGAGGGGAGCCACCAGGAACATACAGAGGTCTGGCTATAAAGAAATGAAAGGAGCGGGCTACTAAAATCATGTGATTTTTAAATGTGGGGATTCACAAATCGTGTGATTTTAAAAACCCAACAGGTTCAGAGATTGTGCTGTGCTACTATACTAGTCAATCAAACATTTGTTTTTAAATCTATTTTAAAGTTTCAAGTGCCATAAAATGTGACCAGAAGGCAACGTCTGATAGATTTGATAGGGTGTGGGTGAATGTCTACTATTGTCTACACATAGTTGGTTAACTGAATCAATGTGGGCCCTTGGTTTTCAACCTCAGGTACAATAGGCCAAGTCAACCACACGGGACACAGCGGGAATACCCGGAGATTTACCAGAAAAATCTTCAACAAGCGCCCACTCGGTAGGGGGATTCCACCATCATTTCCCCAATCAGGGAGGGGGGGGGGGGTTCCACCATCATTTCCCCAATCAGGGAGGGGGGGGGGGGTTTCCACCATCATTTCCCCAATCAGGGAGGGGGGGGGGGTTTCCACCATCATTTCCTACAATCATGGAAATTTCCACCATCACTTCCCCCATGTTTCGTCAACAAGTGGGGGAGGGGGTACCCAACTCGGTGTCATGATATTGATGATAACCAACGTTAACCCTCCCCCCCCCCCACTCGCCGGAACAAATAGAAAGAATATTTTATATCGATATATACTTGAACCACTCTCGGCCCCACAGTAAAATGTTAGAAAGAACACTACAGGTGACGTAATTCAAGAACAAATCGATAGTCTTTATAAGCTGGTCGATATGTACCATTGGATACAAGAGCGAGACCCCCCCCCCCCCCAGTTTACATTGTGTAAAAAAACTTGTAGTCAAGCTGTCAAGTGTGACGGACGATCTCAAGTATTTTGTCTGTTTTTCCTACCCCGGCTACACAAGTTGGGAGAGCTACCAAGTTTTTTATGGCTGTAAACATTTGTAACACATCGCCATTGTGTGTAGAATGTTCACACGCACCAGTAAGCCACCTGATGTTTACTTTCAGCAGTTTCGGTTTCTCCGCGATGGCGGGAGAGAGCACGTGGTTTCCACGAACTCCGATTTTCCTGTACACCGACTCTCGTGAGACTTGGGGGGATGACGTCACTTTTCTCCGTACTCGCGTCTCCCTAGTTGACCTCATTAGGTACAATCTACATCCACTTGAAGACGTTATCGTTTAGAATTCTAAACGTGTCGTGAGCTGGGGGCGGTCGGGTAGGAGAATTGAGCTCAGCAGTTGGGCGACAAACAAAAATACCAGAAAAAAGGGCCTGTACTTTCCCCATGTAGAAAAACGTGGCAGCATTCTAGCAGCCGAGGCTACTCACCCAACCTCTCTCCTCTAGCACGTCAATTTTTTGTATTAATCTCAATTAATTAATTACACGATTACCCCCCCCCCCCCCCCCATAGTGTCCGAAAGGTTGACCACCCCCATCCCTGAGTCACGTAGTGCCAACAACCAATCAAATCAAACCTTGGTTTGGTTTCTCATCAGAGATAGGACATGTGACGTCATTAACTGTCCGTCAGTCTAGTCCGGACATTCAGTTGCTCAGTGTTTCTTTCAGACATTTATTCGGGAGGGGGGAAGGAACCAAAAATATCCACACTAAGTCAAAATGTTCCAGCGGTGTATCAAACGGCACCCTAGCCATTGTATCAAACGGGACCCTAACCATTGCCTGGATCAAACGGGACCCTAACCATTGTATCAAACGGGACCCTAGCCATTATCTGTATCAAACGGGACCCTAACCATTTCCTGGATCAAACGGGACCCTAACCATTGCCTATATCAAACGGGACCCTAACCATTGCCTGGATCAAACGGGACCCTAACCATTGCCTGTATCAAACGGGACCTAACCATTGCCTATATCAAACGGGACCCTAACCATTGCCTGTATCAAACGGGACCCTAACCATTGCCTGTATCAAACGGGACCCTAACCATTGCCTATATCAAACGGGACCCTAACCATTGCCTATATCAAACGGGACCCTAACCATTGCCTGTATCAAACGGGACCTAACCATTGCCTATATCAAACGGGACCCTAACCATTGCCTATATCAAAAGGGACCCTAACCATTGCCTATATCAAACGGGACCCTAACCATTGCCTATATCAAACGGGACCCTAACCATTGCCTGTATCAAACGGGACCCTAACCATTGCCTATATCAAACGGGACCCTAACATTGCCTATATCAAAAGGTACCCTAACCATTGCCTATATCAAACGGGACCCTAACCATTGCCTATATCAAACGGGACCCTAACCATTGCCTATATCAAACGGGACCTTAACCATTGCCTATATTAAACGGGACCCTAACCATTGCCTATATCAAACGGGACCTTAACCATTGCCTATATCAAACGGGACCCTAACCATTGCCTATATCAAACGGGACCTTAACCATTGCCTATATCAAACGGGACCCTAACCATTGCCTATATCAAACGGGACCTTAACCATTGCCTATATCAAACGGGACCCTAACCATTGCCTATATCAAACGGGACCTTAACCATTGCCTATATCAAACGGGACCCTAACCATTGCCTATATCAAACGGGACCCTAACCAGAAAGTGACTGGCATGGAGGCGTGTTGACCTGCACGGCGTCAGGTCACGTGACTGGTGCCAACAATTTAGATAGCGGCGATCAGGTTACAGCACGGTCCAGTGGTGTAGACCTGGTGGGTCAAGTCGTAGGTCTGTATATACCACACATCACCCACACACATCACCCACACACACCAGCCCACACACATCAGCCCACACACACCAGCCCACACACACCAGCCCACACACATCACCCACACACATCACCCCACACACACCAGCCCACACACAAAGGTGGGTCACACAGAGTTTCTTTCAGGCATCTCTTTGGAAAATTGAAAAAAAGTCTGACACTGGCCACACAGAGGAGGGTTCAGTCAAGTCTTAGTTCTGTACACACCATCCACCACCATCTCACCCACCTACCACCTCACACACCACCCACCCACCACCTCACCCTCCACCCACCCACCTCACACACCACCACCTCACACACCACCTCACACACCACCCACCACCATCTCACACATCACCCACCATCTACCACCTCACCCACCACCTCACACACCACCTCACACACCACCCACCACCTCACACACCACCCACCACCTCACACCTCACCCACCCACCACCTCACACCTCACCCACCCACCACCTCACACACCACCTCACACACCACCCACCACCTCACACACCACCCACCACCTCACACCTCACCCACCCACCACCTCACACCTCACCCACCCACCACCTCACACACCTCACCCACCCACCACCTCACACACCACCACCTCACACACCACCCACCACCTCACCCACCCACCACCTCACACACCTCACCCACCCACCACCTCACACACCACCCACACATGACTGCTTAGATCCTGTCAAAAACCAGATAAAAACCCAACAAAAAAATGGTGCCATCGTGTGTATCCGACACTGTGAGCAAAAGTGGGCGTAAGTTGTAGGCCCGTGGTCAGTCGTCTGCCAGAGTCCACACAGCGTTCAGACGTCTGCTGCACATTTCTCGGGGATAAACGTGAGTTGACTTTGTTTACATTTGGTGCTAGTGCTCTCACGACATCTTAATCAACCAATCAAACCCGTTTGAGTTCAAACATTTAATCAACCAATCAAACCCGTTTGTTCAAACATTTAATCAACCAATCAAACCCGTTTGTTCAAACATTTAATCAACCAATCAAACCCGTTTGTTCAAACATTTAATCAACCAATCCAATCCGTTTGAGTTCAAACATTTAATCAACCAATCCAATCCGTTTGTTCAAACATTTAATCAACCAATCAAACCCGTTTGTTCAAACATTTAACCAACCAATCAAACCCGTTTGTTCAAACATTTAATCAACCAATCCAATCCGTTTGAGTTCAAACATTTAATCAACCAATCCAATCCGTTTGTTCAAACACTTAATCAACCAATCCAATCCATTTGAGTTCAAACATTTAATCAACCAATCAAACCCGTTTGTTCAAACATTTAATCAACCAATCCAATCCGTTTGTTCAAACATTTAATCAACCAATCAAACCCGTTTGTTCAAACATTTAATCAACCAATCCAATACGTTTGTTCAAACATTTAATCAACCAATCAAACCCGTTTGTTCAAACATTTAATCAACCAATCAAACCCGTTTGTTCAAACATTTAATCAACCAATCAAACCCGTTTGTTCAAACATTTAATCAACCAATCAAACCCGTTTGTTCAAACATTTAATCAACCAATCCAATCCGTTTGAGTTCAAACATTTAATCAACCAATCAAACCCGTTTGTTCAAACATTTAATCAACCAATCAAACCCGTTTGTTCAAACATTTAATCAACCAATCAAACCCGTTTGTTCAAACATTTAATCAACCAATCCAATCCGTTTGAGTTCAAACATTTAATCAACCAATCCAATCCGTTTGTTCAAACATTTAATCAACCAATCAAACCCGTTTGTTCAAACATTTAATCAACCAATCAAACCCGTTTGTTCAAACATTTAATCAACCAATCCAATCCGTTTGAGTTCAAACATTTAATCAACCAATCCAATCCGTTTGTTCAAACACTTAATCAACCAATCAAACCCGTTTGTTCAAACATTTAATCAACCAATCAAACCCGTTTGTTCAAACATTTAATCAACCAATCAAACCCGTTTGTTCAAACATTTAATCAACCAATCAAACCCGTTTGTTCAAACATTTAATCAACCAATCAAACCCGTTTGTTCAAACATTTAATCAACCAATCCAATCCATTTGAGTTCAAACATTTAATCAACCAATCAAACCCGTTTGTTCAAACATTTAATCAACCAATCCAATACGTTTGTTCAAACATTTAATCAACCAATCAAACCCGTTTGTTCAAACATTTAATCAACCAATCAAACCCGTTTGTTCAAACATTTAATCAACCAATCAAACCCGTTTGAGTCTGTGGAGTGTTGGGTTAACCCATTTGACACACACCTCTTCTATCAGCAAAGGGCCATTTATGTTCGATATTAATATAATCGGTGCACATTTTGTTTGATATAATGGGTGCACAAATGTGTTTATATAATGGGTGCACAATGCCAACTCAAGACTTGAGACCAAATGTGTACATGCAGGGCATAGAGCGTCAGACAGTGGGACTTGTGGGGCTGTAACACCTCTGTTGTGTGCACCCCCGTGCCACCTCTTCTAGCACCCCTCTTCTACCCCCACCACACTCCTACCCGCTTCATTCAAATCTCTTCCATCCTTCAGAGAATACAAGCATGTCCCTCTCCTTGACCTTGGTCACCATTGTGACCTTGCTGTGCACCAAGATGGCGAGCGGCCACGTCTGCCCCCACCGCTGTACCTGCTCCAACCGGAACCTGAACATCGACTGCACGGGGCTGGCCATGACGACCTTGCCCTTCATCACCGCCTCCACGCTGACCTTGAACTTGTCCAAAAACAGCCTCGGCCCGGTCATCAGGTCCGTGCTGCCCCAGATGACCAACCTGACCGACCTTGACCTGTCCCACAACGGCCTGACCCAGATCGTGTCGTGCACGTTCCGCGGGCTGGCGGGCTTGCGGCGGGTCCAGCTCCAGCACAACCAGCTGACCAACCTGACCGACTGCCTCTTCTCCGACTCCCAGGAGCTGGAGTACCTGGACCTCAGCCACAACCGTCTGACGCAGCTGCCGGACGGCGTCTTCAAGGACCTGCCCGCCCTCAGGTACCTGGACCTGTCCCACAACAACATACAGCAGCTGCTCATGGGCGCAGGCTTTCAGGTAGGTTTCTTACACGCATAGGTTGGGGAGGTTTGTTACACGCATAGGGTGGGGGGAGGCTTGTTACACGCATAGCTTGGGGGAGGTTTGTTACACGCATAGGTGGAGGGTAGGTTTGTTACACGCATAGGTTGGAGGAGGTTTGATACACGCATAGGTTGGGGGAGGTTTGTTACACGCATAGGTTGGGGGAGGTTTGTTACACGCATAGGTTGGGGGAGGTTTGTTACACGCATAGGGTGGGGGAGGTTTGTTACACGCATAGGGTGGGGGGAGGCTTATTACACGCATAGGTTGGGGGAGGTTTGTTACACGCATAGGTTGGGGGAGGTTTGTTACACGCATAGGTTGGGGGAGGTTTGTTACACGCATAGGTTGGGGGAGGTTTGTTACACGCATAGGGTGGGGGAGGTTTGTTACACGCATAGGGTGGGGGGAGGCTTATTACACGCATAGGTTGGGGGAGGTTTGTTACACGCATAGGTTGGGGGAGGTTTGTTACACGCATAGGTTGGGGGAGGCTTATTACACGCATAGGTTGGGGGAGGTTTGTTACATGCATAGGTTGGGTGGGGGGGGAGGTTTGTTATATGCATAGGTTGGGGGTAGGTTTGTTACACGCATAGGTTGGGGGAGGTTTGTTACACGCATAGGGTGGGGGAGGTTTGTTACACGCATAGGGTGGGGGGGAGGCTTATTACACGCATAGGTTGGGGGAGGTTTGTTACACGCATAGGTTGGGGGAGGTTTGTTACACGCATAGGTTGGGGGGAGGCTTATTACACGCATAGGTTGGGGGAGGTTTGTTACATGCATAGGTTGGGTGGGGGGGGGGAGGTTTGTTATACGCATAGGTTGGGGGAGGTTTGTTACACGCATAGGTTGGGGAGGTTTGTTACATGCATAGGTTGGGGGTAGGTTTGTTACACGCATAGGTTGGGGGGAGGTTTGTTACACGCATAGGTGGAGGGGAGGTTTGATACACGCATGGGTTGAGGGGAGGTTTGTTACACGCATAGGTGGAGGGGAGGTTTGTTACACGCATATGTTGAGGGGAGGTTTGTTACACGCATAGGTGGAGGGCAGGTTTGTTACACGCATAGGTTGGGGGAGGTTTGTTACACGCATAGGTTGGGGGCAGGTTTGTTACACGCATAGGTTGGGGGCAGGTTTGTTACACGCATAGGTTGGGGGAGGTTTGTTACACGCATAGGTGGAGGGCAGGTTTGTTACACGCATATGTTGAGGGGAGGTTTGTTACACGCATAGGTGGAGGGCAGGTTTGTTACACGCATAGGTTGGGGGAGGTTTGTTACACGCATATGTTGAGGGCAGGTTTGTTACACGCATAGGTTGGGGGAGGTTTGTTACACGCATATGTTGAGGGGAGGTTTGTTACACGCATAGGTGGAGGGCAGGTTTGTTACACGCATAGGTTGGGGGAGGTTTGTTACACGCATATGTTGAGGGGAGGTTTGTTACACGCATAGGTGGAGGGCAGGTTTGTTACACGCATAGGTTGGGGGAGGTTTGTTACACGCATAGGTGGAGGGGAGGTTTGTTACACGCATAGGTTGGGGAGGTTTGTTACACGCATTGGTTGGGGGGAGGTTTGTTACACGCATAGGTTGGGGGGAGGTTTGTTACACGCATAGGTTGGGGGAGGTTTGTTACACGCATAGGTTGGGGGAGGTTTGTTACACGCATAGGTTGGGGGAGGTTTGTTACACGCATAGGTTGGGGGAGGTTTGTTACACGCATAGGTTGGGGCAGGTTTGTTACACGCATATGTTGAGGGGAGGTTTGTTACACGCATAGGTTGGGGCAGGTTTGTTACACGCATATGTTGAGGGGAGGTTTGTTACACGCATAGGTTGAGGGGAGGGTTTATCGACATAGAAAGGTTTTATTCGGGCAGAGGTTTAAAGGAGGTTGTATGTCCACATCCCCGTCAGCCGTTGAGCCCACCCTTTGCTTCCCTCCCCCAGGTGTTGAGGATCCTGGAGCAGCTGGACCTGTCCTACAACCACTTCAGCTCGCTGACCAACGCGTCCCTGGCGGCCGCCTCAGACTGGTCGTCCAGCGTCCCACGCCGCAGCCTGACCCTGGCCTTCTGTCGGCTGTCTGACATCCAGGCGGGCGGGCTGTCCGCCGTCCCGCGCCTGTCCGACATCGACCTGTCCGGCAACACGGAGCTTTCCCCCACAGGTCTGGCAGCCATGCTCAAGGGTCTCAGACACCCGTCCTCTCTACAGACACTGACCTTGACCCACATGGGTCTGAGCGCACTGGACGACGTGTTCCTAGAGCAGACCTTCGCCCACCAGCTGCTCAACGTGTCCTACAACAACATCCGCGAGCTGCCCAGCGCCGTCTTCAGCAGCCTGCAGGACTGGACCAGGCTGGACGTCAGCCACAACCAGCTCGAGGCGCTGCCCGAGGGCATCTCCGGCCTGGCCAGTCTGAGCATGCTCAATATCTCCCACAACCGACTCTCCAGCTTCACGACCAGCCAGACGACGCACCTGGACAAGCTGGAGCAGCTGGACGTGTCCCACAACCGGCTGACGGAGCTGGCCCTCACGGGACTCACACAGCTGCGGGAGCTGAGGGCCGGCAGCAACAGGCTGCGCTCCCTGGCCCTGTCCAACGGCACGCGCCAGTTCCGGTACTTGGACTGCCGCGACAACCAGCTGACGCACGTCCCCAGCCAGCTCAGGTACTCGCAGGTCGAGAGCCTGGACCTGAGCGGTAACCAGCTGACGGCGCTGGGGAGAAACGTTCTCAAAGACGGCACGGCCATGAAGGCGGCCAACCTGAGCGGCAACCAAATCTCGGCCATCGACAGCCAGGCCTTCCCCGGCCAGTCGCCGCTGTTGCTGGACCTGTCCAACAACTCTCTCAGCTCCTTCAACGCCTCCAGCTGGGCGGCCACCCAGCGTCTGCTGCTCCACCACAACAGGCTGGCCGCCATCGGCGTCTTCGGCTTCAAGGGCATGTCCAGCCTGGATCACCTGGACCTGTCCCACAACAAGATGGCGGCGCTGCACGAAGACCTGCTCCACAACAACATGAACCTCCGCTCACTCGACCTCTCCCACAACCAGCTCGACATGGCCCCCTGGGGCTTGCTCTTCAGGAACCTCGAGAACCTGGAGACTCTGGACCTGAGCGCCAACCTCATCACGTTCCTCAACGTCTCCATGCTGGACCACGTGACCCGCCTCCAGAGCTTGTCGCTAAGCAACAACCGCCTCAAGACCGTCCTGCCCAGCGTGTTCAGGCCCGCCAAGCTCATGACGCGGCTCGACCTCTCCCACAACCCCTTCTACTGCTCCTGCGACATGATGGCATTCCGCGACTGGCTCAGGCGGACCCCCATCATCGTGGTGGGCCTCAACTCAAACTCCAGCGCCTACGTCTGCCAAAACCCGCCGGAGCGTGCCGGCGTGCACGTGACCAGCTGGGACCCGCGTGAGTTTGAGTGCAACAGACAGATGATGTACGTCATCATCTTCAGCTCCATCGGGGTCTTCCTGCTGGTCGTGGCGGTCGTGGCCAGCACGGCCTACCGTTTTGTCATGCGCAGACGGCGGGCACGGCCGGCTTGGAGAAAAAACCTTCAAGTCAAGCTAGAGAAGGACTGGGGCCACTCCAGGGGCAAGCAGGACTTTGTCGCGGAGATTTTGGAGTCCCACGACCGCAATGGGCGGAAGTACGAAGTCCCCGACAGAACCCACGAGTACAGGGGCGCGCTCAGGCCGAGTGAGCAGGCGCGCATGGAGAGGGGCTACAGGAAGGAGGGTGAGCAGAGGTACTCACGAATGGACCCCGCCTACAGGAGGAGACCCAGCGACCACGCCCACAGCTGGGTGGGGCAGGGGCGTCTGGCGAGGCCCGGGCACGCTGAGCGGGCCGAGAGAGATGGCCGCAGGGAGAGCGATTACGTCAACGTGGGCGTGTACCCGCGTCACGTGACCGGGCCCATCGTGCTCGGCGACTACCCGCCGGAGAGGAGGCGAACCCAGGAGAGGGGACAGTACTACAGGCCGCCCTACGCCCCAGCCATCCTGCCTGGGCACTGGGACTACCAGGAGACGTGGGGCGGACCCAGGGGCTTCGACAGACCCAGACGGAGCGACTACTACTACACCCTACCTGCTCGGGGAAGTGAGGGCAGAGAAATGAGGTCAGCAGACTACCAACAGGAAGTGCATTTCGAGGAGTTTCCCAAGCGGCCGTCACGCATGAGTGGTGACCTTGGCATACCGCGATCCAAAAGTTCCAGCCTTCTGCCCCAGGAATTAGCAGACGACCTCAGCAAGAGGGAGCAGGCAGGGAGCGAACCCTACCAGCACAAGAAAGCCATCTCCCAACCATTCCTGCCGTCCAGCGGCGCGTCTGATTGGCTGTAAGAGCAGCGGCCGAGCGCCCGTAAGATCACGTGACACACTTTGTTGATGGATGTGAAATATCTAACGGCCAGAGAGCTTGACTCATCAGTGACCCAATGTGTAAGATATTATCGTAAACAATCAGTAGGAAATATTCGCTCAGCACAAGTAGGAAGTTAAATCAGAAAAAATGGGGGATATGCTCTCAAGTTTAAGTTGAGAATAACAATTTCCACTAGGACATTCTCTTACAGGTTAACACAATCTCAATTTGGTTAAAGCAGGACAAAGGTTATAGGGTCAAGGCTGGACAAAGGTTACAGTGTCAAGGCTGGACAAAGTTTATAGGGTCAAGGCTGGATAAAGGTTATAGGGTCAAGGCTGGATAAAGGTTATAGGGTCAAGGTTGGACAAAGGTTAAGGGTCAAGGCTGGACAAAGGTTACAGTGTCAAGGCTGGACAAAGGTTATAGGGTCAAGGCTGGATAAAGGTTATAGGGTCAAGGTTGGACAAAGATTAAGGGTCAAGGCTGGACAAAGGTTACAGTGTCAAGGCTGGACAAAGGTTATATGGTCAAGGCTGGACAAAGGTTATAGGGTCAAGGCTGGACAAAGGTTATAGGGTCAAGGCTGGACAAAGGTTATAGGGTCAAGGCTGGACAAAGGTTATAGGGTCAAGGCTGGACAAAGGTTATAGGGTCAAGGTTGGACAAATGTTATAGGGTCAAGGCTGAACAAAGGTTATAGGGTCAAGGCTGGACAAAGGTTATAGGGTCAAGGCTGGACAAAGGTTAAGGGTCAAGGCTGGACAAAGGTTGTAGAGTCCAAAAGGCTGCACTATTCGTGTCAAATGTACAAGTCAAGATGAAATCTTGAAAATTGTGAAAAGAAAAATTGTTTGGTAGTTTACATGACTGGCTGGACCACACGACATACCACATGACATACCACACGACTTACCACACGACTGCCTGGAGATACAGCACAAGTTCTCAGAATGTCCTCCAGTTCTTTGTTGGATAAATGTTGCTGCAACATTATAAGACAGGTCAGACATACAACAAAATCTTGGTGCAACATTACAAGACAGGTCAGACATACAACAAAATCTTGGTGCAACATTACAAGACAGGTCAGACATACAACAAAATCTTGGTGCAACATTACAAGACAGGTCAGACATACAACAAAATCTTGGTGCAACATTACAAGACAGGTCAGACATACAACAAAATCTTGCTGCAACATTACAAGACAGGTCAGACATACAACAAAATCTTGGTGCAACATTACAAGACAGGTCAGACATACAACAAAATCTTGGTGCAACATTACAAGACAGGTCAGACATACAACAAAATCTTGGTTTAGTTGATTGGTTGAGTTGCTGCAACATTACAAGACAGGTCAGACATACAACAAAATCTTGGTTGAGTTGGATGGTTGAGTTGGATCAATCATTCAATTTGACCAGCCAAAGCCAATTAGCATGGTATAAAATGATTTGCTTCCAACACATCAATTTCAGCCAAACTATCTAGCAACAATATGCATGTATTTTAATTACTGTAACACATCAATTTCATCCAAACTATCTAGTCAGCTTGTAAAGGCGTACATGTACGGATGGAGGTTTGTTAAGGCATGCTATGATGTACAGAGATGTGATGTAATGTCTGTAAGAAAACATTGGCTAGACTCCAACAGGTCTAAGCTGATCACTGTGACCATGAATTAAAAGTTATAAAACATCCTGGGCCAAGGCTTGACATTTTCTTTGTTTACATCTTGTTGGTTCAGGTCTTCACATCCCTGTGTTTTATTCTCATTCCTCTTGTTGTTTTTGTAATCCCCCCCCCCCCCCCCCCCACATAACCTGTTCAGTTTTGTGACTGTCTGTGTTGGCAGGCCCCTGTTGGCAGGCACCTGTTGGCAGGCCCCTGTTGGCAGGCCCCTGTTGGCAGGCCCCTGTTGGCAGGCCCCTGTTGGCAGGCCCCTGTTGGCAGGCACCTGTTGGCAGGCCCCTGTTGGCAGGCACCTGTTGGCAGGCCCCTGTTGGCAGGCACCTGTTGCTGGGAGCTGGGCCTGATGACCTCATCCACTGGATCAGCTGATGACCTCATCCACTGGATCAGTTGATGACCTCATCCACTGGATCAGTTGATGACCTCATCCACTGGATCAGTTGATGACCTCATCCACTGGATCAGCTGATGACCTCATCCACTGGATCAGCTGATGACCTCATCCACTGGATCAGCTGATCACTCAAGTGGAGCCACACAAGAGAGAAACTTCTCAGGAAATCATTCATCCATGACTACCAGCTGCCAGGACAAACCAGCCCACGCCTGGCTGGAATGTTCTAGAACTAAACCTTCCATGTTTTCTCTACAGATCAGCTTTTGGCCACCTTGTGGTCTACAGATCAGCTTTTGGCCACCTTGTTTTCTCTACAGATCAGCTTTTGGCCACCTTGTGGTCTACAGATCAGCTTTTGGCCACCTTGTGGTCTACAGATCAGCTTTTGGCCACCTTGTGGTCTATAGATCAGCTTTTGGCCACCTTGTGGTCTATAGATCAGCTTTTGGCCACCTTGTGGTCTACAGATCAGCTTTTGGCCACCTTGTGGTCTATAGATCAGCTTTTGGCCACCTTGTGGTCTATAGATCAGCTTTTGGCCACCTTGTGGTCTACAGATCAGCTTTTGGCCACCTTGTGGTCTACAGATCAGCTTTTGGCCACCTTGTGGTCTATAGATCAGCTTTTGGCCACCTTGTGGTCTACAGATCAGCTTTTGGCCACCTTGTGGTCTACAGATCAGCTTTTGGCCACCTTGTGGTCTATAGATCAGCTTTTGGCCACCTTGTGGTCTATAGATCAGCTTTTGGCCACCTTGTGGTCTACAGATCAGCTTTTGGCCACCTTGTGGTCTACAGATCAGCTTTTGGCCACCTTGTGGTCTACAGATCAGCTTTTGGCCACCTTGTGGTCTATAGATCAGCTTTTGGCCACCTTGTGGTCTACAGATCAGCTTTTGGCCACCTTGTGGTCTACAGATCAGCTTTTGGCCACCTTGTGGTCTATAGATCAGCTTTTGGCCACCTTGTGGTCTACAGATCAGCTTTTGGCCACCTTGTGGTCTACAGATCAGCTTTTGGCCACCTTGTGGTCTATAGATCAGCTTTTGGCCACCTTGTGGTCTATAGATCAGCTTTTGGCCACCTTGTGGTCTACAGATCAGCTTTTGGCCACCTTGTGGTCTATAGATCAGCTTTTGGCCACCTTGTGGTCTACAGATCAGCTTTTGGCCACCTTGTGGTCTATAGATCAGCTTTTGGCCACCTTGTGGTCTACAGATCAGCTTTTGGCCACCTTGTGGTCTATAGATCAGCTTTTGGCCACCTTGTGGTCTACAGATCAGCTTTTGGCCACCTTGTGGTCTATAGATCAGCTTTCGGCCACCTTGTGGTCTATAGCAATGTTTCAACAATGTGATGGGAAGCTTCTCAAAGGTTATCAGTTCAAATCCAGAGGTATCTAATGAGTACACAGCATCAATTGTTTTTTAGCTGTGACCTAACAAACAAGTGTGTGACCTATGACCCTAACAAGTGTGTGACCTATGACCTAACAAGTGTGTGACCTATGACCTACCAAGTGTGTGACCTACAACCTAACAGACAAGTGTGTGACCTATGACCTAACAAGTGTGTGACCTATGACCTAAAAGACAAGTGTGTGACCTATGACCCACCAAGTGTGTGACCTATGACCTAACAAGTGTGTGACCTATGACCTAACAGACAAGTGTGTGACCTATGACCTAACAGACAAGTGAGTGACCTATGACCTAACAAGTGTGTGACCTATGACCTAAAAGACAAGTGTGTGACCTATGACCCACCAAGTGTGTGACCTATGACCTAACAAGTGTGTGACCTATGACCTAACAGACAAGTGTGTGACCTATGACCTAACAGACAAGTGAGTGACCTATGACCTACTAAGTGTGTGACCTATGACACTAAAAACAAATGTGTGACCTATGACCTAATAAACAAATGAGTGAGCTATGACCTACACAAGCCTCTGGTACTCTGAGTGCCTGGAGTGTTGAGCCGTCAGTGCTGAGAAAGTCTTGAAAAACTGCAGGGGGCGCAGGCAGGAGAGTAGAGGTCAGCTGCTGGATCTGGTGATACAGACATACAGACAAACACTTCAACAACTGGATCTGGTGATACAGACATACAGACAAACACTTCAACAACTGGATCTGGTGATACAGACATACAGACAAACACTTCAACAACTGGATCTGGTGATACAGACATACAGACAAACACTTCAACAACTGGATCTGGTGATACAGACATTCAGACAAACACTTCAACAACTGGCTCTGGTGATACAGACATACAGACAAACACTTCAACAACTGGATCTGGTGATACAGACATACAGACAAACACTTCAACAACTGGATCTGGTGATACAGACATACAGACAAACACTTCAACAACTGGATCTGGTGATACAGACATACAGACAAACACTTCAACAACTGGCTCTGGTGATACAGACATACAGACAAACACTTCAACAACTGGATCTGGTGATACAGACATACAGACAAACACTTCAACAACTGGCTCTGGTGATACAGACATACAGACAAACACTTCAACAACTGGATCTGGTGATACAGACATACAGACAAACACTTCAACAACTGGATCTGGTGATACAGACATACAGACAAACACTTCAACAACTGGATCTGGTGATACAGACATGGATCTGGTGATACAGACATACAGACAAACACTTCAACAACTGGATCTGGTGATACAGACATACAGACATACAGACAAACACTTCAACAACTGGATCTGGTGATACAGACATACAGACAAACACTTCAACAACTGGATCTGGTGATACAGACATACAGACAAACACTTCAACAACTGGATCTGGTGATACAGACATACAGACAAACACTTCAACAACTGGATCTGGTGATACAGACATATAGACAAACACTTCAACAACTGGAGCACACAGCTACTGTTGATGTGATGGAGATGTTTTCATTTGAATGACCCATGCTATCATGTCATGTCACCCCTGCCCACATGTCATGTCACCCCTACCCACATGTCATGTCACCACTGCCCACATGTCATGTCTTAATGACTCATGTCATGTGACCTACCTTCCAATCAAGTCTTAGGTCAGGCTTGTCGCAACCATAAAAGGTCATGGCCTCCTGATAGGCCATCTTGGGAAAAGGGGCGGCCACTTGTCCACACTCCTCTGGCCAAGTGGCCTGCAACAACTGCTCCACCAGGCTGATGACAGCTTCTTGTGTCACAAATGACATCTCCAGGTCAATCTGCACAGAGCAGCCGCCACATTTGTACAAATCCTAGTCAAGTTACAAAACCCCTCCCTCTACCAGCTAGAGCCTACCCCCCCCCCCCCACTGCTCCTATTACAGGTTGCCTACATCAACCTCCTCTACACCAGCCACTATCTAAATCTGCTACCTGTACAACCACCTGTGCGACCCACCTGTAGCTACCTGTACAACCCACCTGTGTGACCCACCTGTAGCTACCTGTACAACCCACCTGTACAACCACCTGTGTGACCCACCTGTAGCTACCTGTACAACCCACCTGTGTGACCCACCTGTAGCTACCTGTACAACCCACCTGTGTGACCCACCTGTAGCTACCTGTACAACCCACCTGTACAACCACCTGTGTGACCCACCTGTAGCTACCTGTACAACCCACCTGTGTATTTCACCTGTACAACCCACCTGTACAACCCACCTGTGTGACCCACCTGTAGCTACCTGTACAACCCACCTGTGTAATTCACCTGTAGCTACCCGTACAACCCACCTGTGTGACCCACCTGTAGCTACCTGTACAACCCACCTGTGTGACCCAACTGTAGCTACCTGTACAACCTACCTGTGTGACCCACCTGTAGCTACCTGTACAACCCACCTGTGTGACCCACCTGTAGCTACCTGTACAACCTACCTGTGTGACCCACCTGTAGCTACCTGTACAACCCACCTGTGTGACCCACCTGTAGCTACCTGTACAACCCACCTGTACAACCACCTGTGTGACCCACCTGTAGCTACCTGTACAATCCACCTGTGTATTTCACCTGTACAACCCACCTGTACAACCCACCTGTGTGACCCACCTGTAGCTACCTGTACAACCCACCTGTGTATTTCACCTGTACAACCCACCTGTACAACCCACCTGTGTGACCCACCTGTAGCTACCTGTACAACCCACCTGTGTGACCCACCTGTAGCTACCTGTACAACCACCTGTGTAATTCACCTGTAGCTACCTGTACAACCCACCTGTGTGACCCACCTGTAGCTACCTGTACAACCCACCTGTGTGACCCACCTGTAGCTACCTGTACAACCTACCTGTGTGACCCACCTGTAGCTACCTGTACAACCCACCTGTGTGACCCACCTGTAGCTACCTGTACAACCCACCTGTGTAATTCACCTGTAGCTACCTGTACAACCCACCTGTGTGACCCACCTGTAGCTACCTGTAAAACCCACCTGTGTGACCCACCTGTAGCTACCTGTACAACCTACCTGTGTGACCCACCTGTAGCTACCTGTACAACCCACCTGTGTGACCCACCTGTAGCTACCTGTACAACCTACCTGTGTGACCCACCTGTAGCTACCTGTACAACCCACCTGTGTGACCCACCTGTAGCTACCTGTACAACCCACCTGTACAACCACCTGTGTGACCCACCTGTAGCTACCTGTACAATCCACCTGTGTATTTCACCTGTACAACCCACCTGTACAACCCACCTGTGTGACCCACCTGTAGCTACCTGTACAACCCACCTGTGTATTTCACCTGTACAACCCACCTGTACAACCCACCTGTGTGACCCACCTGTAGCTACCTGTACAACCCACCTGTGTGACCCACCTGTAGCTACCTGTACAACCCACCTGTGTGACCCACCTGTAGCTACCTGTACAACCTACCTGTGTGACCCACCTGTAGCTACCTGTACAACCCACCTGTAGCTACCTGTACAACCTACCTGTGTGACCCACCTGTAGCTACCTGTACAACCCACCTGTGTGACCCACCTGTAGCTACCTGTACAACCCACCTGTACAACCACCTGTGTGACCCACCTGTAGCTACCTGTACAATCCACCTGTGTATTTCACCTGTACAACCCACCTGTGTGGCCCACCTGTAGCTACCTGTACAATCCACCTGTGTAATTCACCTGTAGCTACCTGTACAACCCACCTGTGTGACCCACCTGTAGCTACCTGTACAACCCACCTGTGTGACCCACCTGTAGCTACCTGTACAACCCACCTGTGTGACCCACCTGTAGCTACCTGTACAACCCACCTGTGTAATTCACCTGTAGCTACCTGTACAACCCACCTGTGTGACCCACCTGTAGCTACCTGTACAACCCACCTGTAGTTACCTGTACAACCCACCTGTACAACCCACCTGTGTGACCCACCTGTAGCTACCTGTACAATCCACCTGTGTATTTCACCTGTACAACCCACCTGTACAACCCACCTGTGTGACCCACCTGTAGCTACCTGTACAACCCACCTGTGTATTTCACCTGTACAACCCACCTGTGTGACCCACCTGTAGCTACCTGTACAACCCACCTGTGTGACCCACCTGTAGCTACCTGTACAACCCACCTGTGTGACCCACCTGTAGCTACCTGTACAACCCACCTGTACAACCTACCTGTGTGACCCACCTGTAGCTACCTGTACAACCCACCTGTGTGACCCACCTGTAGCTACCTGTACAATCCACCTGTAGCTACCTGTACAACCACCTGTGTGACCCACCTGTAGCTACCTGTACAATCCACCTGTGTAATTCACCTGTAGCTACCTGTACAACCACCTGTGTGACCCACCTGTAGCTACCTGTACAATCCACCTGTGTAATTCACCTGTAGCTACCTGTACAACCCACCTGTACAACCTACCTGTGTGACCCACCTGTAGCTACCTGTACAACCCACCTGTGTGACCCACCTGTAGCTACCTGTACAATCCACCTGTGTAATTCACCTGTAGCTACCTGTACAACCCACCTGTGTGACCCACCTGTAGCTACCTTTGTGACCCACCTGTGACCTAGAAATGGCCTATAAATAGCCTACCTGCGTAAACTCTGGCTGCCTGTCAGGCTTGGTTCCCTCATCTCTGTAACATCGAGCAATCTGGAAGTAACGGTCCAGCCCTCCCACCATCAGCAACTGTTTGAACTGGACACAACAAATCTATTACAGCCCTCCCACCATCAGCAACTGGACACAACAAATCTATTACAGCCCTCCCACCACTGGACACAACAAATCTATTACAGCCCTCCCACCATCAGCAACTGGACACAACAAATCTATTACAGCCCTCCCACCATCAGCAACTGGACACAACAAATCTATTACAGCCCTCCCACCACTGGACACAACAAATCTATTACAGCCCTCCCACCATCAGCAACTGGACACAACAAATCTATTACAGTCCTCCCACCACTGGACACAACAAATCTATTACAGTCCTCCCACCATCAGCAACTGGACACAACAAATCTATTACAGCCCTCCCACCACTGGACACAACAAATCTATTACAGTCCTCCCACCATCAGCAACTGGACACAACAAATCTATTACAGCCCTCCCACCATCAGCAACTGGACACAACAAATCTATTACAGCCCTCCCACCATCAGCAACTGGACACAACAAATCTATTACAGCCCTCCCACCACTGGACACAACAAATCTATTACAGCCCTCCCACCATCAGCAACTGGACACAACAAATCTATTACAGCCCTCCCACCATCAGCAACTGTTTGAACTGGACACAACAAATCTATTACAGTCCTCCCACCATCAGCAACTGGACACAACAAATCTATTACAGCCCTCCCACCATCAGCAACTGGACACAACAAATCTATTACAGCCCTCCCACCATCAGCAACTGGACACAACAAATCTATTACAGCCCTCCCACCATCAGCAACTGGACACAACAAATCTATTACAGCCCTCCCACCATCAGCAACTGGACACAACAAATCTATTACAGCCCTCCCACCATCAGCAACTGGACACAACAAATCTATTACAGCCCTCCCACAACTGGACACAACAAATCTATTACAGCCCTCCCACAACTGGACACAACAAATCTATTACAGCCCTCCCACCATCAGCAACTGGACACAAGAAATCTATTACAGCCCTCCCACCATCAGCAACTGGACACAACAAATCTATTACAGCCCTCCCACCATCAGCAACTGGACACAACAAATCTATTACAGCCCTCCCACAATCAGCAACTGGACACAACAAATCTATTACAGCCCTCCCACCATCAGCAACTGGACACAACAAATCTATTACAGCCCTCCCACCACTGGACACAACAAATCTATTACAGCCCTCCCACCATCAGCAACTGGACACAACAAATCTATTACAGCCCTCCCACCATCAGCAACTGGACACAACAAATCTATTACAGCCCTCCCACCATCAGCAACTGGACACAACAAATCTATTACAGCCCTCCCACCATCAGCAACTGGACACAACAAATCTATTACAGCCCTCCCACCATCAGCAACTGGACACAACAAATCTATTACAGCCCTCCCACCATCAGCAACTGTTTAAACTGGACACAACAAATCTATTACAGCCCTCCCACCATCAGCAACTGGACACAACAAATCTATTACAGCCCTCCCACCACTGGACACAACAAATCTATTACAGCCCTCCCACCATCAGCAACTGGACACAACAAATCTATTACAGCCCTCCCACCATCAGCAACTGGACACAACAAATCTATTACAGCCCTCCCACCATCAGCAACTGGACACAACAAATCTATTACAGCCCTCCCACCATCAGCAACTGGACACAACAAATCTATTACAGCCCTCCCACCATCAGCAACTGGACACAACAAATCTATTACAGCCCTCCCACCATCAGCAACTGGACACAACAAATCTATTACAGCCCTCCCACCATCAGCAACTGGACACAACAAATCTATTACAGCCCTCCCACCATCAGCAACTGGACACAACAAATCTATTACAGCCCTCCCACCATCAGCAACTGGACACAACAAATCTATTACAGCCCTCCCACCATCAGCAACTGGACACAACAAATCTATTACAGCCCTCCCACCATCAGCAACTGGACACAACAAATCTATTACAGCCCTCCAACCATCAGCAACTGGACACAACAAATCTATTACAGCCCTCCCACCACTGGACACAACAAATCTATTACAGCCCTCCCACCATCAGCAACTGGACACAACAAATCTATTACAGCCCTCCAACCATCAGCAACTGGACACAACAAATCTATTACAGCCCTCCAACCATCAGCAACTGGACACAACAAATCTATTACAGCCCTCCCACCACTGGACACAACAAATCTATTACAGCCCTCCCACCATCAGCAACTGGACACAACAAATCTATTACAGCCCTCCAACCATCAGCAACTGGACACAACAAATCTATTACAGCCCTCCCACCATCAGCAACTGGACACAACAAATCTATTACAGCCCTCCCACCACTGGACACAACAAATCTATTACAGCCCTCCCACCACTGGACACAACAAATCTATTACAGCCCTCCCACCATCAGCAACTGGACACAACAAATCTATTACAGCCCTCCCACCATCAGCAACTGGACACAACAAATCTATTACAGCCCTCCCACCATCAGCAACTGGACACAACAAATCTATTACAGCCCTCCCACCATCAGCAACTGTTTGAACTGGACACAACAAATCTATTACAGCCCTCCCACCATCAGCAACTGGACACAACAAATCTATTACAGCCCTCCCACCATCAGCAACTGGACACAACAAATCTATTACAGCCCTCCCACCATCAGCAACTGTTTGAACTGGACACAACAAATCTATTACAGCCCTCCCACCACTGGACACAACAAATCTATTACAGCCCTCCCACCATCAGCAACTGGACACAACAAATCTATTACAGCCCTCCCACCACTGGACACAACAAATCTATTACAGCCCTCCCACCATCAGCAACTGGACACAACAAATCTATTACAGCCCTCCCACCATCAGCAACTGGACACAACAAATCTATTACAGCCCTCCCACCATCAGCAACTGGACACAACAAATCTATTACAGCCCTCCCACCACTGGACACAACAAATCTATTACAGCCCTCCCACCATCAGCAACTGGACACAACAAATCTATTACAGCCCTCCCACCATCAGCAACTGGACACAACAAATCTATTACAGCCCTCCCACCACTGGACACAACAAATCTATTACAGCCCTCCCACCATCAGCAACTGGACACAACAAATCTATTACAGCCCTCCCACCATCAGCAACTGGACACAACAAATCTATTACAGCCCTCCCACCACTGGACACAACAAATCTATTACAGCCCTCCCACCATCAGCAACTGGACACAACAAATCTATTACAGCCCTCCAACCATCAGCAACTGGACACAACAAATCTATTACAGCCCTCCCACCACTGGACACAACAAATCTATTACAGCCCTCCCACCATCAGCAACTGGACACAACAAATCTATTACAGCCCTCCAACCATCAGCAACTGGACACAACAAATCTATTACAGCCCTCCAACCATCAGCAACTGGACACAACAAATCTATTACAGCCCTCCCACCATCAGCAACTGGACACAACAAATCTATTACAGCCCTCCCACCACTGGACACAACAAATCTATTACAGCCCTCCCACCATCAGCAACTGGACACAACAAATCTATTACAGCTCTCCCACCATCAGCAACTGGACACAACAAATCTATTACAGCCCTCCCACCATCAGCAACTGGACACAACAAATCTATTACAGCCCTCCCACCACTGGACACAACAAATCTATTACAGCCCTCCCACCATCAGCAACTGGACACAACAAATCTATTACAGCCCTCCCACCATCAGCAACTGGACACAACAAATCTATTACAGCCCTCCCACCACTGGACACAACAAATCTATTACAGCTGACTAAAGACTTACCTGCTGTGGTGACTGGGGAAGGCTGTAAAACTTGCCAGGGCTGCTTGTTGGGACGATGAACTCACGCGCCCCCTAAATCATCAGCCAACAGACATGTAGAAAAACAAGGAGAGACATTTGAATTTGAGGCCCACCATCAACACCACTAAACAAAATCTTTATAAAGCAAGAAGACAGACACAAAGATACTAACCCTAACCCTAACCCACCATCAACCACTAAACAAACCAAGCAAGAAGACAGACACAAAGATACTAACCCTAACCCTAACCCACCATCAACCACTAAACAAACCAAGCAAGAAGACAGACACAAAGATACTAATCCTAACCCTAACCCACCATCAAACCACTAAACAAACCAAGCAAAAGACAGACACAAAGATACTAACCCTAACCCTAACCCACCATCAACCACTCAACAAACCAAGCAAGAAGACAGACACAAAGATACTAACCCTAACCCTAACCCACCATCAAACCACTAAACAAACCAAGCAAAAGACAGACACAAAGATACTAACCCTAACCCTAACCCACCATCAACCACTCAACAAACCAAGCAAGAAGACAGACACAAAGATACTAACCCTAACCCTAACCCACCATCAACCACTAAACAAACCAAACAAGAAGACAGACACAAAGATACTAACCCTAACCCTAACCCTAACCCACCATCAACCACTAAACAAACCAAACAAGAAGACAGACACAAAGATACTAACCCTAACCCTAACCCACCATCAACCACTAAACAAACCAAGCAAAAGACAGACACAAAGATACTAACCCTAACCCTAACCCACCATCAACCACTCAACAAACCAAGCAAGAAGACAGACACAAAGATACTAACCCTAACCCTAACCCACCATCAACCACTAAACAAACCAAACAAGAAGACAGACACAAAGATACTAACCCTAACCCTAACCCACCATCAACCACTCAACAAACCAAGCAAGAAGACAGACACAAAGATACTAACCCTAACCCTAACCCACCATCAACCACTAAACAAACCAAGCAAAAGACAGACACAAAGATACTAACCCTAACCCTAACCCACCATCAACCACTCAACAAACCAAGCAAGAAGACAGACACAAAGATACTAACCCTAACCCTAACCCTAACCCACCATCAACCACTAAACAAACCAAGCAAGAAGACAGACACAAAGATACTAACCCTAACCCTAACCCTAACCCACCATCAACCACTAAACAAACCAAACAAGAAGACAGACACAAAGATACTAACCCTAACCCTAACCCTAACCCACCATCAACCACTAAACAAACCAAACAAGAAGACAGACACAAAGATACTAACCCTAACCCTAACCCACCATCAACCACTCAACAAACCAAGCAAGAAGACAGACACAAAGATACTAACCCTAACCCTAACCCTAACCCACCATCAACCACTAAACAAACCAAACAAGAAGACAGACACAAAGATACTAACCCTAACCCTAACCCTAACCCACCATCAACCACTAAACAAACCAAACAAGAAGACAGACACAAAGATACTAACCCTAACCCTAACCCTAACCCACCATCAACCACTAAACAAACCAAACAAGAAGACAGACACAAAGATACTAACCCTAACCCTAACCCTAACCCACCATCAACCACTAAACAAACCAAACAAGAAGACAGACACAAAGATACTAACCCTAACCCTAACCCACCATCAACCACTCAACAAACCAAGCAAGAAGACAGACACAAAGATACTAACCCTAACCCTAACCCTAACCCACCATCAACCACTAAACAAACCAAACAAGAAGACAGACACAAAGATACTAACCCTAACCCTAACCCTAACCCACCATCAACCACTAAACAAACCAAACAAGAAGACAGACACAAAGATACTAACCCTAACCCTAACCCACCATCAACCACTCAACAAACCAAGCAAGAAGACAGACACAAAGATACTAACCCTAACCCTAACCCACCATCAACCACTAAACAAACCAAACAAGAAGACAGACACAAAGATACTAACCCTAACCCTAACCCACCATCAAACCACTAAACAAACCAAGCAAGAAGACAGACAGACAGACTCACCCCTGGGGTGCGCTTAAAAAGTGTTGGTGTTTCAACTTCAACAAATCCTGCAATCAAAGGAATAAAAGAGTTGTATATCAAAGCTTGGGGCAGGTCAAAACATTGGATAACATACTCAAACAATTCCAAAATCTTCATCAGATCAAAACATTGGATAACATACTCAAACAATTCCAAAATCTTCATCATCTCATCCTATCTTTAGACTAAAGTGGTTCTAATTGGAAGAAATGGCTCCAGTAAGTCTAAAACTGACTGGATCCAACAACATAGACTGGTTACTATGGTTACCATTGCCATTTGCCAGGAAATCTCGAACTGACATGACAAACTTGGACCTGAGTCTTAGAACTTTCTGCAAGTTTTGGAGCCGCAGTTCCAGATATCTGTGTTTTATCCTCAGCGACTCTTTGACCTAAATTTTGGAAGAAAACTGATGAGTACACTGGAGTAGAGTTTTCTTTAGAGGTTGCTCCTGAATCAGACAATTTATCTGGCCACAAAGTCTTGTTTATCATTTTCCCCCCTTGGCATGCACTAGTTAAATACCATTGAGTATTGAGAAGGTTGTCCAAAGGAAAATGTCTTACCTTATTCAAATTTTGCAGTTCAAAAGGTAAATGTCTTACCTTATTCAAATTTTGCACTTCAAAAGGTAAATGTCTTACCTTATTCAAATTTTGCACTTCAAAAGGTAAATGTCTTACCTTATTCAAATTTTGCACTTCAAAAGGTAAATGTCTTACCTTATTCAAATTTTGCACTTCAAAAGGTAAATGTCTTACCTTATTCAAATTTTGCACTTCAAAAGGTAAATGTCTTACCTTATTCAAATTTTGCACTTCAAAAGGTAAATGTCTTACCTTATTCAAATTTTGCACTTCAAAAGGTAAATGTCTTACCTTATTCAAATTTTGCACTTCAAAAGGTAAATGTCTTACCTTATTAAAATTTTGCACTTCAAAAGGTAAATGTCATACCTTATTCAAATTTTGCACTTCAAAAGGAAAATGTCTTACCTTATTCAAATTTTGCACTTCAAAAGGTAAATGTCTTACCTTATTAAAATTTTGCACTTCAAAAGGTAAATGTCATACCTTATTCAAATTTTGCACTTCAAAAGGAAAATGTCTTACCTTATTAAAATTTTGCACTTCAAAAGGTAAATGTCTTACCTTATTAAAATTTTGCACTTCAAAAGGTAAATGTCTTACCTTATTAAAATTTTGCACTTCAAAAGGTAAATGTCTTACCTTATTAAAATTTTGCACTTCAAAGGGTAAATGTCTTGCCTTATTAAAATTTTGCACTTCAAAAGGTAAATGTCTTACCTTATTCAAATTTTGCACTTCAAAAGGTAAATGTCTTACCTTATTCAAATTTTGCACTTCAAAAGGTAAATGTCTTACCTTATTCAAATTTTGCACTTCAAAAGGTAAATGTCTTACCTTATTCAAATTTTGCACTTCAAAAGGTAAATGTCTTACCTTATTCAAATTTTGCACTTCAAAAGGTAAATGTCTTACCTGATTCAAATTTTGCACTTCAAAAGGTAAATGTCTTACCTTATTAAAATTTTGCACTTCAAAAGGTAAATGTCTTACCTTATTAAAATTTTGCACTTCAAAAGGTAAATGTCATACCTTATTCAAATTTTGCACTTCAAAAGGAAAATGTCTTACCTTATTCAAATTTTGCACTTCAAAAGGTAAATGTCTTACCTTATTAAAATTTTGCACTTCAAAAGGTAAATGTCATACCTTATTCAAATTTTGCACTTCAAAAGGAAAATGTCTTACCTTATTAAAATTTTGCACTTCAAAAGGTAAATGTCTTACCTTATTAAAATTTTGCACTTCAAAAGGAAAATGTCATACCTTATTCAAATTTTGCACTTCAAAAGGTAAATGTCTTACCTTATTAAAATTTTGCACTTCAAAAGGTAAATGTCTTACCTTATTAAAATTTTGCACTTCAAAAGGTAAATGTCATACCTTATTAAAATTTTGCACTTCAAAAGATAAATGTCTTACCTTATTAAAATTTTGCACTTCAAAAGGAAAATGTCTTACCTTATTAAAATTTTGCACTTCAAAAGGTAAATGTCTTACCTTATTAAAATTTTGCACTTCAAAGGGTAAATGTCTTGCCTTATTAAAATTTTGCACTTCAAAAGGTAAATGTCTTACCTTATTAAAATTTTGCACTTCAAAAGGTAAATGTCATACCTTATTCAAATTTTGCACTTCAAAAGGTAAATGTCTTACCTTATTAAAATTTTGCACTTCAAAAGGTAAATGTCTTACCTTATTAAAATTTTGCACTTCAAAAGGAAATGTCTTACCTTATTAAAATTTTGCACTTCAAAAGGTAAATGTCTTACCTTATTAAAATTTCGCACTTCCAAAGGAAAATGTCTTACCTTATTAAAATTTTGCACTTCAAAAGGTAAATGTCTTACCTTATTAAAATTTTGCACTTCCAAAGGAAAATGTCTTACCTTATTCAAATTTTGCACTTCAAAAGGTAAATGTCTTACCTTATTAAAATTTTGCACTTCCAAAGGAAAATGTCTTACCTTATTAAAATTTTGCACTTCAAAAGGTAAATGTCATACCTTATTAAAATTTTGCACTTCAAAAGGTAAATGTCATACCTTATTAAAATTTTGCACTTCAAAAGGTAAATGTCTTACCTTATTAAAATTTTGCACTTCAAAAAGTAAATGTCTTACCTTATTAAAATTTTGCACTTCAAAAGGTAAATGTCTTACCTTATTAAAATTTTGCACTTCAAAAGGTAAATGTCATACCTTATTAAAATTTTGCACTTCAAAAGGTAAATGTCTTACCTTATTAAAATTTTGCACTTCAAAAGGTAAATGTCATACCTTATTAAAATTTTGCACTTCAAAAGGTAAATGTCTTACCTTATTAAAATTTTGCACTTCAAAAGGTAAATGTCTTACCTTATTAAAATTTTGCACTTCAAAAGGTAAATGTCTTACCTTATTAAAATTTTGCACTTCAAAAGGTAAATGTCATACCTTATTAAAATTTTGCACTTCAAAAGGTAAATGTCTTACCTTATTAAAATTTTGCACTTCAAAAGGTAAATGTCTTACCTTATTAAAATTTTGCACTTCAAAAGGTAAATGTCATACCTTATTAAAGTTTTGCACTTCAAAAGATAAATGTCATACCTTATTAAAATTTTGCACTTCAAAAGGTAAATGTCTTACCTTATTAAAATTTTGCACTTCAAAAGGTAAATGTCATACCTTATTAAAATTTTGCACTTCAAAAGATAAATGTCTTACCTTATTAAAATTTTGCACTTCAAAAGGAAAATGTCTTACCTTATTAAAATTTTGCACTTCAAAAGGTAAATGTCTTACCTTATTAAAATTTTGCACTTCAAAGGGTAAATGTCTTGCCTTATTAAAATTTTGCACTTCAAAAGGTAAATGTCTTACCTTATTAAAATTTTGCACTTCAAAAGGTAAATGTCTTACCTTATTAAAATTTTGCACTTCAAAAGATAAATGTCTTACCTTATTAAAATTTTGCACTTCAAAAGGTAAATGTCTTACCTTATTAAAATTTTGCACTTCAAAAGGAAATGTCTTACCTTATTAAAATTTTGCACTTCAAAAGGTAAATGTCTTACCTTATTAAAATTTCGCACTTCCAAAGGAAAATGTCTTACCTTATTAAAATTTTGCACTTCAAAAGGTAAATGTCTTACCTTATTAAAATTTTGCACTTCCAAAGGAAAATGTCTTACCTTATTCAAATTTTGCACTTCAAAAGGTAAATGTCTTACCTTATTAAAATTTTGCACTTCAAAAGGTAAATGTCTTACCTTATTAAAATTTTGCACTTCAAAAGGAAATGTCTTACCTTATTAAAATTTTGCACTTCAAAAGGTAAATGTCTTACCTTATTAAAATTTCGCACTTCCAAAGGAAAATGTCTTACCTTATTAAAATTTTGCACTTCAAAAGGTAAATGTCTTACCTTATTAAAATTTTGCACTTCCAAAGGAAAATGTCTTACCTTATTCAAATTTTGCACTTCAAAAGGTAAATGTCTTACCTTATTAAAATTTTGCACTTCAAAAGGTAAATGTCTTACCTTATTAAAATTTTGCACTTCAAAAGGTAAATGTCTTACCTTATTAAAATTTTGCACTTCAAAAGGTAAATGTCATACCTTATTAAATTTTTGCACTTCAAAAGGTAAATGTCTTACCTTATTAAAATTTTGCACTTCAAAAGGTAAATGTCTTACCTTATTAAAATTTTGCACTTCAAAAGGTAAATGTCTTACCTTATTAAAATTTTGCACTTCAAAAGGTAAATGTCATACCTTATTAAAATTTTGCACTTCAGAAGGTAAATGTCTTACCTTATTAAAATTTTGCACTTCAAAAGGTAAATGTCTTACCTTATTAAAATTTTGCACTTCAAAAGGTAAATGTCATACCTTATTAAAATTTTGCACTTCAAAAGGTAAATGTCTTACCTTATTAAAATTTTGCACTTCAAAAGGTAAATGTCATACCTTATTAAAATTTTGCACTTCAAAAGGAAAATGTCATACCTTATTAAAATTTTGCACTTCAAAAGGTAAATGTCTTACCTTATTAAAATTTTGCACTTCAAAAGGTAAATGTCATACCTTATTAAAATTTTGCACTTCAAAAGGTAAATGTCATACCTTATTAAAATTTTGCACTTCAAAAGATAAATGTCTTACCTTATTAAAATTTTGCACTTCAAAAGGTAAATGTCTTACCTTATTAAAATTTTGCACTTCAAAAGGTAAATGTCATACCTTATTAAAATTTTGCACTTCAAAAGATAAATGTCTTACCTTATTAAAATTTTGCACTTCAAAAGGAAAATGTCTTACCTTATTAAAATTTTGCACTTCAAAAGGTAAATGTCTTACCTTATTAAAATTTTGCACTTCAAAGGGTAAATGTCTTGCCTTATTAAAATTTTGCACTTCAAAAGGTAAATGTCTTACCTTATTAAAATTTTGCACTTCAAAAGGTAAATGTCATACCTTATTCAAATTTTGCACTTCAAAAGGTAAATGTCTTACCTTATTAAAATTTTGCACTTCAAAAGGTAAATGTCTTACCTTATTAAAATTTTGCACTTCAAAAGGAAATGTCTTACCTTATTAAAATTTTGCACTTCAAAAGGTAAATGTCTTACCTTATTAAAATTTCGCACTTCCAAAGGAAAATGTCTTACCTTATTAAAATTTTGCACTTCAAAAGGTAAATGTCTTACCTTATTAAAATTTTGCACTTCCAAAGGAAAATGTCTTACCTTATTCAAATTTTGCACTTCAAAAGGTAAATGTCTTACCTTATTAAAATTTTGCACTTCCAAAGGAAAATGTCTTACCTTATTAAAATTTTGCACTTCAAAAGGTAAATGTCATACCTTATTAAAATTTTGCACTTCAAAAGGTAAATGTCATACCTTATTAAAATTTTGCACTTCAAAAGGTAAATGTCTTACCTTATTAAAATTTTGCACTTCAAAAAGTAAATGTCTTACCTTATTAAAATTTTGCACTTCAAAAGGTAAATGTCTTACCTTATTAAAATTTTGCACTTCAAAAAATAAATGTCATACCTTATTAAAATTTTGCACTTCAAAAGGTAAATGTCTTACCTTATTAAAATTTTGCACTTCAAAAGGTAAATGTCTTACCTTATTAAAATTTTGCACTTCAAAAGATAAATGTCTTACCTTATTAAAATTTTGCACTTCAAAAGGTAAATGTCTTACCTTATTAAAATTTTGCACTTCAAAAGGTAAATGTCTTACCTTATTAAAATTTTGCACTTCAAAAGGTAAATGTCTTACCTTATTAAAATTTTGCACTTCAAAAGGTAAATGTCATACCTTATTAAAATTTTGCACTTCAAAAGGTAAATGTCTTACCTTATTAAAATTTTGCACTTCAAAAGGTAAATGTCTTACCTTATTAAAATTTTGCACTTCAAAAGGTAAATGTCATACCTTATTAAAATTTTGCACTTCAAAAGGTAAATGTCTTACCTTATTAAAATTTTGCACTTCAAAAGGTAAATGTCATACCTTATTAAAATTTTGCACTTCAAAAGGAAAATGTCATACCTTATTAAAATTTTGCACTTCAAAAGGTAAATGTCTTACCTTATTAAAATTTTGCACTTCAAAAGGTAAATGTCATACCTTATTAAAATTTTGCACCTCAAAAGGTAAATGTCTTACCTTATTAACATTTTGCACTTCAAAAGGTAAATGTCATACCTTATTAAAATTTTGCACCTCAAAAGGTAAATGTTTGGTACATGTGTTGAGCACTGAGATCTCTTGCACTTGAACCTCCACATCTCCTGTGGGCATGTCCTAGAGGGGAACATCCACATCATTCATGTCAGACACAGCTTAGATTCTGTCAGAGATTCTGTCAGAGGTTCTGTCAGAGGTTCTGTCACAGATTCTGTCAGAGGTTCTGTCAGAGATTCTGTCAGAGATTCTGTCAGAGATTCTGTCAGAGGTTCTGTCAGAGGTTCTGTCACAGATTCTGTCAAAGGTTCTGTCAGAGATTCTGTCAGAGATTCTGTCACAGATTCTGTCAGAGATTCTGTCAGAGATTCTGTCAGAGATTCTGTCAGAGAGCTAGGCGTTGCAATTAAATGTTGTATAATGTGTTTGTCAATTATGTAGACCCTACCTTATTTTCTTGTCCGCTTGGCCTTAGACAAACCTGACCTTTGACCTGAAGTACTGATTCAAGAGGTAGATCTTTGAACTCATGGACCTGTAAGACATTGAATGATTCAAGTTCTCACAACTACACAATTCTCTGCATCAACAAGTTCTCACAACAACACAATTCTCTGCATCAACAAGTTGTCACAACTACACAATTCTCTACATCAACAAGTTGTCACAACTACACAATTCTCTGCATCAACAAGTTGTCACAACTACACAATTCTCTACATCAACAAGTTGTCACAACTACACAATTCTCTGCATCAACAAGTTGTCACAACTACACAATTATCTGCATCAACAGGTTGTATCAACAGGCTCAGTAAAAGTGAAAGTGTCAAATGTTTACTTTACAACAGGCTCAGTGAAAGTGTCAAATGTTTACTTTACAACAGGCTCAGTGAAAGTGTCAAATGTTTACTTTACAACAGGCTCAGTGAAAGGGTCAAATGTTTACTTTACAACAGGCTCAGTGAAAGTGTCAAATGTTTGTTTACTTTACAACAGGCTCAGTGAAAGGGTCAAATGTTTACTTTACAACAGGCTCAGTGAAAGGGTCAAATGTTTACTTTACAACAGGCTCAGTGAACGTGTCAAATGTTTACTTTACAACAGGCTCAGTGAACGTGTTAAATGTTTACTTTACAACAGGCTCAGTGAAAGTGTCAAATGTTTACTTTACAACAGGCTCAGTGAAAGTGTCAAATGTTTACTTTACAACAGGCTCAGTGAAAGTGTCAAATGTTTACTTTACAACAGGCTCAGTGAAAGTGTCAAATGTTTACTTTACAACAGGCTCAGTGAAAGGGTCAAATGTTTACTTTAGTTTCTGGGATGACCAGCTGTATTGACCCAAGCCAGTCTCGCAGGACAATAAAAGCCCCACTCAGCCGGTGGAACTGCAGCCAGCCGCAGAGTGTCACGCTCTCCCCTACATGCTTGTCTCGCAGCTCTCCACACAGGTGGCTCCTCCTGGTGAAAGACGTGCAGTCACCTGCCAACAAAAAACATCTCAACAAAACACCACTTGAAACATTTTATCTGATTCAGGAAACACTATAGACTTTAAACATACAAGTTCTCAGGCACATCATCAACAACTTCAGTCAGTTTCTTTTAAAATACACCAAACATTTTCAAAAAAGCCTGGACTGGTCTCAGCTGTGTGACATACAAATGGCTGCCTGCACACCAGGTCACTTTCAATGAATCATAATACTATGGGAAGTTCAATGTAGCAAATTTGACACAGAAGTTGATTGTCAATGCTTAGGTTAAATGTAACTTCCAAATAAGAGTGTTACGACTATTTGAAGATGCATGAAGTAGGTCCATGTTTAAGGTAGGCACAGTTACTCTGTAGGCTATATACTATATAGTATAGGCCTCCAAATGCCAAATATCCTTTCGATTATGTTTTATTGCTGCATACCTCCACCCCACTGACCCTCCTTCCTTACAAACCTCCAAGGTTGTTTTCTGGTTGGAACCAGACCTACTCCCCACATTGAGATGCCATAACATGGGTACTGTTTTTGTAGTACATTGAGGATTGACCTATCCACACTGCTGACACTCAGTCTACAGTCTACAGTAACGGCAGTACACAACAACACACACCGTACACGGATTCTTTTTATTCCAGCATAACAAAAACTACTACACATTCTTCACTGAGTACTTAGTTGTAGTTTGTTGTCTACGCTATATAATGGTTTGTCCTCATAAAAAATAAACTCAGTAGGGGGCCTAAGAATTTTAATTTTATTACTTACTTAACACACTTGCATGACTTGAGCGACATTGCACACTTTTAAAAACATTTGATGAAACTAATTTTAAAAAGTTTGATATGGGAGTCGCCATTTTGAGAACTCTTTTACGAAGGAAAAAATTTATATTTACTCTTTTTAGGACATTCCCGAAATTAAAAATAGAAAATCCCAGTTTTCTGAGAAAGTGCAGAAGGACTTGTAGTGGATCTCTTAGGAAGTTCCGGGACGCCAAAATTATTCATGCCAAGCTTGATGAGGTAAACCTATTCCTGTTTTTTGTCATTTCATTGAAACAATTTCTTTTACTCAAGTTGGATTTATCTTAAGCGTTTTATGTTGATCTCTGATGCGTACAGAGCGTACAGGCGTACAGGTAAAGCTCCAGGTCACTACTATTACTTATTATTAGGATTAGGCCTAATAGTTATAGTACTAATACTCCTAATGCCTAATACTATATGGCCTAGGCCTACTTATTTCTTATTTAGAATCTAGTAAATATTTAGCTTAGGGCCGCCTAGTTAGTTAGTAGGCCTAATATATTATTTAGGCCTAGATTAGGTATAAGTCTAATAATAAAAAACATAAGTAATAATTAAAAATAGTTATTACTTAGCATACCCGTCGCACATTGCAGCAATTTAACTAAATCCACAGAGCCAGAGTTTCTTTCAGTCAGGCATCTATTTAGGGGGGGGTGGGGGTGTGAACTTGGGAGCCATCAGTTACAGGGGTGACTCCTGGTTCAGTTTAGTAATCAAATGTAGTGGCCCACCGTGTCCCTAATGTAGGGTGCTGGCCCACCGTGTCCCTAATGTAGGGTGCTGGCCCACCGTGTCCCTAATGTAGGGTGGTTTTCAAATAAATGTAGTCAACAGAGTGTTTGGGGCAGGGGGGTGGGGAAGTCAAGGGCATTTGACTTGCAGGGCACCTGGTGCAGCTAGACCAGCTAGAGCATTGAATCAAGTAGTATCGCTGTAGTATGCCCAATGAACTGTGATGTAGTGACCATTGAATCAAGTAGTATCGCTGTAGTATGCCCACTGAACTGTGATGTAGTGACCAATGAATCAAGTAGTATCGCTGTAGTATGCCCAATGAACTGTGATGTAGTGACCATTGAATCAAGTAGTATCCCTGTAGTATGCCCAATGAACTGTGATGTAGTGACCATTGAATCAAGTAGTATCGCTGTAGTATGCCCACTGAACTGTGATGTAGTGACCAATGAATCAAGTAGTATCGCTGTAGTATGCCCAATGAACTGTGATGTAGTGACCATTGAATCAAGTAGTATCGCTGTAGTATGCCCAATGAACTGTGATGTAGTGACCATTGAATCAAGTAGTATCCCTGTAGTATGCCCAATGAACTGTGATGTAGTGACCATTGAATCAAGTAGTATCGCTGTAGTATGCCCAATGAACTGTGATGTAGTGTTTAATGAATCAAGTAGTATCGCTGTAGTATGCCCAATGAACTGTGGTGTAGTGTCCTGCATCAACATGCAGGATGGGTATGCTTGTATATATAAAGATTTGACATTGGCCTCTATAGGCCTAAATATCATCATTAGATATTAGGCCTAATTAATTACTCTGTAATGAAAGGAGAGTATAACTATAACATTACTATGCTATATACATACTATCTTAATACTTTTTACTTTGACTTAATTAATTTATTATTTAACATTTATTATTTTGGACTACTTAATATAGGCCTTCTACTATTTTAAGTACTAATAACAGACAATTTAAAAAATGACTGTACACCCTACTATAGACCTACACAACTAGTATCTAGTAGACCTAGGAACTCATTGAGGCTGTTGATTGTTTAGGAAGACAAATGTTAGTGGTTCAGCACTTGACATTGATTTCATGAAAACAACTCCAACCTAGCTCTAGAGTAGGCCTACACTAGTCTACTAGTCCAACCAAGCACTAATCACTAATTGCTGATGAAAATATCGTAATTACTGAGTTGAGCATTGGATTATGTACTCCAGTCATTTACTGTACAGATGGATGAAATGTTTGAATGCTGGTTGCCACATGATAAACACTTCCTCTAGTGCTCAAGTAGAGCACTCATGCTCTGTCCATTCACTTCTCACAGCTGATGGGACTTGACTTCCTCCCTGACTGACTGACTGACTGACTGGCTGGCTGACTGACTGACTGACTGGCTGACTGACTGACTGACTGGGTGACTGACTGACTGGCTGACTGGGTGACTGACTGACTGGCTGACTGACTGGCTGACTGAATGACTGACTGACTGACTGACTAAATGACTGACTGACTGGCTGAATGACTGACTGACTGACTGACTGACTGGGTGACTGACTGACTGACTGACTGACTGGCTGACTGACTAACTGACTGGCTGACTGACTGACTGACTGACTGACTGGCTGGCTGACTGACTGACTGACTGACTGACTGACTGACTGACTGAATGACTGACTGACTGGCTGAATACTGAATGACTGGCTGACTGGCTGACTGACTGACTGACTGAATGACTGACTGACTGGCTGGCTGAATGACTGAATGACTGACTGAATGACTGACTGACTGGCTGGCTGAATGACTGACTGAATGACTGACTGACTGGCTGAATGACTGACTGGCTGACTGACTGACTGACTGTCACAGATTCAGCTGATGAGACTTGATGTATTTCCCTACTGTTTAAACCCTTATGTTTTCTTGTTTGCTGGTAAATTTAAGGGTTTATGCTGTGACGTACCAAACCTGAGCTTCTAAGATTGTTGGAGTGGTGAATGTTTTCAACTGGGTCAAGGGTTAGCATGTAAATCCTGCCTGTTTCATTCAGCCAGTTGCTGGGTCCCCTACCTGACCCCTCTCACTGCTGGGTAATGCTGGTTGTAGTATCTATGATTTCCCTAGTGTTGTAGTATCTGTTGCTTTAGGTACCCAGCACAATGAACAAGATAGAACAGATCAAGAACCTCCTTGTCCACGACGACAGAGAGGAGACGAGAAAACTCTACTTAAAAATTCCATTTTTCACACGCACCCAGCTGAGTAGTGTCATTGATTCAGTGGATGACTGGTAAGGAGTTAACCTCAGCTTAGGATTAGTCTCTTCAGGGCATGGGCGGGTAAGGAGTTAACCTCAGGTTAGGATTAGTCTCTTAAGGGCATGGGCTGGTAAGGAGTTAACCTCAGCTTAGGATTAGTCTCTTAAGGGCATGGGCGGGTAAGGAGTTAACCTCAGCTTAGGATTAGTCTCTTAATGGCATGGGCGGGTAAGGAGTTAACCTCAGGTTAGGATTAGTCTCTTCAGGGCATGGGCGGGTGATGAATACCAAATTAGCCATAATGGTTATTTCTAAACCTAATAACTCAAAGAGTGAAGTCTAAATATTAATAAACCGGGAGTGATCTCCCCTAAACTTTCTCGAATATTCTTATATAACTTGGAATATAGACATGATTTTTAATTACTTAAACTTTTAAAAATAGAATAAAATCTCATAGAAAAAAGAATTGCGCACCAAGCGAACGCCAAAACAAAATGCGCATAATAGTGCGCAATATTATTAGTTCTTTATAAATTTACATGCGTTTTTTTGAGAAAGTGGAAATAGCGTAAATTAGTACTTCCGGTCAACGGAAATTTCTCAAAATTTGACAGAAGGTGGAGAATTAGATCTTTTACTTACATGTGAAATTTCATTTATCTATCTGAAATAGTACTCAAGTTATAGGCTTTTGAAAAATTCAAAGTAGAAAAAGTACCACTTCCGGTTATCGGAAATCACTCAAAAGTTGATACGGATCTACAATTTTGATAAAATGCTTACATATGAAATTTCATCAACCTAGCTGTAACGGTACTCAAGTTATCGTGTTTACACACAGACACACAGACATACGGACAAGATTGCAAAATTATGTTTTTCCATATCAGTGAGGTGTAAAACGTCGAGATTTGTAAAAATCTCGATATTTTTTTTTTGCACCATCACAAGACTTTCTCTATACTTTGTATTTACGAGAAAGTAAAAATGGCTGAAAATTTCCTGTCATCGCCATGGTGATGGTGGCCATCTTTGATTTTATTTACCTTTTTAATATTGAAATAACTCAAAGATGGCTTATCTAAATTCAATAAAAACTTGCAGGATTATAGAGATACATGTTGGTTACAATTCTGGTAGATTACATATTCAAATTTTTAAATCCTTTTGTTTTTACAATTTAAAAAAAAATCAATTTTAAAAAATTGACATTTGAGCAAAAACTTTATTATTTTAATTGTAAAAGTACTAAAATAAAAACAATAAGCATTTTGAAAAATTTGTTCTATCCGTTTTATTGGTAATATGTATACAGAATAACTAGAGAAAATTTTGATCAATTGTAATAACAATGTTAACATGGTTAAAAATTCCAAGATGACCACACCATCACACACATCTACACCATCACACAAGTCTATGACATCAGTATGTGATATGTGATATTCATCACTAAATGTGTTTGCCCCCCCCCCCCCTCCCCCAGGAGAGCAGTGTCTGATGGCTGCGAGAGAGGAATCCCAACATATTTAGAAGAAGCTTCTGGAAGATATTCTACCCTGATGGGCCAGATAAACTTGTACATTGAAAGTAACAAGAGGACAGGTGCTCATGGGGACAGACTGTTCTTCATGATCTCAGACAGGAACTTTCTACAGGTAACTCTCATGGCATTTCTCTTCCTCTCATGGCTTCTGGCATTTCTCTTCCTCTCATGGCTTCTGGCATTTCTCTTCCTCTAAATCAACTGGAAGTAAGGGAGTTTAAGGCACTTGTTCCTCCTTTACAAACAGAGTTGAGTTTTGCCCTGTCTCTGGCTACAGACACAGTTGATATAAAACACCAGCTACTGGCTGCCACTATAGAGGCCACATGAGGTCACATGCTGTTGCTAGTGGAGTTTTCATAGGTTTTTTTTTTATCTTTTTTGTTGAATGCTAAAAAAAATACCTGACCTCATTTGAGATTTTGACAAGATTTTATTTAACTAGCTTTCTCTGTCTGTTATCAGTCTGTTGTCAGACTGTCAGGATCAAAACATAGCAAAATTTTGGCCACTTCTAACTGACAGATTGGCTTCAAAGTTGGCATGTGGGTCAAAACATGAAGACAATGCAATCTGACCTTAAATTTGACTAAATTGGATGCCTAATTAATATACTGTGAATTTATTAAAATTTTGTCCTAATTAGTAGGCTGTCTTATCCAACTATTCTGCACTATTATACGCACGTTATCATGTGTTTGCACTATTATACGCTCGTTATCATGTTCATTGGGTGTGCAATGGTTTTTAGTCATGTAACTCTATTTAAATTTTTAAAATTTAAAGTACGGAAAAAAAAATTCATTAAAAAAAACTTTTTAATAACAAGCTTTTATGTAATAATGCACTAAAAAGTAGAAAATGATGGGACATCATGTATTTCCCTGCTGTTTTAACCCTTTAGTTTTCTTATTTGCTAGTAAATTTAAGGGTATATTATTTTAAGTTTCCAATAGATAATAAAGTGACCTACGCTTTTCTTTATAGTTCTTTAAATAGTAATGTATTATAAAATATTTAAAGAAAATCATTTATTTTCTACTTTTTAGTGCATTATTACATAAAAGCTTGTTATTAAAATGCTTTTATGAATTATTTTTTTTAACTTTGTTTAAAACTGAATCAAAGTTTTCTCTAACTTTTGATGGTCCAAACAATTGTTGTCCACATAAAACCATGCAACTTTTCCAACAAAAATTAAACATAGCTAGAGACTAATGATGATATAAACAATTGTTGTCCACATAAAACCATGCAACTTTTCCAACAAAAATTAAACATAGTTAGAGACTAATGATGTTATAAACAATTGTTGTCCACATAAAACCATGCAACTTTTCCAACAAAAATTAAACATAGCTAGAGACTAATGATGATATAAACAATTGTTGTCCACATAAAACCATGCAACTTTTCCAACAAAAATTAAACATAGCTAGAGACTAATGATGATATAAACAATTGTTGTCCACATAAAACCATGCAACTTTTCCAACAAAAATTAAACATAGCTAGAGACTAATGATGATATAAACAATTGTTGTCCACATAAAACCATGCAACTTTTCCAACAAAAATTAAACATAGTTAGAGACTAATGATGTTATAAACAATTGTTGTCCACATAAAACCATGCAACTTTTCCAACAAAAATTAAACATAGCTAGAGACTAATGATGATATAAACAATTGTTGTCCACATAAAACCATGCAACTTTTCCAACAAAAATTAAACATAGCTAGAGACTAATGATGATATAAACAATTGTTGTCCACATAAAACCATGCAACTTTTCCAACAAAAATTAAACATAGCTAGAGACTAATGATGATATAAACAATTGTTGTCCACATAAAACCATGCAACTTTTCCAACAAAAATTAAACATAGCTAGAGACTAATGATGATATAAACAATTGTTGTCCACATAAAACCATGCAACTTTTCCAACAAAAATTAAACATAGCTAGAGACTAATGATGATATAAACAATTGTTGTCCACATAAAAGCATGCAACTTTTCCAACAAAAATTAAACATAGCTAGAGACTAATGATGATATAAACAATTGTTGTCCACATAAAACCATGCAACTTTTCCAACAAAAATTAAACATAGCTAGAGACTAATGATGATATAAACAATTGTTGTCCACATAAAACCATGCAACTTTTCCAACAAAAATTAAACATAGCTAGAGACTAATGATGATATAAACAATTGTTGTCCACATAAAACCATGCAACTTTTCCAACAAAAATTAAACATAGCTAGAGACTAATGATGATATAAACAATTGTTGTCCACATAAAACCATGCAACTTTTCCAACAAAAATTAAACATAGTTAGAGACTAATGATGTTATAAACAATTGTTGTCCACATAAAACCATGCAACTTTTCCAACAAAAATTAAACATAGCTAGAGACTAATGATGATATAAACAATTGTTGTCCACATAAAACCATGCAACTTTTCCAACAAAAATTAAACATAGCTAGAGACTAATGATGATATAAACAATTGTTGTCCACATAAAACCATGCAACTTTTTCAACAAAAATTAAACATAGCTAGAGACTAATGATGATATAAACAATTGTTGTCCACATAAAACTATGCAACTTTTTCAACAAAAATTAAAGACAGCTAGAGACTACACCAGCACACATGTCACATATCCAACACGCTTTATTTAGTGGCTCATTGAAACTGTAGTCAATAAAAGGTCAAGGACTCAACTAGTCAATAAAAGGTCAAGAAATTGACTCATCTGTACCCATGTTTTAACTAGTCAATAAAAGGTCAAGAAATTGACACATCTGTACCCATGTTTCAACTAGTCAATAAAAGGTCAAGAAATTGACACATCTGTACCCATGTTTCAACTAGCCAATAAAAGGTCAAGGACACATCTGTACCCATGTTTCAACTAGCCAATAAAAGGTCAAGAAATTGACACATCTGTACTCATGTTTCAACTAGTCAATAAAAGGTCAAGAAATTGACACATCTGTACCCATGTTTCAACTAGTCAATAAAAGGTCAAGAAATTGACACATCTGTACCCATGTTTCAACTAGCCAATAAAAGGTCAAGGACACATCTGTACCCATGTTTCAACTAGTCAATAAAAGGTCAAGAAATTGACACATCTGTACCCATGTTTCAACTAGTCAATAAAAGGTCAAGGACTCATCTGTACCCATGTTTCAACTAGTCAATAAAAGGTCAAGGACACATCTGTACCCATGTTTCAACTAGTCAATAAAAGGTCAAGGACACATCTGTACCCATGTTTCAACTAGCCAATAAAAGGTCAAGGACACATCTGTACTCATGTTTCAACTAGTCAATAAAAGGTCAAGGACACATCTGTACCCATGTTTCAACTAGCCAATAAAAGGTCAAGGACACATCTGTACTCATGTTTCAACTAGCCAATGAAACTCATGCTTGCTTAGATTTGCCTGGCTTCAATGTTTCTACATGGTGGGGCAGTCATCATTTTCAGGGAAATAATTTTAAAATCACTTCCTGCTCTGGTTTCATGAAATTTTTTTTTTTACTTTCCCCAACAAAAGCTGGGGCTGGTGTTGGTTGTGTTGGTATAGTGAGCACAGGTCTGTGTTTGGACTCGTTGTTTGGTTGTCAAGTTTGTTGCCCTGTTTGTCAAGTTTGTTGCTCTGTTTGTCAAGTTTGTTGCTCTGTTTGTCTGTCAAGTTTGTTGCTCTGTTTGTCAAGTTTGTTGCTCTGTTTGTCAAGTTTGTTGCTCTGTTTGTCAAGTTTGTTGCTCTGTCAAGTTTGTTGCTCTGTTTGTCTGTCAAGTTTGTTGCTCTGTTTGTCAAGTTTGTTGCTCTGTTTGTCAAGTTTGTTGCTCTGTTTGTCAAGTTTGTTGCTCTGTTTGTCAAGTTTGTTGCTCTATTTGTCAAGTTTGTTGCTCTGTTTGTCTGTCAAGTTTGTTGCTCTGTTTGTCAAGTTTGTTGCTCTGTTTGTCAAGTTTGTTGCTCTGTTTGTCAAGTTTGTTGCTCTGTTTGTTTGTCAAGTTTGTTGCTCAGTTTGTCAAGTTTGTTGCTCTGTTTGTCAAGTTTGTTGCTCTGTTTGTCTGTCAAGTTTGTTGCTCTGTTTGTCAAGTTTGTTGCTCTGTTTGTCAAGTTTGTTGCTCTGTTTGTCTGTCAAGTTTGTTGCTCTGTTTGTCAAGTTTGTTGCTCTGTTTGTCAAGTTTGTTGCTCTGTTTGTCAAGTTTGTTGCTCTGTTTGTTTGTCAAGTTTGTTGCTCTGTTTGTTTGTCAAGTTTGTTGCTCTGTTTGTCAAGTTTGTTGCTCTGTTTGTTTGTCAAGTTTGTTGCTCTGTTTGTCAAGTTTGTTGCTCTGTTTGTCAAGTTTGTTGCTCTGTTTGTCAAGTTTGTTGCTCTGTTTGTCAAGTTTGTTGCTCTGTCTACTGTGTTATCACCTATTGTGTGTGATGATTTAACAAGAAAGAAATGATCTCCCTGCAGGCCAACTTTGCTCATGACCCAGCAGGATTTGTCAGAGAAATGGCCACTTGTCTTGAACAAGAAAATTTTCTTCTGCGGGTGAGTTTTTCCTACCCTTGATATGTTTACATTTGTGTGAACTACATTAAAAATACCTGTTTATTACACGCTGACATATATTTGAGTCATGAATTAAAGTGTGCATTTTTTAATTCCATTAAGTATTGTCTTGAGCAGCTCAGGATTTAATAATTTTTTTGTTCAGTCCCATCAGTACAGTGCTAGTTATTCCACCAATACAAATGAAGTCAACATCAGATATGTAAGTTCTTTTTTTCATCCTCTAGATTCAACACATTCTAACAAACATCACTAAACCTACTTGCTATTACATTCACCAAACCTACTTGCTATTACATTCACCAAACACCACTAAACCTACTTGCTATTACATTCACCAAACACCACTAAACCTACTTGCTATTACATTCACCAAACATCACTAAACCTACTTGCTATTACATTCAAGTTCACTAAAGTCTACTGCTGTTTTTCTACCATCACAACTATTACCACTTATTATTTTTAACTGTACAGACTAATTTAATATTATAACAATATTGTATTTTTAACTGTACAGACTAATTTAATATTATAACAATATTGCTAACCATCTTTACAAAAAGCAATGTCTGTTTTGTTAATCCTTTATTTATTTAGTAGCAACATGGGGACTTGCCTAGTTTGTTTTTCTTTTTCTCCATGTTACTAACTACCACCTCCTTTATTTTAACTAACTACCACCTCCTTTATTTTAACTAACTACTACCTCCTTTATTTTAACTAACTACTACCTCCTTTATTTTAACTAACTACTACCTCCTTTATTTTAACTAACTACTACCTCCTTTATTTTAACTAACTACCACCTCCTTTATTTTAACTAACTACTACCTCCTTTATTTTAACTAACTACTACCTCCTTTATTTTAACTAACTACTACCTCCTTTATTTTAACTAACTACTACCTCCTTTATTTTAACTAACTACTACCTCCTTTATTTTAACTAACTACTACCTCCTTTATTTTAACTAACTACTACCTCCTTTATTTTAACTAACTACTACCTCCTTTATTTTAACTAACTACTACCTCCTTTATTTTAATTAACTACCACCTCCTTTATTTTAACTAACTACCACCTCCTTTATTTTAACTAACTACTACCTCCTTTATTTTAACTAACTACTACCTCCTTTATTTTAACTAACTACTACCTCCTTTATTTTAACTAACTACTACCTCCTTTATTTTAACTAACTACTACCTCCTTTATTTTAACTAACTACTACCTCCTTTATTTTAACTAACTACTACCTCCTTTATTTTAACTAACTACTACCTCCTTTATTTTAACTAACTACTACCTCCTTTATTTTAATTAACTACCACCTCCTTTATTTTAACTAACTACCACCTCCTTTATTTTAACTAACTACTACCTCCTTTATTTTAACTAACTACTACCTCCTTTATTTTAACTAACTACTACCTCCTTTATTTTAACTAACTACTACCTCCTTTATTTTAACTAACTACTACCTCCTTTATTTTAACTAACTACTACCTCCTTTATTTTAACCAACTACTACCTCCTTTATTTTAACTAACTACCACCTCCTTTATTTTAACTAACTACCACCTCCTTTATTTTAACTAACTACCACCTCCTTTATTTTAACTAACTACTACCTCCTTTATTTTAACTAACTACTACCTCCTTTATTTTAACTAACTACTACCTCCTTTATTTTAACTAACTACTACCTCCTTTATTTTAACTAACTACTACCTCCTTTATTTTAACTAACTACTACCTCCTTTATTTTAACTAACTACTACCTCCTTTATTTTAACTAACTACTACCTCCTTTATTTTAACTAACTACTACCTCCTTTATTTTAACTAACTACCACCTCCTTTATTTTAACTAACTACCACCTCCTTTATTTTAACTAACTACTACCTCCTTTATTTTAACTAACTACTACCTCCTTTATTTTAACTAACTACTACCTCCTTTATTTTAACTAACTACTACCTCCTTTATTTTAACTAACTACCACCTCCTTTATTTTAACTAACTACCACCTCCTTTATTTTAACTAACTACTACCTCCTTTATTTTAACTAACTACTACCTCCTTTATTTTAACTAACTACTACCTCCTTTATTTTAACTAACTACCACCTCCTTTATTTTAACTAACTACTACCTCCTTTATTTTAACTAACTACCACCTCCTTTATTTTAACTAACTACCACCTCCTTTATTTTAACTAACTACTACCTCCTTTGTTTTAACTAACTACCACCTCCTTTATTTTAACTAACTACTACCTCCTTTGTTTTAACTAACTACTACCTCCTTTATTTTAACTAACTACCACCTCCTTTATTTTAACTAACTACTACCTCCTTTATTTTAACTAACTACCACCTCCTTTATTTTAACTAACTACTACCTCCTTTATTTTAACTAACTACCACCTCCTTTATTTTAACTAACTACCACCTCCTTTATTTTAACTAACTACTACCTCCTTTATTTTAACTAACTACTACCTCCTTTATTTTAACTAACTACCACCTCCTTTATTTTAACTAACTACCACCTCCTTTATTTTAACTAACTACTACCTCCTTTATTTTAACTAACTACCACCTCCTTTATTTTAACTAACTACCACCTCCTTTATTTTAACTAACTACCACCTCCTTTATTTTAACTAACTACCACCTCCTTTATTTTAACTAACTACCACTTCCTTTATTTTAACTAACTACTACCTCCTTTATTTTAACTAACTACCACCTCCTTTATTTTAACTAACTACCACCTCCTTTATTTTAACTAACTACTACCTCCTTTATTTTAACTAACTACCACCTCCTTTATTTTAACTAACTACCACCTCCTTTATTTTAACTAACTACTACCTCCTTTATTTTAACTAACTACCACCTCCTTTATTTTAACTAACTACCACCTCCTTTATTTTAACTAACTACCACCTCCTTTATTTTAACTAACTACCACCTCCTTTATTTTAACTAACTACCACCTCCTTTATTTTAACTAACTACCACCTCCTTTATTTTAACTAACTACTACCTCCTTTATTTTAACTAACTATTACCTCCTTTATTTTAACTAACTACTACCTCCTTTATTTTAACTAACTACTACCTCCTTTATTTTAACTAACTGCTATCTCCTTTAAAACTAAATACCAACTGCTTTATTCAAAACTAAATACCACCTCCTTTAAAACTAACTACCCCTTCCTTTAAAACTAACTACCACCTCCTTTAAAACTAAATACCACCTCCTTTAAAACTAAATACCACCTCCTTTAAATCTAAATACCACCTCCTTTAAATCTAAATACCACCTCCTTTAAAACTAAATACCACCTCCTTTATTTAAAACAATTTGGTGATTCACTTCACACTACCCTGAGCACCTGAGTGCTATAAATAGCCCATTAGTTCAGACAGTGAATTAACCGATGAATTAACTTTTGAAATGATCCAACCTTGACAGAGCCATGATGATGGTCTGGCCGCACATGCAGGGGATGTAAATCTTGGTCTAGAACAGTTCCAACCAGAGGACCAGCAGCTGAGGCAGATAGAGGAGTTAGCTGCTGTAGGTTTTTTATAGGAACTCATCAGTTATATTCTTATCAAATAATTTAAAATTAGCACTATGATCAGTTATATTCTTATCAAATATTTTAAAATTAGCACTATGATCAGTTATATTCTTATCAAATCTTTTAAAATTAGCACTATGGCTTATATTTTCCGATTTCCAGACCTAAAAAAACATCTGTTAGTTGTTATGAGGAAAGAATTTGTACAAAGCTTTTTACAATGTTTTCTCTTTTCCTCCATGGTAGAGAATTGAGAGATCCATATTGGGAGAAGCAGGGCAGGCAAGCAGTTTTACTCAGGGTATGTACCCCAGGCACTCCAAACTAAATTTGATTTAAATTTTAATTTCAAACCGTAATGTGGATAGAGTGTGAACCTAGCCATTAACACGTATCACCATAATGAATGAACGGCTGTGACACCTGATTACACACCTTTTGTCTAAAGACAATCAGTTTCAGTTTTTAAAAAAATAATTTAAATCTTTTACAGAAAAAAATGTCTAACAACAATCAGTTTCAGTTTTTAAAAAAATAATTTAAATCTTTTACAGAAAAAAATGTCTAACAACAATCAGTTTCAGTTTTAAAAAATTATTTAAATCTTTTACAGAAAGAAATGTCTAACAACAATCAGTTTCAGTTTTAAAAAATTATTTAAATCTTTTACAGAAAGAAATGTCTAACAACAATCAGTTTCAGTTTTAAAAAATTATTTAAATATTTTACAGAAAGAAATGTCTAACAACAATCAGTTTCAGTTTTAAAAATTATTTAAATATTTTACACAAAGAAATGTTGAAAGCAAATTTTGATGTGCTACTAGAATTTACGAAGAACTTTTTGTAAAAAAACCTGTGCTGTTTCAGTTGGCCGCAGCTCATAATAAATTTTTTTGTGTTAACACATCCTCTCTCTAAACATTGATATAGGTCCAAGCTATTTGAATGACACTTGGACAGATAGTAATCAGTACCAGAATATGTCCACTGATCACCAAATGGTAAAGACAATCTGTTTTTTTTATCTTAACCAGAGTTGGCTAAATGAGTTATTTATAGAACCACCAAATTGCACTTCATTACATTATATTTAATTTTTGAATTCCAAAGTGAGTCAGTCATTATTTAATTGGCCTGAAAATATTTGCTCTTTATCATTTTTTAAACAGACAAGTTTGGATATGATCTGTCAAATTGTTGAGGCCATGCAAGAATATTTGAAAGTCCTCGAAAAAGAGGTGACGGAATGGAAACGTGCTGAAGCAAAGTTTAGTGTTGGCATCGGCCCTGAATGCTCTTTTGACCTGCTCTCCACAAAGTAACAAGCTTTGTTTTAAAAGATTTGGTTTCAAAACAATTGAACTAGATTTACTTTTAAGACATTTGATTTGACTTAAAATTTTGTTTCTGAAATGTGGCCCTCCATTATGTGATGTTGTTGTGTGTCAGGTTTGGCGTGTACGCCCATGTGATAAACATTTGTTGTGTGTCAGGTTTGGCGTGTACTCCATTAGGTGATGTTGTTGTGTGTCAGGTTTGGCGTGTACGCCCATGTGATAAACATTTGTTGTGTGTCAGGTTTGGCGTGTACTCCATTATGTCATAAACATTTGTTGTGTGTCAGGTTTGGCGTGTACGCCTATATGATAAACATTTGTTGTGTGTCAGGTTTGGCGTGTACTCCATTATGTGATGTTGTTGTGTGTCAGGTTTGGCGTGTACTCCATTATGTGATGTTGTTGTGTGTCAGGTTTGGCGTGTATGCCCATGTGATAAACATTTGTTGTGTGTCAGGTTTGGCGTGTACGCCCATGTGATAAATATTTGTTGTGTGTCAGGTTTGGCGTGTACGCCCATGTGATAAACATTTGTTGTGTGTCAGGTTTGGCGTGTACGCCCATGTGATAAACACTTGTTGTGTGTCAGGTTTGGCGTGTACGCCCATGTGATAAACATTTGTTGTGTGTCAGGTTTGGCGTGTACGCCCATGTGATAAACACTTGTTGTGTGTCAGGTTTGGCGTGTACGCCCATGTGATAAACATTTGTTGTGTGTCAGGTTTGGCGTGTACGCCCATGTGATAAACATTTGTTGTGTGTCAGGTTTGGTGTGTACTCCATTATGTGATGTTGTTGTGTGTCAGGTTTGGCGTGTACGCCCATGTGATAAACATTTGTTGTGTGTCAGGTTTGGCGTGTACTCCATTATGTGATGTTGTTGTGTGTCAGGTTTGGCGTGTACTCCATTATGTGATGTTGTTGTGTGTCAGGTTTGGCGTGTACGCCCATGTGATAAACATTTGTTGTGTGTCAGGTTTGGCGTGTACTCCATTATGTGATGTTGTTGTGTGTCAGGTTTGGCGTGTACGCCCATGTGATAAACATTTGTTGTGTGTCAGGTTTGGCGTGTACTCCATTATGTGATGTTGTTGTGTGTCAGGTTTGGCGTGTACGCCCATGTGATAAACACTTGTTGTGTGTCAGGTTTGGCGTGTACGCCCATGTGATAAACATTTGCTGTGTGTCAGGTTTGGCGTGTACTCCATTATGTGATGTTGTTGTGTGTCAGGTTTGGCGTGTACGCCCATGTGATAAACATTTGTTGTGTGTCAGGTTTGGCGTGTACTCCATTATGTGATGTTGTTGTGTGTCAGGTTTGGCGTGTACTCCATTATGTGATGTTGTTGTGTGTCAGGTTTGGCGTGTACGCCCATGTGATGGACGCGCTGGAGACGAGCTACCTCCCCCACTTGTTCCAGTACACCACTGCAGGCCCCAGTCTCACCCTCAATCATGCTCATGAGAAATTCAGAAAGATGAAAGAGTTTTTTTTCAAAATGTGAGTTACGTTACGCTTGTTGGAATATAATAGCTAGCTCCAAATGATCAGAACTGGTTGTTTCACCAAATAAAATATTATCTGTACTGGGGATTGTAATATCCTCCTTTTGTGTTAAAGAATTTCAACCCAACTCTAAATAAAAATATTGACCGCATAAAGAATTTCAACCCAACTGTGAAAAAATGTATGCTACAAATAGAATGCTACATTGACAAGCCAGATGACACAGTTGTGGACCTGACACAGAATGAAAAGTCAAATTTTTCTTTTGCTTTTCTTTGTTCTAGAACTCTGCTAGTGACAGTACAGCCCAAAGATGTCATCAGCATTGAGAATGAAAAAACTGAAGCAGCCAAACAAAGAAAAGTTAAACAAGGGGAGGAGAAAAATGTCAAGAGGACCAGGAGCTACTGCACCAAGAAAAATCAGAGATTTGATACCACTCTCAGGTCACTAGCTCTGTCTGTTGCTACAGGATTTGTATGTCTGTTGCTACAGGATTTGTATGTCTGTTGGTACAAGATTTGTATGTCTGTTGGTACAGGATTTGTATGTCTGTTGGTACAGGATTGGTAGTCTGTTGCTACAGGATTTGTATGTCTGTTGGTACAGGATTTGTATGTCTGTTGGTACAGGATTTGTATATCTGTTGGTATAAGATTTGTAGTCTGTTGGTACAATATTTGTACGTCTGATGGTACACGATTTGTACATTTGTTGGTACAAGATTTGTACATCTGTTGGTACAAGATTTGTACATCTGTTGGTACAAGATTTGTACATCTGTTGGTACAAGATTTGTACATCTGTTGGTACAAGATTTGTACATCTGTTGGTGTAAGATTACAAGATTTGTTAAAACACACCATTGGAAAACTAAGCATTTTTGCCTAATAAAACAATCATTTATTTTACTTTTTATAAACTACAATGTCAAATAAAATTTCTATTTTATTGGTCTAAATCTGAAGTCCAGTTTTTTAAATGTACAAATTATATCCATTCTTTAAAATTTTAAGTTGCACTCAATATACATGTAACATATAAAACATGTAACACATCAAACACAGTATACATGTAACATATAAAACATGTTACACATCAAACACAGTATACATGTATTGTAACACATCAAACACAGTATACATGTATTGTAACACATCAAACACAGTATACATGTATTGTAACACTTTAAAGCTACATATAATTCAGACAAAAATTGTTTTTTGCAAGCAGGCTGTTAGGTGGTGAAAGATTTTCTCTTCTGACCATCACCAAGTCCCACATCCAACTTTATGCTGAGAAGGATTTAGCCGCACGCTTGAGTGGGGCTGGTGGCACTGAAGCCAAAACCAACCTGGACTTTAGAACGGAAGTGAGCAGGGAGAGTGACAGCTACCTGCTCAAGTTCCAGGAGGTGGGCGTCAACAACTTTGTCCGGGTGGAGCAGAACAACGTGTACAAACAGTTCTTCCGTCTGCGCTACAGCCTGACTGTAAGCTGCAACAATGATGTGTACGAGCTGCAGGTACCTCCCTACTTAACTCTTTGCTTTGGTAGTTTAACTAACTTTGTGCATTAATAATGTCAAAACACTAAAGCCCTAAAGTTACATCATAAAATTCCACCACATTCCCAAAATAAATATCATTTCTAATCTAATTAAAATTTTCACCATCTTGAATTTTATTTAAAAAGTTCAAAATGTTTCCTGCCTCATCTCTCTTCTATATTTTGCCAAAGTCCAACATTTATTAACCCCCTATTTAACAACACTCCTCCCCCATGCACTATGTGCCTGACATATATCCTGACATATAAAATAAACGTCTTCACTCAAATGCTTTTATCTGAATGATTCTTGATGTAACTGGTGTAAAATTATCTATTCTATGGAGGACAAACTAAACATCTTTACTTAATATCTGAATGATTCTTGAAGTAACTGGTGTAAAATTATCTATTCTATGGAGGACAAACTAAACATCTTTACTTAATATCTGAATGATTCTTGAAGTAACTGGTGTAAAATTATCTATTCTATGGAGGACAAACTAAACATCTTTACTTAATATCTGAATGATTCTTGAAGTAACTGGTGTAAAATTATCTATTCTATGGAGGACAAACTAAACATCTTTACTTAATATCTGAATGATTCTTGATGTAACTGGTGTAAAATTATCTATTCTATGGAGGACAAACTAAACATCTTTACTTAATATCTGAATGATTCTTGAAGTAACTGGTGTAAAATTATCTATTCTATGGAGGACAAACTAAACATCTTTACTTAATATCTGAATGATTCTTGATGTAACTGGTGTAAAATTATCTATTCTATGGAGGACAAACTAAACATCTTTACTTAATATCTGAATGATTCTTGAAGTAACTGGTGTAAAATTATCTATTCTATGGAGGACAAACTAAACATCTTTACTTAATATCTGAATGATTCTTGATGTAACTGGTGTAAACTTTGCTTGTGACACTTGTCATATCTGACACCACAGACGCTGTCGCTGCCGTTCATGTTCAACACTGGATCCAACCAACTCCTGGAGCTGATTGGTGCCAAGATGTTGTACTGCGCCAACTCTCCTGATATGGTCAGTGCTTCAAGAGTGACATTTCAGATGGTTTAATGTTCATTTCTTTTAACAATAGCAACAATTTTATTCATATTTTGTTTGGTCACACTTTTTTCTTAAATATTGAAAATCAAAACATTTTTTTTCTCAGTTGACACCTATTGATTAATACAAAAGCCAATGTATGTGAAACACATAGTTACGGGTAGACAACTATTGATAGATGTTTTGACTGTATCTTACAGTACAGTGGCAGTTTTACATGTCCTGACCCAATTGACGTGGGCGCCATCATACAGATGCTAGATGACAGGGTTCGCTACATTGACAAGAGGGGCAGGAAGTTGACTGAGGAGGAGAAGAAGTTTTTGGTCGATAGATTACCAAGTAAGGTTTAAAGAAGTTTTTGGTCGATAGATTACCAAGTAAGGTTTAAAGAAGTTTTTGGTCGATAGATTACCAAGTAAGGTTTAAGGAAGTTTTTGGTCGATAGATTACCAAGTAAGGTTTAAAGAAGTTTTTGGTCGATAGATTACCAAGTAAGGTTTAAAGAAGTTTTTGGTCGATAGATTACCAAGTAAGGTTTAAAGAAGTTTTTGGTCGATAGATTACCAAGTAAGGTTTAAAGAAGTTTTTGGTCGATAGATTACCAAGTAAGATAATGGTCAGAGGCTGCTCCATCACTTTCTTGTTCAATTTCTTCACAACGTATCTATTGTTGTGACCTTGACATACTTATCTATTGTTTTGACCTTGGCATACTTATCTATTGTTGTGACCTTGACATACTTATCTGTTTATGTATCAATTTCAAATATTAGATTCACCAAAAGTAAGTTATATTTTTCACACAGCATCCAAATCTATGTAAACATCCATCACATGTTTTTCAAAACTACTCTTGCAGGCAAAAGTACTGACGGAAAGGTCTCAATGCAGGGATTTATCAAGGTAAGTTCACATTGGGTGCACAGACCTCTAGTATGTTGCAACATTGTTGTCCCAACAACAACACTAATGATGTAACCACCACATTTTATAATCCAACAAGTATTGTAACCAACAAATGGTGTAACCAACAAATGGTGTAACCTATAATTGGTGTAAAGAACAATTGGTGTAAAGAACAAATGGTGTAACCAACAATTGGTGTAAATTAAAGAATAAATCTTGTATTCTATGTTAGGACAAGATGAAGAAATCAAGAAACACGGAGGAGCTTCCATTTTCATTCCACACCTGGTTTCATGCTGTCATGTACAGCCTGTCTAAACACCTGCTTCAACCCTGGCTTGATGGGTGAGTTACCTTTTTGTGGATGAGTTACCTTTTTGTGGGCAAGTTACCTTTTGGTGGGTAAGTTACCTTTTGGTGGGTGAGTTATATTTTTTGTGTGGAAGAGTTACCTTTTGGTGGGTGGTTACCTTTTTGGTGGGCGAATTACCTTTTGGTGGATGAGTTACCTTTTGGTGGATGAGTTACCTTTTGGTGGGCAAGTTATCTTTTTTGGTAGGTGAGTTACCTTTTGGGTGGGCGAGTTACCTTTTGGTGGGTGAGTTACATTTTGGTGGGCAAGTTACCTTTTTTTGGTGGGTGAGTTACCTTTTTTTGGTGGGTGAGTTACATTTTGGTGGGTGAGTTACATTTTGGTGGGTGAGTTACCTTTTTTTGGTGGGTGAGTTACCTTTTTTTGGTGGGTGAGTTACCTTTTGGTGGGTGAGTTACCTTTTTTTGGTGGGTGAGTTACATTTTGGTGGGTGAGTTACATTTTGGTGGGTGAGTTACCTTTTTTTGGTGGGTGAGTTACCTTTTTTTGGTGGGTGAGTTACCTTTTGGTGGGTGAGTTACCTTTTTTTGGTGGGTGAGTTACCTTTTTTTGGTGGGCGAGTTACCTTTTGGTGGGTGAGTTACCTTTTTTGGTGGGTGAGTTACCTGTATTTCTCAAACACTTTTTTCATCCCTGGCCTGGGGGGAGGATGGGGGGTTTATACCACAAGATTGAACAGAGCTGGGACATTGTACTGGCTACAGCATATTGTCACATCGTCAAGTGTCTGCTAGTCACAAATAGTAAAAAAACTAATTGTATAAAATAATTGTATAACTATTTTCCTTGATGTGCAGCGCCATCTATGGGTTCTGCAGTGAGAAAACAGCAGAAAAGTTGCTGATGAATCCGCTGGTAGCTGTGGGGACTATCATTCTCAGACCAAGCATTTCCTCACAGGTGAAAAACATGAGCTCTAAAGAGGCTACAGCTGCCCTAACTATGGACATCAAGATGGAGGGCGAGCCTAATGAGGCAACACGTCAGTAGACCTCTTGTTTTATCTTGTGGGCCATTTTTTTATCTTGTGGGCCATTTTTTTATCTTGTGGGCCACCTTTTTATCTTGTGGGCCACCTTTTTATCTTGTGGTCCATCTTTTTATCTTGTGGGCCATCTCTCTTAGAATTAACCTTCATGAATAATTAATTAAGTTGTAACTATTTAGTTAGAAATTTAGACATAAAGTATCATTCCAATGGCCTATATTTGAGTCCTAAGTTTACCCCAATCTGACAAGTTTTAAGTTTATCTTTACCCCAATCTGACAAGTCCTAAGTTTACCCCAATCTGACAAGTCCTAAGTTTATCTTTACCTCAATCTGACAAGTTTTATCTTTACCCAATCTGACAAGTCCTAAGTTTATCTTTACCCCAATCTGACAAGTCCTAAGTTTATCTTTACCCCAATCTGACAAGTCCTAAGTTTACCCAATCTGACAAGTCCTAAGTTTACCCCAATCTGACAAGTCCTAAGTTTATCTTTACCTCAATCTGACAAGTTTTATCTTTACCCAATCTGACAAGTCCTAAGTTTATCTTTACCCCAATCTGACAAGTCCTAAGTTTATCTTTACCCCAATCTGACAAGTCCTAAGTTTACCCAATCTGACAAGTCCTAAGTTCACCCCAATCTGACAAGTCCTAAGTTTATCTTTACCCCAATCTGACAAGTCCTAAGTTTACCCAATCTGACAAGTCCTAAGTTTACCCAATCTGACAAGTCCTAAGTTTACCCCAATCTGACAAGTCCTAAGTTTACCCAATCTGACAAGTCCTAAGTTTACCCCAATCTGACAAGTCCTAAGTTTATCTTTACCCCAATCTGACAAGTCCTAAGTTTACCCAATCTGACAAGTCCTAAGTTTACCCCAATCTGACAAGTCCTAAGTTTACCCCAATCTGACAAGTCCTAAGTTTACCCCAATCTGACAAGTTTATCTTTACCCCAATCTGCCCCTTAGACAAAGTGATTTCTGTCCCCCTGATGATCAAAGCCATTCAGAAGAACACGTTGTATGGAGCCATTGCTGGCATACAGAAAAACAAAAGGTCCATAGCCAAGTACTTGTACACGGCTTCCAAACAAAGTGTAGGCATCAGTGCTTTAAAGAAATATGGAGGAGGTATAGTCATACTTTTTAAACCAATTTTTTAAAACTGTTTCATTCATTACAAAATAATATATAAGTTTTAAATGTTTGGTGTTTTTTAAATGTTTGATATTAATTTGTACAAGTTACATATCAAGTGAATAGACGTGTGATTAAGATCTTCTAATGTTGAAGAATCATCCAAAAAAGCCAGTGATTATAATTTATTATCGCTTTCGAACTGTTTCCTTTATCAAAAATGTTTACATTACATTAAAGGCATCTTTTTTTTTTAAATTGTAGAAAAATATAAAACTTTACAAATATACAACTAAAAAATATCTGTTGATTTAGATCATTTTATTTTAAAATAATTTTTAAACTTTAAAAAAGTGTAATTTTTTTTCCCGGCAGATCCACAGATTCGAACGTTTGAAGATTATAAAATCATGGTAGAGAAGTTAGAAACTTTCAACCTGAAATCCAGGTGATAACTTTTTTATTCTATCACTAACAAAGCATTGGCAAATTAGCACCTTTCTGTGTGAGTGGGTGTTTTGTACATTAAAGTTTAACTTTTAGCTACAGCTAAAACTAAAGTTAGCAGTCAGTTGCTCATCGTTAATTAATTAATTAATTAAAATGTACAAGTCCCAGTGCTTTTCACTGCAATACAGTTCTTGTTAATTTGTACTGGTCACATAAATAGGGGTATGCATTTGTTTAGGTCGTTATACAAATGTAGAAAAATGATCAGATGATATTTACTGACATTTGGCCCTGTTTGATCTAGTGAGGCAGACCCCCACAGTTGTGATGGGGTGGGGACGTCTCCCTTGGAGTCTGGACCCAGGAAAAGGCAGCACAGAGAGGAGGCATGCAACGTGCCAGACTTTGATCTGCTGGCTCCCAGCACAGACCAGGTGCTCATGTCATTGTCTTGCTTTTTACATTTTTTAACCAGTCAAGTGTTGTCTCTATGTTTGTTGGGGGGGGGGGGGGGGGGGGGCTGTCCTGTCAGAGTATCTAGGTAATTAAAAATCCTACATTTTTTACAAAAAGTGATGTTTTCAAAATTTAAACGCTCCCCCATCCCCCTAGCTGGACCCAAGTGGGAAAATCAAATCTGACAGTACAAACTGCCTTCTTTATTTGTGTATCTAAATTAGGATACTAAAAGAAAATATTTGCTTACATCAGGGACTCTTCTGAAAGTATGGTTGCCATGGCAACAGCTGCCATCTTGAAAACAACAACCTTTTGTGAAGCTCTCAAGATAAAAAAAACTAACATGCATATCAAAAATAATTGATCCCTCTTTTACTAATTGTAAGAGTCAGCTGGCTAGTTTTTATAACAGAAAACACTCAAGAAATGATTTCTTAAATTTATAAAATTATTGCTAAATTTGATGGATCATAAATTTAATAAAGAATGAATCAATTAATGTTTAAGATTCCTAATTACCAATAATGAGTATAAAAAAAATATAAATCTCTATAATACCAAGGTTTAAAACACAGAGAATACAAAAAATTACAAGTGTCAGAGATTTCATAAGAGGCAATACATTTACTAAAGAAAGAAAATTTGTTTAATTTTCTTTTTCTAGTGCATTCTTTCTTATTTATGTTTCATTCAAAATGTTGATTATTTTCTCATTAAGATTAAATGTAATTTTAGTAACTTGTTGATTATTTTCTCATTAAGATTAAATGTAATTTTAGTAACTTGTTGATTATTTTCTCATTAAGATTAAATTTTCTCATTAAGATTAAATGTAATTTTAGTAACTTGTTGATTATTTTCTCATTAAGATTAAATGTAATTTTAGTAACTTGTTGATTATTTTCTCATTAAGATTAAATGTAATTTTAGTAACTTCTTTTCCCCTCAGGCTCCAATAAAAAGTGAATTTATTTTGGAACCCCAGTCCAATGTGTGGCCTTCTGCCCAAGGTCAAAGGTCAGGTCACCAGAGCAACTCTCTGCCTGGTAAATTATGCTCACAGAATCAACAGTCACCATATAGTCTCACCTAAACATTCATCCTCACCTCCAATGTATAGTCTCACCTAAACATTCATCCTCATCTCCAATATACAGTCTCACCTAAACATGCATCCTCACCTCCAATATATAGTCTCACCTAAACATTCATCCTCACCTCCAATATATAGTCTCACCTAAACATTCATCCTCACCTCCACTATATAGTCTCACTTAAACATTCATCCTCACCTCCACTATATAGTCTCACCTAAACATTCATCCTCACCTCCACCATATAGTCTCACCTAAACATTCATCCTCACCTCCACCATATAGTCTCACCTAAACATTCATCCTCACCTCCAAATTCACTCAATGACTTCCTCCTTTATTAGAGTACTCTCCTGCTCTACTGCTAGAGTACCCCTCCTGCTCTACTACTAGAGTACCCCTCCTGCTCTACTACTAGAGTACCCCCTGCTCTACTACTAGTACCCCTCCTGCTCTACTACTAGAGTACCCCCCTGCTCTACTACTAGAGTACCCCTCCTGCTCTACTACTAGAGTACCCCTCCTGCTCTACTACTAGAGTACCCCTCCTGCTCTACTACTAGTACCCCTCCTGCTCTACTACTAGAGTACCCCTCCTGCTCTACTACTAGAGTACCCCTCCTGCTCTACTACTAGAGTACCTCCTGCTCTACTACTAGAGTACCCCCTGCTCTACTACTAGAGTACCCCTCCTGCTCTACTACTAGAGTACCCCTCCTGCTCTACTACTAGAGTAGAGTACCCCTCCTGCTCTACTACTAGAGTACCCCTCCTGCTCTACTACTAGAGTAGAGTACCCCTCCTGCTCTACTACTAGAGTACCCCCCCTGCTCTACTACTAGAGTACCCCTCCTGCTCTACTACTAGGGTAACCCTCCTGCTCTACTACTAGAGTACCCCCCTGCTCTACTACTAGGGTACCCCCCCTGCTCTACTACTAGGGTACCCCCCCTGCTCTACTACTAGGGTACCCCCCCTGCTCTACTACTAGGGTAACCCTCCTGCTCTACTACTAGAGTACCCCTCCTGCTCTACTACTAGAGTACCCCTCCTGCTCTACTACTAGAGTACCCCCCCTGCTCTACTACTAGGGTAACCCTCCTGCTCTACTACTAGGGTAACCCTCCTGCTCTACTACTAGAGTACCCCTCCTGCTCTACTACTAGAGTACCCCTCCTGCTCTACTACTAGAGTACCCCTCCTGCTCTACTACTAGGGTAACCCTCCTGCTCTACTACTAGAGTACCCCCTGCTCTACTACTAGTACCCCTCCTGCTCTACTACTAGAGTACCCCCTGCTCTACTACTAGTACCCCTCCTGCTCTACTACTAGAGTACCCCTCCTGCTCTACTACTAGAGTACCCCCTGCTCTACTACTAGAGTACCCCCTGCTCTACTACTAGAGTACCCCTCCTGCTCTACTACTAGAGTAGAGTACCCCTCCTGCTCTACTACTAGAGTACCCCTCCTGCTCTACTACTAGAGTACCCCTCCTGCTCTACTACTAGAGTACCCCTCCTGCTCTACTACTAGAGTAGAGTACCCCTCCTGCTCTACTACTAGAGTACCCCCTGCTCTACTACTAGTACCCCTCCTGCTCTACTACTAGAGTACCCCTCCTGCTCTACTACTAGAGTACCCCTCCTGCTCTACTACTAGAGTACCCCTCCTGCTCTACTACTAGTACCCCTCCTGCTCTACTACTAGAGTACCCCCTGCTCTACTACTAGAGTACCCCCTGCTCTACTACTAGAGTACCTCCTGCTCTACTACTAGAGTACCTCCTGCTCTACTACTAGAGTACCCCTCCTGCTCTACTACTAGAGTACCCCCTGCTCTACTACTAGAGTACCCCTCCTGCTCTACTACTAGAGTACCCCCCCTGCTCTACTACTAGAGTACCCCTCCTGCTCTACTACTAGTACCCCTCCTGCTCTACTACTAGAGTACCCCCCCTGCTCTACTACTAGAGTACCCCTCCTGCTCTACTACTAGTACCCCTCCTGCTCTACTACTAGAGTACCCCTCCTGCTCTACTACTAGAGTACCCCTCCTGCTCTACTACTAGGGTAACCCTCCTGCTCTACTACTAGAGTACCCCTCCTGCTCTACTACTAGTACCCCTCCTGCTCTACTACTAGTACCCCTCCTGCTCTACTACTAGAGTACCCCCTGCTCTACTACTAGAGTACCCCTCCTGCTCTACTACTAGAGTACCCCTCCTGCTCTACTACTAGAGTACCCCTCCTGCTCTACTACTAGAGTACCCCTCCTGCTCTGTACCCCTCCTGCTCTACTACTAGAGTACCCCTCCTGCTCTACTACTAGAGTACCCCTCCTGCTCTACTACTAGAGTACCCCTCCTGCTCTACTACTAGAGTACCCCTCCTGCTCTACTACTAGAGTAGAGTACCCCTCCTGCTCTACTACTAGAGTAGAGTACCCCTCCTGCTCTACTACTAGAGTAGAGTACCCCTCCTGCTCTACTACTAGAGTACCCCTCCTGCTCTACTACTAGAGTACCCCTCCTGCTCTACTACTAGAGTACCCCTCCTGCTCTACTACTAGAGTAGAGTACCCCTCCTGCTCTACTACTAGAGTACCCCCTGCTCTACTACTAGTACCCCTCCTGCTCTACTACTAGAGTACCCCCTGCTCTACTACTAGAGTACCCCCTGCTCTACTACTAGAGTACCTCCTGCTCTACTACTAGAGTACCCCTCCTGCTCTACTACTAGAGTACCCCCTGCTCTACTACTAGAGTACCCCTCCTGCTCTACTACTAGAGTACCCCCCCTGCTCTACTACTAGAGTACCCCTCCTGCTCTACTACTAGTACCCCTCCTGCTCTACTACTAGAGTACCCCCCTGCTCTACTACTAGAGTACCCCTCCTGCTCTACTACTAGTACCCCTCCTGCTCTACTACTAGAGTACCCCTCCTGCTCTACTACTAGAGTACCCCTCCTGCTCTACTACTAGTACCCCTCCTGCTCTACTACTAGAGTACCCCCTGCTCTACTACTAGAGTACCCCTCCTGCTCTACTACTAGTACCCCTCCTGCTCTACTACTAGAGTACCCCTCCTGCTCTACTACTAGAGTACCCCCTGCTCTACTACTAGTACCCCTCCTGCTCTACTACTAGAGTACCTCCTGCTCTACTACTAGTACCCCTCCTGCTCTACTACTAGTACCCCTCCTGCTCTACTACTAGAGTACCCCTCCTGCTCTACTACTAGAGTACCCCCTGCTCTACTACTAGAGTACCTCCTGCTCTACTACTAGAGTACCCCTCCTGCTCTACTACTAGAGTACCCCCTGCTCTACTACTAGAGTGCCCCTCCTGCTCTACTACTAGAGTACCCCCCCCTGCTCTACTACTAGAGTACCCCTCCTGCTCTACTACTAGTACCCCTCCTGCTCTACTACTAGAGTACCCTCCTGCTCTACTACTAGAGTACCCCTCCTGCTCTACTACTAGAGTACCCCTCCTGCTCTACTACTAGAGTACCCCCTGCTCTACTACTAGTACCCCTCCTGCTCTACTACTAGAGTACCCCTCCTGCTCTACTACTAGTACCCCTCCTGCTCTACTACTAGAGTACCCCTCCTGCTCTACTACTAGAGTACCTCCTGCTCTACTACTAGAGTACCTCCTGCTCTACTACTAGAGTACCCCCTGCTCTACTACTAGAGTACCCCTCCTGCTCTACTACTAGAGTACCCCTCCTGCTCTACTACTAGAGTACCCCTCCTGCTCTACTACTAGAGTACCCCTCCTGCTCTACTACTAGAGTACCCCCTGCTCTACTACTAGTACCCCTCCTGCTCTACTACTAGAGTACCCCTCCTGCTCTACTACTAGTACCCCTCCTGCTCTACTACTAGAGTACCCCTCCTGCTCTACTACTAGAGTACCTCCTGCTCTACTACTAGAGTACCTCCTGCTCTACTACTAGAGTACCCCCTGCTCTACTACTAGAGTACCCCTCCTGCTCTACTACTAGAGTACCCCTCCTGCTCTACTACTAGAGTACCCCTCCTGCTCTACTACTAGTACCCCTCCTGCTCTACTACTAGTACCCCTCCTGCTCTACTACTAGAGTACCCCCTGCTCTACTACTAGAGTACCCCTCCTGCTCTACTACTAGAGTACCCCTCCTGCTCTACTACTAGAGTACCCCTCCTGCTCTACTACTAGAGTACCCCTCCTGCTCTACTACTAGAGTACCCCCTGCTCTACTACTAGTACCCCTCCTGCTCTACTACTAGAGTACCCCTCCTGCTCTACTACTAGAGTACCCCTCCTGCTCTACTACTAGAGTACCCCCTGCTCTACTACTAGTACCCCTCCTGCTCTACTACTAGTACCCCTCCTGCTCTACTACTAGAGTACCCCCTGCTCTACTACTAGAGTACCCCTCCTGCTCTACTACTAGAGTACCCCTCCTGCTCTACTACTAGAGTACCCCTCCTGCTCTACTACTAGAGTACCCCTCCTGCTCTACTACTAGGGTACCCCTCCTGCTCTACTACTAGAGTACCCCTCCTCCTCTTCTACTAGAGTACCCCTCCTGCTCTACTACTAGAGTACCCCCTGCTCTACTACTAGAGTACCTCCTGCTCTACTACTAGAGTACCTCCTGCTCTACTACTAGAGTACCCCCTGCTCTACTACTAGAGTACCCCTCCTGCTCTACTACTAGAGTACCCCTCCTGCTCTACTACTAGAGTACCCCTCCTGCTCTACTACTAGAGTACCCCTCCTGCTCTACTACTAGAGTACCCCTCCTGCTCTACTACTAGAGTACCCCTCCTGCTCTACTACTAGAGTACCCCTCCTGCTCTACTACTAGAGTACCCCTCCTGCTCTACTACTAAAGTACCCCTCCTTCTCGTTGCTGCGGTCTAGATAACATTCAATTTATATTTGTAAAACACACACGCTGTCCATCTTCAAGATGCAATGTTAAGTGAGCAACAGTTGAATGATGTCGATGAATTAGAAATGAGAAAATTCACCTAACAGCTAAAATGCTACTAATGAAGCGTCCGAGTTGAATCGTTCGATTTTGTTGATTAGTGCAGAAACAAAGATGCAGATTGCATCATTGGCTAAAGTGACAGAAGTCAACTGCAGTGTTTGGGGTCATCCATAAATGACTTCACACTTTTTTTGACGATTTTTACCTCCCCCCCCCCCCCCGTCACACAGCGTCACAAAAAGCCAGACCTCCCTCTTCGAAATGACATCACACCTCAGTCTACAACCCCCCCTCCAAAATCTTGTCAGAACTATGTCAACAAAGAGTATTTTGATCAATTGCTATCACAATTTATTAAAATCGTTTTGTACAACGCGAAATAACGGCTAAAACTCGTTTTCTAACATTGCTTTTTTATAATGCAAAAAGTGTGACGTCACATCATCTTAACCACCCCCCCCCCCCCCTCATCACACACCATCACAAAATTATGGACCCCCCCCTCCCCCCTGCGAGTGTGACGTCATTTAATATGTCAAAAAAAATATTTGACAAGTTATAAACATCAGATTGATGCAACTTGCTAAATTTACTAATGGTGTATTTTTAGATGCGTTATCTTAATTTCTGATTGGATCAACTAAAAATAGATTAAGATTGCATCATTTGCAAAGTGACGAAATGCTACAGGATGGTTTCCTCAAGTTACAAAAAGTTATTTATAGAATTATTTTTAGAAGTGTGACCTTGTTTTCTAAAAGTGCGTTATTTATGATAAACAATGCCAGCACTATATTTCCTGCATTTTAGTTGTTAGGACGAGGGAACGTCCACGCTACTACCTAGATGCCGCAGGGCATGCTGTATGAACGCCTTGAGTGTACGTTAATCACCCTCCATTATAGTCAGGACTTTGTGGGGCGCTCTTGAAAGCCACCGGTTACAATACCACAGGGGGGTCGAGTACGGTCCCTGGCTTGGTTTAATTATCGAATGTCGTGTCCCTATTGTAGGGTGCTCTTTAAAATGAACGTATGCACCATAGTGCTCACAGGAAAGCCCGAGACCCTAAAATCCACCCTGCCTGGGCTACGCTGGACATGCCTGATTCCATTTAGTGAATAATTATATTAGCCCACCATATCTGTAGTGTTTTGCACATTTTAAAACAAATGTAGGTGCCATGTTGCTTATTGGGGAGTCTTGGCGGGGCACTGAAGGATGCGCCAGATTTTATTTAGTCAATGACTATATTAAGCCATGGTATCTATAGCCTGTTGCGCTCTTTAAAACGAACGTATGCACCATAGCGCTCCTGGGAAAGCCTGCTGTGCCAAATTGCACCCTGCTAAGGTGCCGCCCCTGCGAAATTGAAATTTGTTTCCCACAGAAACCTCCCCAGGATTATCCTCATCAACTCCCCAAGTTTCATGCTGATTGAATAAAAGTTGTAATAATGCATTAGGGTCAAACAAACACACAAACACACTTTCATATATATACATTGTGTAGCTTAACACCACAATTATTATAAACTGTTAAACACGAAATCCATCTCACTAGAGCTTATTGATCTTGGACTATGATGTTAAGATGAATAAACTCTCCAATTTTTCCCTCAGGCACATATGGGGTTAATGCCTCTCAAGGTCTGGCCACCACAAGCCAAGGCATCAGATGTATGGGGGGAGTGTTGGTGGACCTGTCTCACATCCAGCAGGTCAACAGCCACTTGGCAAATGTCCATCACAATTTAGCCGCGGAGCAATTCTACAATCAGTTTGATGGGCCAGCCTCTAGTTTGTCAGCAGGCAGCCTCGTGACCCCTGACACCAACTGCCTTCCAGAAGAACAAATGGCCCAATTGTTTGAGCAGTTAAGTCAAGAACAACAGGTCGACTTACTGGAGTCCACAGCACAAAACTTTAATATCTTTGGTGTCAGCAATGAGAACCAGGCACAACCTTTCTTTCTTGGTGGCCACCAGCACCTTTTTAACTTGAGCAGCCAACCTGAAACCTTTCTACCATCAAGTTTTAACTTGAGTAGCCAACCTGAAACCTTTCTACCATCAAGTTTTAACTTGAGCAGCCAACCTGAAACCTTTCTAGCATCAGGTGAGGAAGACATGTTCAGCACCAATGAATTGAGCCCGACAGACTCTGGAGTTTTTGTGGGCACTCCTTCCCCTGATCTCTCCCCACAGAGCCACCCATTGAGCTGACTTCTTGCCTAGCTCCAGCTATGCTGATGTTAACTGCAGTAGTCTCCAAACATTCCTAACAAACAAAGTGACTGCTTTAGTGCAAACCAAATTTTATTCATTCTTCTTGCTTCCCATAAATTGATTGTATTATTTACCATTTTTGCAAGAAGAAATTATTTTTTTACTGTTTCAATCATAAAATTATTTAGTTGTCTAAAAACTTTTGTATTTCAATTTTTTAAGAAAATGTATTTCATAAGATTTCTGTAAAGCTAGTACTGGAATTAAGATTTTTCTTTTTTTATCTAAAATTTTCTTTATTGTTTTAAAGTCGAATTTAAAAAGTCAAACTTTTGTACTAGTTCAATGAGAAACTGAAATGTTGGTAATGTACCAAGTCATTCCAATAAGTAATCAGCTTCACAAAAACAGCAGCAAACATGGCTTGAGGTATAGCACAGTTTGGACTGGATATTGCTGATGTAGAGTAAATGTTCATTCTTTTATAGATGGCTTGCCATTTATTGCGTTATTTTCTTTTCCAGCGTAAATGTTTAAAATTAGATTTTTTTTTCTCTATCATTTGATTGTTAAGACACAATGATGTTCTGGTAAAGACACAATGATGTTCTGGTTTGTTCCAAAACTCTTTTGTATACAACAGATTACACAAACCAGAAATAAGTTTTTAACATCCATTCCTTCTAGTCTAAAAAAAATTAAACATTTTATTTATTAAACTTTTTTTTTGCTGGTAAAAATAAGAATTTAAAAAATAGCTGATTATTCTAAAAAAGACTTCTATAATGTTTTATTCAATATAGACTTCGAATTAATATTTTTATGTCTGTTAAGTATATAAATGTTTATAAATTATAATTATGAAATATGACAGATGATAATATGAAATTATTTAAACAAAATTATTTGCTTCAAGAGACTTCAATTATCTAATTAATATTTGTGGTGTATACTTGGTGCAGTCCCCCCCCCCCCAGTACTGCCCCACAGTGCTGTCCCCTTAGTACAATCCCCCCCAGTACTGACTGGATCAGGTGAGACTGAGTCTTGAGGACAAAATGGCTGCCCATTTTTCAGGCCTACAGTTCCATTTTTATGGACTTGAGGAAAGTTTTTTTTCTTATTACTGACACTATGATTGACCTCAGTATCTCAAAGTAAAATTTGAGTAATGCAAATAATTATACTTGAAAAAATAACATAAAAATTTGAGTAATGCAAATAATTATACTTGAAAAAATAACATAAAAATTTGAGTAATGCAAATAATTATACTTGAAAAAATAACATAAAAATTTGAGTAATGCAAATAATTATACTTGAAAAAATAACATAAAAATTTGAGTAATGCAAATAATTATACTTGAAAAAATAACATAAAAATTTGAGTAATGAAAATAATTATACTTGAAAAAATAACATAAAAATTTGAGTAATGCAAATAATTATACTTGAAAAAATAACATAAAAATTTGAGTAATGCAAATAATTATACTTGAAAAAATAACATAAAAATTTGAATAATGCAAATATTGATACTTGAAAAAAATAACATAAATTTACTTTTACATTTTAAAATTCAAAATGTTGATTACATTACACATACATCGAAGCCTACATATTGAATTAGGCTTAAATGTAAGTTTATAATCTGCAGATCTTTGTATTTCTATTGTATCAATTAATATGATATATTCAATACTTTCTTTTTCATTTATAGTGCTTAGAATTTTAATAAGGTTTTTCTAATGGAATAACTAAATGCGTGGTACTCATAATACTTATAAATATCTCCAGTGCCTTTTGTTACACTTAACTGCTTGTTTAAAAACATTTCTCGTCTTTCCATTTTGCCTTGAAAAAAGCATTATATTATTTTTTTAAAACTTTACTCATTAATGGAATTAAAGAAATTATATTTAAACGTTGTGCTTCAGTTTTCATTGCTTATAAAAAATATTAACTTTATTTATTTTTTATCTGACTGCCATTGCAGTTCTCCTAAAGATTTATTCAGGAATGAGTTATATCCAACTCATTTACTCATTAAAAATGAAAATAAAACAGCCCCAATATATGGGATGGCATAATCTGATGGTAGAGCTCACAACTGGGAACTGGAAAGTCTCAAAGTTGGAGCTTGGGATGACATAATCTGATGGTAGAGCTCACAACTGGGAACTGGAAAGTCTCAAAGTTGGAGCTTGGGATAGCATAATCTGATGGTAGAGCTCACAACTGGGAACTGGAAAGTCTCAAAGTTGGAGCTTGGGATAGCATAATCTGATGGAAGAGCTCACAACTGGGAACTGGAAAGTCTCAAAGTTGGAGCTTGGGATAGCATAATCTGATGGTAGAGCTCACAACTGGGAACTGGAAAGTCTCAAAGTTGGAGCTTGGGATAGCATAATCTGATGGTAGAGCTCACAACTGGGAACTGGAAAGTCTCAAAGTTGGAGCTTGGGATGACATAATCTGATGGTAGAGCTCACAACTGGGAACTGGAAAGTCTCAAAGTTGGAGCTTGGGATAGCATAATCTGATGGTAGAGCTCACAACTGGGAACTGGAAAGTCTCAAAGTTGGAGCTTGGGATGACATAATCTGATGGTAGAGCTCACAACTGGGAACTGGAAAGTCTCAAAGTTGGAGCTTGGGATAGCATAATCTGATGGTAGAGCTCACAACTGGGAACTGGAAAGTCTCAAAGTTGGAGCTTGGGATAGCATAATCTGATGGAAGAGCTCACAACTGGGAACTGGAAAGTCTCAAAGTTGGAGCTTGGGATAGCATAATCTGATGGTAGAGCTCACAACTGGGAACTGGAAAGTCTCAAAGTTGGAGCTTGGGATAGCATAATCTGATGGTAGAAATTGAAATTAGGGGGTGGTAGTATGAGAGAGATTTATTATTATTAGGTGGGTGGTGGTTTTTGTTGGTGGTGGGTTTTGGAGAAAGTCTCAAGTTGGAGCTTGGGATAGCATAATCTGATGGTAGAGCTCACAACTGGGAACTGGAAAGTCCTCAAAGTTGGAGCTTGGGATAGCATAATCTGATGGTAGAGCTCACAACTGGGAACTGGAAAGTCTCAAAGTTGGAGCTTGGGATAGCATAATCTGATGGTAGAGCTCACAACTGGGAACTGGAAAGTCTCAAAGTTGGAGCTTGGGATGGCATAATCTGATGGTAGAGCTCACAACTGGGAACTGGAAAGTCTCAAAGTTGGAGCTTGGGATGACATAATCTGATGGTAGAGCTCACAACTGGGAACTGGAAAGTCTCAAGCTTGGGCTGGAGTCCATAAGACATCTCTGAGTATACTCAGCTCTGAAGGGTACCTTCGGCTGGGCATAGTACGCACCACACTACCATTTGATGTATTAGGAGGGTTTCGTCAATGCTTTACCAATCCTATATTCTTAGATGCGTGACCTTGTTTATTAAAACTGAGTTATTTAAATGTAAACAATGCCTGTGCTTGGATCATATTTATCGGGGCACGGAGTTACGTACACTACCAAAAAAGCCTGATTCGCCCAATCGCAGAAACTCCTAATTTTGTTTAATGAACGCCAATCTTATGTATAGTCTTACGCAATATTTAAAACAAATGTAGGCGACATAGCCCTCATAGGAAAGACCGAGACGCCAAATCACACCCTGCCGGGGGCCGCCGTGGGAAATTTGAATTTTTTCCCCCAGGAACCTTCTCGAGAGTATTCTCTTAAACTCCCTAAAGTTTCATGCCACTCGGATGAAGGGTGTCAAACTGCATCCAACTTTAATTTTTTTAAATATACCATACATAGAGTAAAAAAGCATCCTCCTGGGGCATTGCCCTTGCGAAATTAAAAAAAATATTTTTTTACAGAAACCTCCCCTGGAGTGTTCTAATCAACTCACTAAAGTTTGATGCTGATCAGATGAACGGTGTCAAACTGCAATTGACTTTTATTTATGTATTCCTATATTGAAAAAACTTACCGCGCCCTGCCGAGGCGCCACCCCTGCGATTCCAAAATTTTTTAAAACTTGACAAGGAGTATTCTCAACAACTTCCCAAAGTTCCATGGTGATTGGATAGAAGGTTTAGTAATGTATAGTCTATTTGACAACCTTGTCAGTAAAATTAGGTCACCACTCCCAGATTCGTAGATCTTAGGTTTTAATTATGTTTGTCATTTGATCTGTGATAAGTAGCATTAAAATGATGCATCTATCATTAAAATTGGTTTATGGGCCAGTTCCATTTATACAATATACATACATTGATTACATTCTGTTCATTACCAATTCTAATGAAATCAGGCCCTAACACCCAGTTCACCTACACTACACTATTTGAATTAGGCCACGGACAGTCGTAACTTTTAATTTGTTTTAAGTACTAAACAATTATAATTAGCCATGTAAATGCTGCAACTATAATAAAAATTGGCTTATAGACATATTTTACTAATAATGTTTTATATAAATGTAACTCTGTTATATTTTTTGTCCCCATGGTGTTTCTAAAAGCCAAAATATTGAGCATTATTTAAAGGGGAGGGTTGGTCATTTTTTTTTTCAAGAATGATTATAGAAATAAGCTATAAACTGGTATATTTTGTAAAGTTTGACATAATTACAAATAAGTTTATGCTTTGGTGACGTATCTGTTTAATTATGTTGTTGATATTGTGAATTGTGTGGTTTTTAGACCTCACTAGTAAAAAAAAGTTTTCAGTTGAGAGAGTGTGGTTAATTTATATTTTGAACGTGATGTAAATGTCTAGTGCTATTAATAATTTTTATATTTTTGAATTACTCCATTGTTAAGCAACAAAACTGATACATAATATGTATGTCAATATCTGTTACTTTGAAAATTGACCCCTAAAAGAAAAGTAGCCGTTTGAGCATTGGATCTGTTTCTCGCCTTTATTATCTCCATAAAGTAAACAGCAGTTATGAAACATGAAAGCAGGACGAGCATCTCATTTACTTATTAAGCTCAGGGTCCGATTTTATCTATTTATTTTCTTATTTCCCCCCTTTACCATTTCCATTGATGACTGGGAATGCCAATGGACACCAGTGAGAAAAGTCTCAAAGGTATTTGAGAGGTGTATAAATTCATTAAAAAATCATGCACAGCGTATTTACAATTAATATGGTTATAAAATCCTGCCTGTCTGGTTTTTTTCGGACTTTACTAAAGATTGGATGTATTTGATGTTTATAATATTTTCGGTAACTAAATAAAAATTAAAAAAAAAGCAAAAACAATTTGGTTTTCACGTGTAATGGCGACATAAACATGGCATCCTGGATAGGCTGCCATAGATTTTATTGTACACATTGTAAGCTAAAAATAGAAAACTAGGTCATGGGGTTTTAAATTTGCATTGTTATTTAAAAACTTGATCTGCAAAGTTTTGTAAACAAATAGTTATCGATCACTAAGTTACTGTACAGCCAATCAATATTTGTCTTACGAAAGTGAAACATCGTTATTTTAGGCTTGATGAAAATAAATAGAAATGTAGCCTTAAACTCAACAAATTATTTTCAAGTTCTCTGGATTTGCAACTTTTATAGCATTTATTCTAAGAATATAAAATTTCTAAATTAATTTTAGGCTTAAGTTTTTTTTTTTTTTTTACGGTCTAAATCTAAAAAAACACGTTTTTATTCCATGTCAACAACATTATGGAAGGAATCTCGTCAACTCGCTCGCCTCCATTGCGATATGCCATATGGCATAATGCCCATGGCATATGGCATATGGGCAATTGAAAGATTATTGCAACTAGAATCTAGATTTAGATCTAGACTAGTACTAGTAGTATTGAAGGAAGATCTAGATCTAATATAGATCTAGACCTAGCTAATATATTATATATTATTAATATAGATCTAGATCTATATGACTGATCTAGATCTTCTGATCTTGATTCTTTATCTTATTTCTCGCGAATACTTCCGTTTTCACGGAAAACTAGTGACAATCTTTTACAAGCGAAATTACCAATGTTGTTTTGAATATTTTGTTCTAAAAATAGCAATCATTGTACATTTCCTGGAAATGGGTTTTTCAAGAATATAGATCTAGACCAGCTCTTTCCACGAGACGAAAAAAAAAAACAGCATTTTCTTAAAAAAAATTGTGTTTTCTGCTAGATCTAGACCCTAGCCTATTCTTACTCATGACGCTAACGTTTCTAAGCGAGACTCTAGACTGGATGTTGTGCAGTAGTTTGTGCTATTACATAGATGATAGTAATAGAGCTAGGAATAACTACTGTCTAGATCTAGATCTAGATATAAAAAATTAAAAAGAAATAGTAGGCCTATAATAAATTAATAAATAATATAATAGTAAATAATAGTAATAACTAATTATAAATCTAGTAATAGATCTAGATACTCGTAGATAGGCCCTATCTGATAGGGCCTCACTAGGTAAATAAAATTATTTTTTTTTAAAATTATGACTTATCGATACTTATCGTCTTATGACTTAATAAAATAATATTATAATAATATTATTTATGAAGTATGAAGATTATTAATTATTAGGTAGTGACAGGTGGTTACAGGCAGGTGGTTACATGCAGGTAGTAACAGACAGGTGGTTACAGGCAAAAACCTGTCACGTACATAATTAATAATAATTAATTATTCTTGCTCTTTTCTCTGACTTTATTTCAGATTTCAAAATTTGGTTGAAAAACATGGCTAGTTCAATACAAAGGTTAGTAGTGTCTAATAATGCCCACATATTTTTCCTGCTAGAATTTATTTGTAAAAATGTTGTTAATATGGCAGATGAAGTAGAGTACACATGTTCTGTGACCTCAGCATAAAGTATTTAGGCCTAGTGTGTTCAGTTTAATGCCACAGCAGCCTTTATTTCCCTAATGCGAGTCAGCTACCCACTAAAGCTGGATGGACTAGAGTCAGGTACCCATCAGAGCTGGGTGGACTAGAGTCAGCTACCCACTAAAGCTGGGTGGATTAGAGTCAGCTACCCACCAGAGCTGGCTGGACTAGAGTCAGGTACCCACCAGAGCTGGGTGGACTAGTCAGGTACCCATCAGAGCTGGGTGGACTAGAGTCAGGTACCCACCAGAGCTGGGTGGATTAGAGTCAGGTACCCATCAGAGCTGGGTGGACTAGAGTCAGGTACCCATCAGAGCTAAGTGGACTAGAGTCAGGTACCCACCAGAGCTGGGTGGACTAGAGTCAGGTACCCACCAGAGCTGGGTGGACTAGAGTCAGCTACCCATCAGAGCTGGGTGGACTAGAGTCAGGTACCCATCAGAGCTGGGTGGACTAGAGTCAGGTACCCATCAGAGCTGGGTGGACTAGAGTCAGGTACCCACCAGAGCTGGGTGGACTAGAGTCAGGTACCCACCAGAGCTGGGTGGACTAGAGTCAGCTACCCACCAGAGCTGGGTGGACTAGAGTCAGGTACCCATCAGAGCTGGGTGGACTAGAGTCAGGTACCCACCAGAGCTGGCTGGACTAGAGTCAGATACCCACCAGAGCTGGGTGGACTAGAGTCAGGTACCCACCAGAGCTGGGTGGACTAGAGTCAGCTACCCATCAGAGCTGGGTGGACTAGAGTCAGGTACCCATCAGAGCTGGGTGGACTAGAGTCAGGTACCCATCAGAGCTGGGTGGACTAGAGTCAGGTACCCACCAGAGCTGGGTGGACTAGAGTCAGGTACCCACCAGAGCTGGGTGGACTAGAGTCAGATACCCATCAGAGCTGGGTGGACTAGAGTCAGCTACCCACCAGAGCTGGGTGGACTAGAGTCAGCTACCCACCAGAGCTGGGTGGACTAGAGTCAGGTACCCACCAGAGCTGGGTGGACTAGAGTCAGCTACCCATCAGAGCTGGGTGGACTAGAGTCAGCTACCCACCAGAGCTGGGTGGACTAGAGTCAGGTACCCATCAGAGCTGGGTGGACTAGAGTCAGGTACCCATCAGAGCTGGGTGGACTAGAGTCAGCTACCCACCAGAGCTGGGTGGACTAGAGTCAGGTACCCACCAGAGCTGGGTGGACTAGAGTCAGCTACCCATCAGAGCTGGGTGGACTAGAGTCAGGTACCCATTAGAGCTGGGTGGACTCAGTGAGTCAGGTACCCATCAGAGCTGGGTGGACTAGAGTCAGGTACCCATCAGAGCTGGGTGGACTAGAGTCAGCTACCCACCAGAGCTGGGTGGACTAGAGTCAGGTACCCACCAGAGCTGGGTGGACTAGAGTCAGCTACCCACCAGAGCTGGGTGGACTAGAGTCAGGTACCCATCAGAGCTGGCTGGACTAGAGTCAGATACCCATCAGAGCTGGGTGGACTAGAGTCAGCTACCCACCAGAGCTGGGTGGACTAGAGTCAGGTACCCATCAGAGCTGGGTGGACTAGAGTCAGCTACCCACCAGAGCTGGGTGGACTAGAGTCAGGTACCCACCAGAGCTGGGTGGACTAGAGTCAGCTACCCATCAGAGCTGGGTGGATTAGAGTCAGCTACCCACCAGAGCTGGGTGGACTAGAGTCAGGTACCCATCAGAGCTGGGTGGACTAGTCAGGTACCCATCAGAGCTGGGTGGACTAGAGTCAGGTACCCATCAGAGCTGGGTGGACTAGTCAGGTACCCATCAGAGCTGGGTGGACTAGAGTCAGCTACCCACCAGAGCTGGGTGGACTAGAGTCAGGTACCCATCAGAGCTGGGTGGACTAGTCAGGTACCCATCAGAGCTGGGTGGATTAGAGTCAGCTACCCACCAGAGCTGGGTGGACTAGAGTCAGGTACCCATCAGAGCTGGGTGGACTAGTCAGGTACCCATCAGAGCTGGGTGGACTAGAGTCAGGTACCCACCAGAGCTGGGTGGACTAGAGTCAGGTACCCACCAGAGCTGGGTGGACTAGAGTCAGGTACCCATCAGAGCTGGGTGGATTAGAGTCAGCTACCCACCAGAGCTGGGTGGACTAGAGTCAGGTACCCATCAGAGCTGGGTGGACTAGTCAGGTACCCATCAGAGCTGGGTGGACTAGAGTCAGGTACCCATCAGAGCTGGGTGGACTAGTCAGGTACCCATCAGAGCTGGGTGGACTAGAGTCAGGTACCCATCAGAGCTGGGTGGACTAGAGTCAGGTACCCACCAGAGCTGGGTGGACTAGAGTCAGGTACCCATCAGAGCTGGGTGGACTAGAGTCAGGTACCCACCAGAGCTGGGTGGACTAGAGTCAGATACCCATCAGAGCTGGGTGGACTAGAGTCAGATACCCACCAGAGCTGGGTGGACTAGAGTCAGGTACCCACTGGAGAATAAATTATCTTACAAACTGCCCATACATGTATCTGTCACCTAAACAAATTGCAATTATCTATCTTGAATACTCTTGACATGCACCAATAGGCTTGAAAAGTCTATGTAATCATATTGAATTTTCAAAAAAAATCTTTTTCAATTGATAAAATTATAGTTATATTCTAAAAAATTAAAGCAGTTTTGGAACCTATGATTACACTCATTTTCATATTTTTGTATTGAATATATGCCGTTGAAAAGTCGCCTAAAATTATTTTTTCAATTAAAAAAAAAACACACCTCAACCCCTCCTTGAAGTCAACCGTAGTGGCCAGGGAAAGTAAAACAATAAAAGTCACAACAAGTGTTTTCTGTAATAAAATACACAATGGCTGTCAATGGGGTATAGCCTACTAGTTTATTCATATTAAATAATACAACACTCCCTATCACCCCAACACTCTGACTCCACTAATCCAAATTAAAAATAAAAGTGCTGTAGCTAAATTACCATTATATTACTTGTAATTTTTTGTTTGAATATTTCTAGCCTTAATAAAACCGGAAGTCTTTTTGTACTTATTTCTTAAATGTTATAAAAAAATTAAATTTTGGTTGAAAAATACACTTTTTAGCAACAACTATTGTAACCAGCTTTTAAAGCCTATTGGAATGGAAATGTTTTTTAAAAAATGTACATAGCTCAGTGATTCAGTGCTTAAACAATTATTATATATCACAATTTTCAGCCAAATGGACGTGGATTCAGAAAAAATTGATGAAATTGATAGAAAACTTACAAAAATAAAGAAATATTTAAGTCAAGATAGGAGTGAGACCAAAACAATTTATCTTGAAATCCCATTATTCATGCGGACACGTTTGGCTCATGTCATTGACTATTATTCCAGATGGTAAGACATTTTATTGACATAATTTAATGGTAAGACATTTTATTGACATAATTTAATGGTAAGACATTTTATTTATATAATTTAATGGTAAGATATTTTATTGACATAATTTAATGGTAAGACATTTTATTGGCATAATTTAATGGTAAGACATTCTATTTACATAATTTAATGGTAAGACATTTTATTGACATAATTTAATAGTAAGATATTTTATTTACATAATTTAATGGTAAGATATTTTATTTACATAATTTAATGGTAAGACATTCTATTTACATAATTTAATGGTAAGACATTCTATTTACATAATTTAATGCCTGAGCCTGGTAGCCTGACCCTCTGGTAGCCCTATATAACTTGTTTGATGTCCACTTAGGCAAACAGTGGCAGATGGCTGTGAGAGAAATGATCCAGAGAGCTTAAGGGAAGCAACTAGAAAATTTCAGGAGATTGAAGGCATGATGAATGCTTTCATATTTAATAGCAAAAATCCAAATGACAATGCCATGTTTATGATCAATGATAGGAATATTCTTCAGGTAAGTAACATTCCAATTCAGTTGTAAATCTACTGACTTTAAGGAATGGAACATTCCATTTCAGATGTAAAACCGTAAATATTATCCAAAAGAAAAAAGCAGGCTGAAATCGGAGTCAATGGTGCATAACCAGTTGACACGTAACGCTTAATTGTGTTGGAGGCGTGGTCGAGTCGGCAAAAAGCTCATGGTTGATAAATTCGTACAAAGTCTCGAGTTCAAACCCACTGGCAGATAAATCTCGATCCCCTTCAACACTAATAATTAAGAACGAAGAAGAAGATCCAGATCTGACAATTATTTTAAAACAATATCCCAAATTGTATTTTTTGTTCTACAATGTGTTCATGAATCATGACTGTGTGGCATGTCCTTTATTTAGGAGAAGTTTGGCAAAGACCATCCCAAATTTATGAGAGAAATGGCTCGTTGTCTACAGAATGAGGCCGACATCATGAAGGTCAGTGACTAAATTTGTGCCAGAACAATTTTGTAGCCAGATGTTCTACAGCACTCAGCTAATGTGTTTAAGGTGCTGTTCCATTCTTTGATTGATACATTCATGACAGATTATGTTTCTCTTTTGGTAGTGACCTCTGTCACCTGTTATTGATACATTCATGACAGATTATGTTTCTCTTTTGGTAGTGACCTCTGTCATCTGTTATAAATAATTTATACTTCCAGTTGGATCCCCTAAGTTTGAGGCCCAGTTGGCCCCAGTGGCCCATTAATTTAGTGCAGGGCAGATGTGTAAGTGTTGGCCCCATAAACATGGCGGCCATTTTGTCCACACACTTGTTGAGCTAAATTGTTTAAGCTATAAAAAAAAAAACGCTTATTTTTGTAATGCACAAGAGTATCCAAATTTTATTTTATCCGAATCAAAATTCTTTAAAAACTTTTTTTATTGCTAAGCTTTAAACTATTTCAAATTAAAAAATACATTTCCAAATCATTCTAGTCTGATAAAACTTGAGAATGTAGTGTTGGTTAAAACATTTTCTCTGTAGCAACTTTGCTTACACGCCTGTGTTTCTGTGTTGCCACCCTATGATTAGCTGCAGCAGTTAAAGAGTTAAGCACCTATATTGCCACCAATTAATTAGCTGCAGCAGTTAAAGAGTTAAGCACCTATATTGCCACCAATTAATTAGCTGCAGCAGTTAAAGAGTTAGGCACCATAGCTTATTTTTTGCTTACACAAATATTTTTAATCACTGCAACTTCATTTCTCACCTAAACTTAAAAATAAAATATAAAAAACTAAAATAAGGTTAATTCATTCTTGTAAGCTTTTAGAATAACTGCCATGCCTGTATTTATATTTTAGTGTTCCTTTTAAACTTTTTCTTTTCAAATATATTTTGTCCACATTCAGTTAATGCTGTATCAATATCGATTGATATAAAAAAATATATTATAAATTGAAGGTTTTATTTTCTAACCATTATTGTTATATTGAATTCTTCAATTGGAGTACATATAGGGTGGATTTACTACTGTATAGCTTATATGGGGTGTCTTGTAGACAGTGGGTAGTGTCTAGTGGGTAGTAGACAGTGGGTAGTGTCTAGTGGGTAGTGTCTAGTGGGTAGTGTCTAGTGGACAGTGGGTAGTGTCTAGTGGGTAGTGTCTAGTGGGTAGTGGACAGTGGGTAGTGTCTAGTGGACAGTGGGTAGTGTCTAGTGGACAGTGGGTAGTGTCTAGTGGACAGTGGGTAGTGTCTAGTGGACAGTGGGTAGTGTCTAGTAGACAGTGGGTAGTGTCTAGTGGGTAGTAGACAGTGGGTAGTCTAGTGGACAGTGGGTAGTGTCTAGTGGACAGTGGGTAGTGTCTAGTGGGTAGTAGACAGTGGGTAGTCTAGTGGACAGTGGGTAGTGTCTAGTGGACAGTGGGTAGTGTCTAGTAGACAGTGGGTAGTGTCTAGTGGACAGTGGGTAGTGTCTAGTGGACAGTGGGTAGTGTCTAGTGGGTAGTAGACAGTGGGTAGTCTAGTGGACAGTGGGTAGTGGACAGTGGGTAGTGTCTAGTGGACAGTGGGTAGTGTTTAGTGGACAGTGGGTAGTGTCTAGTGGACAGTGGGTAGTGTCTAGTGGACAGTGGGTAGTGTCTAGTGGACAGTGGGTAGTGGATACTGTCAGAATTGAACCAATTGACCCTGTGTGCTAAATTAATTTGTGAAATCCTCATCTGCAATGGACTGACATCCTTTTCTTGCCATTGCTAAACTTACCACTTACCTAAACTTACCACTTACCTAAACTTGCCACTTACCTAAACTTACCACTTACCTTAACTTTTTACTTACCTAAACTTTTTACTTACCTAAACTTGCCCCTAGCTACCCATTTTTTACCTGTGGCAATGCTAGCATTATTCTTCCTTAGTTCTCAACTACATATAGTTAATTCATTCAATTCTGCTTACATAGTTTAGGGTAACAGTCATAGTATCTTTTTAAAAATTGTTTTAATTTTTAATAATTGGAAATACCCAACTAAATGGAGTTAAATAATGCAAAACTTAATTGTTGCTGCTAAACATTTTACTCAGTTATCTTTTTTTTTAAAACGAAATAATATTTTACACTATTTGTACAACTATTTGATTGCAACAGAAAAAATTGAACAACTTGATAATAAAAGAATTATTTTCTAGGAGCTGGAGATGAGTGGGCAAATGAGCCCAGAGCCACACAGCCCAGAGGACGTGTATGAGGAAACTTCACACAGTGATGATTATCTTAAGACTACATTTATTGATGTAAGGCACTCAAATGTAAAGTTTAGTACAAGCTCACACACACATATATATATATATATTGTATGAGGAAACTTCACACAGTGATGATTATCTTAAGACTACATTTATTGATGTAAGGCACTCAAATGTAAACTTTAGTACAAGGTCACATATATATATATATATATATATATATATATATATATATATATATATATATATATATATATATATATATATATATATATATATATATATATATATATATATAGATAGACCATAAGACAGACTGACCATGAAACAGACCATAAGGCAGACAGATATATTTACTTAATTATTTTTAACAGTTTTCACCAGATTAATTCTTTAAAATAGACCCCAGTTGTAATGAAACGTGCCTATTGATTTTCTAGGAGATTGACACTTACCTAAAAAAGTTGGAGGAACTAGACAAGTACCGAGAGGACCTGAGGCGTTTCAATCCAACCAATTATCCGACAGAAGAAGGTTCGTATAAAACAAAACAAATGGATTCCATGCTTGACTATTTATTGCTAAACATTTTGCTTCAACTCTCTAAGCACAACAACTAGAACTAGACAATCAAAAGCAGCTTGAAGATGGGAATTCTAAAAACTCAAATTTTTAGATGGGTATCTCAAGTATAGTGTGCTAGACTAAAATTGTGTAACTAGAGCAGATTCTTGAATCCATGCATTATCTCATCTCCTGATCTGTGTCTGCCATTCAAGGCTTATCACAAGTGCTAAGTCTTGTACTCAAATATTTTAGACTGTGGTCACTTATTTTAGACTAGACTGTGATCACTAATTCTAGACTAGACTGGACACTAATTCTAGACTAGACTGGACACTAATTCTAGACTAGACTGTGTCACTAATTCTAAACTAGACTGTGGACACTAATTCTAGACTAGACTGTGGACACTAATTAATTCTAGACTAGACTGTGGACACTAATTCTAGACTAGACTGTGGACACTAATTCTAGACTAGACTGTGGACACTAATTAATTCTAGACTAGACTGTGGACACTAATTCTAGACTAGACTGTGGACACTAATTCTAAACTAGACTGTGGACACTAATTAATTCTAGACTAGACTGTGGACACTAATTCTAGACTAGACTGTGGACACTAATTCTAGACTAGACTGTGGACACTAATTAATTCTAGACTAGACTGTGGACACTAATTCTAGACTAGACTGTGGACACTAATTCTAAACTAGTCTATGGACACTAATTCTAGACTAGACTGTGGACACTAATTCTAAACTAGTCTATGGACACTAATTTTAGACTAGACTGTGGACACTAATTCTCAACTAGACTTTGGACACTAATTTTAGACTAGACTGTGGTCACTAATTAATTCTAGACTAGGCTGTGGTCACTAATTCTAGACTAGACTATGGACACTAATGATGTTGCTTACTTTGAAAATGATGTAGCAGCCTATGCAAATTATGTAGCCCACTATAAAATAATGTAGCCCACTAAGTGTAAATTGTCTAACCATCTCTATCGACCTAGATATTTGAATGTAACAGCCAGTGTTTGTCCACCCTAGATATTTGAATGTAACAGCCCGTGTTTGTCCACCCTAGATATTTGAATGTAACAGCCAGTGTTTGTCCACCCTAGATATTTGAATGTAACAGCCAGTGTTTGTCCACCCTAGATATTTGAATGTAACAGCCAGTGTTTGTCCACCCTAGATATTTGAATGTAACAGCCCGTGTTTGTCCACCCTAGATATTTGAATGTAACAGCCCGTGTTTGTCCACCCTAGATATTTGAATGTAACAGCCAGTGTTTGTCCACCCTAGATATTTGAATGTAACAGCCCGTGTTTGTCCACCCTAGATATTTGAATGTAACAGCCCGTGTTTGTCCACCCTAGATATTTGAATGTAACAGCCAGTGTTTGTCCACCCTAGATATTTGAATGTAACAGCCCGTGTTTGTCCACCCTAGATATTTGAATGTAACAGCCAGTGTTTGTCCACCCTAGAAATTTGAATGTAACAGCCAGTGTTTGTCCACCCTAGATATTTGAATGTAACAGCCAGTGTTTGTCCACCCTAGATATTTGAATGTAACAGCCAGTGTTGGTCCACCCTAGATATTTGAATGTAACAGCCAGTGTTTGTCCACCCTAGATATTTGAATGTAACAGCCAGTGTTTGTCCACCCTAGATATTTGAATGTAACAGCCAGTGTTTGTCCACCCTAGATATTTGAATGTAACAGCCAGTGTTTGTCCACCCTAGATATTTGAATGTAACAGCCAGTGTTTGTCCACCCTAGATATTTGAATGTAACAGCCAGTGTTTGTCCACCCTAGATATTTGAATGTAACAGCCAGTGTTTGTCCACCCTAGATATTTGAATGTAACAGCCAGTGTTTGTCCACCCTAGATATTTGAATGTAACAGCCCGTGTTTGTCCACCCTAGATATTTGAATGTAACAGCCAGTGTTTGTCCACCCTAGATATTTGAATGTAACAGCCAGTGTTTGTCCACCCTAGATATTTGAATGTAACAGCCAGTGTTTGTCCACCCTAGATATTTGAATGTAACAGCCAGTGTTGGTCCACCCTAGATATTTGAATGTAACAGCCAGTGTTTGTCCACCCTAGATATTTGAATGTAACAGCCAGTGTTTGTCCACCCTAGATATTTGAATGTAACAGCCAGTGTTTGTCCACCCTAGATATTTGAATGTAACAGCCAGTGTTTGTCCACCCTAGATATTTGAATGTAACAGCCAGTGTTTGTCCACCCTAGATATTTGAATGTAACAGCCAGTGTTTGTCCACCCTAGATATTTGAATGTAACAGCCCGTGTTTGTCCACCCTAGATATTTGAATGTAACAGCCAGTGTTTGTCCACCCTAGATATTTGAATGTAACAGCCAGTGTTTGTCCACCCTAGATATTTGAATGTAACAGCCAGTGTTTGTCCACCCTAGATATTTGAATGTAACAGCCAGTGTTTGTCCACCCTAGATATTTGAATGTAACAGCCAGTGTTTGTCCACCCTAGATATTGAGCAGTTAGATGAAATGGACTTGAGGAACAGAGTGACAGATGCTGTAACTGTGACTGCCCAGTGTGAAGCAATATCAAAAAATATTCATGATCTTCAGACGGTAGGGTTCAGTTTTAGCTCCAACATTGTCACACCAAGTTTCCATTCCCCACTTTGTGGCCAGCAGATGTTTGACCTGATCTGTCTGTCTGTCTGTCATGCAGGTAATCCGGGCCAACCTGAACATGGTGCACGTCTCGCTGCTGAGCTCGCTGCAGGAGCTGCACCAGCAAGTGGCTAGGTGGAGAAATGACGAGGCCAGGTTTAACGTCGGAGTTGGGCCAGAAATTAGACTGAACCCACTCATTAGAAAGTTAGTCAAAATGTCTTGTTACTGGTATCTTTTCTACTCACTACTAGTGGGGCTTAGACATAATTAGGACACTGGAACAGAAAACTTTACCTCCTCAAAATTAATCAGTTTAATATTTTAATTTTAGGCATAGTCTATAAAGTGTGTCATGCATTTTTGTCTCATTTTAACCCCACACTCAATTGCTGCAAAAGTCTAAGCCCCCCCCCCCCCCCCCCCTCTGATTGAACGTTGGAGGTCGTTGATTGATGACACTTAACTATCAGCATCTCCCATTGATTGATGACCCTTAACTATCAGCATCTCCCATTGATCAGATGAAAATTGTGTGTGTAGATTTCATTCTGTGGGAGAAATACTGAAAAAAGTCCCGGACTGGTTTAGCCAGTTCTGTGACCAACAGGAGGATGCTGTTGATGAACTTGGCGTCCAGACTTTTGAGGGTGAAATGAGGTCACTGTTGCAGGAATTTATGGAGCTGGAGAAACTCTTTCTTTCAGAGTAAGTCTTAAGTCATGTAATGGCTGCTTAAGTCATGTAATAGCTGCTTAAAGTCTTAAGTCATGTAATGGTTGCTTAAAGTCTTAAGTCATGTAATAGCTGCTGTAAAGTCTTACAAGTTTTCTGCCTAGTTTGTAAGAAGTGGCTACAAGTTTTGTTCCCCTCCCACCACAGCAAACAAGCTGTTGTCCTCAAACAACCAAATGATGTCATTAGCATTGAAAATGAAAGGGACGTGAAGAAAAAAGAAAAAGACGAACCAGGAAAAAGTGGGAAGGAAAAAAAGAAGAAAGAAGGCAGAAGCTACTGCACAAAGAAAAATCAAACTTTTGAAACAACTGTCAGGTAATTCTCAAACTTTTGAAACAACTCTCAGGTAATTCTCAAACTTTTGAAACAACTGTCAGGTAATTCTCAAACTTTTGAAACAACTGTCAGGTAATTCTCAAACTTTTGAAACAACTGTCAGGTAATTCTCAAACTTTTGAAACAACTGTCAGGTAATTTTCAAACTTTTGAAACAACTATCATGTAATTCTCAAACTTTTGAAACAACTGTCAGGTAATTTATATTTGAGACTAGAACAAAGTTATAGGAGAAACCTTGAGTTATATGGAGAGAATTGCCTTTGCTATTACCTATTTTAATTTCAATGATTTTTTTCTTTTGATTTATTGTAACAGTGAATGTCACTGTTCTTTTAATTATTAAACTTCATGTCATTATGCTGTGGTATAATGAACAAGATGAGAATTTTATATATACTTTATATATTGATGCTTTTAAAAGCATTACATTTTCTTTTGAAATGCAATAACTCCTCCCATCTCCCTCCCCCCCCCCCCCTTACCATTTGAATGCTGACAGACTACTGGGCTGCGAGTGTTTACAAAATCTGGAATTGTGTGGCGCTACACTGGACCTGGTGGCAGAGAAAGATTTGGCCCAAACGACACAGACTGGCCTGGAGTCCAAAAGCAATTTAAAATTTGAGTGGCAGGTGGACAAGACGCCAGTTTATCTGGACGTGACCTTCAAGAATGTCACCATCAACAACTTCTTCAGGGTGGAGCAGAACAACGTCTACAAGCAGTTCTTTAGGCTCATCTACACCATCAGTCTCAGATACAATGGACACGACTATACAGTGGAGGTAGGCCAAACAGACACGACTATGCAGTGGAGGTAGGCCAAACAAACACGACTATACAGTGAAGGTAGGCCAAGCAAACACGACTATACAGTGGAGGTAGGCCAAACAAACAGACACGACTATACAGTGGAGGTAGGCCAAACAGACAAACACGACTATACAGTGGAGGTAGGCCAAACAAACAGACACGACTATACAGTGGAAGTAGGCCAAACAAACAGACACGACTATACAGTGGAAGTAGGCCAAACAAACAAACACGACTATACAGTGGAGGTAGGCCAAACAAACAGACACGACTATACAGTGGAGGTAGGCCAAACAAACAGACACGACTATACAGTGGAGGTAGGCCAAACAAACAGACACGACTATACAGTGGAGGTAGGCCAAACAAACAGACACGACTATACAGTGGAGGTAGGCCAAACAAACAGACACGACTATACAGTGGAGGTAGGTCAAACAGACACGACTATACAGTGGAGGTAGGCCAAACAAACAGACACGACTATACAGTGGAGGTAGGCCAAACAAACAGACACGACTATACAGTGGAGGTAGGCCAAACAGACAGACACGACTATACAGTGGAGGTAGGCCAAACAGACACGACTATACAGTGGAGGTAGGCCAAACAGACACGACTATACAGTGGAGGTAGGCCAAACAGACATGACTATACAGTGGAGGTAGGCCAAACAAACAGACACGACTATACAGTGGAGGTAGGCCAAACAAACATGACTATACAGTGGAGGTAGGCCAAACAAACAGACACGACTATACAGTGGAGGTAGGCCAAACAAACAGACACGACTATACAGTGGAGGTAGGCCAAACAGACACGACTATACAGTGGAGGTAGGCCAAACAGACACGACTATACAGTGGAGGTAGGCCAAACAAACACGACTATACAGTGGAGGTAGGCCAAACAAACAGACACGACTATACAGTGGAGGTAGGTCAAACAGACACGACTATACAGTGGAGGTAGGCCAAACAAACAGACACGACTATACAGTGGAGGTAGGCCAAACAGACACAACTATACAGTGGAGGTAGGCCAAACAAACAGACACGACTATACAGTGGAGGTAGGCCAAACAGACACGACTATACAGTGGAGGTAGGCCAAACAAACAGACACGACTATACAGTGGAGGTAGGCCAAACAAACAGACACGACTATACAGTGGAGGTAGGCCAAACAAACAGAAATCTTAAAACTTTCTCATGTGGTGTGTAAAGGACAACGTCTACAAGCAGTTCTTTAGGCTCATCTACACCATCAGTCTCAGATACAATGGACACGACTATACAGTGGAGGTAGGCCAAACAAACACGACTATACAGTGGAGGTAGGTCAAACAGACACGACTATACAGTGGAGGTAGGCCAAACAGACACGACTATACAGTGGAGGTAGGCCAAACAGACACGACTATACAGTGGAGGTAGGCCAAACAAACAGACACGACTATACAGTGGAGGTAGGCCAAACAAACAAACACGACTATACAGTGGAGGTAGGCCAAACAAACAGACACGACTATACAGTGGAGGTAGGCCAAACAAACAGACACGACTATACAGTGGAGGTAGGCCAAACAAACATGACTATACAGTGGAGGTAGGCCAAACAGACACGACTATACAGTGGAGGTAGGCCAAACAAACAGACACGACTATACAGTGGAGGTAGGCCAAACAGACACGACTATACAGTGGAGGTAGGCCAAACAAACAGACACGACTATACAGTGGAGGTAGGCCAAACAAACAAACACGACTATACAGTGGAGGTAGGCCAAACAAACAGACACGACTATACAGTGGAGGTAGGCCAAACAAACAGACACGACTATACAGTGGAGGTAGGCCAAACAAACATGACTATACAGTGGAGGTAGGCCAAACAAACACGACTATACAGTGGAGGTAGGCCAAACAAACAGACACGACTATACAGTGGAGGTAGGCCAAACAGACACGACTATACAGTGGAGGTAGGCCAAACAAACACGACTATACAGTGGAGGTAGGCCAAACAAACAGACACGACTATACAGTGGAGGTAGGCCAAACAAACATGACTATACAGTGGAGGTAGGCCAAACAAACACGACTATACAGTGGAGGTAGGCCAAACAAACACGACTATACAGTGGAGGTAGGCCAAACAAACACGACTATACAGTGGAGGTAGGCCAAACAAACAGACACGACTATACAGTGGAAGTAGGCCAAACAGACAAACACGACTATACAGTGGAGGTAGGCCAAACAAACAGACACGACTATACAGTGGAGGTAGGCCAAACAGACACGACTATACAGTGGAGGTAGGCCAAACAGACACGACTATACAGTGGAGGTAGGCCAAACAAACAGACACGACTATACAGTGGAGGTAGGCCAAACAGACACGACTATACAGTGGAGGTAGGCCAAACAAACACGACTATACAGTGGAGGTAGGCCAAACAAACAGACACGACTATACAGTGGAGGTAGGCCAAACAGACACGACTATACAGTGGAGGTAGGCCAAACAAACAGACACGACTATACAGTGGAGGTAGGCCAAACAGACACGACTATACAGTGGAGGTAGGCCAAACAGACACGACTATACAGTGGAGGTAGGCCAAACAGACACGACTATACAGTGGAGGTAGGCCAAACAAACAGACACGACTATACAGTGGAGGTAGGCCAAACAGACACGACTATACAGTGGAGGTAGGCCAAACAAACAGACACGACTATACAGTGGAGGTAGGCCAAACAAACACGACTATACAGTGGAGGTAGGCCAAACAGACACGACTATACAGTGGAGGTAGGCCAAACAGACACGACTATACAGTGGAGGTAGGCCAAACAAACAGACACGATTATACAGTGGAGGTAGGCCAAACAGACACGACTATACAGTGGAGGTAGGCAAAACAGACACGACTATACAGTGGAGGTAGGCCAAACAAACAGACACGATTATACAGTGGAGGTAGGCCAAACAGACACGACTATACAGTGGAGGTAGGCAAAACAGACACGACTATACAGTGGAGGTAGGCCAAACAAACAGAAATCTTAAAACTTTCTCATGTGGTGTGTAAAGGACAACGTCTACAAGCAGTTCTTTAGGCTCATCTACACCATCAGTCTCAGATACAATGGACACGACTATACAGTGGAGGTAGGTCAAACAGACACGACTATACAATGGAGGTAGGCCAAACAAACAGACACGACTATACAGTGGAGGTAGGCCAAACAAACAGACACAACTATACAGTGGAGGTAGGCAAAACAAACAGACACGACTATACAGTGGAGGTAGGCCAAACAAACAGACACGACTATACAGTGGAGGTAGGCCAAACAAACAGACACGACTATACAGTGGAGGTAGGCCAAACAGACACGATTATACAGTGGAGGTAGGACAAACAGACACGACTATACAGTGGAGGTAGGCCAAACAAACAGACACGACTATACAGTGGAGGTAGGCCAAACAAACAGACACGACTATACAGTGGAGGTAGGCCAAACAGACACGACTATACAGTGGAGGTAGGCCAAACAGACACGATTATACAGTGGAGGTAGGCCAAACAAACAGACACGACTATACAGTGGAGGTAGGCCAAACAACCAGACACGACTATACAGTGGAGGTAGGCCAAACAAACAGACACGACTATACAGTGGAGGTAGGCCAAACAGACACAACTATACAGTGGAGGTAGGCAAAACAGACACGACTATACAGTGGAGGTAGGCCAAACAAACAGACACGACTATACAGTGGAGGTAGGCCAAACAAACAGACACGACTATACAGTGGAGGTAGGCCAAACAAACAGACACGACTATACAGTGGAGGTAGGCCAAACAAACAGACACGACTATACAGTGGAGGTAGGCCAAACAAACAGACACGACTATACAGTGGAGGTAGGCCAAACAAACAGACACGACTATACAGTGGAGGTAGGCCAAACAGACACGACTATACAGTGGAGGTAGGCCAAACAAACAGACACGACTATACAGTGGAGGTAGGCCAAACAGACACAACTATACAGTGGAGGTAGGCAAAACAGACACGACTATACAGTGGAGGTAGGCCAAACAAACAGACACGACTATACAGTGGAGGTAGGCCAAACAAACAGACACGACTATACAGTGGAGGTAGGCCAAACAAACACGACTATACAGTGGAGGTAGGCCAAACAAACAGACACGACTATACAGTGGAGGTAGGCCAAACAGACACGACTATACAGTGGAGGTAGGCCAAACAAACACGACTATACAGTGGAGGTAGGCCAAACAAACAGACACGACTATACAGTGGAGGTAGGCCAAACAAACAGACACGACTATACAGTGGAGGTAGGCCAAACAAACAGACACGACTATACAGTGGAGGTAGGCCAAACAAACAGACACGACTATACAGTGGAGGTAGGCCAAACAGACACGACTATACAGTGGAGGTAGGCCAAACAAACACGACTATACAGTGGAGGTAGGCCAAACAAACAGACACGACTATACAGTGGAGGTAGGCCAAACAAACAGACACGACTATACAGTGGAGGTAGGCCAAACAAACAGACACGACTATACAGTGGAGGTAGGCCAAACAAACAGACACGACTATACAGTGGAGGTAGGCCAAACAGACACGACTATACAGTGGAGGTAGGCCAAACAAACAGACACGACTATACAGTGGAGGTAGGCCAAACAGACACGACTATACAGTGGAGGTAGGCCAAACAGACACGACTATACAGTGGAGGTAGGCCAAACAGACAAGACTATACAGTGGAGGTAGGCCAAACAAACAGACACGACTATACAGTGGAGGTAGGCCAAACAAACAGACACGACTATACAGTGGAGGTAGGCCAAACAGACAAACACAACTATACAGTGGAGGTAGGCCAAACAGACACGACTATACAGTGGAGGTAGGCCAAACAAACAGACACGACTATACAGTGGAGGTAGGCCAAACAAACAGACACGACTATACAGTGGAGGTAGGCCAAACAAACAGACACAACTATACAGTGGAGGTAGGCCAAACAAACAGACACGACTATACAGTGGAGGTAGGCCAAACAAACAGACACGACTATACAGTGGAGGTAGGCCAAACAGACACGACTATACAGTGGAGGTAGGCCAAACAAACAGACACGACTATACAGTGGAGGTAGGCCAAACAGACACGACTATACAGTGGAGGTAGGCCAAACAAACAGACACGACTATACAGTGGAGGTAGGCCAAACAAACAGACACGACTATACAGTGGAGGTAGGCCAAACAGACACGACTATACAGTGGAGGTAGGCCAAACAGACACGACTATACAGTGGAGGTAGGCCAAACAGACAGACACGACTATACAGTGGAGGTAGGCCAAACAGACAGACACGACTATACAGTGGAGGTAGGCCAAACAAACAGACACGACTATACAGTGGAGGTAGGCCAAACAAACAGACACGACTATACAGTGGAGGTAGGCCAAACAAACATGACTATACAGTGGAGGTAGGCCAAACAAACAGACACGACTATACAGTGGAGGTAGGCCAAACAGACAGACACGACTATACAGTGGAGGTAGGCCAAACAGACAGACACGACTATACAGTGGAGGTAGGCCAAACAGACACGACTATACAGTGGAGGTAGGCCAAACAGACACGACTATACAGTGGAGGTAGGCCAAACAGACACGACTATACAGTGGAGGTAGGCCAAACAGACACGACTATACAGTGGAGGTAGGCCAAACAGACACGACTATACAGTGGAGGTAGGCCAAACAAACAGACACGACTATACAGTGGAGGTAGGCCAAACAGACACGACTATACAGTGGAGGTAGGCCAAACAAACAGACACGACTATACAGTGGAGGTAGGCCAAACAAACAGACACGACTATACAGTGGAGGTAGGCCAAACAAACAGACACGACTATACAGTGGAGGTAGGCCAAACAAACAGACACGACTATACAGTGGAGGTAGGCCAAACAGACACGACTATACAGTGGAGGTAGGCCAAACAAACAGACACGACTATACAGTGGAGGTAGGCCAAACAGACACAACTATACAGTGGAGGTAGGCAAAACAGACACGACTATACAGTGGAGGTAGGCCAAACAAACAGACACAACTATACAGTGGAGGTAGGCCAAACAGACACGACTATACAGTGGAGGTAGGCCAAGCAAACAGACACAACTATACAGTGGAGGTAGACCAAACAAACAGACATGACTATACAGTGGAGGTAGGCCAAACAGACACGACTATACAGTGGAGGTAGGCCAAACAAACAGACATGACTATACAGTGGAGGTAGGCCAAACAGACACGACTATACAGTGGAGGTAGGCCAAACAAACAGACACGACTATACAGTGGAGGTAGGCCAAACAAACAGACACGACTATACAGTGGAGGTAGGCCAAACAGACACGACTATACAGTGGAGGTAGGCCAAACAGACACGACTATACAGTGGAGGTAGGCCAAACAGACACGATTATACAGTGGAGGTAGGCCAAACAAACAGACACGACTATACAGTGGAGGTAGGCCAAACAGACACGACTATACAGTGGAGGTAGGCCAAACAAACAGACACGACTATACAGTGGAGGTAGGCCAAACAAACAGACACGACTATACAGTGGAGGTAGGCCAAACAGACACGACTATACAGTGGAGGTAGGCCAAACAGACACGACTATACAGTGGAGGTAGGCCAAACAAACAGACACGACTATACAGTGGAGGTAGGCCAAACAGACAGACACGACTATACAGTGGAGGTAGGCCAAACAAACAGACACGACTATACAGTGGAGGTAGGCCAAACAGACACGACTATACAGTGGAGGTAGGCCAAACAGACACGACTATACAGTGGAGGTAGGCCAAACAAACAGACACGACTATACAGTGGAGGTAGGCCAAACAGACACGACTATACAGTGGAGGTAGGCCAAACAAACAGACACGACTATACAGTGGAGGTAGGCCAAACAGACACGACTATACAGTGGAGGTAGGCCAAACAAACAGACACGACTATACAGTGGAGGTAGGCCAAACAAACAGACACGACTATACAGTGGAGGTAGGCCAAACAAACAGACACGACTATACAGTGGAGGTAGGCCAAACAAACAGACACGACTATACAGTGGAGGTAGGCCAAACAGACACGACTATACAGTGGAGGTAGGCCAAACAAACAGACACGACTATACAGTGGAGGTAGGCCAAACAAACAGACACGACTATACAGTGGAGGTAGGCCAAACAAACACGACTATACAGTGGAGGTAGGCCAAACAAACAGACACGACTATACAGTGGAGGTAGGCCAAACAAACACGACTATACAGTGGAGGTAGGCCAAACAAACACGACTATACAGTGGAGGTAGGCCAAACAAACACAACTATACAGTGGAGGTAGGCCAAACAAACACAACTATACAGTGGAGGTAGGCCAAACAAACACGACTATACAGTGGAGGTAGGCCAAACAAACACAACTATACAGTGGAGGTAGGCCAAACAAACACGACTATACAGTGGAGGTAGGCCAAACAAACACAACTATACAGTGGAGGTAGGCCAAACAAACACGACTATACAGTGGAGGTAGGCCAAACAGACACGATTATACAGTGGAGGTAGGCCAAACAGACACGATTATACAGTGGAGGTAGGCCAAACAGACACGACTATACAGTGGAGGTAGGCCAAACAGACACGATTATACAGTGGAGGTAGGCCAAACAAACACGACTATACAGTGGAGGTAGGCCAAACAAACACGACTATACAGTGGAGGTAGGCCAAACAGACACGACTATACAGTGGAGGTAGGCCAAACAGACACGACTATACAGTGGAGGTAGGCCAAACAAACAGACACGACTATACAGTGGAGGTAGGCCAAACAAACAGACACGACTATACAGTGGAGGTAGGCCAAACAGACACGACTATACAGTGGAGGTAGGCCAAACAGACACGACTATACAGTGGAGGTAGGCCAAACAGACACGATTATACAGTGGAGGTAGGCCAAACAAACAGACACGACTATACAGTGGAGGTAGGCCAAACAGACACGACTATACAGTGGAGGTAGGCCAAACAAACAGACACGACTATACAGTGGAGGTAGGCCAAACAAACAGACACGACTATACAGTGGAGGTAGGCCAAACAAACACGACTATACAGTGGAGGTAGGTCAAACAAACAGACACGACTATACAGTGGAGGTAGGCCAAACAAACACGACTATACAGTGGAGGTAGGCCAAACAAACACAACTATACAGTGGAGGTAGGCCAAACAAACACAACTATACAGTGGAGGTAGGCCAAACAAACACGACTATACAGTGGAGGTAGGCCAAACAAACACAACTATACAGTGGAGGTAGGCCAAACAAACACGACTATACAGTGGAGGTAGGCCAAACAAACACAACTATACAGTGGAGGTAGGCCAAACAAACACGACTATACAGTGGAGGTAGGCCAAACAAACACAACTATACAGTGGAGGTAGGCCAAACAAACACGACTATACAGTGGAGGTAGGCCAAACAGACACGACTATACAGTGGAGGTAGGCCAAACAGACAAACACGACTATACAGTGGAGGTAGGCCAAACAGACACGACTATACAGTGGAGGTAGGCCAAACAGACACGACTATACAGTGGAGGTAGGCCAAACAGACACGACTATACAGTGGAGGTAGGCCAAACAAACAGACACGATTATACAGTGGAGGTAGGCCAAACAAACAGACACGACTATACAGTGGAAGTAGGCCAAACAAACAGACACGACTATACAGTGGAGGTAGGCCAAACAGACACAACTATACAGTGGAGGTAGGCCAAACAAACAGACACGACTATACAGTGGAGGTAGGCCAAACAAACAGACACGACTATACAGTGGAGGTAGGCCAAACAGACACGACTATACAGTGGAGGTAGGCCAAACAAACAGACACGACTATACAGTGGAGGTAGGCCAAACAAACAGACACGACTATACAGTGCAGGTAGGCCAAACAGACACGACTATACAGTGGAGGTAGGCCAAACAAACAGACACGACTATACAGTGCAGGTAGGCCAAACAGACACGACTATACAGTGGAGGTAGGCCAAACAAACACGACTATACAGTGGAGGTAGGCCAAACAGACACGACTATACAGTGGAGGTAGGCCAAACAAACAGACACGACTATACAGTGCAGGTAGGCCAAACAGACACGACTATACAGTGGAGGTAGGCCAAACAAACAGACACAACTATACAGTGGAGGTAGGCCAAACAGACACGACTATACAGTGGAGGTAGGCCAAACAAACAGAAATCTTAAAACTTTCTCATGTGGTGTGTAAAGGACAGGTTGGGATATGTTGTCAAACTGCTGCATGTATCTCGTAATAAGAACAGAATTTAAATTTCTAAAGATCTGGTATGTTTGATTTTGTCCAGTTGTATCAGGTATGTTTGTGTCCAGTTGTATCAGGTATGTTTGTGTCCAGTTGTATCAGGTATGTTTGTGTCCAGTTGTATCAGGTATGTTTGTGTCCAGTTGTATCAGGTATGTTTGTGTCCAGTTGTATCAGGTATGTTTGTGTCCAGTTGTATCAGGTATGTTTGTGTCCAGTTGTATCAGGTATGTTTGATTTTGTCCATTTGTATCAGGTATGTTTGTGTCCAGTTGTATCAGGTATGTTTGTGTCCAGTTTGTATCAGGTATGTTTGTGTCCAGTTGTGCCCCTGCTATGTAAAAATGTTTGCATGTTTTCAGACCCTGTCGCTGCCGTTCATGTTCAACACTGGATCCAACCAGATCCTGGAACTGATTGGTGCCAAGATGTGGTACTGTGCCAACTCTCCAGACTTGGTATGTTCTGTACTCACTTCTTTTTGTCTGTAACATACAAGACACAACTAGCGTAAGTTTAAGCAGTGGATGCTAGGAGAGGGGGTGCTGATGGGGCTCATTCTTTTTTTATTACTTGACCCTTAGTGGTCCCCTCAGGACTCTGGTCTGTACACCTCTCCTTATCTGTGTCCACCCTGGTCTGTACACCTCTCCTTATCTGTGTCCACTCTGGTCTGTACACCTCTCCTTATCTGTGTCCACCCTGGTCTGTACACCTCTCCTTATCTGTGTCCACTCTGGTCTGTACACCTCTCCTTATCTGTGTCCACCCTGGTCTGTACACCTCTCCTTATCTGTGTCCACTCTGGTCTGTACACCTCTCCTTATCTGTGTCCACCCTTGTCTGTACACCTCTCCTTATCTGTGTCCACTCTGGTCTGTACACCTCTCCTTATCTGTGTCCACTCTGGTCTGTACACCTCTCCTTATCTGTGTCCACCCTGGTCTGTACACCTCTCCTTATCTGTGTCCACTCTGGTCTGTACACCTCTCCTTATCTGTGTCCACTCTGGTCTGTACACCTCTCCTTATCTGTGTCCACTCTGGTCTGTACACCTCTCCTTATCTGTGTCCACTCTGGTCTGTACACCTCTCCTTATCTGTGTCCACTCTGGTCTGTACACCTCTCCTTATCTGTGTCCACCCTGGTCTGTACACCTCTCCTTATCTGTGTCCACTCTGGTCTGTACATCTCTCCTTATCTGTGTCCACTCTGGTCTGTACACCTCTCCTTATCTGTGTCCACTCTGGTCTGTACACCTCTCCTTATCTGTGTCCACTCTGGTCTGTACACCTCTCCTTATCTGTGTCCACTCTGGTCTGTACACCTCTCCTTATCTGTGTCCACTCTGGTCTGTACACCTCTCCTTATCTGTGTCCACTCTGGTCTGTACACCTCTCCTTATCTGTGTCCACTCTGGTCTGTACACCTCTCCTTATCTGTGTCCGTGTGTCTTTGACCTTTGACTCATCTTCTGACGTTCTTCTCCATGATCTCTTTTTTATTACATGACACATTAATATATTTGACAAGCAGTGTCGTGACGTATCACATAAATATAATTGACAGGCAGTGTCGTGACGTCACATATAAATATAATTGACATTTTTTTTATCTTTGATGATGGATAAATACTAATTTACATTGAAGAATTTTCCCGCATGTATCAATGTATACAGACTAGTGCACATTGGCCACACAAATCTACAATGTGTTCTTGACTTAAAGATAAAATCTATATATATAATTCTCTTACGGGAAACGCACGCCTTTACTCCCCCGCTCTCTAGGCACATAGCTACCACCCCCACTACACCATTCTAGTGAGCTAAGGTTCACCCCGAATGTTTACAATTGTTGAGCCTGGTCGAATTAGTGACAGCTATTAGGGGCAGATAATTTAGCTTTTAAACGATTTGAAACTAAGGAGAGGTAAGAAGTTCTGCTTGATATTTTCATTGTCGTCTGTAAACTGTCGTCATGGGTGGCTTCTTTCAGGGAGGCAGGGAGGGAGTGTTGAATTCACAAATTATGAATTACTGAAAAGTAGAAAATAAAACAACTAAATAGCTGCGTATGGTATGCAGATGGTCAGCTTGTAAGGTTATAAATACTTGAACAATAGTAACTCTATTTTATATATGTAAATATATGTATATATAAATTAGACACCTCTTGTTGTGTTCTAATGAAGCTGTCCATTGTCCCCTCTTGTTGTGTTCTAATGAAGCTGTCCATTGTCCCCTCAGTACTCCGGCAGCTTCCAGTGTCCAGACAGCCTGAGTGTTGACGAGGTGGTCTCAATGCTGGACAACAGGGTCAAACACCTGAGTAAAAAGCACAGAGCCTTGAGTCAGGAAGAAAAACAGTTTTTAGCCAGCAGATTGCCAAGTGAGCTCACTAAACCATTTGAACTTTGACCTACAGTTTGCTCAATATTTTTACAGACCTCTCTGACTCATGTAACAATTCTATTTCAAGTTGAACTAGTGTAACAATTCTATTTCAAGTTGAACTAATGTAACAATTCTATTTCAAGTTGAACAAATGTAACAATTCTATTTCAAGTTGAACTAATGTAACAATTCTATTTCAAGTTGAACTAAATTAAGTTAAACATTAAAAAATATGCAAACTCTTTATCAATTAGTTTTGTATTAAACAAGAATTTAGGAATCATGATGTTTTATAAATAGACCTATATAAAAGGTTAGCCTGTCTAAAATAGTAAATCTCTTGTGTGTAGGTATCAGTGGAGGAAGAGTCACTATGCAAGGATTTATTAAGGTTGGTGGCCACTTTTTAAAGTACAATCAAATTATTTTTGTGTGAATTCTAATCCAATGATTTGAAAAAGCACCAAGTTAGAACTGTGATTGAAAAAGAGCTCCATAGAAAAGTGTTTTGTTGACTGTGCAGGACAAAATGAAGAAAACAAGGAAAAATGAAGATCTGCCATTTTCCTTCTACACGTGGTTCCATGCAGTCATCTACAGCCTGAAGAACTTTTTGCTCAAGCCTTGGCTAGATGGGTAACTGATTCAAATTCTATTGAATAGATTGTACTTTCATATCACTTAGTGGGTCAGTAAGACTTGAGATTTTATAGAATAGATTGTACTTTCATATCACTTAGTGGGTCAGTAAGACTTGAGATTTTATAGAATAGATTGTACTTTCATATCACTTAGTGGGTCAGTAAGACTTGAGATTTTATAGAATAGATTGTACTTTCATATCACTAAGATTTGAGTTTTAATTTCATGAAAGATGTTTTACTTTCACATCATTGAAGTAAAAAAACAAAACTAAACATGATTTTATTTTGTTAGATAATGTTGATTTTAATCAGTATGGTCATATAGATAGTCAAACTTTTCAGGATTGTATATTTTGAGGGGATAGGCTTAGTACTAATCAGAATAGAAGCTAAGTATTCCATTCGCCATTAACGATTCTGATTTGGTCAACTTGTGTTTGTTTTAAATTAAAAATTGATTCACTGCAGCAATTCCCTTGTTCAAATTGGATTCATTGCATAATGTTAAGAAATTTTGGGTCCCCAGCATTATCTACGGGTTCTGCAGTGAAGCCACGGCCCGCCAAATACTGGAGGACAAAGACCAGGCCATTGGGACCTTCATCCTCAGGCCCAGCATCTCCTCCCCCATCAAAAACATGAGCTCTAGAGATGCCACCGCAGCCCTCACCATGGACGTCAAAATGGCGGGGGAGGACCAGGGTCAGGAGGGTAGGGAAATATTTTGTGTGAACATTGTATGGACGTCACAATAGTTGGATGATTGACATGTTAGCATACTGGATGATTGACATGTTAGCCTACTGGATGATTGACATGTTAGCCTACTGGATGATTGACATGTTAGCCTACTGGATGATTGACATGTTAGCCTACTGGATGATTGACATGTGAGCCTACTGGATGATTGACATGTAAATATGCTGTGATCTCCTCCAACAGCTGAGGTTGTGTCTGTCCCTATTATGATCAGTACCATACAGAAAAACACTCTCTTTGGAGCCGTCACTGGAATTAAAAGTGGAAATGAAACAGTTGCTCGCTTCTTGTACACTCCAAAGGAGAAGTTGTCGGCCAGAATCTTGAAAGATTATAAAGGGGGTAGGCCGAGGTTCTCCACTCTGGCTGGTGTCCTATTTCCCAGCATCTTCTTCTCTTCTAAAAACTTCTTTACAAAACTTCCATCTACAAGCCTAAGTCCTTCACTACATTCATGTCCACAAGTTTGACCATCTGACACAAGAGAATCCACTGATGACAAGTTTGACCATCTGACACAAGAGAATCCACTGATGACAAGTTTGACCATCTGACACAAGAGAATCCACTGATGACAAGTTTGACCATCTGACACAAGAGAATCCACTGATGACAAGTTTGACCATCTGACACAAGAGAATCCACTGATGACAAGTTTGACCATCTGACACAAGAGAATCCACTGATGACAAGTTTGACCATCTGACACAAGAGAATCCACTGATGACAAGTTTGACCATCTGACACAAGAGAATCCACTGATGACAAGTTTGACCATCTGACACAAGAGAATCCACTGATGACAAGTTTGACCATCTGACACAAGAGAATCCACTGATGACAAGTTTGACCATCTGACACAAGAGAATCCACTGATGACAAGTTTGACCATCTAACACTGATGACCTATATTATTCTCTATCTGACAGGGAAAGAACCAACGGTGTGGGATGATTACCAAATAGTTCTGAAAAAACTGGAGACTGTTCAATTGTCTAAAAAGTAAGTCATCCGGTCATACATCTGTTATATAAAGGTATATTTCATCATTTCCATTTTCAACTAGGTAGAATCATATTCATCCAGACTATAACATTTGTATCTTTTTGATGACATCAGTTGATGAATCAATGAATTCTCTAACTCTAAATACAAATTGTAAATGTCGGCTATTTATAAACAAACACTTAAAAAACTTTCCAGCAAAAGCTCCAGCGCCACCAGCAGCCCTTTCACGGAAAACAACGATGACGGTGGCTCTGAGCCGAGTCCACGGAAACGACCCTACCAGCGCACCCAGTCACGCAGCAGCCAGTCAGCTAGGGCAGGCTCTACTGACGACTCTTCCAACAGCATGCCAGCTTTCAACATGCTCAATGTTAGTTGTCATTCACTTTTAGAATGTCAGTCTGTCATTCAGTTTTAGAATGTCATTTTGTCATTCACTTTTAGAATGTCAGTTTGTCCTTCAGTTTTATAATGTCAGTTTGTCATTCAGTTTTAGAATGTCAGTTTGTCATTCAGTTTTAGAATGTCAGTTTGTTATTCACTTTTTAGTAACTTTTCCAATTGCACGGACTAAATTTATAGGTCAAGATCTAATAAAAAGAACAGAAATTTTAGTTTCTATACATATATTTATTTATTATTATGATATACAATACCTGACCAGTATTTAACTCTTTAAAAAAGTGTGGGTCATTTGATGATGTTTTTTTCCATTTGAAACAGGAATCTGCAAATACTGGGAACCAATGGGAGGGTATGGGCCAAAGGACAGGAAGTCAAAGGTCAAGGGGTCAAAGGTCAGGAGGCCAGCTAAAGCCTGGTAAATTTTCATGCTATCAGTAGTGGTTGGTTGTATGGGAGTCAGCTGATAGTGGTTGGTTGTATGGGAGTCAGCTGATAGTGGTTGGTTGTATGGGAGTCAGCTGATAGTGGTTGGTTGTATTGGAGTCAGCTGATAGTGGTTGGTTGTATGGGAGTCAGCTGATAGTGGTTGGTTGTATGGGAGTCAGCTGATAGTGGTTGGTTGTATGGGAGTCAGCTGATAGTGGTTGGTTGTATGGGAGTCAGCTGATAGTGGTTGGTTGTATTGGAGTCAGCTGATAGTGGTTGGTTGTATGGGAGTCAGCTGATAGTGGTTGGTTGTATGGGAGTCAGCTGATAGTGGTTGGTTGTATGGGAGTCAGCTGATAGTGGTTGGTTGTATGGGAGTCAGCTGATAGTGGTTGGTTGTATGGGAGTCAGCTGGTAGTGGTTGGTTGTATGGGAGTCAGCTGATAGTGGTTGGTTGTATGGGAGTCAGCTGATAGTGGTTGGTTGTATGGGAGTCAGCTGATAGTGGTTGGTTATATGGGAGTCAGCTGGTAGTGGTTGGTTGTATGGGAGTCAGCTGATAGTGGTTGGTTGTATGGGAGTCAGCAGATAGTGGTTGGTTGTATGGGAGTCAGCTGATAGTGGTTGGTTGTATGGGAGTCAGCTGATAGTGGTTGGTTGTATGGGAGTCAGCTGATAGATAGTGGTTGGTTGTATGGGAGTCAGCTGATAGATAGTGGTTGGTTGTATGGGAGTCAGCTGGTAGATAGTGGTTGGTTGTATGGGAGTCAGCTGATAGTGGTTGGTTGTATGGGAGTCAGCTGATAGTGGTTGGTTGTATGGGAGTCAGCTGATAGTGGTTGGTTGTATGGGAGTCAGCTGATAGTGGTTGGTTGTATGGGAGTCAGCTGATAGTGGTTGGTTGTATGGGAGTCAGCTGGTAGATAGTGGTTGGTTGTATGGGAGTCAGCTGATAGTGGTTGGTTGTATGGGAGTCAGCTGATAGTGGTTGGTTGTATGGGAGTCAGCTGGTAGTGGTTGGTTGTATGGGAGTCAGCTGGTAGTGGTTGGTTGTATGGGAGTCAGCTGGTAGATAGTGGTTGGTTGTATAGGAGTCAGCTGATAGTGGTTGGTTGTATGGGAGTCAGCTGATAGTGGTTGGTTGTATGGGAGTCAGCTGATAGATAGTGGTTGGTTGTATGGGAGTCAGCTGATAGTGGTTGGTTGTATGGGAGTCAGCTGATAGTGGTTGGTTGTATGGGAGTCAGCTGATAGTGGTTGGTTGTATGGGAGTCAGCTGATAGATAGTGGTTGGTTGTATGGGAGTCAGCTGATAGATAGTGGTTGGTTGTATTGGAGTCAGCTGATAGTGGTTGGTTGTATGGGAGTCAGCTGATAGTGGTTGGTTGTATGGGAGTCAGCTGATAGTGGTTGGTTGTATGGGAGTCAGCTGATAGTGGTTGGTTGTATGGGAGTCAGCAGATAGTGGTTGGTTGTATGGGAGTCAGCTGATAGTGGTTGGTTGTATGGGAGTCAGCTGATAGTGGTTGGTTGTATGGGAGTCAGCTGGTAGTGGTTGGTTGTATGGGAGATAGTGGTTGGTTGTATGGGAGTCAGCAGATAGTGGTTGATTGTATGGGAGTCAGCTGATAGTGGTTGGTTGTATGGGAGTCAGCTGATAGTGGTTGGTTGTATGGGAGTCAGCTGATAGTGGTTGGCTGTATGGGAGTCAGCTGATAGTGGTTGGTTATATGGGAGTCAGCTGATAGTGGTTGGTTGTATGGGAGTCAGCTGATAGTGGTTGGTTGTATGGGAGTCAGCTGATAGATAGTGGTTGGTTGTATGGGAGTCAGCTGGTAGTGGTTGGTTGTATGGGAGTCAGCTGATAGTGGTTGGTTATATGGGAGTCAGCTGATAGATAGTGGTTGGTTGTATGGGAGTCAGCTGATAGTGGTTGGTTGTATGGGAGTCAGCTGGTAGTGGTTGGTTGTATGGGAGTCAGCTGATAGTGGTTGGTTTTATGGGAGTCAGCTGGTAGTGGTTGGTTATATGGGAGTCAGCTGGTAGTGGTTGATTATATGAGAGTCAGCTGATAGTGGTTGGTTGTATGGGAGTCAGCTGATAGTGGTTGGTTGTATGGGAGTCAGCTGATAGTGGTTGGCTGTATGAGAGTCAGCTGGTAGTGGTTGGTTGTATGGGAGTCAGCAGATAGTGGTTGGTTGTATGGGAGTCAGCTGATAGATAGTGGTCGGTTGTATGGGAGTCAGCTGATAGTGGTTGGTTGTATGGGAGTCAGCTGATAGTGGTTGGTTGTATGGGAGTCAGCAGATAGTGGTTGGTTGTATGGGAGTCAGCTGATAGATAGTGGTTGGTTGTATGGGAGTCAGCTGATAGTGGTTGGTTGTATGGGAGTCAGCTGATAGTGGTTGGTTGTATGGGAGTCAGCAGATAGTGGTTGGTTGTATGGGAGTCAGCAGATAGTGGTTGGTTGTATGGGAGTCAGCTGGTAGTGGTTGGTTGTATGGGAGTCAGCTGATAGTGGTTGGTTGTATGGGAGTCAGCTGATAGTGGTTGGTTGTATGGGAGTCAGCTGATAGTGGTTGGTTGTATGGGAGTCAGCAGATAGTGGTTGGTTGTATGGGAGTCAGCTGGTAGTGGTTGGTTGTATGGGAGTCAGCTGATAGTGGTTGGTTGTATGGGAGTCAGCTGATAGTGGTTGGTTGTATGGGAGTCAGCTGATAGTGGTTGGTTGTATGGGAGTCAGCAGATAGTGGTTGGTTGTATGGGAGTCAGCTGGTAGTGGTTGGTTGTATGGGAGTCAGCTGATAGTGGTTGGTTGTATGGGAGTCAGCAGATAGTGGTTGGTTGTATGGGAGTCAGCTGATAGTGGTTGGTTGTATGGGAGTCAGCTGATAGTGGTTGGTTGTATGGGAGTCAGCTGATAGTGGTTGGTTGTATGGGAGTCAGCTGATAGATAGTGGTTGGTTGTATGGGAGTCAGCTGATAGTGGTTGGTTGTATGGGAGTCAGCTGATAGTGGTTGGTTTTATGGGAGTCAGCTGGTAGTGGTTGGTTGTATGGGAGTCAGCTGATAGATAGTGGTTGGTTGTATGGGAGTCAGCTGGTAGATAGTGGTTGGTTGTATGGGAGTCAGCTGATAGTGGTTGGTTGTATGGGAGTCAGCTGATAGTGGTTGGTTGTATGGGAGTCAGCTGATAGTGGTTGGTTGTATGGGAGTCAGCTGATAGTGGTTGGTTGTATGGGAGTCAGCTGGTAGATAGTGGTTGGTTGTATGGGAGTCAGCTGATAGTGGTTGGTTGTATGGGAGTCAGCTGATAGTGGTTGGTTGTATGGGAGTCAGCTGGTAGATAGTGGTTGGTTGTATGGGAGTCAGCTGATAGTGGTTGGTTGTATGGGAGTCAGCTGATAGTGGTTGGTTGTATGGGAGTCAGCTGATAGATAGTGGTTGGTTGTATGGGAGTCAGCTGATAGATAGTGGTTGGTTGTATGGGAGTCAGCTGATAGTGGTTGGTTGTATGGGAGTCAGCTGATAGTGGTTGGTTGTATGGGAGTCAGCTGATAGTGGTTGGTTATATGGGAGTCAGCAGATAGATAGTGGTTGGTTGTATGGGAGTCAGCTGATAGATAGTGGTTGGTTGTATGAGAGACAGCATGACATTGAAATGTTGTGTGTGACATCATGACATTGAAATGTTGTGTGTGACATCATGACATTGAAATGTTGTGTGTGACATCATGACATTGAAATGTGCATGACATCATGACATTGAAATGTTGTGTGTGACATCATGACATTGAAATGTTGTGTATTATTATGTTAATTTTGTTAACTAGGTGTTTCGAGGGGCAACAGCCAGATGGTCAGTTCTAGCGCCATGTTCAACTCTAGCCCCATGTCCAACTCTAGCGCCATGTCCAACTCTAGCCCCATGTCCAACTCTAGCACCATGTCCAGCAGCACATCCAACTTCAAATACTTTGGAACAACAGCAGTGGACACAACCAACCTGCCACTGAATGGACTCTCCCAGCCTGACCCCCCTGCTGGGATGGAATCAGAATCTCTGATGAGCTTCCAGCTACTGCTGCAGTCTCAAAACTTTTCCCAAGAGCAGCTCCTGAACCAGCTGAGTTTCTCTGATCACCAAAGTACTGTTGGCACTGTCCACCAGGGTACCACAACCTTCTCTTTGTTTGACATCAACCAGCCCAATCTCTCAGTGACATGCAACACCATCTTGCCAGGAGATGCTCTCATGCTTGTAGAGTACAGCCCTGATTCTGGCATCTCTGCTGATTCACCCCCACCACAGTCCTCACCTTTCAACCTTCCCACCTGCTTCTGATCAACATACAGCACACCCTGGGCCATCTGGCCAGGTAATGTAGTGCCAACATTGTTGGATTTAAATAACTCAGTTCTAGAACCCAATGTCACTTAAAATACACCATTGGTAACCCTGGCCAAGCAGGATGTGTGGGACATCTTGATGTGTGGGGCATCTTGATGTGTGGGACATCTTGATGTGTGGGACATCTTGATGTGTGGGACATCTTGATGTGTGGGACATCTTGATGTGTGGGACATCTTGATGTGTGGGACATCTTGATGTGTGGGGCATCTTGATGTGTGGGGCATCTTGATGTGTGGGGCATCTTGATGTGTGGGACATCTTGATGTGTGGGGCATCTTGATGTGTGGGGCATCTTGATGTGTGGGGCATCTTGATGTGTGGGGCATCTTGATGTGTGGGACATCTTGATGTGTGGGACATCTTGATGTGTGGGACATCTTGATGTGTGGGACATCTTGATGTGTGGGGCATCTTGATGTGTGGGACATCTTGATGTGTGGGACATCTTGATGTGTGGGACATTTTGATGTGTGGGACTGAACTGGAAAACAAAAAATGTCAGTTGTATGCCATAGTCAAGTTTCATAGAATAAGTTTCAATCAAATGTAAACGATGTATATGTTCAATGTTATGACAAGTGTCCCTGAGGTTTGCTTTGATGGCAACAGGAACACTGGTTAGGACTTGAAAGCAACTAAAAAGTACTGAAACTCTTTCTTTCAAATCATGTTTTAGCGCTGGGTCTGAAAATGGTCGGGGTCCAACTCCTGTAAATAAACAGTGTGTCAATTATCTACAAGACATTTTGATGCTGACAAATATTTCGCCTATGGTTGCAGCAAGGAAAAGCTCTTTGCTATTTAAAACTCTGCTTAATTTGTAATTCATGTCTATATAATCATGAGTTGGTTTGATTAGAGCACATGTTTATATAACCTTTTGTCTGAGGCCCCCCCCCCCCCCCGTTGTGTGCATATCATGCTTCAAATCTATTGGTTACCATTTCCCCATTGAATCTGACTCCATCTGACCTTGGGTCGAAACCAGTGTATTGATTTTTTTAGAGGTGTCCATGTCACTATAACCCACCCTCTATTTGCATGTTTCATATCATGTCTTGTATGTCTGCAAATATCATGTCTTGTATGTACCAATGTCTACAAATATCATGTCTTGTATGTACAAATGTCTGCAAATATCATGTCTTGTATGTACCAATGTCTGCAAATATCATGTCTTGTATGTACCAATGTCTGCAAATATCATGTCTTGTATGTACCAATGTCTGCAAATATCATGTCTTGTATGTACCAATGTCTTGCAAATATCATGTCTTGTATGTACCAATGTTTGCAAGTATTATGTCTTGTATGTACCAATGTTTGCAAATGTCATGTCTTGTATGTACCAATGTTTGCAAGTGTCATGTCTTGTATGTACCAATGTCTGCAAATGTCATGTCTTGTATGTACCAATGTCTGCAAATGTCATGTCTTGTATGTACCAATGTCTGCAAATATCAATATCTGGATGTTGGGTTCCACCTTGGTCACAGTGATCCTATGGACACACTTATCCTTTAATACACATGGTTATTATGTTGACAAATACATTTTTAAAAAGTTTTTGTTGAATTTGGTTGGGGTTTCAAAATAAGTTTTTGTTCTACAAGTGTCAGCTCATCTTGATTGGCTGTTTATATTTCAATCTGGAGATCTCATCTTTGATTGGCTGTTTTTACTTCTATCTTGACATCTCACCTCTGATTGGCTATTATTTTGACATTGATCAGAAAACAGGCATTTAATTAGAATGGGGACTGGGTCTTTAAGTAAAAACTGTCATGGAACAAAAAATGGAAAAAAAAATACCTGGGCAAATAAAAACTTTAAAAAACGTTTTTTTAATCCAAGACTTTTGTAAATATTAATTATTTAAGGCTTCCATGGGCTGTTTGTGGTTTATTTCAATTTCCTTTTTTTGAGTGATTAAATGTATTTGTTAAATGCAGTTGGTGATTTCCCCACTGTAAATGTTGTTTGCTACAGCCACTACATATGAGAACTTTTGACTGAACTAGAATTTTTTTTATTGAAAAATGTGTTCAAAGTTTAAAAAAGCATTTCATCTTAAATTAGGCTTCACAATAAAGACAAAATATTATACAAAATGTTTTTGATTATTTTGTTTAGCTCATGTAAGCAACATTTGGCCACCAAATTTTGATTACATGATGCCACACTCCCAGAACTGACAAACACCACCTAGACCAAAACCTTTCTCCTTGCCAGAAGGAAATAGAACATGAAGTTGTGTGGACGTGTCATTTGATGAAACATTGCATTTTGACAAAAACAATTTTTTAATTGCAACATACAAGTATATTGATGCTAAATTTAACATCAGGATCTCTCTCTCACATACACAAAAGCCAACCAAACACCACTGTTTGGATGCCATGGAAACAAGCAAAAGCAGTTGGTCAAAACTTTGATAATCAGGTCAATCAAACACTGAACACACAGACTTCCATTCATCAACTGGTAGTTGCCCTGCCACTCACAACACATACACACACAGATGTGCTAAGAATAGTCGTCACTTGATGTCAGATGTGCTAAGAATAGTCGTCACTTGAGGTCAGATGTGCTAAGAATAGTCGTCACTTGATGTCAGATGTGCTAAGAATAGTCGTCACTTGAGGTCAGATGTGCTAAGAATAGTCGTCACTTGAGGTCAGATGTGCTAAGAATAGTCGTCACTTGAGGTCAGATGTGCTAAGAATAGTCGTCACTTGAGGTCAGATGTGCTAAGAATAGTCGTCACTTCAGGTCAGATGTGCTAAGAATAGTCGTCACTTGAGGTCAGATGTGCTAAGAATAGTCGTCACTTTCATCAGGTGGTTGTTGTTGCAACTGTTGTTGTTGCTGTTGTTGTAACGCCAACTGCATCTGCATCCACTGCTGCTGGTCAAGTAGGGCTTGTTCCTGTCTGGCCTGGAAAATCAGTTTTAATTAGTCTTGTACTTAATTAAAGCTTTAATTAGCACAGTTTTAATTAGTCTTGTACTAAAGCTGTAATTAGCACAGTTTTAATTAGTCTTGTACTTAATTAAAGCTTTAATTAGCAGTTTTAATGAGTCTTGTACTTAAAGCTTTAATTAGCACCTTGATGGTCCATTTTGTTAGTCACCTAGCCATCTAATTAAATCTTTAATTAGCACCTTGCTGGTCCATTTTGTTAGTCACTTAGCCATCTAATTAAAGCTTTGAGTCAAACCTTTTCAAACAGTTCCTGCTGTTGCCGTAGCAACTCCTCCTCAGGGATCCCCAGATTTTCCAGGCGAGAACTCCCTCTGCGTTTCTTTGCAGCCACGGCCTTAGCTTCCTTGAGGACAGCTTTGGCTTCATTTTTATAAGCTCCAAATCCCAAAGTTTCTAGCGCTGAGGGCACAAAGCAACCAATGCTTCAGAAATACATGAACAAAGGGTAAGAAAAACTATTCAAGTAAATTACAAAAATAATACTACAGACACTCACTAGGGGAACTAGAAGATTCGTCTAGCTTTTCAACTATTGTTGGCATTCTTCGCAGCAAATGAAGAAGGGTTACCTGTTCATGGGGCAAGTAGAGTTCACCTGTTTCTGTCACCTCAGCATAAGAAGGGATGTGGTCAGCACTTTGCCCAGCCACCTTTACTTTCCTTAACATGAGTCAGGTACCCATTAGAGCTGGGTGAACTCTGCCATCAGACAGACTTAAGTCTGGGATCTGAACTCAAAAACCTAAATGGATGTCCCCTAGCTAGACATCCTTCAAGTAACTGTGTCAGGTACCCATTAGAGCTGAGTGAACTCTGCCATCAGACAGACTTGAGCCTGAACTCAAAAACCTAAATGGATGTCCCCTAGCTAGACATCCTTCAAGTAACTGTGTCAGGTACCCATTAGAGCTGAGTGAACTCTGCCATCAGACAGACTTGAGCCTGAACTCAAAAGCCCAAATGGATGTCCCCTAGCTAGACATCCTTCAAGTAACTGAGTCAGGTACCCATTAGAGCTGGGTGAACTCTGCCATCAGACAGACTTAAGCCTGGGATCTGAACTCAAAAACCTAAATGGATGTCCCCTAGCTAGACATCCTTCAAGTAACTGTGTCAGGTACCCATTAGAGCTGAGTGAACTCTGCCATCAGACAGACTTGAGCCTGAACTCAAAAACCTAAATGGATGTCCCCTAGCTAGACATCCTTCAAGTAACTGTGTCAGGTACCCATTAGAGCTGAGTGAACTCTGCCATCAGACAGACTTGAGCCTGGGATATGAACTCAAAAACCTAAATGGATGTCCCCTAGCTAGACATCCTTCAAGTAACTGTGTCAGGTACCCATTAGAGCTGAGTGAACTCTGCCATCAGACAGACTTGAGCCTGAACTCAAAAGCCCAAATGGATGTCCCCTAGCTAGACATCCTTCAAGTAACTGTGTCAGGTACCCATTAGAGCTGAGTGAACTCTGCCATCAGACAGACTTGAGCTTGAACTCAAAAACCTAAATGGATGTCCCCTAGCTAGACATCCTTCAAGTAACTGTGTCAGGTACCCATTAGAGCTGAGTGAACTCTGCCATCAGACAGACTTGAGCTTGAACTCAAAAACCTAAATGGATGTCCCCTAGCTAGACATCCTTCAAGTAACTGTGTCAGGTACCCATTAGAGCTGAGTGAACTCTGCCATCAGACAGACTTGAGCCTGAACTCAAAAGCCCAAATGGATGTCCCCTAGCTAGACATCCTTCAAGTAACTGTGTCAGGTACCCATTAGAGCTGAGTGAACTCTGCCATCAGACAGACTTAAGCCTGGGATCTGAACTCAAAAACCTAAATGGATGTCCCCTAGCTAGACATCCTTCAAGTAACTGTGTCAGGTACCCATTAGAGCTGAGTGAACTCTGCCATCAGACAGACTTGAGCCTGGGATCTGAACTCAAAAACCTAAATGGATGTCCCCTAGCTAGACATCCTTCAAGTAACTGTGTCAGGTACCCATTAGAGCTGAGTGAACTCTGCCATCAGACAGACTTGAGCCTGAACTCAAAAGCCCAAATGGATGTCCCCTAGCTAGACATCCTTCAAGTAACTGTGTCAGGTACCCATTAGAGCTGAGTGAACTCTGCCATCAGACAGACTTGAGCCTGAACTCAAAAGCCCAAATGGATGTCCCCTAGCTAGACATCCTTCAAGTAACTGTGTCAGGTACCCATTAGAGCTGAGTGAACTCTGCCATCAGACAGACTTAAGCCTGGGATCTGAACTCAAAAACCTAAATGGATGTCCCCTAGCTAGACATCCTTCAAGTAACTGTGTCAGGTACCCATTAGAGCTGAGTGAACTCTGCCATCAGACAGACTTGAGCTTGAACTCAAAAACCTAAATGGATGTCCCCTAGCTAGACATCCTTCAAGTAACTGTGTCAGGTACCCATTAGAGCTGAGTGAACTCTGCCATCAGACAGACTTGAGCCTGAACTCAAAAGCCCAAATGGATGTCCCCTAGCTAGACATCCTTCAAGTAACTGTGTCAGGTACCCATTAGAGCTGAGTGAACTCTGCCATCAGACAGACTTGAGCCTGAACTCAAAAACCCAAATGGATGTCCCCTAGCTAGACATCCTTCAAGTAACTGTGTCAGGTACCCATTAGAGCTGAGTGAACTCTGCTATCAGACAGACTTGAACTCAAAAACCTAAATGGATGTCCCCTAGCTAGACATCCTTCAAGTAACTGTGTCCACACAGCTAGAGTTGTGACAGACCTGTGACAATGTGATCAGGAGAAATGGTTTTTTTTGTTTTGCTTGACACAAATCTCGTTGGCCTCGGATGAAATGAGGTGAATGAACTCTGTGCAGCAGTTGAGGATCAGCTCCCTGGCGTCATTGGCCACCCGGATGTTGGGCAGCAGCTCTTTGATCATTTTGTTGAGCGCAGCCCGGGGGATGCTCAGGTCGTCATCTGGCTGGGGCTGGTTTTCTCTTGCCTCTGCCATCTGGAAACATTGGCACAAATTAAACCCTGTCTATATTACTCTGCTTCAGTGATTAGACATTGGCTTCAGAAATTAATTATCTCATAAATTTTGTAAGACTTCAGAAATTAATGACCCCTAAATTGAGGCCAAAACCATTTCAAATAGTTATTGACCAAGCTATGACGTATGCTGATAATTAAAGTCAATATAAACTCATGGTGAACCCTCGACCGCGTTGTAGCGATTTTCTCCCGCTGACAATCACCCCTATTTAATTGGAACTGTCCTAATGCTTTGTTATGGCTGTTTTTACCTTTTCTAATTAAAACGCGCATTCATAAAAAAAAAATTAGTAGATCTAGATCTAGCTCTAATTCTAGTGTTTTCCTAACGTTTTAGTGTGTTTCGGTTGTGTTTATAATAAAATACGCTCAACTGGAGGTGAACGTGAAGCGGGGAATATAATACAATTAAATGGAGTTTTATAAAAGCGGTAAAACTCCATTTTAGCGTATTTTATTAGCCGCTTCACGTTCCCTCCGGTTGAGCGTATTTTATTATAAACACAACCAAAACGCACAAAAACGTTAGGAAAACATTGGGCTTATTTCTTTATGAGTTTTGATTTAGTTTTGATAATTTACTTTTGTAAAACTTGAGAAAATCCAAATTTGGAATATTGAATGTGACAAATAAACTTTTATGAACCCACAATGACCCCAAAACTGAGGCCAACACCATTTCAAATAGCTATAGCCCAAGCTATGACGTATGCTGATAATTAGATTAAAGTCAATGTGAACTCATGGTGAACCCTCGACTGTGTAAGTGTAGGGATTTTGGAACGGGTGTGGGGAAATTGCGAGACGCGAAAAGCGAAATGGCGAGGCGGGAAAATGCGAGAAGGGCGCGAAAACGGTCGGTCACGTGACTTTTTTGTCTCGCATTTTACCACAAGCCGATACTTACGCTGGGTGGTGTTGAAATGCGAAGATTTCTGCGAAAAATTTACCGCACCCGATTTTCAGTGGTATTTGGTCCAGACTTCAAAGACGTTTCGTTTACATTGTTAAAACTTCCGATTTTTCCGTCGCTAGACATACTGATGATTTGTCAACTCCCCCCATCTTTTGTGTCGACTTAGAATACCACCTTGTTCGAAACCGACGGAAATACCACCGAAGATAGATCAACTTCTGTCTTTTGTGTGGAACGCCGAGGCCGCCTGATTTACCGTCTTTGAAGATCGCCGTGCCCGGATCCGCTGCCGCCGCAAACATATTTTCTATTGTTGCATAGAAATTTTGTATTATAGCCGCCGCCTACGATTTTTTTCTAGCTTTTTTTACCATATAAATCTAAGCACAAGGAAATGCCTACATCATTTGGATACAACAAAATAAATTGACGTCACCGATATTATCAGTTGCTCGTGCTATATCGTAAGCTACGGGCCTACTTCAAATATTTTTAAAACCAAGTTGAACTTATCTGAATTTTTTGGTTTTGGTGATGGTGTTATTTGGGGTCTTCCATAAATGACGTCACACTCGTAGGGGGGGGGGTCTGTAATTTTATGACGATGTGTGTTGAGGGGAAGGAGGGGGGGGGGGTTAGATGTGAAGTCACACTATAAAAAAGCAATGTTAGAAAAAGAATATTAGACGTTTTTTCGCGTTTTAGATAACTGTTTTAATACATTGTAATAGGAATTGATTAAAATACTCTATTTTGACCGAAATTAGACAAGATTTTGGGAAAATATCGATGTTTTTAAAAAACTCAACTGCTGGTGACAACAATGAGCAAGACATTGCCAAAATTACAGAAATGATAAAAAATACAAATTATAAAAAACGGAAAACAGATGTTGAGCGTGCGGATGATGATGATGAGAACATGGGTGCCATTGTTGTTTGTGGGATGAACGAGGTCAACTGTGATGAGAATGTGAAATGTTGTGAATGTGGATTGGAAGAAGTAGCAAAAGAAAAATGTATAAATGGGAGTCTAATGAACTGGGTTGGGTGTACTATGTGTGAAAGATGGTGTCACGAGGTGTGTTTAAGGACTGTTTCAGAAGATTTTGTTTGTAAATTTTGTTTGTAATTAAAATTACTTAATAAAAAAATAAATTGCACTTTTTGGAATTTGTTAGGGTAAAGGAGGGCGTTAAGAGCCGTGTGGTATTAAGCCCCAATCAACACCCCACCCCCACAAAACCCCCAATAACACTGCTAATCTACTTCTGAGGTAACAACCACTGCTGTTCTTTGATAACAGAGAAGCAGAGGATTCATTTTATGTAATTTATGACACACTTGGTCCAATAGGGAGAGGATGAGACAGGATTTAATCCCACTGCTCTTTCCCTAAAATTTCTCATCTCCTTAAAACCATTTTGTGAACTTTTTTTCCAAATAGACATAACTTGGGTAACTTCACTTTGTAATAAACCAAATGAGTTTTTCAAGCCCATTCTTTGTTCCTGTATTAGAGCATTGGTTGTTGTACATTTTAACACTATTTTTATAGCTATGGCTAGAATAGTTTTATTTTGGTGAATTTTTTTTGCACAGTGATTATTGGTGCCAGAACAAAATGGCCGACATTAGTCCCATTTTACCATGCTATAAAGTTTTTATCATTATCAGAGTATAACTTGACTGATCATTACCATAATGGTTTTATTTGTTAGATAATAACTAAATCTACATGAATACATTAATTTTGTTCACTAGCTTGCCTGTTTAGAAAAGTTATAACAGATACTGTTATGTGGCTCTTGAAACCCTATGTGCAAGTTTCTCATTTATTAGACCACTGAATATGACACTGGTATAGGAATAGTTAACACAAAATGTATTAATTGTTAAACAGACTTGTGTCTAAATGATAGAAATACTAATCTAACCTGCTAAAAAGTAAAAATTCAGTCACCTCATGTTAGCAAGGTAATTTTTAAAATGGTATGAGTACTTATTACCCCTAAGGGGCAATACAGCCGACTCAGCCCCCACCTGTTTCTAACCAACCATAAAACTTCTAATCTCTTTGTAGGTAACAGGAATAAATGTTCTTAGGTCTCAGCCAATCTGGGGTGGTGTGTTATGTAATTTATGACCCTCATGGTCAAGCAGGGAAGTAAACAGACATATTAATACCACTGCTCCCCCCTTACAATTTCTTACCCCCATGATACCCAGCCCCCACCAGTTTCTGGCCCACCATAAAACTTCATCTCTTGGTAGGTAACATGCTCAGGGGGCGGGGGGGGGGGGGGGGGGGGTGGGGCATGTTATGTAATATATGACCTTCATGGTCTAGCAGGGTGGAGACCAAAGAGGAATCAGTACCACTGCTCTCCCCTCACAATTTCCCACCCCCATGATAGCCAGACCGCACCTGTATCTAACCCACCATAAAACTTCATCTCTTTGTAGGTAACATGGACTTAGTTCTTAGATCTCAGCCAACCAGAGATAGCATCTCCTTATGTAATTTATGGCCCTCAGGGTCCAGCAAGGAGAACAAAGGGGAAACCAGTACCACTGCTCTCCCCTCAACATTTCTCACCTCCATGTTATGTTATGTAATGTATAGCACACATGGCTTATCAGGGGAAAGCATTAAGGCAGATTAGTTAGTACCACCCCTTTTTACATACAAGAATGTTAACTCTGGACAGCTACACACAAGTATACTAGCTTCACACTAGGCATACTAATGTTGCCTACTGTAAACTACTAGACTGTAGGCCCTATGTAGTATGTACACCTGCAATTGTATCAATTGTAGACTGGGCCCATTGGGGCCTAGTGATAGCTAGTATCAGTTAAAGTGTGTGTACACAGCATTAACTATTTTAAGGTTAGAAATTAATTATTTTTATTGCGGAGTTAGTCTAAACTAGGAGATAATACTTATTGCCCCATTGCCCGGCTCCTTTCACCCCAAATGCTGATTTCGGGGGTATGACAATAAATGTTCAATTAAACCCATTTAGAGTATATTTAATAGACTTTGTTATTATTTTTATAATGTGTAAGATATGTTAGAATAATTTTGCCATATTTTCAATACTAAAAAATTCTTAGATTAGTAGAAATCTTTGAAAATGTACCGGTGCTAAAAAGTGTGGCTCTTAACGCCCTCCTTTACCCTATACTTTTACACTTTTTGCAAGTACAAAAATCCATAAATATATGTTGCAAAATATCTCTCCTGCTGACAAGATTATACCAATTCACAATGACACAGCTCACGTTTGTATAAACATGAGCGGGCTAGATTTTTAAATTAATGCCGACTGAGACGGGATTTTCCTCTCGCTAACAAGAGCGGGCGATGACAGTAGCACAGCAACGATGTTAGGATTTTTAAATAGATAGATCTAGATATAGATCTATCTATCTTCTTAGTATCTAGATAAAAAATAACAACATACAACACTCGTGTTAAAGGGTATGGTTATGATTGTTTATTTTAAAACAAAAAAAAAATAATTTAAATAAATAAAGATGGAAAAAATAAGGAAAATTTTTTTTCGCAAAAAGTGTCTCGCTATTTACCCTTAATTCCGCAGGTATGTCTCGCATTACCTTCTCGCATTTTCCCGCCTCGCCATTTCGCTTTTCGCGTCTCGCAATTTCCCCACACCCTTTTGGAACTGTCCTAAAGCTTTTAATGTTTTTTTTTACCTTTTCTAATTAGCCTAAAACTCACATTCATATAATAAAAAAAAAGATCTAGCTCTTAATCTTATCCTAGTGTTTTCCTTAAGTTTTTGTGTTTCGGTTGTGTTTATCATAAAATACGCTCAACCGGAGGTGAACGTGAAGCGGCGAATAAAATACGCTAAAATAGAGTTTTACCGCTTTTATTTTTATTAGGCCTATTGTAAAATATTATTCCCAGTCGTATTAAGCAAAAAATGACAGCCGACTGTGAATAGCCAGTATTGGGCATTGGGGGCTATTCACAGTCGGCTGGGAATATCCCCAATCAATACTGCTATTCAACAACCGGCTGGGAATAGCCTTTAATATTTAATTTAAGAACCTTGGGTTTTATTTCTTACATTATTTAGGTCGAATTAAAACATTCATAACTCGACCAAATCTAGTCTACATCTAGACTAGGTCTATAAATTTAGAAATAGATTATCTATCTAGATCTCTCTACTTCTTAGTTAAACGGTGAGTACTGAGTAGATCTGTAGATTTATGATTTATTATCATTACTTTCTCCTGTTAAACGGAATGTCGTAGATCTAGTAAAGGCAGCTCTAAACGACGAGATCTAGAATCTAGCACTAAACAAACTTCCACTAAATCGCCATGTCGTTATCGGCTTGTAAAAAAAAACAAAAAAAAACGTAGATCTCTACGTTCAGAAGATCATCATAAAAAATAACAATCTAGATCTATTTTACCATTTTAAGCTTTTTCCTTAAAAAATAAACAAATAATAGGCCTACACTATTAACAAGGAACCACTTAAATAAGATCTCTAGAAAACTTGACAATAATCAATCAATAACGTTACATGGCAGCAATGAGTGAATGATTGTAGGAAAAAAAGTCACAGGAAAAAAAAAACACAGGAAAAAAAAACACAGAAAAAAAGTCACAGGAAAAAAAGTCACAGGAAAAAAAGTCACAGGAAAAAAAGTCACAAATATATATTTGCATGATATTTGTTAATACTTTTATGTATTAAATATTTAGAGAGTGTAAATTAACTTAGGATTAATTAAATGTAATGTAATGTGTGTAGGCTGTATACGCATAGGAATTTTTATAATTCGTCTAAAAATATTTAGTATGAAGTATGTAGATTGTAATTATTTTAAATTTAAGATTAGTAGAATTTAAAAGAATGCGCCTAAGTCCACGTTTTTCATCGTGTTATTTTTTAAAACACCAATATTAAATTACCGTGAAATGGTAAGTTCATATGACTTGCTGCCCTCAACTCATGGCAACAATAGATATGTTTAGTTCAACCACCTTTACTGCCCACATTTATCACGCTCATTACATAACAAAACTTAGGATCAAAACAGACAGCCGACAAGGTTCAAAGGCTGTCATTGACGCATAACGTCAACAACACAAAATATGTTCGGACAATGCCTACTGAGGAGAGGCCGACCAGAGAATAGCCTACGGCAAAATGCGCCTAAATTTCTTTTATAATTAACTTTTCTACCGCGTATTTAACTAAATACGTAACAAAAGTTGAGATTGCTGTGTTAATTATCTTAGAGTATTTTTACTTACAATTGTTATAAATCATAATGCTTTTAACGTCTATAAATAATTTATGCTATAAAAAATACAAACCACAACAATAAACATACAAAACTTTACAATTCTTAATAAATTAATAAAAATATTTCTAAAAAGATTTTTGTGACTTTTTTTCTGTGACTTTATTTCTGTGACTTTTTTTCCGATAAAATTTTTCCACTGTGACTTTTTTTCTGTGACTTTTTTTCCTAGCAAAAACTGTGACTTTTTTTCTGTGTTTTTTTTTCCTGTGACTTTTTTTCCGTTTACCGAGTGAATGGGGGCGCGGTCAGCAATGGATGACACCCGCCTAGTGACGCCACTCAGATGCGAAGCTAAGGGGGGGGGTGTTTTAAATTTTATGGGTTTTTTTTTCACGAACTAATTCTGATTGTTGTTTAGAATGGATAATCAAAAGAACACAAGAAACTCAGAATAAAATAACGTTAGTATAGACGTTCACATTTTTAAAATCAAGAAACGTACGACTGATTAAAAGATAGATCGGTTGTCATGCACCATATTCGATTGCCAGAAATCAATTGCAGTTATGCTGGGTGCTAAAAATAATTAACCATTTGTCACTTGTGTGATCACACACAAAGAAATCGATAAATGGCAGATTTTACAGGTTTGGACACCGTTTGGTGGACCCAAGTAATCGGATATCTAGACGTGAAATTGCGTCGTGCACACATATTTGGTTTATCATATTTTTTTTTAATCTATCGAACAGTTGCAGCAGATTTTGGTGTCAGAACATGTTACCACACCCCCTCCCCCCTCTCCCCATATCCTTACCAAAAGGCAGACCCACAGGCACAGTGTTGGTAGGGCAAAGGGGTGGGTGAAGTACAGGGGTGGAAGGAGTAGACTGTAGAGGGTGTGGCTGTGTATATAGGACTAGTGTTATAATATGTTAGGGAATGGGGACGAACAGCTGTGGTAGGGCTGGTAAGTTGAGGAATACTATAGTAATACATCCAGTGGCGTATTCAATGACAGAGAGGGTTTCTGTTGGATAGGTCTCGCGTCATTTAGTTTTTGGGAGATTCGGTTTTTTAGCCTCAAATAAATTTTGGTCAAAAATTCTACTGTCGAAATCCTCTTAACGTAATTCTATTGTCGAAACTGTATTGCCCAATAGTGTGTTTTGTAATTTTTGTTGTCAAATTTTTGTTGTTTTAAAAGTGCGTTTGTGCACCGTATTGGGTGTGTTTGTCGATTTGATCAAGCAAGTAGATGGATCACGACGATTTGATCAAGCCAGTAGATGGATCACGACGATTTGATCAAGCCAGTAGATGGATCACGACGATTTGATCAAGCCAGTAGATGGATCACGACGATTTGATCAAGCCAGTAGATGGATCACGACGATTTGATCAAGCCAGTAGATGGATCACGACAATTTGATCAAGCCAGTAGATGGATCACGACGATTTGATCAAGCCAGTAGATGGATCATGACAATTTGATCAAGCCAGTAGATGGATCACGACGATTTGATCAAGCCAGTAGATGGATCATGACAATTTGATCAAGCCAGTAGATGGATCACGACGATTTGGTCAAGCCAGTAGATGGATCATGACACGATCAGGTTAATCTCAGCAAGACACTGGTCAGGTGATCTTGTCGTTGTATCTGCCAATGGTTTGGCGCCAAACTCTGATGGAACACCATCTGTCGCGCCACCAACTGCTGTATATACAGCCGACATCAAGACGGACCACTCGAATCAAAGATGGCGTTCATCAAGTTATTTATAGTTTGTCTGTCTGTTGCGTACATCCATAGTCAGGTAAATTTACGTGGACATCTTGTGTGAGAGAGACGGACAAAGGAAGACATCTTGTGTGAGAGACAGACAAAGGAAGACATCTTGTGTTATAGAGACAGACAAAGTAAGACATCTTGTGTTATAGAGACAGACAAAGGAAGACATCTTGTTGTGAGAGAGACGGACAAAGGAAGACATCTTGTGTTATAGAGACAGACAAAGTAAGACATCTTGTTGTGAGAGAGACAGACAAAGGAAGACATCTTGTGTTATAGAGACAGACAAAGTAAGACATCTTGTGTTATAGAGACAGACAAAGTAAGACATCTTGTGTTATAGAGACAGACAAAGTAAGACATCTTGTGTTATAGAGACAGACAAAGTAAGACATCTTGTTGTGAGAGAGACAGACAAAGGAAGACATCTTGTGTGAGAGAGACAGACAAAGGAAGACATCTTGTGTTATAGAGACAGACAAAGTAAGACATCTTGTTGTGAGAGAGACAGACAAAGGAAGACATCTTGTGTTATAGAGACAGACAAAGTAAGACATCTTGTGTTATAGAGACAGACAAAGTAAGACATCTTGTGTTATAGAGACAGACAAAGTAAGACATCTTGTGTTATAGAGACAGACAAAGTAAGACATCTTGTTGTGAGAGAGACAGACAAAGGAAGACATCTTGTGTGAGAGAGACAGACAAAGGAAGACATCTTGTGTTATAGAGACAGACAAAGTAAGACATCTTGTTGTGAGAGAGACAGACAAAGGAAGACATTTTGTAAGATAAAGGCAGACACCAGACGCCATTTTCCCCTGTATTTCAGGCGATCAACCAGAACAACTACGACGCGTTTTATGACTTACAAACTGGCACCAACAAGGTGAACGAAAGCGTCAGCATTTATGTGCCTTTTACTGGATCTGGGTGTAGCTCCGTTGGTAGGTAGCCTAGTGTAGTGTAGCTACGTTGGTAGGTAGCCTACAGTCTGTTGCTGATGTACTTCCGTTTGTAAATTGTATGTAACATACATTCTACCTTTAATCCTATTTAACAAACCTTCTAACACTATATAATCAGCTGATAAACCTATGACGTATGAGTCAGTTGAACAATTAACCTATACTTTCTTGTACTCATAAACCTATACTTTCTTATTTGAAGGGGTTTTAAAAATCGCCTTGTCCAAGGATGACCTAAGGAAAAAACGTGTCTTGGTGGACCTTTTTATGACAAACCCAACAGGATGGGTTTTCGATTTGGGCGATTCGGATACTAACAATGGTTACGGTAAGTGGACCAATGTATAGACGCAGTGGCGTCACTAAGGTAGGGTGTCACCCGGTGTGACTCCCACCCCCCCCCCCCCCACAAGAAAGTATATATATATATATATATATATATATATATATATATATATATATATATATATACATATATATACACATACATATATTCCATGAATTTTACCAAAGAAGTAAACATTAAGTTAGCAGCGAATGAAATACATAGGCTTCGTCTTGGTGAGGGAGCGGGTAAAGCCATCCGAGATAGGGGGGAGGGTAACACCTGAATTACCGCACCGGGTGACTCCCGACTTAGTGACGCCACTGATAACCTTTCATGTGTAACTATACTTTGACTGACCAAACATTTGTTATGATCCCAGCTGGTGATGCTATGACCCAGAGTTCAGATGCCGAAGTTCAGGGGTTAAATGGCATCCTGTCTGCATACAACAGCGATAATGGTGGCAGTGGCCTCGCTTTCAGTTTGACCTACAACTACGTGTAAGAAAACTGAAAGTTTTTACTGATTTTGTAAAAAATACTTTGGAAGAATTTAGTTTCAATTTCAAAATATAGATCTAGCATTCTAGTCATAAATGTTAATATAACATTCTAGTCATAGATGTTAAGGGGTCGTCCATAAATGACGTCATACTCGTAGGGGGAAGTGGGGGGGGGGGGGGGGGTCAGTAATTTTGTGACGGTGTGTGATGAGGGAGAAAAGGGGGGGGGGGGGGGGTTCAGATGGTGTGGCGTCACTTTTTAGCATTATAAAAATAAGCAATGTTAGAAAACGAGTTTTAGCAGTTATTTCGCGTTTAAGAAAACGGTTTTAATAAATTATAATAGGAATTGATCAAAATACTTTCGGAAAAAATGTAATAAAAATTCAACTGTAATTTAGGCTGAGGTGTGACGTCATTTTAGGGAGGGGGGGGGGGTCTGGCTTTTTGTGACGACGTGTGACGGAGAGAAGGGGGAGGTAAAAATCGTCAAAAAAGCGTGACGTCATTTATGGATGACCCCTAATATAATATTCTAATTATAGATGTTAATAAAATATTCTGGTTACAGATGTTAATATAACCTTTAACCTTATATGTTGGTTTGAATGGCGTGGGGTTAGTATTTTAAAGGCAGCGAGCACTGTGGTCGTGTTTGCATATTTCTCCCAACAGAAACCGGTTGACGCTGGTTGCTGGGGACAGTCAGATTGTGTTCACCAAAGATGGCGACCCCACCACGACCAACTACTTCAACAGTCCTGGTCTTTACGGTCTCAATGGGCAGTGGCAGTGCGAGGGCACCGTCAACTATGACCTTTACTTAGGGGTCAACGGGGTCGTGTATGGGGCCCAGTACAATGGACGGACAGGAAGTGGTGTTTGCAAAGTTGGCATCAAAATACTACCTCAGATTTAAAACATTTCAAGAAATTATTCCAGAAATTCAAAGAAGAAGAAAATTCCACTCCAAATGTAAACGATTTTATCAAAATCTTACCCAAAGTTTAAATGGTTAAAAGTAATGAAAGTAGAATAAAAGAAGCATACTGAAACCTTCGTTTTGTGTGTGTATTTAATTCACCATTTAAATTAAATTAACACTGAATTCTGTCATTCAACATTGTAGGTCTACGCGGTTTTAACAACAGTTTCTTCCAGGCATCTCTTCTCTACCCTCCCCCCCCCCCCGAACGAAATGAAATTTACCTAGAAAAATTGTACTTTTAACAGTATCCGCCCCCCGAAAATTTTAGTCCACCCCCCCCCACGAAAATGTTAAGTGCCCCCCCCCCCCCCTCTCCGGAGAAAAAAGTTTGGAAGAAACACTGTTTAACAAATCCATTCCACGTTTAAGCAGTTTTAGCACATAATAAGCTAATTAAAAAAAATCAATTTTTCGTTCTTGTAGTGCAGGGATCTCCAAACTTTTCAGTCCGAGGGCCGCATTACCTATCAAATTTCAGTTCGGGGGCCAGTTTCTTACAGGCATGTCTTTAATTTTTCTGGGCAAAGTTCCTCAGCCATCACCAACAAACGATTCTTCCGTGGACAAAAAGATCTCCGCGGGCCGGATGAGTGGACTTTGCGGGCCGTAGTTTGGAGACCCCTGTTGTAGTGTGTTAACATGTTATGCGCCATATAGACCGCTGACCAGAGGCGTCACAAGGCGGGGGTGCGGACAGCACCGGGTGAAACCATTTAGGGGGTGACACCAAAACAAAAAAATTGCAAAATATATGGGTTGAAAAATTGTTTTTGCGAGTTCAATTAATGCTTAATTAGTGTGAAAAAGTCTCTTGAATAAAAATTGACAAATCCCGACAAGGGTGGGGAGGTGACAGATTGTGTTGCTCTCATTGTTTTTTTTATTGTAGTGTATATATATATGTATATATATATATATATATATATATATATATATATATATATATATATATATATATATATATATATATATATATATATATATATATATATATGTTTTGTTTAGAGTGATACATTTTTTGTTTTGTCGGCCCACATTGTGCTTTTTTTCTTATTTCTTAAGAGTTCTACTTTTATTTTACATCATAGCGAAGCAATGACAAACAGCTAATATATATATATATATATATATATATATATATATATATATATATATATATATATATATATATATATATATATATATACATATATATATATATATATATATATATATATATATATATATATATATATATATATATATATATATATATATATATATATATATATATATATATATATATATATATATACATATATATATATATATAATGAAGGAAACAATTTGATCCCCCCATGGATGCGTTAAACATCATTCACCACTGTCCGGTTACGTTAGGTCAAATCCAATCCAGCGTATACCAGGTATGACATTAATGCTGTACACAATTGTAGTGGTTAGGGTTGGGGGGGGGATAACCAACAAAATAACGTCTAAAATTAGTTTTCTAATATTGCTTTTTTATAATGCAAAAGTGTGACGTCGCACCATCTGAACACCCCCCCCCCCCCTCATCACACACCGTCACAAAATTACTGACCCCCTTCCCCCCCCCTACGAGTGTGACATCATTTATGGACGCCACTGGTAAAATACTGGTGTATTATTATATATTTAAAGAAAATAATTTGTTTTCTCTTCTTTAGGGCATTATTACATAGGGATAGATCTAGATTTAAGTTTAAGCGTGTTATTAAAATGTTTTTTGTGTGCAGATTTGTATTAAAAGAGAGCTCGGCATCCACTGATTTTTGAGCTAGCTAAACTACGGTCTGTCCCCCCCCCCCCCTCCTGCTCCCCTTCCCTTAATTTCGGGGTCTGGCGACAAAGTCGTTCCCTATAATGAACAATTTATTTATTACAAAGTAGGTATATTCATATTGTTATAAAAATAACGTTTATTTATTTTGAAATTTGAATTAACATCTTTTTCGTGTATTGTTCTGGCAACACTGAGATTTGAGTTTTATTTATTTTTTATTATTCGTGGCCAAACAGTTCAGACGGCAGTCCTGTTAGTTTGTGCATTTGTTAGCAAACGCATTTGTTTTAATTTGCATTGTATATTATTTTTTTATTCCTTCTAGACCTAGATGTAGATCTAGATCTATCAACGAAGTCTAGATCTAGGTAAACATTCCTCTAGCTTAGGGTCGTAAATTCCAACGAAGCGCTGATAAAACGGTAATCTATCGTTTTGGGTACGTAAAATCGCCCGCGACTAGTAATGTGAAAGACAGGTGACTCCTTAAATTTTAATAATTATTTCACATTTTGAGGAGGATTTATGTTTTGAAAAATACAAAAATGTTTCCTTGTTTCATTTATGTACCTGTTTTCAAACAATTGAATTAAAACTTTTCAATAATAAATGAAGACTAGCGATGTTTCCAACAGATGCAACCATTCTCATTTACTCACATTTACTATAGCAGCCAACTTGTTTAAGTTCTTTCTGTGTTAACTTATAGCGCAAGATTCAGGGGAAGCCACTCTATTTTACAAATGGCTGCTGTTTATATAGCAAATCTTGCTCTCAGACACTGCTGTTTAAAGTTGATTTCTGGCATATATTGATGTATTTAGCCATTGGTTTAAGTTTATTATTCATTTTTCTATAATATTTGGCACAAACATATGATAATACACACCTATATTAAAGCCTTGACAATGAGGTAACGTTTTCGTACATTAATAGCCGCGGGCGATTTTACATACCCAAAACGATAGATTACCCATTAGTTTAGCCAGCCATGTGTATTTAGTATTTAGTTAACTACCAGTAACCTAACACCCCTTTTTTTAAGAAGATTCCTTTGTCAGATAAGAATCCTCACCATGTCCCATTTAAAACATTAGATATAATTTATAAAGCATCTAAACATTAGCTAGACAATTTTTTTTACTTATTGCACTTATCCCCAACACTAGGTGCAGGTCTTGATGTGTAGCAGCAAATAAAATTGTTGACACAACTTAATGGGACTCTTCATTGACTGAAATCATTTTGAGTAGCGGATGCTGGACTGACTGGACCCATCATGTCACAGGGTCAGAGCTCATTACCCCAGAACAAGGAGGCCCAGTTAAGATCATACCAGGTCCATCTCAAGGACAATGTGCGTTCAATGTTTGATAATTTCACAGAAATCATTCGCCTGGCCCGCGTAAGTGACAAGGTATAATGGTAACATTTTATATTTCAGTTTTCCATCTTGGGAAGCCTGAGGCTGGTGGCGGATGCTCAGCTAAAAACTAATTAACTAACGATGTTACCTTTTATTTTTTTTTTTCTAATTTTTTTTGTTGGTGAATTAGTTTTGCTTAAAAATTTGAATCTTTGTAGACTGGAAATTATGATTTAGCTTCTTTTAAGAAGTAATTAATTGATTTCTTATTAGAAATGTATGACCACACCAACAGTCATATCCAGACTGTCGTAGTTCTACCAGTGCTGTTGTTAGAAAAATGTAAATACAACATCGTTACTTAGAGTTGATTAGGCCTACTGAGGAAAAAGGTAAAGTTAGTAAAAGGTTCAGGTTGGAATAAGCATATTTGGTTGTGTCTCTGTTTCTTATTCCATAGAATGCTTAGAGATGAAATACAATTTTTTTCCTATACCATAGAATACTTAGAGGTAGTGTGAAAAACAAATATTGTACACAGTCAAGGCACCCCAGACATTAATCAAAATTTTCCTTGTACTGATATCACATCTGATGGGGGGGGGGGGGTAATTGATGGGTAGTGGGTTGTGTCCTAGCTGCTTTAAAACAACAGTCTAGCTCCAATCATTTATTACAAGTAAGTGCTGGTGTCTAATGTAGGGCTTGAATTGAGAGTTTTACTGTTTTCTTGTTTTAATATCCTCTTATTGGTTTGTTTGAGTGCTGGTGTTGGATACTTTCTATATTGTAGGGTGTGGCGCTTGAAAAATGATTCTCAATTTTTGTTTTGTTTCCCTGCTCTGATTGTAAGTATTTCTTTAAGATGCCATCATGGTGGTAGGTTTTACCTTCTCATATTGTCAAACTTTTTTGTTTTATTTTGTGAAAAGCTTAGGCAAGTTTTTGTTCCAACCTGGAAAGGAAAGAGTGTGACCATGAAATATTGGTCCACATGAACACAATATGTAACCACAAAATATTGGTCCATATGAGATCATGCATGCTCATTTACTAACACTGTTAGTTTTTTAAGCTGTAACTTGTTTAAATACTTTTGTTGATTACAAAATTATGTAAGCTAATATAACAGTATTATTGGCTAAATTAAATTTTTTAAATACATCTATTGTTTTAAATAATCATATAAATTATATACTGTAAACTGAAACAATTATTTAAAATTCACTTTTATACGAAAATTCCATTTTAAATAGTAAATATTTGAAACATTTTTGTTATTTAGTACTTGAAAGTAATTTGAAATGTATTTCTATTTTTTGAAATAACAACAATCCATTTTTTTATCAATGCAACCACATGATGGGATTGTAAGGTAGCTACTTGTGATATGAACTATTTTTAGACCGATCTAAGACTCAAATATTTTCTCTGTTAATTGCAGCCTCTCTTCAAGGTCACTAGAAACTAGAAGAATATTTTTTTAAGAGTTTACCTGAACATTAACATGACTTAAGTTTGACTGAACGTGACTTAAGTTTGACTAAAGTTGAACTAAACTTGACTTAAGAGTTGACTGAACCATGTTGAAGTTTGACTAAACTTGACTAAAGAGTTGACTAAACCATGTTGAAGTTTAACTTAAGTCCAAATGTTGTGCAGATAGAAGAAGACGGCCAGCTGTTGCGTGCCACCCAGATTGATCAGGACCACTACGAGATGCAGGTGCGAGCTGCTAACATTGTGAGTCATTTGGAATTGTTTGTACTCGGAAATGTATGGTTGACGTGTACACATTCCTATCAAGAGGTGTACACACGTCTCACCATTGTTCTCAGTAAGGTGGTGTACACATGTCGCACCATTGTGTTTCCCATTAAGGTGGTGTACACACATCTCACCATTGTGTTCCCATTAAGGTGGTGTACATATGTCTCACCATTGTGTTCCCATTAAGGTGGTGTACACACGTCTCACCATTGTGTTCTCATTAAGGTGGTGTACACACATCTCACCATTGTGTTCTCATTAAGGTGGTGTACACACATCTCACCATTGTGTTCTCATTAAGGTGGTGTACACATGTCTCACCATTGTGTTCTCATTAAGGTGGTGTACACACATCTCACCATTGTGTTCTCATTAAGGTGGTGTACACACATCTCACCATTGTGTTCTCATTAAGGTGGTGTACACACATCTCACCATTGTGTTCTCATTAAGGTGGTGTACACACATCTCACCATTGTGTTCTCATTAAGGTGGTGTACACATGTCTCACCATTGTGTTCTCATTAAGGTGGTGTACACACATCTCACCATTGTGTTCTCATTAAGGTGGTGTACACACGTCTCACCATTGTGTTCTCATTAAGGTGGTGTACACACATCTCACCATTGTGTTCCCATTAAGGTGGTGTACATATGTCTCACCATTGTGTTCCCATTAAGGTGGTGTACATATGTCTCACCATTGTGTTCCCATTAAGGTGATGTACACACGACTGGCCATGTGCTGTGTACAGCTGTGACATCTTAATTGCTTTATCCATTGATTTCATCCTATTGATTTATGTCTAACACTGACTGACTGTAACCCTTGTATGACTGCCTGACTGTAACCCTTGTATGACTGCCTGACTGTAACCCTTGTATGACTGTAACCCTTGTATGACTGTAACCCTTGTATGACTGTCTGACTGTAACCCTTGTATGACTGCCTGACTGTAACCCTTGTATGACTGTAACCCTTGTATGACTGACTGTAACCCTTGTATGACTGCCTGACTGTAACCCTTGTATGACTGTAACCCTTGTATGACTGTAACCCTTGTATGACTGCCTGACTGTAACCCTTGTATGACTGTAACCCTTGTATGACTGTAACCCTTGTATGACTGTCTGACTGTAACCCTTGTATGACTGTAACCCTTGTATGACTGGCTGACTGTAACCCTTGTATGACTGTCTGACTGTAACCCTTATATGACTGTAACCCTTGTATGACTGGCTGACTGTAACCCTTGTATGACTGTAACCCTTGTATGACTGTCTGACTGTAACCCTTGTATGACTGTAACCCTTGTATGACTGGCTGACTGTAACCCTTGTATGACTGTAACCCTTGTATGACTGTAACCCTTGTATGACTGTAACCCTTGTATGACTGTAACCCTTGTATGACTGTAACCCTTGTATGACTGACTGACTCTAACCCTTGTATGACTGTAACCCTTGTATGACTGTAACCCTTGTATGACTATCTGTCAGGTGAAGGCCGGTGAGTCCCTTATGAAGCTAGTCTCAGACCTCAAACAGTTCCTGATCCTGAATGACTTCCCTTCAGTCAACGAGGCCATCTCACACAATGCCAGCTTGTATAAAGACATGCAGACAGCCATAGACAAAAAACTGATGAACTTGAGGGATGAAATGTCAGCTGACTTGTATGAACTGGAGGATGAATATTATTCTTCTATCAACAAATAATGGCTGCCTGCTTGTGTCAAAGTGGGAGTGATGTCAGTGTACAGGGCCTGTCTGTGTGGGTGCAGTAGAGTCATTGGTTACCTTGTTTCAGGTTTGATGTTTGACTATCTAGGAAACTTGGTGTATGTAGACAGTGGTTGATGTTTGACTGTCTGGTAAACTTGGTGTATGTAGACATTGGTTGATGTTTGACTATCTAGGAAACTTGATGTATGTAGACAGTGGTTGATGTTTGACTGTCTAGGAAACTTGGTGTATGTAGACAGTGGTTGATGTTTGACTGTCTAGGAAACTTGGTGTATGTAGACAGTGGTTGATGTTTGACTGTCTAGGAAACTTGGTGTATGTAGACAGTGGTTGATGTTTGACTGTCTAGGAAACTTGGTGTATGTAGACAGTGGTTGATGTTTGACTGTCTAGGAAACTTGGTGTATGTAGACATTGGTTGATGTTTGACTGTCTAGGAAACTTGGTGTATGTAGACAGTGGTTGATGTTTGACTGTCTAGGAAACTTGGTATATGTAGACAGTGGTTGATGTTTGACTGTCTAGGAAACTTGGTGTATGTAGACATTGGTTGATGTTTGACTGTCTAGGAAACTTGGTGTATGTAGACAGTGGTTGATGTTTGACTGTCTAGGAAACTTGGTGTATGTAGACAGTGGTTGATGTTTGACTGTCTAGGAAACTTGGTGTATGTAGACAGTGGTTGATGTTTGACTGTCTAGGAAACTTGGTGTATGTAGACTGGTTGATGTTTGACTGTCTAGGAAACTTGGTGTATGTAGACAGTGGTTGATGTTTGACTGTCTAGGAAACTTGGTGTATGTAGACAGTGGTTGATGTTTGACTGTCTAGGAAACTTGGTGTATGTAGACAGTGGTTGATGTTTGACTGTCTAGGAAACTTGGTGTGTGTAGACAGTGGTTGATCTAGGAAACTGTATGTACATATTTATTGGTCCACTTGTCTCGGTTGTATTGAGTTGAAATAAATTTAATGAATAAATTTTTTAATGTGTGCTCTCTCATCTCTGTGTGTATGTGTTTGCAAATGACAATAGTTATTATATTATTTATGTAAGGAGGGGGGGGGGGGGCACAGACTTGATATGTTACAGAACTCAAAGGAATCAAGTCATCAGATGTGATGTGATTTATTTGGTCACCACCCCATGAAACAACAGGTCACCAAACAACTGGTCCCGCATCTTGGCACACAGTGATGGTCAAGTGGCCATCTGCTGGGGTGGGGCTTGAACCACTCTTAAATCTTGGAGAAATGTGATCCACATGATGTTTAATGGGTGACGTTTTGCTTGCTGATGACTGGCTGGATGATTTATTCATACGATGTCAAGTAGATGATGTTTGATGTGTGCATACACTGGTTGAGGTGTTGATGTTTGATGTGTGCATACACTGGTTGAGGTGTTGATGTTTGATGAGTGCATACACTGGTTGAAGTGTTGATGTTTGATGTGTGCATAGACTGGTTGAAGTGTTGATGTTTGATGTGTGCATACACTGGTTGAAGTGTTGATGTTTGATGTGTGCATAGACTGGTTGAAGTGTTGATGTTTGATGTGTGCATACACTGGTTGAAGTGTTGATGTTTGATGTGTGCATAGACTGGTTGAAGTGTTGATGTTTGATGTGTGCATACACTGGTTGAGGTGTTGATGTTTGATGTGTGCATACACTGGTTGAGGTGTTGATGTTTGATGTGTGCATAGACTGGTTGAAGTGTTGATGTTTGATGTGTGCATACACTGGTTAAAGTGTTGATGTTTGATGTGTGCATACACTGGTTGAAGTGTTGATGTTTGATGTGTGCATACACTGGTTGAGGTGTTGATGATGGATGCTGGTGACCAAAGCTTTGAGCACTGTACCAAAGACCAAGGCACTGTTTTGCTGGGTTAAACATGGAGCTATTGGAAGTGGCAAAAACTAGGCCACCTGTACCTTTATTATATACAAAGGTCAGCCACTGCACTATTTGTAGAGGCTGCCCCTTGCCATCTATGTATAGCTCCATACTGTAGAGCATTGTGGGTAAGAGATTTGTGCTGGCACATTGAAGTTGTACACAGATGTAAGGAAATGTAACTCTGATTGACATGGTGAGTTCTGTCCAAAATAAGGAGAAAAAATCTTAAGACATGCTGGAGACAATCTGATAGTTGGTGCATCTCAAGGCAGTCTGTAGGCCAGCACTTGGTTTAACCTCAGCAAATGGTTTGTAGAATATAAAATGAAAGAATGTAATGCAAGTAAAAAAATGGACCCTGGTGAAGCTACGATGATCTTTTCTCTGTTGGTTTTTTCTTATGTTTGCCTTTGAGCAGCTGATCTGGACCGGATGTTTTCTCCTTCCCATCATCCCTCTCTGTCCGCTCCCCTAGATGTTGTCTGCTGCTATCTGGCCAGCCGCGTGATATTGTCCGACAGCTCGACCGCACCTCGCCCTCAAACCGGTACGGCCGGTTGGGAAGTGCTACCTGTAGAGCTGGAACCTAAGACTTCTGGGTCCTGCTGACGTTCAAGCCAGTCCCCAGCCTGCCCAAGGCTTCTTCACATGGCGCCATGATGTCCTGCGGGAAAGTTTGCATTCATTAAAGTCTGGCAATTTTCATTTCTACAAGAAAATTTCATTTTTTAAAAATGTTTTGGTTTCTAAAATAAAATGTTTTGGTTTCTAAAAAATTAAAATACTTTGTTTCCTAAAAAATTAACATGTCTTGGTTTCCAAAAAATTAACATGTTTTGGTTCCCAAAAAAATTAAAATGTTTTGGTTTCTAAAAAATTAAAATGTATTAGTTCCTAAAAAATTTAAATGTTTTGGTTTCTAAAATATTAAAATGTTTTGGTTCTTAAAGAATTAAAATGTTTTGGTTAAACTTAAAATGATTTTAACTAGAGAAGAGCTTAAAAAACATTGAATTCTTCCTTCCACTTGACAATTGATCAAATCCATTAACCAATATACTAGATAAATTTAATTAGTGGAAATATTGATTAAAACGGGAGAAATTAGGACATCCACCACTTGGATGACTAAAATTTCTTTACAAGTTTTAAACCTAGTCATTACAATTATTAAACCTGGTCATTAAAATTATTAAACCTGGTTATTACAATTATTAAACCTGGTCATTACGATTATTAAACCTGGTCATTACAATTATTAAAATCATAAACATTAAGTTCAGATTAGGGTTATAATATGCAGAGGCGTAGCGACCCTTCCCGGCGCCCGGGGACATACTTTCAATTTGGCGCCCCCCCTCGGGAGCAAATTTTTGATTTGCACCCCCCCCCCCTCAAACTTTCGATTTGCACCCCCCCCCCCTCGAACTTTTCATTTGCACCCCCCCCCCCTCAAACTTTCAATTTGGCGCCCCCCCTAAGGTCGGCGCCCGGGGACATATGTCCCCCCCCCGCCCCCCCCTCGCTACGCCTCTGATAATATGTAAACAGAAATAAAGCAAAAAGCAACGCAACAAAAAATATAATCCAACTTTAAATAGGCAGGTTTCACAATAAATTAAGAATGGAGTAAAAATGATTGAGAATGAGATTAAAAAACTAATTATTGTGAGCCCATATAACCTAATGGGCAACTAACCAATTGAGTTGCCTTCAAACCTATAACCATACCTTGTTTTCCTTATACCTCTTGTGAATCTGACGTAGAATGTTACTGGATATTTGAGACCCCTGTAGCTCTGAACAGATGTCTTCTGCCATTTCAAACAGTTTTCTCAGTTCAATTGTCTAATCTTTACTATCTACAAGTTTTTAATCCCTGAGGCCACATAATATACTAGAGACACAAGCCACTTTATAGAGATAACCAAAATATTTAGGAATAAAAATGTTATAAATGTTTGTTATAATCCTCCAAAATGTCTTGCATAGTGTATTTAGCATAGATTTACACAACATAAGTGGAGTTAGGTGGACTGAAATATAATCAAAGCAAGAGACATCAAAAGTAGCCTACAAGAGTCTACAGAGAGCTGGGTAAGGTTGTAAAATGCTAGAGTAGAATAAAAATAAAAGACTGAGTGGATATTGGTTGTAAGAATAAAGCATTCATTAGCAACAAAGAACCAGTTTTAATAAAGGGACAACAACTAGATTAGTAGAAAATCTAATTTAATTTTAACCATCAAGCACGGAAAAGCAGTGGCTTAGTAGAAAGTATTATGGACATCTAGTTTAAGTATTAAGTATGGAAACCAGTGGATTAGTAGAAAGTATTATGGACATCTAGTTTAAGCATTAGGCATGGAAAGCAGATGTTTTAGCAAGCAGTCTAAAAATGGGAAAGCCATTACACACATAGCCACTGGGTGTAGTGGCACATAAAGCATGCAGTCAGTACCTTGTTGTCATAATATTTTTTTGTGATTTCATAGAGATCTCTGGACACTTTGGCAGCCTTTAGGTCTAGGCAAATCTCATCTGGTGTAATAAATCAAAGACAGCGGATAGGAACAAATCAATGACAGTGGATAGGAACAAATCAATGACAGTGGATAGGAACAAATCAATGACAGTGGATAGGAACAAATCAATGACAGTGGATAGGAACAAATCAATGACAGTGGATAGGAACAAATCAATGACAGTGAGATGAGAGAAAGATGTAGTTAGAGTAAGCTCTTTCTTGCTTTGTTGGTTCTAAGCTACAAAACCTATTGCAACAGACTGCAGTAATAACCAATCCATCTGCCCCCACAAGTACTTTGATTTTCAAATCGTCCAGATTAAACTACCCAACCCATGGTGGAAGGGATAATATACCAGAGAAAGAGAGATCTAGAAGAAACACCATAGGAAGTAAAATCTAGAATTAGAGAAACATACCATAGGAAGTAAAATCTAGAATTAGAGAAACATACCATAGGAAGTAAAATCTAGAATTAGAGAAACATACCATAGGAAGTAAAATCTAGAATTAGAGAAACATACCATAGGAAGTAAAATCTAGAATTAGAGAAACATACCATAGGAAGTGAGTTCTAGAATGAGAGAAACATACCATAGGAAGTGAGTTCTAGAATTAGAGAAACATACCATAGGAAGTGAGTTCTAGAATTAGAGAAACATACCATAGGAAGTGAGTTCTAGAATTAGAGAAACATACCATAGGAAGTGAGTTCTAGAATTAGAGAAACATACTATAGGAAGTGAGTTCTAGAATTAGAGAAACATACCATAGGAAGTGAAATCTAGAATTAGAGAAACATACCATAGGAAGTGAGTTCTAGAATTAGAGAAACATACCATAGGAAGTGAGTTCTAGAATTAGAGAAACATACCATAGGAAGTGAGTTCTAGAATTAGAGAAACATACCATAGGAAGTGAGTTCTAGAATTAGAGAAACATACCATAGGAAGTGAGTTCTAGAATTAGAGAAACATACCATAGGAAGTGAGTTCTAGAATTAGAGAAACATACCATAGGAAGTGAGTTCTAGAATGAGCCTGACGATGGCTTCCACTACGAGAGCGTTGTCCTTGTGTAGATGATAAGCCTTGAGAATTGTTGGGATGCCAGTTGGTGAATCATCATCTGGGTCAGCGCTTGTCAAAAACCGAAATGCGCATTCCTCTGAAACAAAGGACAGACTGAAAAAATATTCCAGCAGTTGATGGAGTATTTGTCAGCTAAGTCATCTAGCGATACCACATTCTTCAGTCATCTCAATTTTAGTTTTTTCATTCCATTTTCTTTTATATGCTGACATCACTGAACAAAATACGCCACTTTAAAATGCATGTTTAGATTTAAAAAACACCAAAAAGAATTTTGGTTTTTACTCAACACATATTTACAATATAATTAGAGTATAATTAGAGTATGAGTTAACAAGCACTAGCTAAGACTTGTTACCATTAGCTTGTACCACCATGGCCAGGACCTTGCAGCTGTTGTTGACTACCCTAGCATTGTTGGTGTGAAGATGGATGGCAAAGATCAGGTTCCCCACACAGTCCAGCTCATTGAATGGGTCATAGCAGCCATCTGTCACAAGATCATTTTATTTTCTAGTCTGTCACAAGATCATTTTATTTTCTAGTCTGTCACAAGATCATTTTATTTTCTAGTCTGTCACAAGATCAACTCATTTTATTTTTAAGTCAAACCAACAGAGACAATCATATTTCAGGCACTCAGTGAGATCAAACCAACAGAGACATAATTCTGGCAATCAGTGAGATCAAACCAACAGAGACATAATTCTGGCACTTACCATCCAGCAGTAAAGAAATGAGAGCAGCTGCAGCAGATTCACTGACTTGGGGGGAAACTTTGTGAATGCTCAGCGCAATACACACATCTCTAACTGCCTTTTCATTGCCGGCAACTTTCAAGTTTTCAGCTACAAAGAAAACATTTTGATTTGTATTTTTATACAGATAAAATGGTTAACAATTTCCATTCTGTTTTGTTTACTATTTTACAGCAGGAAGTAGAAAGTAAGAATGTCTTAGTTTGACAGCAGGAAGCAGAAAGTCTTAGTTTGACAGCAGGAAGTAGAAAGTCTTAGTTTGACAGCAGGAAGCAGAAAGTCTTAGTTTGACATCAGGAAGCAGAAATCTTACCATCTACTGTCAAGCTCCACAGGGCTGTACAGCAAACAGCATTTAGTGCTGCGTGATACTGCGCATGTCTCATGGCTATTAGAATGTCTTGGATCCCTCCCAGTTGGACAATGATTCGTGAAGAGACCTCTAAAAATAGAAACAATTTGTCACCAATGGCTGAAAACTTGATCAGTAGTGTCAGACTGGTGGGCTAAAGTAGACAACTAGGTCAGACTGGTGGGCTAAAGTAGACAGGAGAACTAGGTTAGACTGGTGGGCTAAAGTAGACAGGAGAACTAGGTCAGACTGGTGGGCTAAAGTAGAAAACTAGGTCAGACTGGTGGGCTAAAGTAGACAACTAGGTCAGACTGGTGGGCTAAAGTAGACAGGAGAACTAGGTCAGACTGGTGGGCTAAAGTAGACAGTAGAACTAGGTCAGACTGGTGGGCTAAAGTAGACAGTAGAACTAGGTCAGACTGGTGGGCTAAAGTAGACAGTAGAACTTGGTTAGACTGGTGGGCTAAAGTAGACAGCAGAACTAGGTCAGACTGGTGGGCTAAAGTAGACAGGAGAACTAGGTCAGACTGGTGGGCTAAAGTAGACAGGAGAACTAGGTCAGACTAGTGGGCTAAAGTAGACAATAGAACTAGGTTAGACTGGTGGGCTAAAGTAGACAATAGAACTAGGTTAGACTGGTGGGCTAAAGTAGACAGTAGAACTAGGTCAGACTGGTGGGCTAAAGTAGACAGGAGAACTAGGTTAGACTGGTGGGCTAAAGTAGACAATAGAACTAGGTTAGACTGGTGGGCTAAAGTAGACAACTAAGTCAGACTGGTGGGCTAAAGTAGACAGGAGAACTAGGTCAGACTGGTGGGCTAAAGTAGACAGGAGAACTAGGTCAGACTGGTGGGCTAAAGTAGACAGTAGAACTAGGTTAGACTGGTGGGCTAAAGTAGACAACTAGGTCAGACTGGTGGGCTAAAGTAGACAGGAGAACTAGGTCAGACTGGTGGGCTAAAGTAGACAGTAGAACTAGGTCAGACTGGTGGGCTAAAGTAGACAGTAGAACTTGGTTAGACTGGTGGGCTAAAGTAGACAGCAGAACTAGGTCAGACTGGTGGGCTAAAGTAGACAGGAGAACTAGGTCAGACTGGTGGGCTAAAGTAGACAGGAGAACTAGGTCAGACTGGTGGGCTAAAGTAGACAATAGAACTAGGTTAGACTGGTGGGCTAAAGTAGACAATAGAACTAGGTTAGACTGGTGGTATAACGGACACCTATCTACCAGCCAGATAGATGGTGAACGCCCCCGGATTCTTTCTTGGGGTTATATGCAAATGACCTAAAGCCTAAATGAATGAAAACTAACTCAACAACTCACTAGGGCTCGATTTCGATGTCTAGGGAAAACTAGTGAAACTATTGAAGTTAACAACTCATTCAATCTGCATACAACCTTTAATAAGTGAACACAGTTGTGGCAGAACACTAGGTTAAACAAGATAAAATATTTAGTTTATAAAATAACAAAACCCAACTTACAAAGCGTAAGAAAAAATACTATCACAGATTCTAACACTTTATAAAAATAGCCACAGGTCACATAACACTGCTATAGCATCAAGAATCACTTGGCCACAAGTAATATAAAACTAGAATACTTAAACAACTTAAGAATGCATAGCACACTCAGGACTTAAGATCTCTCACGTTCAAATGGTCAGAATGGACTGCAGTGTTTCTTCCAGACTTTTTTCTCCGGGGGGCACTTGAAATCTTCGGGGGGGGGGGGGGGGGGGGGGGGGGCGGTAAACTTTCTTCGGGGGGGCGGACACTGTTAAAAGTATATATTTTCTATATAAATTATATAAATTTCATTTCGTTCGGGGGGGGGGGGGGGGGCGGTAAAAGAGATGCCTGGAAGAAACTCTGATGGACTGCCGGTCAAAATGGACGGCCTGGTCAAAATGGACTGCCTCGTGCCGCCTGTGGGCGATCTAGTTATAGACTTAGGCAACATGGGAGGTTACCCTCAACTCATGTGGCCATTGGTTGGGGTGGTCATCTGGTCTGAACCAATCAATCAGATCTTGATGGAAAATTTCTGAGTCTTAGACTCTCTTAGTAAGACAGCGGAAAAAACCCGGTTGTTGCACCATCAACCATATATGGTATTATAACAATGTCAAACTAAAACATTACTGGACCTAAGTAGGTCACATCCCCTCCCTTTTTGGAAGTGACAGATAGGTTCCACAAAACATACATAAGGAACCAATCTGGCAATGAAATAAAAAAAATGTTCTACAAATGTATCCAATCAAAATCTTAATACCAGATGAAATATCCCTGGAAACAAAAGGGAAGTAACTCAAACTTTTACAATTTGTGAAAGGGGAGTAACCCTTTCAAAAAATAATTATACATCAAAATCCCTCAGAAAGGGGTATTACAATATTTCCATGTGGACATTAAAAGTGGTAAACCCGACAGGGTAAAACCTTTATTTCAATGACTAGCTACAATATCAACTGAGTCATATGAGACATATTATCATAGAAGATTACATATAATCAAAAACCACCTTTTAATAAGGTTCACCTAAAAATAAACAAAATTTGCAACAGGGTGAAATTTTGAAAAAATTCAAAACTCATACCACTCACATTCATGTGAGTGTGTGTCACCTAAACAAAACACTTGTGTATGGTCCTAATGAACCACAAAGCATGTCACATGATCAATGTGTGTAATAAGATTTTACATCCTTGACAAACAATCAGCCACAACATTATCAATACCCTTAATGTGGGAAATTTCCAGATTAAAATTTTGGAAATATAAACACCATCTCAATATTCTGGGATTCTTTTGTCCTAACTTAGAGGTAAATTTCAGGGGATCATGGTCAGAAAACACTCTGACCGGATTGGTTGAAGAAGTGACATAGACTTCAAAATGTTGTAAGGACAAAACCAAAGCTAAAGCTTCTTTTTCAATAGTAGAGTAATTCTTTTGGTTCTCATTTAACTTCCTGGAAAAAAAAAAGCAATTGGATGGTCAATCCCCATGTTGTCTTCTTGAAATAAGACTGAGCCAATGGCTAAGTTGCTAGCATCAATGGCAAGTTTAAAGGGCTTGCTGAAATCTGGTGCAGCCATAACAGGAGCATTAGATAAAAATGACTTAATGGTTAAAAAAGCTTCATGACATTTAGTTGACCATTCAAACTCAACACCCTTTTTCAATAATGCAGTAAGAGGTTCAGCAACAGCTGAAAAGTTTTGACAGAACCGCCTATAGTAACCAGCCATCCCAAGGAACTTTTTGATTTCTTTACAATTTTTGGGAGGAGGCAACTTTACAATAGCATCTACTTTAGCTTCAATGGGCCTAACTTGGTTCGTTCCCACTTGATAACCCAAATAGGTAATTGAACCTTTACAGAAATCACTTTTATGCAGGTTTACAGTAAAATTAACTTCAGACAATATTCTAAAAAGGTTAGTCAACTGAACAATATGTGCTTCAAAAGTATTAGAAAATACAACTATATCATCTATGTAGGCCTCACATTGGTCTATGTCAGCAATGACAGAGTTAATGACCCGCTGGAAAGTTTGACCAGCATTTCGCATACCAAAGGGCATACGTTTGTATCTATAAAAGCCATTAGGGGTTACAAAAGCAGATATTTCTTTTGCACGGTCAGATAAGGGGATTTGCCAGTATCCTGAAAGTAAATCAATTTTGGAAATTATCTTAGCTTGACCAACTTTATCAATAACGTCTTCTATTCGAGGTAATGGATAGGAATCAGCTTTGGTGAGCACATTTACCTTCCTAAAGTCGGTCACAAACCTGAAAGATCCACCGTCTTTCGGGACTAGAAGACATGGGGAACTCCAGTTGCTGAAACTGGGTTCAATGATATCATTCCTGAGCATATAATCAATTTCATCTTTTATCAAAACAGCTTTTTCCGGGTTAACTCTATAGGGGTGTTGTTTGACGGGTTTTGCATCACCTACGTCTACATCATGAGGTGGTACCTTCGCTTCTTTGGGGACATCCCCAAAAATAGAGGGAAATGTCTCAAATAACTGAGACAATCTATGGTTTTCCTCAGTGGACAAATGCATAAGGTGGTCATTTAGATGATCTAAAAAGGAAGAATTTACCAATTTTGGGGGTTTCAATTTATCATGTATCACATCATCAGAAACATTTGAACATACAGGTAAAGTAATTTTAGCTGTGGAATGAAAATTGTTACAATTATCATAATACTTTTTCAGTGAGTTAACATGATACACTGTCTGTTTCTTTCTTCGGTCTGGCGTATTGACAACATAGTTCAAATCACTTAATTTTGAATGCACAGTAAAGGGTCCACAATATCTTAAGGATAACGCATTGTTCAGATTAGGCACGAGCACAAGAACTTTCTCGCCTGGATTGAATGTTCGTTTACGAGAACTCTTATCATATAGTCCTTTCATTCTCACTTGGGCCTTTCTTAAGTTCTTGTGAGCCATTTCGCACACGGCTTTCAGTCGAACGCGAAAATCGTCAAAGTTTTCCACTGGATGATCTCTGGTACCTGTCCAACGCTCGTGGATCAGCTTCAGGGGACCACGGACAGAATGTCCAAACACAAGCTGAAAAGGAGAGTAACCTAGAGCTTCCTGGACACAGTCTCTCGCGGCGAAAATAATCCATGGAACAGTCTCATCCCATTGGGTGTTACTTTTAGCGAATGTTCTTAGCATGGTTTTTAGGGTCTGGTGGAACCTCTCAAGTACGCCTTGAGACTGAGGGTGGTAGGCTGAGCTGGTGATGTGGGTAACGCCTAGCTTGGCTAGCGCTTCCTGAAAATGGTGACTGGTGAAGTTGCTGCCTTGATCTGTTTGAACGATTCTAGGTAATCCAAAGGTAGTGAAGAACCGGGTCATGGCTCTGACTACAGTCTTTGCCTTAATGTTCCGTAAGGGGAACGCCTCGGGAAAACGGGTACTTGAACACATAAAGGTAAGTAGGTACTCGTTGCCCGCCTTGGTTTTAGGCAAGGGACCTACACAGTCCATGACGATTTTAGAAAAGGGTTCTTCTAATACAGGAACCGGACTCAAAGGGGCCTTAGGAATTTTCTGGTTTGGCTTTCCGGCCAACTGACAGTTCGTGCAACTTTTGCAGTAACGCGACACATCATTTCTCATTTTGGGCCAAAAGAACAGTTCTTTGATCTTCGCCATTGTTTTAGTGACTCCTGGGTGCGCTGACATTGGATGGTCATGTGCCAGTTTCAGTATTTCATGCCGATAGGGTGGAGGGACCCACAGCTGGTTTTTACCCAACCATGGTTCGGCAGGTGAGGCATCCACTGGTACAGAGCGACGAAAGAAGAGGCCGTTCTCGGAGAAATATTCCCCATCGTCAGATGAGAGAGATTTTTCGACCATTGCTTTGAGTTCCGCGTCGACTTGTTGAGCTTTAATGATGTCTTCCTGAGATATCCTCAGGGGTAAGCCCAGGCTTGTGTTCTCTGGAAGCATAGACTCCTGTTTGGGAGTCGAATTTCTTGACGATGATGGTAGGTGTGGTTCAGACGTTGTGTCAGCCAATTGTTTGGTCTGGCTTCTTGTCACCACACATGCAGGATACAGTTCATTATCATTATCTGGAACTGTTGACAAAGGGTTTTGAACCGTACAGGGGTATACTTTGCTTCCCGCAAGGTCATTCCCTAGAAGTAGGTGTACTCCTGGGACAGGAATACTATCTATCACACCTAAAATGACTTCGCCTTCGACGAGAAGATGTTTCAGGGCAAACTTGTGTAGAGGGACTACAGTAGATTTTGTCCCCACTCCCTGGATAATAGAAACATTTCCGGTGTTCGTCTCCGGTGTAATGTCCATTGAACTTTTCAAAAGAAGTGACTGTGACGCTCCTGTGTCTCTTAGGACGGTGATATTCCGCTGAGACAACGGATGACCTGGTTTGCTAATGACAGCTTCGGTAATGAAAGATGAAAAGTCAACCTTTCTCGATCCCTCGAGATCGGTAGACTCGGAAGAAATTGGATGGTGGCGTGAACAGTCAAAATGTGACTGAACATAATGTGTGGAGACTTGACTGCCTTCCTGCGGACACTTAGGGTTAGTGTCCCTCAGAATTCTAGAGTTCATATTTGAACCGGTTGCTTGAGGGGATAGAGGTACGCACCGCCTCTCTGTTAAATTGAAGACGTTTGTAGCAGTCCTTGACATGGTGACCAGGTCTTTTGCAGAACTGGCATACTGCTCGACGATTGAGAGTTGATCTTGGTCTCTCTCTGGACTGTAATGCCTTCAAGTGTTGGCCAACAGGAGGATTGCTGCCAAAAAGGGGAAGCACGGGGTTCAGGCGGTTTCCTGACACTGGTGGTTTCTTATGCACCAACATATATGTGTCAGCCGACTCAGCGGCCTTCTGGATGTCAATTATCTTGTTATCCAGTATGTGTAGTCGTATGTCTTCAGGCAGGGACTTTAGGAATTCCTCCCTTATGATAAGTGATCTGAGCCTCTCAAACTCAGAAACTTCCTCAGAGTGTAGCCACCTTGAGAAAATTTTCTCTTTTTCAAAGAGAAATTCCACATATGATTGAGTGGGTAATTTGCGGAGTGCTCGGAATTTTATCCGATAGGCCTCGGGCGTCAGTTCGTAGGCCTTCAAAATGGCAGTCTTGACCAAACTATAGTTATTTTGAACGTCGTGAGAGAGTGCCTGGTATGTTTTTGCAGCTTTCCCTGTAAGGACCGTGCTCAATAAAGCAGTAATGGAAGTTTCGGGCCATTCACATGTCTTCGCTAAACTCTCAAATGAGTTAAAGAAAACGACCAGATCTGTTTCATCAAATTTAGGAACTAATTTCCCAAATTTGGCAATCACCTGCCCCACCGACAACTTTTTTGGATCTACCAGAGAAGTGACATCACTAACTTGACCAAATTCTAATTCCAACCTCCTCTTATCTAAAGCAATTTTAGCCTCTAACTCCTGTTCTTTTAAAGCCTTCTCTAAAGCAATTCTAGCTTCTAATTCTACCTTCTCTAGAGGTTTCTCCTCACGGAGTATCACCCCAGCCAACAAACTTTCATCAAATACACCTTCATTAATAAAATGAACAACAATTTTATCTCTCAACACCTCTGATTTCTGAGTAACAGAATAATCCAATTTCAATTCCTTAACAACACTAATCAAAACTTTCCTACTCAACTGCTCTACCTCCTCAACAGTGGGATTAGATAAGAAAGACTCCATTACACTAACTTCAAAATCAAAACAAGCCTAGATTCTCTAAATTAACACGGCCCAACGCTGCGCTATGAACTTGACCTTCAATCTAGGACGTGACACGTCTGGCGTTTGACCTAGATAACTCTAGCCTTGGGCGCGTTTTAATAACACGGCTCCACTGGATAGAAAAACAACTAAATCAAACTAAACTTAGTGTTTAACTATTACAACCAACAACTGGAACGACAGATTAAATCCCGGACAGGCCCCCACTTTATAACGGACACCTATCTACCAGCCAGATAGATGGTGAACGCCCCCGGATTCTTTCTTGGGGTTATATGCAAATGACCTAAAGCCTAAATGAATGAAAACTAACTCAACAACTCACTAGGGCTCGATTTCGATGTCTAGGGAAAACTAGTGAAACTATTGAAGTTAACAACTCATTCAATCTGCATACAACCTTTAATAAGTGAACACAGTTGTAGCAGAACACTAGGTTAAACAAGATAAAATATTTAGTTTATAAAATAACAAAACCCAACTTACAAAGCGTAAGAAAAAATACTATCACAGATTCTAACACTTTATAAAAATAGCCACAGGTCACATAACACTGCTATAGCATCAAGAATCACTTGGCCACAAGTAATATAAAACTAGAATACTTAAACAACTTAAGAATGCATAGCACACTCAGGACTTAAGATCTCTCACGTTCAAATGGTCAGAATGGACTGCAGTGTTTCTTCCAGACTTTTTTCTCCGGGGGGCACTTGAAATCTTCGGGGGGGGGGGGGGGGGGGGCGGTAAACTTTCTTCGGGGGGGCGGACACTGTTAAAAGTATATATTTTCTATATAAATTATATAAATTTCATTTCGTTCGGGGGGGGGGGGGGGGGGGGGCGGTAAAAGAGATGCCTGGAAGAAACTCTGATGGACTGCCGGTCAAAATGGACGGCCTGGTCAAAATGGACTGCCTCGTGCCGCCTGTGGGCGATCTAGTTATAGACTTAGGCAACATGGGAGGTTACCCTCAACTCATGTGGCCATTGGTTGGGGTGGTCATCTGGTCTGAACCAATCAATCAGATCTTGATGGAAAATTTCTGAGTCTTAGACTCTCTTAGTAAGACAGCGGAAAAAACCCGGTTGTTGCACCATCAACCATGTATGGTATTATAACAATGTCAAACTAAAACATTACTGGACCTAAGTAGGTCACAGTGGGCTAAAGTAGACAGTAGAACTAGGTCAGACTGGTGGGCTAAAGTAGACAGTAGAACTTGGTTAGACTGGTGGGCTAAAGTAGACAGTAGAACTAGGTCAGACTGGTGGGCTAAAGTAGACAGTATAACTAGGTCAGACTGGTGGGCTAAAGTAGACAGTAGAACTAGGTCAGACTGGTGGGCTAAAGTAGACAGTATAACTAGGTCAGACTGGTGGCTAAAGTAGACAGTATAACTAGGTCAGACTGGTGGGCTAAAGTAGACAGTAGAACTAGGTCAGACTGCTGGTGTTAATTGAGTTTCAAGTTAGTCGAGACGCGGAGAATAGTTAGTAACACACATCCCCAATGAATGATACTCGACAAAGGTCAGACCTCACACATAAACAAAGGTCAGACCTCACACATAGACAAAGGTCAGACCTCACACATAAACAAAGGTCAGACCTCACACATAGACAAAGGTCAGACCTCACACATAAACAAAGGTCAGACCTCACACATAGACAAAGGTCAGACCTCACACATAGACAAAGGTCAGACCTCACATAGACAAAGGTCAGACCTCACACATAGACAAAGGTCAGACCTCACACATAAACAAAGGTCAGACCTCACACATAGACAAAGGTCAGACCTCACATAGACAAAGGTCAGACCTCACATAGACAAAGGTCAGACCTCACACATAGACAAAGGTCAGACCTCACACATAAACAAAGGTCAGACCTCACACATAAACAAAGGTCAGACCTCACATAGACAAAGGTCAGACCTCACACATAGACAAAGGTCAGACCTCACATAGACAAAGGTCAGACCTCACACATAGACAAAGGTCAGACCTCACACATAAACAAAGGTCAGACCTCACACATAGACAAAGGTCAGACCTCACATAGACAAAGGTCAGACCTCACACATAGACAAAGGTCAGACCTCACACATAAACAAAGGTCAGACCTCACACATAGACAAAGGTCAGACCTCACACATAGACAAAGGTCAGACCTCACACATAAACAAAGGTCAGACCTCACACATAGACAAAGGTCAGACCTCACATAGACAAAGGTCAGACCTCACACATAGACAAAGGTCAGACCTCACACATAAACAAAGGTCAGACCTCACACATAAACAAAGGTCAGACCTCACACATAAACAAAGGTCAGACTTCACACATAAACAAAGGTGGACCTACTATCCGCTGACAATGCCAGGATCAAGTTAACGGCGGCCTGTTGAACCTCAGGGTCGTATTCAAAAGCCTGGGGGTCATTGGAAGAGAAAAAGGTCAATCTTTGATTGGATTAGAAACACAAAGTTTGACATGCATTTCAAATGTTGAAAAATTGTGTCAACATGAAGGCTTGAGTAATATCATACTCACTGTCTTTTAAATGATGGTAATGACATGTTCACTTACCGTCATAATCTTATGAATGATGGTAATGACATGTGGTGTAAACAGAATATCATCAGGTTGAGCTAGAGAAAAAAAGGTCAATAAATATATTTTTTTAAAAATCTGATTTTTTTATCTCGAATATTTTAAATATCTGTTTTTTAGCATGCAGTTAACACAGCTATTGTTACCACTTTTGTGTTAGTCACAGTTAGTGGCAATCAAAACTTTGAGAAAGAAAATGTTCTGCCGAGTTAGATTTATATACAATCATAAATCCCAGCACCCTCCCCCCCATTTAGGTGTTGGAAACCCTTTCTCCCCCCCCCCCCCCCCCCACCCCATACCCATACAGTGGGCAGTGAAGCCAAAATGTGCAGCCCAAACTGACCATAGACAGCCAGATTGCTGAGGACGTAGCAGCCAGCTATCTGGACGTCTCTGTTGAAGATGTTGTCCCACATGGCCAGGGAGATGAGGTTCCTGGCCTTCTGGTCCACCTGCTGGTGGGCCGTCTCCTCATCTCTCACTAGCTCGGCCAGGGCCGCTAGACCTTCTGCTACACACTTCTCATGGTCAATGGTGTCAGCAATGTACTCGAGAACTTTCTCAATACTTTGCCCTTCATTCAGAGAATCTAGGAAAACATAGCAAATATTTGTACACACAAATCAAATATTTGTACACACAAATCAAATATTCATACACACAAATCAAATATTTGTACACACAAATCAAATATTTGTACACACAAATCAAATATTTGTACACACAAATCAAATATTTGTACACACAAATCAAATATTTGTACACACAAATCAAATATTCATACACACAAATCAAATATTTGTACACACAAATCAAATATTTGTACACACAAATCAAATATTTGTACACACAAATCAAATATTTGTACACACAAATCAAATATTCATACACACAAATCAAATATTTGTACACACAAATCAAATATTCATACACACAAATCAAATATTTGTACACACAAATCAAATATTTGTACACACAAATCAAATATTTGTACACACAAATCAAATATTTGTACACACAAATCAAATATTTGTACACACAAATCAAATATTCATACACACAAATCAAATATTTGTACACACAAATCAAATATTTGTACACACAAATCAAATATTTGTACACACAAATCAAATATTTGTACACACAAATCAAATATTTGTACACACAAATCAAATATTTGTACACACAAATCAAATATTTGTACACACAAATTTGAAAAATGTAATTTAGCTTATATTCTGATGGCTTGATCTAAAAATTCTATGGTTGATAAGTGGCTCCAGAAACTATTTAAAATAATGATGGATTGGACTAGAGAGTATAAAGTAGGGTGTGTGATGTTTGAAATGCGATCTGGTGTGTTTGTTGCTCTCCACATTCATGCAGTTGTCTCCCCTAGTACAAAATTGTCAAGACATAACACCAGGTAAACCATTACATGTCTTGGTTGACTTGGTTTCTTTCTGGCGAGCTCTTTTATCAATTTGTAGACTGTCTGCTAATGCCATACACTCCTGGATAAAACCAGACTTGATGAATTCTCTGGGAAAAATTATAAAAAAGTAGAATATAACGATTTACAACAAAAAGAAAAGTTAAAATTAGGGTAACTTCTAGAAGACATTTTAGTACCAAGCTTCAATCAAACATAAAATTTTTTCTAAGATATCAAAGATGAAAAGACAGTAATTCTACCAGCTGAAGACTTACACTCAAACATACAAAATTTTAAGAAAGATAAAAAGACAGTAGGTCTACCAGCTGAAGACTTACACTCAAACATACAAAATTTTAAGAAAGATAAAAAGACAGCAGTTCTACCAGCTGAAGACTTACACTCAAACATACAAAATTTTAAGAAAGATAAAAAGACAGCAGGTCTACCAGTTGAAGACTTACACTCAAACATACAAAATTTTAAGAAAGATAAAAAGACAGCAGGTCTACCAGTTGAAGACTTACACTCAAACATACAAAATTTTAAGAAAGATAAAAAGACAGCAGTTCTACCAGTTGAAGACTTACACTCAAACATACAAAATTTTAAGAAAGATAAAAAGACAGTAGTTCTACCAGCTGAAGACTTACACTCAAACATACAAAATTTTAAGAAAGATAAAAAGACAGTAGGTCTACCAGCTGAAGACTTACACTCAAACATACAAAATTTTAAGAAAGATAAAAAGACAGCAGTTCTACCAGCTGAAGACTTACACTCAAACATACAAAATTTTAAGAAAGATAAAAAGACAGCAGTTCTACCAGCTGAAGACTTACACTCAAACATACAAAATTTTAAGAAAGATAAAAAGACAGCAGTTCTACCAGCTGAAGACTTACACTCAAACATACAAAATTTTAAGAAAGATAAAAAGACAGTAGTTCTACCAGCTGAAGACTTACACTCAAACATACAAAATTTTAAGAAAGATAAAAAGACAGTAGTTCTACCAGCTGAAGACTTACACTCAAACATACAAAATTTTAAGAAAGATAAAAAGACAGTAGGTCTACCAGCTGAAGACTTACACTCAAACATACAAAATTTTAAGAAAGATAAAAAGACAGCAGTTCTACCAGCTGAAGACTTACACTCAAACATACAAAATTTTAAGAAAGATAAAAAGACAGCAGTTCTACCAGCTGAAGACTTACACTCAAACATACAAAATTTTAAGAAAGATAAAAAGACAGCAGTTCTACCAGCTGAAGACTTACACTCAAACATACAAAATTTTAAGAAAGATAAAAAGACAGCAGTTCTACCAGCTGAAGACTTACAACGTGCTGGGGCGGGCACTATGTTTGTGGCGCAGCAAGACCTGGACTGTGGTCACCAGAGTTTTGGAGTAAATCTAATGAAAGCATTCGTTAGACAATTAATTAATTAGACAGTTGGCTACAATCTGATAAAATCATTCGTTAGACAATTAATTAATTAGACAGTTGACTACCATCTGATGAAATCATTCGTTAGACAATTAATTAATTAGACAGTTGGCTACCAACTGATGAAAGCAATCGTTAGACAATTAATTAATTAGACAGTTGGCTACAATCTGATAAAATCATTCGTTAGACAATTAATTAATTAGACAGTTGACTACCATCTGATGAAATCATTCGTTAGACAATTAATTAATTAGACAGTTGGCTACCATCTGATGAAAGCAATCGTTAGACAATTAATTAATTAGACAGTTGGCTACCATCTGATGAAAGCATTCGTTAGACAATTAATTAATTAGACAGTTGACTACCATCTGATGAAATCATTCGTTAGACAATTAATTAATTAGACAGTTGGCTACCATCTGATGAAAGCATTCGTTAGACAATTAATTAATTAGACAGTTGACTACCATCTGATGAAATCATTCGTTAGACAATTAATTAATTAGACAGTTGGCTACCATCTGATGAAAGCATTTGTTAGACAATTAATTAATTAGACAATTGGCTACAATCTAATGAATGAATTCATTAGACAATTGACTACAATCTCATTGCAAAAATGAGTATATAATTGGATTTCATGTCATATAAACAAATAAGTTAGATAATTAGGTACCAATTTGTGTAAAAATATTAGTAGTACAACTTGGTACTATCTGGTATGAAAACAATGAATTGTACAATTGGAAAATTCAGATGACAAAAATATTATAAATCAAATAAAAGAAAAAAACTAATAAAAAATGTTTGAAGTTGATTTCTCAAAAATAAATTAAAGAAAAATTGTTTGATATTTTTTGTTTTAATTAGCCAAAATAAGAATTACAGTCAGAATTGTAGATTAAAAGAAAATGTAGCGCTAGCCCAAAAAGCCATGAAATCAAGAGGCCTTACCTCAGATATTTTCAGCAGAGGCCTTACCTCAGATATTTTCAGCAGAGGCCTTACCTCAGATATTTTCAGCAGAGACCTTACCTCAGATATTTTCAGCAGAGGCCTTACCTCAGATATTTTCAGCAGAGGCCTTACCTCAGATATTTTCAGCAGAGGCCTTACCTCAGATATTTTCAGCAGAGGCCTTACCTCAGATATTTTCAGCAGAGGCCTTACCTCAGATATTTTCAGCAGAGGCCTTACCTCAGATATTTTCAGCAGAGGCCTTACCTCAGATATTTTCAGCAGAGGCCTTACCTCAGATATTTTCAGCAGAGGTCTTACCTTAGATATTTTCAGCAGAGGCCTTACCTCAGATATTTTCAGCAGAGGCCTTACCTCAGATATTTTCAGCAGAGGCCTTACCTCAGATATTTTCAGCAGAGGCCTTACCTCAGATATTTTCAGCAGAGGCCTTACCTCAGATATTTTCAGCAGAGGCCTTACCTCAGATAATTTCAGCAGAGGCCTTACCTCAGATATTTTCAGCAGAGGCCTTACCTCAGATATTTTCAGCAGAGGTCTTACCTCAGATATTTTCAGCAGAGGCCTTACCTCAGATATTTTCAGCAGAGGTCTTACCTCAGATATTTTCAGCAGAGGTCTTACCTCAGATATTTTTAGCAGAGGTCTTACCTCAGATAATTTCAGCAGAACCTCATTGAGTGTGGTGGGAGATTGTTTGATGTCTGTTAGAACTCTATAGAACTCATCTTGAGAGTACATGGAGGTTGTCATCATGTTAAGGAGGACGCCGCCCAGTGAAAACAGGTCGCTCCTCTCATCATGGGGTTGGCTGACAACCTCAGGCGCCATGAAAGCAACCCCCTCTACAAACATCACAAATTGAAAACATTATTAAAAGACTCAATAAAGAGTTACTTTAACAACAACAACAAAAAACCTACTGAAAGTCTGGCGAGTGTTGGTCCTCATGTCCCCCATTAGGCTGGACACGCCCAGGTCTCCCAGCACGGCTGTGCTGTTTTCATTCAAGAAAATGTTGCTGCTCTTTATGTTCCTGCCATTTAGTGTTACACAATTCAGTCAAGTTATAGACAATTCAGTTAAGTTATAGACAATTCAGTCAATTTATAGACAATTCAGTCAAGTAATAGACAATTCAGTCAAGTTATAGACAATTCAGTCAAGTTATAGACAATTCAGTCAAGTAATAGACAATTCAGTCAAGTAATAGACAATTAGTCAAGTTATTGACAATTCAGTCAAGTTATAGACAATTCAGTCAAGTTATAGACAATTCAGTCAAGTTATAGACAATTAGTCAAGTTATAGACAATTCAGTCAAGTTATAGACAATTCAGTTAAGTTATAGACAATTCAGTCAAGTTATAGACAATTCAGTTAAGTTATAGACAATTCAGTCAAGTTATAGACAATTCAGTCAAGTTATAGACAATTCAGTCAAGTTATAGACAATTCAGTCAAGTTATAGACAATTCAGTCAAGTTATAGACAATTCAGTCAAGCTGGATTGTTACAGCATACCTGTGTATCACTCCATTGTCGTGTAGATAAACAAGGCCATTCAAAACTTCACCAAGAATCTTGGACAATGTCTACAGAGAGAGAAATAGAGCCAATTATCAACTATGTAAAGAACAAACCTGCATTCATGACAAAATCAAAGTCATACCATTTTTATTTATGCACAATACGTCATAACAAAAAAAACCCCTCTCATATTATCATACATTCTTATATCAAAATTTTAGTTAACCTAAATAAAATACTAAACCTATATATATTTAACCTATATATATATATTTAAATACCTTTTCTGGAATTATTTGTTTATTGTTCTGGAACTTTTTGATCCAGTTTTTTAAATCACCATTTGCATAATACTCAGAAATGATATTGATGAAAACTGATGAATCCTGAAGTAAATCACAAGACCATTAACACATTAGCTGCATATTGGATAATAGATGAAGACATACATAGCAAAGATTTGATATGGTTTGACATTTTGTTGGGCAGGCAGGAATATGGCTGGGGACCCAAGTGTTGACGTTTGGGCAGGCAGGAATATGGCTGGGGACCCAAGTGTTGACAGTTGGGCAGGCAGGAATATGGCTGGGGACCCAAGTGTTGACGTTTGGGCAGGCAGGAATATGGCTGGGGACCCAAGTGTTGACAGTTGGGCAGGCAGGAATATGGCTGGGGACCCAAGTGTTAACAGTTGGGCAGGCAGGAATATGGCTGGGGACTCAAGTGTTGACAGTTGGGCAGGCAGGAATATGGCTGGGGACCCAAGTGTTAACAGTTGGGCAGGCAGGAATATGGGTGGGGACCCAAGTGTTGACGTTTGGGCAGGCAGGAATATGGCTGGGGACCCAAGTGTTGACGTTTGGGTAGGCAGGAATATGGCTGGGGACCCAGGTGTTGACAGTTGGGCAGGCAGGAATATGGCTGGGGACCCAAGTGTTGACAGTTGGGCAGGCAGGAATATGGCTGGGGACCCAAGTGTTGACAGTTGGGCAGGCAGGAATATGGCTGGGGACCCAAGTGTTGACAGTTGGGCAGGCAGGAATATGGCTGGGGACCCAAGTGTTAACAGTTGGGCCGGCAGGAATATGGCTGGGGACCCAAGTGTTGACGTTTGGGCAGGCAAGACTATGGCTGGGGACCCAAGTGTTGACGTTTGGGCAGGCAGGAATATGGCTGGGGACTCAAGTGTTGACAGTTGGGCAGGCAGGAATATGGCTGGGGACCCAAGTGTTGACAGTTGGGCAGGCAGGAATATGGCTGGGGACTCAAGTGTTGACAGTTGGGCAGGCAGGAATATGGCTGGGGACCGAAGTGTTGACAGTTGGGCAGGCAGGAATATGGCTGGGGACCCAAGTGTTGACAGTTGGGCAGGCAGGAATATGGCTGGGGACCCAAGTGTTGACAGTTGGGCAGGCAGGAATATGGCTGGGGACCCAAGTGTTAACAGTTGGGCAGGCAGGAATATGGCTGGGGACCCAAGTGTTGACAGTTGGGCAGGCAGGAATATGGCTGGGGACCCAAGTGTTAACAGTTGGGCCGGCAGGAATATGGCTGGGGACCCAAGTGTTGACGTTTGGGCAGGCAAGACTATGGCTGGGGACCCAAGTGTTGACGTTTGGGCAGGCAGGAATATGGCTGGGGACCCAAGTGTTGACGTTTGGGCAGGCAGGAATATGGCTGGGGACTCAAGTGTTGACAGTTGGGCAGGCAGGAATATGGCTGGGGACCCAAGTGTTGACAGTTGGGCAGGCAGGAATATGGCTGGGGACTCAAGTGTTGACAGTTGGGCAGGCAGGAATATGGCTGGGGACCCAAGTGTTGACAGTTGGGCAGGCAGGAATATGGCTGGGGACCCAAGTGTTGACAGTTGGGCAGGCAGGAATATGGCTGGGGACCCAAGTGTTGACAGTTGGGCAGGCAGGAATATGGCTGGGGACCCATGTGTTAACAGTTGGGCAGGCAGGAATATGGCTGGGGACCCAAGTGTTGACAGTTGGGCAGGCAGGAATATGGCTGGGGACCCAAGTGTTAACAGTTGGGCCGGCAGGAATATGGCTGGGGACCCAAGTGTTGACGTTTGGGCAGGCAAGACTATGGCTGGGGACCCAAGTGTTGACGTTTGGGCAGGCAGGAATATGGCTGGGGACCCAAGTGTTAACAGTTGGGCAGGCAGGAATATGGCTGGGGACCCAAGTGTTAACAGTTGGGCAGGCAGGAATATGGCTGGGGACCCAAGTGTTAACAGTTGGGCAGGTAGGAATAAGGCTGGGGACCCAAGTGTTGACAGTTGGTCTGGTGATACAGATACTAGAGATTGTGGGGGTGTGATAGACATCTGTGATTGTGGTTTGAGGATTGTGAGGGGGGTGTGTCTGAGATTGTGGGGGTGTGACAGAAACTGACCTGCTCCGTGTAGGTAATGAAAAAGTCTTTGCACTTCTGCAGGTATGTGTGGTCCAGCTTTTTTAGTTCCATTTCCTAATGTAGCCAGATATAAGAGGACAGATACACAACCAAATTCAATTCTTTGTTTACATTGGTTGTTAATGCTAAAAATGTATTGAACATTATAAATCAGACAGAGATGTAAACCAGCATGAAATGACTGACCTCGTAAAATGCTTTAACAGCTGCACTTTCATCCAGACATTCAACCTGAAATAATGACAGACATGACATTTAACCTGAAATAATGACAGACATGACATTTAACCTGAAATAATGACAGACATGACATTCAACCTGAAATAATGACAGACATGACATTCAACCTGAAATAATGACAGACATGACATTTAACCTGAAATAATGACAGACATGACATTCAACCTGAAATAATGACAGACATGACATTCAACCTGAAATAATGACAGACATGACATTTAACCTGACATAATGACAGACATGACATTCAACCTGAAATAATGACAGACATGACATTCAACCTGAAATAATGACAGACATGACATTTAACCTGGAATAATGACAGACATGGCATTTAACCTGAAATAATGACAGACATGACATTTAACCTGAAATAATGACATACATGACATTTAACCTGAAATAATGACAGACATGACATTCAACCTGATAAAATGACAGACATGACATTTAACCTGAAATAATGACAGACATGACATTCAACCTGAAATAATGACAGACATGTCAAACTCAGCTAAATGAGAGAGGATGTAAGCTGCTCACAACTTGTGTCATTTTTGTCCCCACCTTTTTAAGAGCCAGTCCCCACCTTTTAAAGAGCCAGTCCCCACCTTTTTAAGAGCCAGTCCCCACCTTTTAAAGAGCCAGTCCCCACCTTTTTAAGAGCATATTTCTGTTTGTCCTGGCGGTTTTTGACCAGGTACACACTTCCAGGGGAGCCTTGGCTGATGTTTTCTAGTACCTGCGCAAAACATCAAATATCTGTCTTGTAGACAAAACATCAAATATCTGTCTTGTAAACAAAACATCAAATATCTGTCTTGTAAACAAAACATCAAATATCTGTCTTGTAGACTAAACATCAAATATCTATCTTGTAGACAAAACATCAAATATATGTCTTGAAGACAAAACATCAAATATATGTCTAGTAGACAAAACATCAAATATCTGTCTTGTAGACAAAACATCAAATATCTGTCTTGTAGACAAAACATCAAATATATGTCTTGTAGACAAAACATCAAATATATGTCTAGTAGACAAAACATCAAATATCTGTCTTGTAAACAAAACATCAAATGTATGTCTTGTAGACAAAACATCAAATATCTGTCTTGTAGACAAAACATCAAATATCTGTCTTGTAGACAAAACATCAAATATATGTCTTGAAGACAAAACATCAAATATATGTCTAGTAGACAAAACATCAAATATCTGTCTTGTAGACAAAACATCAAATATCTGTCTTGTAGACAAAACATCAAATATATGTCTTGTAGACAAAACATCAAATATATGTCTAGTAGACAAAACATCAAATATCTGTCTTGTAAACAAAACATCAAATGTATGTCTTGTAGACAAAACATCAAATATCTGTCTTGTAGACAAAACATCAAATATCTGTCTTGTAGACAAAACATCAAATATATGTCTTGTAGACAAAACATCAAATATATGTCTTGTAAACAAAACATCAAATATCTGTCTCATAGACAAAACATCAAATATCTGTCTCGTAGACAAAACATCAAATATCTGTCTAGTAGACAAAACATCAAATATCTGTCTTGTAGACAAAACATCAAATATATGTCTTGTAAACAAAACATCAAATATCTGTCTCGTAGACATAACATCAAATATATGTCTAGTAGACAAAACATCAAATATCTGTCTAGTAGACAAAACATCAAATATCTGTCTTGTAGACAAAACATCAAATATCTGTCTTGTAGACAATATCTGTCCATGTACTGTCTCACTAAAGCTCACCTTATAGATTTGAAATATTGATGGGGCATGAAATCTATCCATGTGCTGTCTGACGTCATCATCGCTGCTGGTGTCGTCCTCGTGTAAAGGCTCCTGTGCGCTTATGATGGGTTGCAATTTATTTACAGATGATGGAGTTTCAAGCTGCTTCGAATTCTGGGGCAAACAAAAATAACTTGTCTAATAATAACTTTATGTACGTGTTTAAACTGAGGTGTCTGAGTATGTTAAAGTATGAGGCGTATGAGTGTATAAAAGTATGATGAGGCATATGAGTGTGTAAAATTCAAACTGAGGACTCCTGCTAATATATTCCATGTAACCAGGAACAGCAACAGTGGTGTGTAGGTGGTACAGCAACAGTGGGGTGTAGATGGTACAGCAACAGTGGGGTGTAGGTGGTACAGCAACAGTGGGGTGTAGATGGTACAGCAACAGTGGGGTGTAGATGGTACAGCAACAGTGGGGTGTAGATGGTACAGCAACAGTGGGGTGTAGATGGTACAGCAACAGTGGGGTGTAGATGGTACAGCAACAGTGGGGTGTAGATGCTACAGCAACAGTGGGGTGTAGATGGTACAGCAACAGTGGGGTGTAGATGCTACAGCAACAGTGGGGTGTAGATGGTACAGCAACAGTGGGGTGTAGATGCTACAGCAACAGTGGGGTGTAGATGCTACAGCATTAGGGGCCATCCATAAATGAAATCGTGTATTTTTATTACAATTCTTACCTCCCCCTTTTCTCATTGTCACAAAAAGCCAGACCCCCCCCCCTAAAATGATGTCATTTCAGCCTACAACCCCCTCTTAAAATTGCAGTTAATTTTTTTTAAACCAATTTATTTCTAAAATATTGACTGAGCTCAGTGAACATAGAGTAAATAAATCAATTTCTATTGCAATTTACAAAAACAGTTTTTTAAACTTGAATTAACGAAAATAGTTATCTAACAAATGTTACAAAATTACAAATCCCCCTCGCCTCTTGTATATACGTATACATATATATATATACTTATATATATATATATATATATATATATATATATATATATATATATATATATATTTGTGAATGAAGTTGAAGAGTCACATCTCTACACCAAAAGAGCCGCATGCGGCTTGCGCGCCACAGGTATTAACACCAATAGTGTTCTGGTCCCTTTCAGTAGGTCTTTCTCTCTCAGCCAATTAGATCTACTTATTCTATATGTAGGCCTATGGGCCTACTGCTTTTGCCTATTAGTGACTTTTTTTTTACTTCGTAGAGTTAGAGTAGCAGGCAGGCTGATGCCAGGCTACTTTTAAACATTACTTTACTGAACTACTGGAGGAAAAAAATATTAGGCTAATAAACAAATCGATTTTAAAAAATCAACAAGTTAAACGTACTGTAATCTCGAAGGCGTAACAAGCGTCCCACTTTGACATTTTTCTATGAATTCGATTTAGTTGTGGTCATCTATCGTTTTGGGTACGTAAAATCGCCCGCGGCTATTCATGTACGAAAATGTTACCTCATTGTCAAGGCTTTAATAGAAGTATATTGTGATATATTTGTGTCAAATATAGATAAATGAATAATAAATCTAAATCAATGGCTAAATATATCAATATGGGCCAGAAATTAACTTTAAACAGCAGTGTTTGCGAGCAAGATATGCTACATAAACAGCCATTTGTAAAATAGAGTGGCTTCCCCCTGAATCTCGCGCTATAAGTTAAAAAAAAACTTAAACAAGATGGCTGCTAGTCTAGATCTATAGTAAATGAGCATGGTTGCATCTGTTGGAAACATCGCTAGTCTTCATTTATTACTAAAAAGTTTTAATTCAAATGTTTAAAAACAGGTACATAAATGAAACAAGAAAACATTTTTGTATTTTTCAAAATATAAATCCTCGTCAAAATGTGAAATAATTTATAAAATTTAAGGAGTCACCTGTTTTTCACATTAATAGATTAGTCGCGGGCGATTTTACGTACCCAAAACGATAGATTACCAAAAAAAATTAGGCTAATATTAATAAACAAATCGATTTTAAAAAATCAACAAGTTAAACGTACTGTAATCTCGAAGGCGTAACGAGCGTCCCACTTTGACATTTTTCTATGAATTCGATTTAGTTGTGAACATTTTGAAAGCTCTGATAAAAGTATTTATTTATTTGTTTACCTCTTTGGAATGGGATTGAGACTCCATACTTGACGACGGACGCCTTAAGTTGCTGCGCATGCGCACTTAATAGCAAGCCTAAAATATTTTAAGAAATATGCTACGCACTTCTTCCCACTTTCTTTGCTGGAGTTTTCAAAAGTTTAAATAGTTAGCAGTAAAATAATAATCATTAAAAAAGTTTTAAAAAACCCACGTTTTCTGATTGAACTAAAAAGTAGAAAATAAATGCTATAGGCCCTACATCACAATAATGCAAGCGATCACTCTACTATAAGCGATCAAAAACGTGGGGCGCCGAAGTAAAAGTTATATTACTATTGATTAGATAATACTATTGACTTTTATTAGGGAGCTTGTAGAGAGTCAACAGTATTAGAAACTGTAAGAAAATCACGGCGCCCCACGTTTTTGCTCGCTTATAGTAGAGTGATCGCTTGCATTATTGTGATGTAGGGCCTATAGCATTTATTTTCTACTTTTTAGTTCAATCAGAAAACGTGGGTTTTTTAAAACTTTTTTAATGATTATTATTTTCTACTTTTTAGTCTTTGTCTGTTTGTTTGCATTAAAATCTTGCTATCGATTTTATCTTTTCACTTTTTTTGGGTAAACGAAGACAACTCGTAAAAAGACAACTCGTAAAAAGACAACTCGTAAAAAGACAACTCGTAAAAAACACGTTGTTTGAATACGTTACTGACTAGAACACATAGATTTGAACCCGTGTCGAGTGGGATAGCAATCGTGTGCCCAACCACTCGACCATATCGTCTCCCCCAAACTGGCCTACCTCCTGTAAGTTTAAACTCGGTTCAAGCTAAATTCTCTGCCCCTAAGCCTGTGGCGACATGTGATCGTTCGCTTCACTGCGCGCGAGGTACGCGTCGCTGGTTTTTTTTCTAATGGCTAGCAGAGGAGAATTATATATATAGATTATATAGCGGTCTAAAATGCTCAATAAAATGTTTCCATTGATCAATTTAGTAATAATAACAATTGAATATTCAATGGTCATCCAAAAGAAAGCTTCCCTGAAAATTTCAGCGCGCTAGCTAACTGGGAAGTGCCAGAAATTTCGATCGCAAGATTTGATTGGAAAGACAAACAAACAAACAAAGACACAGAGAAAGCAAGTTAAAGAAAACGTGGGAAAATAACTTACGTCTAGATCTATTAATTAAATTACTGTTCAAATTCCCTATGACTTTTTAGCGCAATTTCCATTCTGGAGAATCGTTTATTAACTCGTCATTTCTGGGAATGGATGGATGGATGGATGAATGAATGAATGGATGAATGTGTGTCCGGGCTTTAAGTCGTATCTCCTCCTCAACGAAGCAATATCGATGACTAGTTCCAAAAGCAATTATGTTAAGCAAGTTACGAGAATGAGCATAGGCCATAAAAATTCCGGGTTTCTTTCATGTATTTCCCGTAAAAGCCAAAAAACCTCGAAAAAATGCAGTTTTTGGCCCATATCTCGGCAACCAGACCACTTAGCGACTTGAAACATGTACCAATCGATTCCTGCCATAATTTAGAACAATATTGCCGAAGAAAGTTTTCAAAAATATCCTCTCGTTCGGTCACAAATTTTAAAATTACATTAACACCTACAAACCGATCGCTCTTCTAGCTTGAACGCACCCCATCATTATACGTCAGAGCTATTTTTAGATAACATAAGGAAATTGCGCATAAATGTCACTAGACTTTTTTAATTAACTTGCGCGCCTACTGAACGTGATGGCGCAGCCATGGAACGCGATGACGCATCTATTGAACGTGATGACGCGTGTGGTGTGGTTGTATATACATGCCGGAAGTAGAGATCTATCATCTTAATGATTATCATGTTGATAATCAAGTTCAACTAACCAATGGTTTTAATAACCCTGCTCTTGATTTCAAGGTGCTTAGTTTAGTTAGTAGTTAGGTTTATTTAATAAAAAACGTTTTAATAACTAACCAATGGTTTTACTAACCCTGCTCTTGATTTACGCTACGACAGAGCTATTTTTAGATAACATAAGGAAATTGCGCTAAAATTGTCACTAGACTTTTTAATTAACTTGTTTTTGTAAACACGTTTGTGGCATTATAATAAAGTGAAAAACCTCTGTTGCCAACATGAAATTAAAAATCTAGTTCGATAAATTACAGCTTTATTTAGTAATCTAATATAGATCTATATTATTTTGGCTAGGAGTATGCTCCGCGTAGTCTAGTATTAAATAGTGAAATAGGCCCTATATATAACCTATATTATTATAGTAATAAGTCAGTGGCGTAGCGAGGTCGGGTGTCACCCGGTACGGCACTTAATGGTGTCATCCCCCAGAGGCGTAGCGACCCTTCCCGGGGACAAACTTTCAATTTTCGATTTGCACCCCCTCCTTCAAACTTTCGATTTACACCCCCCCTCGCTATGCCTCTGTAATAAGTAATATATAGAGGTCTAGATCTATGCCTATTACTATTATTATATCAGTGTTCAAATGTAATTCATGCTCATTGCTTCAACCATAGGAACTCACCGCTCAAGAATATGAAAGCAACCCATCTAATGATAACATTAACTTTACAACATTATGATATGATAATATCATCTGCGCTTGCCATGTATTTTAATTCTATTATCGTTTCTTAATCGTATGTATGTGCTGTTTCCAGCTGCCATTTAGGCCTTTGAATATTGTGGTAAATAAATGACCCAAATGTTACTTGCTGCAAATCTGATGTTGATGCAACATTAGCTGTTCATACTTGTACAACTTCCTTGAGTCCACGCAGCCTCTCATGGGTACCTGTCCTTCTTATTCCGAGGTCACTGACACAGGTACACTCTACTTCACTTACTATGTGGACAGAAAGGTTTGAAAGAGTACAAGATCCAGTCACAATGTGGCATCGAATTTTACTTAAGGGCGCCTTGCCATTAAAGCGGGCATAAAGATAAATACTTAAGCATGAAAATTATGCAGAAATGTTTTATTTTTGGAATCCATTTTATAGAAGTTGCAAATCCAGAGAAGATTAAAATAATTGTTTGAGTTTAAGGCTACATTTCTCTTTATTTTCATCAAGCCTAAGTTATAACTTGAAGGGTCACTTTTGTAGAAAAACGTTGATTGGCTGTACAGGATCTATATTCTGAAACCCTTTTTCATAAAAAGCTTATAGTAATTTGTACTCAAAACTTTGCTGATACACGGACAAGTTACATTTTTTTTTTAAAAACCACATGACCTCTGCCATTTTTGTTTACATTTTGTGTCATAAAATATTTCTTTTTCTGTATGAATTAAAAATGTTTGGAACTGAACTTTGACCTCTATTTTTAAGGTATAGGATAATTAGTTCTTGATCTGTAGTGATTTTTTTATCAACGTTTGAATGCACTAGAAGCTGTTTTCCTTTTTTACTTTCTCGTATATACGTAGTATAGAGAAAGTATTGTAATCGTGCAAAAAAAAAAATCGAGATTTTTACAAATCTCGACGTTTTACACCTCACTGATACGGAAAAACATAATTTTGCAATCTTGTCCGTATGTCTGTGTGTGTGTGTCTGTCCGTGTGTGTGTCTGTGTGTAAACACGATAACTTGAGTACCGTTACAGCTAGGTTGATGAAATTTCATATATAAGTATTTTATCAAAATCGTAGATCCGTATCAACTTTTGAGCGATTTCCGATAACCGGAAGTGGTACTTTTCCTACTTTGAATTTTTCAAAAGCCTATAACTTGAGTACTATTTCAGATAGATAAATGAAATTTCACATGTAAGTAAAAGATCTAATTCTCTACCTTCTGTTAAATTTTGAGTAATTTCCGTTGACTGGAAGTAGTAATTTACGCTACTTCCGATTTCTCAAAAAACTAATGTAAATTTTTAAAGTACTAATAATATTGCGCACTATTATACGCGTTTTTATTCGGCGTTTGCTTGGTGAGCAATGTTTTTTTTATGAGATTCTATTCTATTTTTAAAAGTTTAAGTATTTACAATGGATTAAAAATCATAACTATATCCCCAGTTACCATCCCCTGTTGTTTTATATAAGAATATTCGAGAAAGTTTAGGGGAGATCACTACCGGTTTATTTATGGGTATACTCAAGTTTTAATCAAATATTTAACTTATTTAATTGAATATCCATTTTGAAGATACCAAATATAAAGACCAAAACTGATTTAGGACATGAATAAACAGTTTCATAATATTTGGCAACGCATGTAATGGTTAATTGAAGTGTAATATAATTTATATATATTTTGCAATTTTTTTGCCTAGATGTCACCACAGCTAAATGTTGTCATCTGAACGTCACCCAGCTAAATGTTGTCATCTGAACGTCACCCAGCTAAATGTTGTCATCTGAATGTCACCCAGCTAAATGTTGTCATCTCTATATCACCCCGGCTAAATGTTGTCATCTGAACGTCACCCAGCTAAATGTTGTCATCTGAATGTCACCCAGCTAAATGTTGTCATCTGAATGTCACCCAGCTAAATGTTGTCATCTGAACGTCACCCAGCTAAATGTTGTCATCTGAATGTCACCCAGCTAAATGTTGTCATCTGAACGTCACCCAGCTAAATGTTGTCATCTGAATGTCACCCAGCTAAATGTTGTCATCTGAATGTCACCCAGCTAAATGTTGTCATCTGAATGTCACCCAGCTAAATGTTGTCATCTGAATGTCACCCAGCTAAATGTTGTCATCTGAATGTCACCCAGCTAAATGTTGTCATCTGAATGTCACCCAGCTAAATGTTGTCATCTGAATGTCACCCAGCTAAATGTTGTCATCTGAATGTCACCCAGCTAAATGTTGTCATCTGAATGTCACCCAGCTAAATGTTGTCATCTGAATGTCACCCAGCTAAATGTTGTCATCTGAATGTCACCCAGCTAAATGTTGTCATCTGAATGTCACCCAGCTAAATGTTGTCATCTGAACGTCACCCAGCTAAATGTTGTCATCTGAATGTCACCCAGCTAAATGTTGTCATCTCTATATCACCCCGGCTAAATGTTGTCACCTGTCATAAACTTGTTTACTTGTTTATTCTGAAATGCATGAGCAAAAAGTAGACAAATACACACACACACACACGCACGCACACACATACATTTACACACGCACGCACATATTCACACACGCACACACACACGCGCGCGCATTCACACCCGCACGCACACACACACGCGCGCGCATTCACACACGCACACACACATACCAGCTTAATAATTTAAACTGAAGAAAATTATGAGTTTTAAAACAAGAAATACCTTTTTTAATGAACCCAATTTTTTTGTATTTCTTTATTATAAACAGTTGACTATTTAATCATTGATTCCCCCCACCCAAAGCTTTAACGAATGTAATGCCTGTCGCAACGATGCAGAGAATACGTTTTTGATTCTTGAGGTACACGCGGGAGGAAGTTGTAATGCAAATGTTTCTGGTTACTAGACCATCTTTGCTGGTAGCTTACGGGGGACGAATGGCGCCACAATTTGTGATACATAACATGAGCACTGAGGAGAAACATTGTGATACATAACATGAGCACTGAGGAGAAACATTGTGATACATAACATGAGCACTGAGGAGAAACATTGTGATACATAACATGAGCACTGAGGAGAAACATTGTGATACATAACATGAGCACTGAGGAGAAACATTGTGATACATAATACATAACATGAGCACTGAGGAGAAACATTGTGATACATAACATGAGCAGTGAGGAGAAACATTGTGATACATAACATAAGCACTGAGGAGAAACATTGTGATACATAACATGATAACTGAGGAGAAACATTGTGATACATAATACATAACATAAGCACTGAGGAGAAACATTGTGATACATAACATGAACAGTGAGGAGAAAAATTGTGATACATAACATGAACAGTGAGGAGAAACATTGTGATACATAACATGAACAGTGAGGAGAAACATTGTAATACATAACATGAGGACTGAGGAGAAACATTGTGATACATAACATAAGCACTGAGGAGAAACATTGTGATACATAACATAAGCACTGAGGAGAAACGATAGAGACGTTCAAGTCAACAGCTATACATCTAGTTTTAGAGGTTAGGCCGCCCGCCTAGATCTAGATATCTACATTCGAATAGAAAATATACATTGACATGCGTTTGAATAAATTGCTATTGAAAGAACAATGCCGCAATTTTAGCGACGTTGAATAATTTATAATGACAATGTTGACATGTTGGGTTGAGCTCACCGAATCACAGATGATCAAGAAAAAACAACAACACTAAGAAAAACAAACAAACGAATAAATAAGGAGTAAGATGGTACCATCCGGTAGGTGGCGGCAGTTGTCCTGACAGAATGTTAGCGTAGCCTGGCCCCAGCAGACCCGACCTACTCGAGACCTTCCGGTTGCCGCCCACATCGTCAAACAACAACTTCTTCACGTTGTAGTTCTGTTCGGCCATCTGGGGAGTGGTGACACAGGGGGTACGGTGACACAGGGGGTACGGTGACACAGGGCATATGGTGGTACAGGGCGTAGGGTGACACAGGGCGTAGGGTGGTACAGGGAGTAGGGTGGTACATGGCGTAGGGTGGTACAGGGCGTAGGGTGGTACAGGGCGTAGGGTGACACATGGCGTAGGGTGGTACAGGGCGTAGGGTGACACATGGCGTAGGGTGGTACAGGGCGTAGGGTGGCATAGGGTGTAGGGTGGTACAGGGCGTAGGGTGGCATAGGGTGTAGGGTGGTACATGGCGTAGGGTGGTACAGGGCGTAGGGTGGTACAGGGCGTAGGGTGACACATGGCGTAGGGTGGTACAGGGCGTAGGGTGACACATGGCGTAGGGTGGTACAGGGCGTAGGGTGACACATGGCGTAGGGTGGTACAGGGCGTAGGGTGACACAGGGCGTAGGGTGGTACAGGGCGTAGGGTGGTACAGGGCGTTAGGTGACACAGGGCGTAGGGTGGTACATGGCGTAGGGTGGTACAGGGCGTAGGGTGGTACAGGGCGTAGGTCGGTACAGGGCGTAGGGTGGTACAGTGTGTAGGGTGACATAGGGCGTAGGGTGACACAGGGCGTAGGGTGGTACAGGGCGTAGGGTGGTACACGGCGTAGGGTGGTACAGGGCGTAGGGTGGTACAGGGCGTAGGGTGACACATGGCGTAGGGTGGTACAGGGCGTAGGGTGACACAGGGCGTAGGGTGGTACAGGGCGTAGGGTGGTACAGGGCGTAGGGTGACACAGGGGGTAGGGTGGTACAGGGGGTAGGGTGGCATAGGGCGTAGAGTGACACAGGGCGTTAGGTGACACAGGGCGTTAGGTGACACAGGGCGTTAGGTGACACAGGGCGTTAGGTGACACAGGGCGTTAGGTGACACAGGGCGTTGGGTGGTACAGGGCGTAGGGTGGTACAGGGCGTAGGGTGGTACAGGGCGTAGGGTGGTACAGGGCGTAGGGTGATACAGGGCGTAGGGTGACACAGGGCGTAGGGTGGTACAGGGCGTAGGGTGGTACAGGGCGTTTGGTGATACAGGGCATTAGGTGACACAGGGCGTAGGGTGACACATGGCGTAGGGTGGTACAGGGCGTAGGGTGACACAGGGCGTAGGGTGACACAGGGCGTAGGGTGGTACAGGGCGTAGGGTGGTACAGGGCGTAGGGTGACACAGGGCGTAGGGTGGTACAGGGCGTAGGGTGGTACAGGGGGTAGGGTGATACAGGGGGTAGGGTGGTACAGGGCGTAGGGTGGTACAGGGCGTAGGGTGGTACAGGGCGTAGGGTGGTACAGGGCGTAGGGTGACACAGGGCGTAGGGTGGTACATGGCGTAGGGTGGTACATGGCGTAGGGTGGTACATGGCGTAGGGTGGTACAGGGGGTAGGGTGGTACATGGCGTAGGGTGGTACATGGCGTAGGGTGGTACAGGGGGTAGGGTGGTACATGGCGTAGGGTGGTACATGGCGTAGGGTGGTACATGGCGTAGGGTGGTACATGGCGTAGGGTGGTACATGGCGTAGGGTGGTACATGGCGTAGGGTGGTACATGGCGTAGGGTGGTACATGGCGTAGGGTGATACAGGGGGTAAGGTAATATTTGGTCTGGGATGGTGTGGGCAATTGTGGTGGCCTTGAGCTGAGGGGGGGGGGGAGCTCAGGGCTTGATGGCAATCACTGGGATGGGGGTGGAGCAACTCACCAGCGTTTCCTGACTGGCCAGGCGTGGAGTTTTGTTGGAGACCATGGTCGGCTTGGTGACCCTCTCGGTGATGTCCTTGATCTTCTCGGCCCGGATCAAGTTGACCAGGATCTCTGGCTTGTGCCTGCCGACACCAGCAGTGGCTTATACAGGTCTCTGTCGGTAGGTCTTTGTCGGTAGGTCTCTGTCGGTAGGTCTCTGTCGGTAGGTCTCTGCTGTAGGTCTCTGGTGTAGGTCTCTGTCGGTAGGTCTCTGGTGTAGGTCTCTGGTGTAGGTCTCTGTCGGTAGGTCTCTGGTGTAGGTCTCTGTCGGTAGGTCTCTGCTGTAGGTCTCTGGTGTAGGTCTCTGTCGGTAGGTCTCTGGTGTAGGTCTCTGTCGGTAGGTCTCTGGTGTAGGTCTCTGTCGGTAGGTCTCTGGTGTAGGTATCTGGTGTAGGTCTCTGTCGGTAGGTCTCTGGTGTAGGTCTCTGTCGGTAGGTCTCTATGTCGGTAGGTCTCTGTCGGTAGGTCTCTGTCGGTAGGTCTCTGTCGGTAGGTCTCTGGTGTAGGTCTCTGTCGGTAGGTCTCTATGTCGGTAGGTCTCTGTCGGTAGGTCTCTGTCGGTAGGTCTCTGGTGTAGGTCTCTATGTCGGTAGGTCTCTGGCTGTTGGTCTCTATATCGGTAGGTCTCTAGTGTAGGTCACTATGTCGGTAGGCCTCTATGTGTAGGTCCATATGAGTATGTATATGTCGGTATGTCTATTTGTGCAGGTCTCTATGTACATACATATGTGTATATATATATATATATATATATATATATATATATATATATATATATATATATATATATATATATATATATATATATATATATATATATATATATATATGTGTGTGTGTGTGTGTGTGTGTGTGTGTGCAGGGGCGAGGGGGGGGGGGGCGGGGGGTGCGGATCGCACCGGGTGACACCATTTAGGGGGGTGACACCAAGGCAAAAAATAGCAAAATATATAGAGAAAAACTTGAGGGGGGGGTGCAAATCGAAAGTTTGAGGGGGGGGGGGGGTGCAAATCGAAAACTTGAGGGGGGGGTGCAAATCGAAAACTTTAAAGTTTGTCCCCGGGAAAGGTCGCATCGCCTCTGGGGGGGGGGGGGGGTGACACCATTAAGTGCCGCACCGGGTGACACCCGACCTCGCTACGCCACTGTGTGTGTGTGTGTATGTGTGTACTTGTTTGTATTTCTCTCTATATATTTTTGTCTGTGTGTAAGTACATGTGTATGCATTTGTGTAAGTTTGTGTATGCACCCGTGTGTATGTCCGTGTGTATGTGCATGTGCCTGTACGTGTGTATGTCTGTGTGTATGTCCGTCTGTATGTTGCCATGTACTCACATATCATTTTCTGAGACGATGGAGCCGGTGGTAAAGAAACGCTCACACTCCGAGATGGAGCGGCTGAGCAACTTGTAGCTGCTGTGTCCAGCCGGCAGGTACCCCCCGGGGAGGCTCTTGGATTGGTGCCGTGCCAAGCTCATGGCTTGCTTCTCTCCTGGGGACAAGACAATCTGGATTGAATGGGGGACAATCTGGATTGAATGGGGGACAAGACAATCTGGATTGAATTTTTCCAACTCTGGCAGGTGTAAAACGGCAAGATTTGTGAAAACCTCAATTTCTATATTTTGCACGATTAGAATATTTTCTCTAGATCCAGATCTACTTCGTATACGAGAAAATAAACCCCCTGCGATAAAGTAAACCCCCTGCGATAAAGTAAACCCCTTGCGATAAAGTAAACCCCCTGCGATAAAGTAAACCCCCTGCGATAAAGTAAACCCCCTGTGAGAAAGTAAACCTCCTGCGATAATCTGACAGTAGCAAACAACCACGCGACACAGTTCAAACCTTCAGTGCCAGTTGTATGGAATCGTGTCCTTTAAACAGATGTCAATCAACACGTTGTGATGTTGGTGTCGCACCTTGTCGCATCAACTTGAGATGTGCAGTACCGGTGCTGAATGGTGCATCTGATCTGTGCAGGTTTCCTATTTCAGCTTGATGCCATCAGTGCCCCTATAGGCTTATCCTATTTCAGCTTGATGCCATCAGTGCCCCTATAGGCTTATCCTATTTCAGCTTGATGCCATCAGTGCCCCTATAGGCTTATCCTATTTCAGCTTGATGCCATCGGTGCCCCTTATGTACTGTTGCCCGCTGTCTAGACTGACTCGGGATGAAAAAATAAATAAACTGACCGTAGTGTCGGGGGCTTTGTGTGGGGCAGTTTCTTCCAGACTTTTTTCTCCAGGGGGGGGGGGGGGGGCGGTCAACATTATTCGGGGGGAGGGACACTAGTAAAAGTGTATGTTAACTGTAAAATCCATCTGGGGGTGGGGGTAGACTTTCTTCGGGGGGGGGGGGCTCCGCCTGGAAGAAACTCTGGTGTGGGGGAAGACGGGAGTTTATATAGCCACCATGACGGGAGCTTAACAGACGGGAGCTTATATGTCGGGAGCTTTTGTTTGACGCGGGTTGACATCATAATGATGGGTACTTTTGTCTGCAGCCTTTTGTGAGGGAACGATACTGACGACATGCCAATAGCGTGACTGAACATTCGAGAACCCGCCGAGATTTGTTCATTTGAAAATGTCAGTGTCACTTCTTGAAACTTTGAACTTTTCAAATCAAACAAACAGAAGCGGCTACTGACACCTAAACTGTCTCAGAAAATCAAGGCCAAAAAACGCATGACACAACACTAACAGGATGAAGACGGTACCATGTTGGCGCTAAACAAACAGCTCAGGAAGTCGAGAGGCTGGCCAGATATTAGCGCATGCGCTAGAGGAGATAACTCCAGATGATGGCGGTTGGAGTGGCATCGTGTTATCTGACACACTCTTGGCATGTCTGGAATGTCAGCGGGAAAAACATCGGAAATAAACAGTGGCCGGCCGTCAGGTCATTCTACACACACAAGCTATAGGGCTGGTAAGTAGGTCATCAACCAGTTCTATGGATCATGCAGGTTTTATTGAGAACTGGTTGGTGACCTACTTACCAGCCCTATAGGGACACCAAGTCAATACACCAAGCAACACAAAATAGGCAATAAAACACAATACAAAATAGGCAATAAAACACGATACAAAATATGCAATAAAACACAATACAAATATGCAATAAAACACAATACAAATATGCAATAAAACACAACACAAAATATGCAATAAAACACAATACAATATAACACTGAAAGCAACAAAAAAAAAAAAAAAACAGCTACAACACAAACTGCCTTGTATGCCTTATTGGAGAGCTTTTAAATATTTTAATTGCACACGATGTAATATGGGAAGGGAAAGAACAAAAGTAGGGGAAATAATCACTCTTAAACAGAGTTCTGTAAACAATAGGCATTATATTCAAAATGAACTAGGTCAATATTTTATTTTACAAATATAATATATAACTTTTTTGAATTACTTTTCACTAAATATTTAAAGTGCAATCAGAATTAATTTATTTTTTTAATAAATGTAAAAAGGTCAGAGCACAAGTAAAATGTATGAACACGGTTTTGGTATGAAATGCTCCATGTAGGAGTACGTGCCCAATGACGTACAAGCGGTAACACTAGCTAACCAAATGTTTATAGGCCTACTCTTGTTAGATACAACTTTTCCGGATGCTTAAAATTTGTATCATTTTAATTCTCTGTAATCCCAAATTTATTTAGGCTCTACCCCTTTAGCCCACCACGCCGATGAAAAAAAAACATCTTTTGAATCATCATTTAATTACACATTTGCATTTTCAGGTGATTTTAAAAAAAATAAAATTGTAATAAGACGTTTTGTATTAGACCCATGTATAAGTAAACCATCTTAAATGGATGAAAGTAAGCTACAAGTAAGAAAGAAGTATTACTATTGTAAATCTGGTTCCATGACAAATGATCTCAGGACAAATGTCCGTGAGATCATTTGTCCGTGAGATATTTTGTCTGAGATCATTTGTCTTGTCACCGTAAATCTGTATCAGTCGTCACAAGCCGATGATGAAAACTGTAATAATAAAGCGAACATGCAAGGCAAACTGACAGTGTACATTACATGTCTTAGGCGAAAAAAAAAAATAAAAAAAAAATTGTCGTGTTAGATATGGAAAATATGGTTGGTGTGTATGGGTGTATGCGTGGGTGAGGGTGGTTGTGGGAAGGGGGTGGGAATTTAGGGGTGGGGGTTGCTATCTAGACTGCATCATAAGTATATTCTGGTTTCGGACCACTAGGTTGGGTGGGGGAGGGGAGGGTGGGACGTTTAGATGTGCATATTTGTGACACTTCGTGACGTCAGTGTCAGTCAACAAAAGTCATAAGACAGACAACTCCAGACGACACGATCGGCTGCTGATAAAACGGCGACTTGCCGCGCGCTGGTCACTAGTACAACTTCACCCCTAGCTGGTTTTAGGGGTCACTACCGGTCTCAAATCTCTCTACCCGGGAGCCGGCCTGTAAAACTGTGTAAAATTAGAATCTGCCCGTGCCGGATATTCTCCCCTACATTTAGTTTCTGGCGTGGACCGATGGCCTGAGCGTCTGCTGCTAGTCGTGTGATTTCTTCCCGCCAAACTCCGGCCGCTCTCTCTCAGACATTGCCCGGGAGATGGTCGTGGACAAGGAGGGGGATCAGCCCCGACACGTGACTGGGAATGGAGGCTTCACGCCCGTGGAGCAGCCGACCAATGGGAAGTCCGGGTCAACTTCTGACGTGGGGGAGACAAAGGTAAAAAAATCGGGAGTGATCTCCCCTAAACATGATTTTTTTTATTTAATCAATTTTTCATTACTTAAACTTTTAAAAATAGAATAGAATATCATAGAAAAAATAATTGCGCACCAAGTGAACAGCAAACAATGTGTGTATAATAGTACGGAACATTATAACCTTATGAATTCATTTGCGTTTTTTGAGAAATCAGTAATAGCTATAGTACTACTTAAGGTCAACGGAAATTATCCAAAATTTGAAAGAAATCAGAGAATTAGATCTTTTACTATTATGCGAAGTTTTGTCTGTCAGAAACAGTACTCAAAATGTAAGCTTTTGAAAAACCGCAAGTAGAATAAGTTAAACTTCCGGTTACCGGAAATCGCTGAAAAGTTGATACAGAACTATAATTTGATCTATATATCTGTAACAGTACTCAAATTATTGTGTCCCCCCCCCCCCCCACACACACACACAGACATACGGACAAAGTTGCAAAACTATGTTTTTCCGACTCAAGGAGGTGTAAAACGTCGAGATTTGTGAAAATCTTCATTCCGATTTTTAGCACGATTACTCCCTCTATACTTCGTGCACAAGAAAGTAAAAAACATTACGTAACAGATGAGGTTTTTTTGTTTTCAATTTGTTTACTTTTGCTGTCTGGTTCATCAGCAGCCTCCAACTGTAACAGACAAGGGCGACAACCAACCAGACAAGGGCGACAACCAACCAGACAAGGGTGACAACCCTCAAGATGACGAAGAAGAAGAAGATGAGGTCATTGATCTCTCCTGCGGCGTGTGGAAGTTGCGCACCAACGCGTTTGGCTCACGTTTTGCCAACCTGTACGTGTTCGCCACCTTCATGGGCGTGTCGGCCTTGTTCTCTACCATGGTCAATAGTGTCGTGCATGTGCAGGTCAGTACAGGTGGGGGGGGGAGGGGTGGGGGGTGAATAGTGTCGTGCATGTCCAGGTCAGTACAAGAAGGGGGGGTGGGGGGGGGTGATCTAATGTCCAGGTCAATAGCAGGGCAGGGGGGGGCACATCGACTCATGTGACCTTGACCGCATTAACCATTGTGTTCACCAGCTGACCTCCATAGAGAAACAGTTCAACATCGACAACTCACAGGCCGGCCTGTTTGATGTGGCGTCACGCGCTGGTCACATGTCCACCATCTTGTTTGCCGGTCACTTTGCCAAGGTGAGTCACTGGAACAACTCCCCACCGTGACCGTCCACCAACACACGTGACCGTCCACCAACACACGTGACCGTCCACCAACACACGTGACCGTCCACCTGTCCACCAACACACGTGACCGTCCACCTGTCCACCAACACACGTGACCGTCCACCTGTCCACCAACACACGTTACCGTCCACCAACACACGTGACCGTCCACCGGTCCACCAACACACGTGACCGTCCACCGGTCCACCAACACACGTGACCGTCCACCGGTCCACCAACACACGTGACCGTCCACCAACACACGTGACCGTCCGTCCATCTCCTCCCCAGACTGTCCACATCCCGCTGACCATCGGGCTGTCTGGAATGTTCCAGGGGGTGCTGCTAGCGACCCCCGCCTACCTGCACTTCGCTGACCCCTACCAGCTGCCCGTACTGTGAGTTTTGTGGACGGTCCAAGCTCCTCGCGTGCTGTTGTGTTTTTGTCTTGGGTTTTATCTGGCTGTATTGATGTTTGGCCTAGTTGTAGTAATATGTGGCTGTTTGACCTAGTTTTAGGGTTGTGTTGCTGTTTGGCCTAGTTTTGGTGTTATGTGGCTGTATTGATGTATGGCCTAGTTTTAGGGTTGTGTTGCTGTTTGGCCTAGTTTTAGTGTTATCTGGCTGTGTTGATGTTTGACCTAGTTTTAGTGCTGTATTGTGTGCCCCACAGGGAACACGCCTCCTACTTCAACCAATCAAATTCCACCAACTACGGGGACCAGGCCAAGTACATGTGTGACGCTAATTACGTCATCAGCAACACCACAGGACATCACCAAAAGAACAGTACGGGCACTGTAAGTTCATGGAGGACTGAAGTAGGACACTTTTTTTATAGACGACAGGTGTAGGACACATAAAGGACATTTGTAGGAGATGTGAAGGACATAGTATGACATATGCTGGACATATGAAGGACATATGCAGGACATGTGTAGGACATAACAGGGACTGTAGTTAGACACAGGTGAGGGGAGAATGAAATGACGTGTAGACAAGCAATGTCTGAAGGTGAGTACTGCTGTCACTCCCCAGACCAACCAGATGGCCTTTATCGTCATCCTCGTGGTGCAGGCCATCAAGGGCATCACAGACACCTTCCATTCGGGCTTCCTGCCTACACTCTACATGGATGACAACATGGTGGACAAGGCCAAGATGAGCATTTTCTTTGGTGGGTGCTCACACTGACCAGCTCACACTGCTCACACTGACCATCTCACACTGACCATCTCACACTGCTCACACTGACCATCTCACACTGACCATCTCACACTGACCATCTCACACTGACCATCTCACACTGACCATCTCACACTGACCATCTGACACTGACCATCTGACCATCTCACACTGACCATCTCACACTGACCATCTCACACTGACCATCTGACACTGACCATCTGACCATCTCACACTGACCATCTCACACTGACCATCTCACACTGACCATCTCACACTGACCATCTCACACTGACCATCTGACCATCTCACACTGACCATCTGACACTGACCATCTGACCATCTCACACTGACCATCTCACACTGACCATCTCACACTGACCATCTGACACTGACCATCTGACCATCTCACACTGACCATCTCACACTGACCATCTCACACTGACCATCTGACACTGACCATCTGACCATCTCACACTGACCATCTCACACTGACCATCTCACACTGACCATCTCACACTGACCATCTCACACTGACCATCTCACACTGACCATCTCACACTGACCATCTCACACTGCTCACACTGACCATCTCACACTGACCATCTCACACTGACCATCTGACACTGACCATCTCACACTGACCATCTCACACTGACCATCTCACACTGACCATCTCACACTGACCATCTGACACTGACCATCTGACCATCTCACACTGACCATCTCACACTGACCATCTCACACTGACCATCTGACACTGACCATCTGACCATCTCACACTGACCATCTCACACTGACCATCTCACACTGACCATCTGACACTGACCATCTGACCATCTCACACTGACCATCTCACACTGACCATCTCACACTGACCATCTCACACTGACCATCTGACACTGACCATCTGACCATCTCACACTGACCATCTGACACTGACCATCTGACCATCTCACACTGACCATCTCACACTGACCATCTCACACTGACCATCTGACACTGACCATCTGACCATCTCACACTGACCATCTCACACTGACCATCTCACACTGACCATCTGACACTGACCATCTGACCATCTCACACTGACCATCTCACACTGACCATCTCACACTGACCATCTCACACTGACCATCTGACACTGACCATCTGACCATCTCACACTGACCATCTCACACTGACCATCTGACACTGACCATCTGACCATCTCACACTGACCATCTCACACTGACCATCTGACACTGACCATCTGACCATCTCACACTGACCATCTCACACTGACCATCTCACACTGACCATCTGACACTGACCATCTGACCATCTCACACTGACCATCTCACACTGACCATCTCACACTGACCATCTGACACTGACCATCTGACCATCTCACACTGACCATCTCACACTGACCATCTCACACTGACCATCTCACACTGACCATCTGACACTGACCATCTGACCATCTCACACTGACCATCTCACACTGACCATCTCACACTGACCATCTGACACTGACCATCTGACCATCTCACACTGACCATCTCACACTGACCATCTCACACTGACCATCTCACACTGACCATCTGACACTGACCATCTGACCATCTCACACTGACCATCTGACACTGACCATCTGACCATCTCACACTGACCATCTCACACTGACCATCTCACACTGACCATCTGACACTGACCATCTGACCATCTCACACTGACCATCTCACACTGACCATCTCACACTGACCATCTGACACTGACCATCTGACCATCTCACACTGACCATCTCACACTGACCATCTCACACTGACCATCTCACACTGACCATCTGACACTGACCATCTGACCATCTCACACTGACCATCTCACACTGACCATCTGACACTGACCATCTGACCATCTCACACTGACCATCTCACACTGACCATCTGACACTGACCATCTGACCATCTCACACTGACCATCTCACACTGACCATCTCACACTGACCATCTGACACTGACCATCTGACCATCTCACACTGACCATCTCACACTGACCATCTCACACTGACCATCTGACACTGACCATCTGACCATCTCACACTGACCATCTCACACTGACCATCTCACACTGACCATCTCACACTGACCATCTGACACTGACCATCTGACCATCTCACACTGACCTTCTCACTACAGACACTGTCTACCATCATAAAACTTTGCTACCATCATAACTGTATTGACTACCATCATAAAACTTTACTGTTCTACCATCATAAAACTTTATTGTTCTTCCATCATAAAACTTTACTGTTCTACCATCATAAAACTTTACTTTTCTACCATCATAAAACTTTACAGTTATACCATCATAAAACTTTACTGTTCTACCGTCTATCATAAAACTTTACTGTTCTACCATCATAAAACTTTACTGTTCTACCATCATAAATCTTTACAGTTCTACCATCATAAAACTTTACTGTTCTACCATCATAAAACTTTACTGTTCTACCATCCAATAAAAAAAAATTACTGTTCTACTGATGTCATGTACCCCCCCCCCCCCCCCGGGCCCGCCTCTCCCCAGGTATCCAACACATCATCACCGACCTGGCCAGCCCCATCGGCCGACAGATTAACGGCATCATGACGGAGATCCCGATTGACCTGAAGGGTGAGTTTTTTCTTTTTCTCCTGGGTTCTCATCTACACACACACACATACACACACACTTCCTGTCTCTGACCCCACTCCCCCACACCCTGTCCTCTGTCTAGACGTGTGGGGTTGGGTGGGGGTAAAAGGGTTTAGGAACACGGTCAAAATGTTCCGTCACGTAGTGTACCACCCCCCCCCCCCACGTGACACCCCACCCTGGCAAGGTTAAAGGTCACGACTGTCTATGTTCAGAGACCGACATGGACCCTAAAGATGGCCGTTTTATCGCCGCCTGGTGGTTGGCCTTCCTGGTGTTCGGGGCCTGTCTGTTCCTCGTCTCCTTCCCCATCCTGCTGTTCCCCAAGAAGTTGGTCTCACGCAGGAGGCAGAGGGAGGCGCTGGAGAGGGCCCGAGTGACGTATGCGGGAGGGCACGTGGAGGAGGAGGTCGTCCAGCCAATCTCCAGTCAGCTGAGTGTGGAGGACACGCTAAGGTTAGTGCTAGCACATGACCCACACATGACACACACATGTGACACACACACGACACACACGTCACACACACACAACACACACACACAACACACACACAACACACACACACGACACACACATGAGACACACGTCACACACGTCACACACGTCACACACGCACATGACACACACACGATACACACACGACCCACACACACGACCCATACCTGACCCCACACACCTGTCCCACACACGACACACACATGACCCACACACGACCCAGAAATGACCCACACACTACACACATATGACCCACACACATGACCCACACACGATACACACACGACCCACACACACGACCCATACCTGACCCCACACAACCACACCTGACCCCCCACACACACACACGACACACACAACACACACACGACACACACATGACCCACACCTGACCCCACACAACCACACCACCATGTTAAGTGCCGCTCTCCCCACGAGCAGAAAGTCCAGCATCGTGACCACTGGCATCTCAGGCGGGGTCAAGCACCGACTCAGTGTCTCCGGTCCCTCAAGGAAAGGAAGTCTGGCATCCACGGGTCAACCAGCCAGCAGAAGGTCAGTCCTTGACATTGAACATCTTTTTCTTTCAAACTAGACATCAATAGTAAGGTGTTCAATCAAGATTTTTGTTTCAACAAACTTTCCTGTGTCGTGGTACGGACCAACCTACTGACCAACCTACTGACCAACCCACTGACCAACCTACAGGCCAACCTACAGACCAACCTACTGACCAACCTACTGACCAACCTACTGACTAACCTACTGACCAACCAACTGACCAACCAATCGACCAACTTACTTACCAACCAACTGACCAACCAACTGACCAACCAACTGACCAACCTACTTACCAACCTACTGACTAACCTACTGACCAACCAACTGACCAACCAATCGACCAACTTACTTACCAACCAACTGACCAACCTAACGACCAACCTACTGACCAACCAACTGACCAACCAACTGACCAACCTACTGACCAACCTACTGACCAACCCACTGACCAACCTACAGACCAACCTACTGACCAACCTACAGACCAACCTACTGACCAACCTACTGACCAACCTACTGACCAACCTACTGACCAACCTACTGACCAACCAACTGACCAACCAATCGACCAACTTACTTACCAACCAACTGACCAACCTAACGACCAACCTACTGACCAACCTACTGACCAACCAACTGACCAACCTACTGACCAACCTACTGACCAACCCACTGACCAACCTACAGACCAACCTACTGACCAACCTACTGACCAACCTACTGACCAACCTACTGACCAACCTACTGACCAACCTACTGATCAACCTACTGACCAACCTACTGATCAACCTACTGACCACAGGCCCAGCATGTTCCCGCCCATCCTGGCGCCCACAGAACGGAAGGTCAGCCTGACCGGAGACATGGTGTTTGAGCAGACGATCAAAGCTGCACCCAGACGTGCACCGGAAGCTGCGGCTGGTAAAGGTCAAGGTCGTTCAGGCAGAAGAAAGGGCAACCTGAAGACAATGGTCAAAGGTCAGTTAACGGTTTCTCAGACAGACAGACAGACAGACAGACAGACAGACAGACGTCGAGACATCACCACTAGACAGACATTTTAAACATTTCAACGGGCCATTTAATGTTAATCCTAATTAAAAAACCCAATTAACATTTTAATGATCTCAAGAACGCTCACGAATGGTTTAGATTGATCCATACACTCAAATCTCGAGGGGGGAGTGGAAGGGGGGATGCTTGACCAGACGAGCCAGTCTTCTAAGACCAACATCCATCTGAAAGTCATCTAGTGCTACTGTAGCCACAAGTCACGAGTAAAACCGGAAGTGTTTGTATCCTCAGATTTCCCACAAGCCCTGCTGCGCATGCTCAAGATGCCAGCCTACCTGCTGCTGCTGATCGACATCGCCATCGTGTCCATCCCCATGTCTGGCACCTCCATCTTCAGGAGCACCTACATGGCCAACCAGTACAACGTGCCCATGTCCACTGTCACACTGGCCTCAGGTACTCTACTCCACCTGCTCAGGCAGGCCACCTCCAGCCGGATGTACATACGTAGACACATACACAGATACAAACATACATAAATACATACATACACAGATACATACACAGATACATACACAGATACATACACAGATACATACACAGATACATACACAGATACATACACAGATACATACACAGATACATACACAGATACATACACAGATACATACACAGATACATACACAGACACATACATTGATAAAAACATAGATAGATACGCATATAGATTTGCATATAATAATCTCTAGATCCCTATAGGGTACATGAAACCAAAGATCATTGAGACAGATGAAGTAGAGTTTACTACTTTCACACCACGTGAGTCACTTGTATAGCCAACAGCCATTCTTTTCTCACATTTGAGACAGGTACTCATTAGTGCTGGGTAGACTCAGCACCTGCTGTCCCCTGTCCTCTACCGCCCTCTATCCCCCCCCCCCCCAACTGTCCCCCCCTACAGTGGACTGACTCTCTACCTTCAGGGATCTCGTCTGCCGTGGGTCACGTGATCGGGACCCTGGCCAGTTCCTGGGTGGCGAGCAAGGTCCACACACGGATGGGCCTGCTGTACATCGTCATGAGCAGCTACCTGTTCACGCTGGTCATCACCCCGCTCTATCTGGTCTTTGGCTGCAGTAATGACGTGGTGTATGGGGAGACTGGCGAGTAGTGAGTACAGGCACCTCAACATACACACCCTTGACAATCATGTACCACACACCTGTACCACACACCTGTACCACACGCCTGTACCACACACCTGTACCACACACCTGTACCACACGCCTGTACCACACACCTGTACCACACGCCTGTACCACACGCCTGTACCACACACCTGTACCACACGCCTGTACCACACACCTGTACCACACACCTGTACCACACGCCTGTACCACACACCTGTACCACACACCTGTACCACACGCCTGTACCACACACCTGTACCACACACCTGTACCACACATCTGTACCACACACCTGTACCACACACCTGTACCACACACCTGTACCACACACCTGTACCACACACCTGTACCACACACCTGTACCACACACCTGTACCACACACCTGTACCACACACCTGTACCACACACCTGTACCACACACCTGTACCACACACACACACCTGTACCACACACCTGTACCACACACACCTGTACCACACACCTGTACCACACACCTGTACCACACACCTGTACCACACACCTGTACCACACACCTGTACCACACACCTGTACCACACACCTGTACCACACACCTGTACCACACACACACCTGTACCACACACCTGTACCACACACACCTGTACCACACACCTGTACCACACACCTGTACCACACACCTGTACCACACACCTGTACCACACACCTGTACCACACACCTGTACCACACACTTGTACCACACACCTGCACCACACACCTGTACCACACACCTGTACCACACACTTGTACCACACACTTGTACCACACACCTGTACCACACACACCTGTACCACACACCTGTACCACACACCTGTACCACACACTTGTACCACACACCTGTACCTACTCCCTGCTACAGCGGCAGGCCTGTGAACCTGACGGACGCCTGTGACTGCGAGAACGCCAAGGTGCTCATCTCCTGTGGTGACGACGGCAACAACTACCTGTCGCCCTGCCACGCAGGTTGTACAGGCATGGACGGCAAGGTCAGGGCGACTGTGTGTGTGTGTGGGGGGGACAGTGTGTGGGGGACAGTGTGTGTGGGTAGTATCCAGTGATTTGTGTGTGTGTGTGTGTGATTCTCTCACGTGTCCCAGTAATAGTTTTTACAATGTCCATTCATTTATTTCTGAAACAAAACAACTTGTCCCCCCCGTCCAGATCTTCACCGAGTGCTCCCTGTTGACCAACCTGACCCTTGGGAACAAGGTGACCCCCGGGCTGTGTGACACGGACTGTCACACCAACTTCATCATCTACGTCTTCCTACACGGCCTACAGAACATCGCCAGCTCACTCGCCTCCATACCACGCCGTCTGCTCATTCTCAGGTCAGTCACCCCACCCCCCCCCCCCATACCCCGTCATTCTCAGGTCAGTCACCCCCCATACCACGTCATTCTCAGGTCAGTCACCCCCCATATCCCGTCATTCTCAGGTCAGTCACCCCCCCCCCATCCCGTCATTCTCAGGTCAGTCACCCCCCCCCCATACCCCGTCATTCTCAGGTCAGTCACCCCCCATACCCCGTCATTCTCAGGTCAGTCACCCCCCCCCATCCCGTCATTCTCAGGTCAGTCACCCCCCCATATCCCGTCATTCTCAGGTCAGTCACCCCCCTCCCCATACCCCGTCATTCTCAGGTCAGTCACCCCCCTCCCCATACCCCGTCATTCTCAGGTCAGTCACCCCCCCCCCATACCCCGTCATTCTCAGGTCAGTCACCCCCCCCCCCCCCATACCCCGTCATTCTCAGGTCAGTCACCCCCCCCCCATACCCCGTCATTCTCAGGTCAGTCACCCCCCCCCCCCCCCATACCCCGTCATTCTCAGGTCAGTCACCCCCCCATATCCCGTCATTCTCAGGTCAGTCACCCCCCTTCATACCCCGTCATTCTCAGGTCAGTCACCCCCCCATATCCCGTCATTCTCAGGTCAGTCACCCCCCCCCCCCCCCATCCCGTCATTCTCAGGTCAGTCACCCCCCCATATCCCGTCATTCTCAGGTCAGTCACCCCCCTCCCCATACCCCGTCATTCTCAGGTCAGTCACCCCCCTCCCCATACCCCGTCATTCTCAGGTCAGTCACCCCCCCCCCATACCCCGTCATTCTCAGGTCAGTCACCCCCCCCCCATACCCCGTCATTCTCAGGTCAGTCACCCCCCCCCCCCCATACCCCGTCATTCTCAGGTCAGTCACCCCCCCCCCATACCCCGTCATTCTCAGGTCAGTCACCCCCCCATATCCCGTCATTCTCAGGTCAGTCACCCCCCCCCATACCCCGTCATTCTCAGGTCAGTCACCCCCCCCCCCCCCCCATACCCCGCCATTCTCAGGTCAGTCACCCCCCCATATCCCGTCATTCTCAGGTCAGTCACCCCCCCCCATACCCCGTCATTCTCAGGTCAGTCACCCCCCCCCCCATACCCCGTCATTCTCAGGTCAGTCACCCCCCCCCCCCATACCCCGTCATTCTCAGGTCAGTCACCCCCCCCCATACCCCGTCATTCTCAGGTCAGTCACCCCCCCCCATACCCCGTCGTCTGCTCATTCTCAGGTCAGTCACCCCCCCCCCCATACCCCGCCATTCTCAGGTCAGTCACCCCCTCCATACCCCGTCATTCTCAGGTCAGTCACCCTACCCTACCCTACCATAACCTTAGCCTTGACCCCCTGCCGTAACGAGTTGACCTCTGACCCCCAGTATTTCTCTCCCCTAGGATGGTGGACCCGAGGGACAGAGCCTTCGCTACCAGCATCTTCGTCTTCTTCTCCAGTCTCAGTAAGTTGTGTACAAAGTACATCTTGTGTACACACTCAGTACAAGTTGCGTACACACTCAGTGCATCTCGTGTACACACTCAGTACATCTTGTGTACACACTCTGTACATATTGTGTACACACCCAGTACATGTTGTGTAGCCTGTGCACGATGTATATGTTAGTGCATGCTGTACTTGCATAGACACACACACAGACACTCACATCAACACACACCTAGACTAAAAGAGTGCAGTGGTTTGGTGTATGCCGTCAAGGTCATCTGACCAATGTGTCTGTTGTAATCTAACGAAAACCTTGACCTTGACCTTCTAGTGGCCATCCCGTCCCCCAACCTGTTTGGCAAGGTCATGGACGACACGTGTAGGGTGTGGGACGGTCGGTTCTGTGCTCTCTATGACAGGGATAAAGTCAGGTCAGTAGTGGTCATCTTAGTGGTCATCTTACTGGTCATCTAACTGGTCATCTAACTGGTCATCTTAATGGTCATCTTACTGGTCATCTTACTGGTCATCTTAATGGTCATCTTACTGGTCGTCTTAGTGGTCATCTTACTGGTCATCTTACTGGTCATCTTACTGGTCATCTAACTGGTCATCTTACTGGTCATCTTAATGGTCATCTAACTGGTCATCTTAATGGTCATCTTACTGGTCATCTTACTGGTCATCTTAATGGTCATCTTAATGGTCATCTTACTGGTCATCTTACTGGTCATCTTACTGGTCATCTTACTGGTCATCTTACTGGTCATCTTACTGGTCATCTTAATGGTCATCTAACTGGTCATCTTAATGGTCATCTTACTGGTCATCTTACTGGTCATCTTAATGGTCATCTTACTGGTCATCTTACTGGTCATCTTACTGGTCATCTTACTGGTCATGTCATCTAACTGGTCATCTTACTGGTCATCTTACTGGTCATCTTACTGGTCATCTAACTGGTCATCTTACTGGTCGTCTTACTGGTCATCTAACTGGTCATCTTACTGATGAGGTCTATAATACAAACCCACCCCCTCCCCCCACCTGTTTTGCAGGTATTTCCTGTCTGGCATCGACATAGGTGTGCACGGTGTGGTACAGATCACCTACCTCATCATGTTGGGCCTCTTCAAGTGGGAGGAGTGGAAGATGAGGCGTCAAGCCAAGAGGGGGCAGGGCACGGTGGACGCTGAGATGACCGAGAAGACTTAGATCTCAAGACTGTTCCTGTGTGTGTGTTCGTGTGTGTGTGTGTGTTTGTGTGTGTTGCTGTGTGTTAGTTCGTGTGTTTATTGATATGTATGTCAGTTCTCATGTGTAATGTGTGTGAGAGCTGTACTGTATGTGTGTTTGTGAGAATGACATACTGTCCACAGCAAGAAGCTGTACCCACTGAACACGTGACCTTGGTGTGTTCGTTTATGTCTGCAGTATTCAGGTGTCAGGTTTGAAACATCTGATGTAAAAATAAAGCCATTCATTATTCTTGAAATAATATTGTTGATTGAAGAGAAAAGAAGTTGTAAATAGATGACGTCATCTTTATGCTCACTCAGAATTTGATGAAAGATTTGATCACACGTACAAGCTGTATGGGACGGAGTGGTCAGATGATAGAGCGTACGAGTCCCTGAGTCTATCCAGTTCTAATGGGTACCTGACTCTCGTTTAGGAAAGCAAAGGCTGGCCTGGAGATGATCCCACTAAATAAATGAACTCTACTTCATCTACCCATAGATCGGCAGGTCCGAAACTTAAGCTGTGGGTACCTGCATATTTTTGTACACGCTAGACATGACTATACTTGATAATGTGTCTGCTAATTTTCACTGACTTGTTTTTTTTAAAAAATATATTTGTGATTGGACTGATTTTTATGTCACTGTAAAAACTACTGCAACCAGTAGCTCGAAGAGGATTGTTATTGATATTACCCCGTTTATATAATCGATACATTGTACCACACTAGTTCTAGCGTCGACACATTGTATTGTACTATTTACAGCATGGATACTATTTATTTATAAGTTTGTATAATCGATACTCCAGTAATGTACTCGTGTGATGTAACTGGTTTACAATACTCAGTTGAAGTCAAATTCTGTTGTTTGTGATATCTATTCTACAACATTCAGTCTAAGTCAAATTCTGTTGTTTGTGATATATGTTCTACAACATTCAGTTAGTCATAATGTTGTTTGTGATATATGTTCTACAACATTCAGTTAGTCATATAATGTTGTTTGTGATATATGTTCTACAAAATTGAACACTTCGCTCTTGAAAGACTTTCGACGTCAATAAAAAAATTTGACATTTTTCACTTGAATTTGTTTTTTTCTGCTGTATTGTGTCTTCTGTATTGTAAATGTTCTTTGGGCGATACTTCCCAGTGGGAATAATTTAATTGTGGACACATGCAAACAATAAAATATATAAAATATGAAGAATATTTTGTTTACAGAATTATCGAGAATATTGAACCTATTTTTTTTGTTAAATTGAAAGTACAGAATTTAAAAAAGGCCAATATCACGGATAAAACCAAAAGTGTTTAGTTATAGTCTCTGTGAATGAAACAAAAAGTTTAGTTAAAGTGTCTGTGAGAAAACAACGAAGATCACATTTCACCACAATTTTTTAAAGAAACGGCTGTGTAAACTGTAGCCAGGGCAGATCCTGGCCGGGACCGCTATAAATAAAATGTGATGCGGATTTCCTGTTCGAGACCCATTTGTCTAAATAAGTTTGTTTTTAATTTTAGTGTTATAAAGTTAACTGCTTGGTGGTTATATAGTGGTGGTCTAGTGGTGGTCTAGCTGTAGTATGGTGGTGATATAGTGGGGAGATGGTGGTGATATAGTGGGGAGATGGTGGTGATATAGTGGGGAGATGGTGGTGATATAGTGGGGAGATGGTGGTGATATAGTGGGGAGATGGTGGTGATATAGTGGGGAGATGGTGGTACTATGATGGTCTCAAGCGCTGGACATTGGGCAGGCACACGATGATGAATTGAGAATTTTTTTCTCTTCCCCGTTGTGCCCGCTCGACCTGTAGATTTCCCCGTGTGTAAGACAAATGGCCGACATTGAAAAGGCCGACTGGACAAAAGGCCGACAAAAAAAGCAGACTGGACATAAAGTCGACAGACTATAAGGCAGCTAGCCAAAAGGCCGACAGACCATATGGCCGACAAACATATAACTACTTATATCGCTAAATATGTGTTACCACATAGCTCCTCTCTAGTCGAAGAACAAATTCAAAGGCCGCTGGCGTTATCGCCCACATGCAACAAGACGGAAAGTTCTAGAGAAGAGACGATGCTAGTTGCTATCTTTATAAGGTGAGCAATAGGGTCCAAGCGACTGCAGATTACGGGAGTGTCTTAAACGCAAAGGATCAACACCTAAATATTGCGAAATTCGGTCACTGCTGTCTTTCATAACTGCTTATTGTTTCTTTACAAATCGATGGCCTACTTGAACCTCGAGATGAGCAGTTGAAAAGTTTTGTTAGTAATGGAAATATCTACTATTTGAAGTGACTGTTAACTTATTTTAGTTATAAAATGTAATAACATTGAAATACATTCGAATGTAAAAACAAGTTAATTAAAAAGTCTAGTGACAATTTTAGCGCAATTTCCTTATGTTATCTAAAAATAGCTCTGTCGTAGCGTAAATCAAGAGCAGGGTTAGTAAAACCATTGGTTAGTTATTAAAACGTTTTTTATTAAATAAACCTAACTACTAACTAAACTAAGCAAATTGAAATCAAGAGCAGGGTTATTAAAACCATTGGTTAGTTGAACTTGATTATCAACATGATAATCATTAAGATGATAGATCTCTACTTCCGGCATGTATATACAACCACACCACACGCGTCATCACGTTCAATAGATGCGTCATCGCGTTCCATGGCTGCGCCATCACGTTCAGTAGGCGCGCAAGTTAATTAAAAAAGTCTAGTGACATTTATGCGCAATTTCCTTATGTTATCTAAAAATAGCTCTGACGTATAATGATGGGGTGCGTTCAAGCTAGAAGAGCGATCGGTTTGTAGGTGTTTATGTAATTTTAAAATTTGTGACCGAACGAGAGGATATTTTTGAAAACTTTCTTCGGCAATATTGTTCTAAATTATGGCAGGAATCGATTGGTACATGTTTCAAGTCGCTAAGTGGTCTGGTTGCCGAGATATGGGCCAAAAACAGCATTTTTTCGAGTTTTTTTGGCTTTTACGGGAAATACATGAAAGAAACCCGGAATTTTTATGGCCTATGCTCATTCTCGTAACTTGCTTAACATAATTGCTTTTGGAACTAGTCATCGATATTGCTTCGTTGAGGAGGAGATACGACTTAAAGCCCGGACACACATTCATCCATTCATTCATTCATCCATCCATCCATTCCCAGAAATGACGAGTTAATAAACGCAATTCTCCAGAATGGAAATTGCGCTAAAAAACACCATAAAATCATTACTGGAATCAATTTATCGTTTACTACTATTTTCTATCTCTCTACAATTTTTGTGTGTGACAATTTTTCGTGAGCAACCTAGGTCAAGAAGCACATAAACTCTACTTCATCTGCCCAATGTATCGCTAGGTCTGAGGAGGAATCTTCACTTTATTTACTACCGTATGCCATCCGACCATTTGAAGCGCGCGGACGTCATGTACAGCCACTCTGACGAAATGCATCGTTTTAATTTTATTAATCATTTCATTTGTGCTTTTTCTTAGTCTCGTATTTCGTATTGTTTGAATACCAAGTATTTTTTTGTAGCCTCATTTTAGCAGTCAGAAATATATTTTCATTTTATATTATGTATCAACAAATTCAACATATTTTCTTGACATAGAGCATTTAATTAAAAGTATTCATAAGGAAACCAATAATTAATTCATTAAAAAATGTAACAAACCAATTACAATTCTAAGATATCACTTTTTAATCAAAGATTACAGCGTTCTCTATAAATAAAATATTATTTTAAAAAGTTTCTAGTTAATTAATGACAGACGAAATACGACAATTATTATTTAGGATTTTTGTATATTTAAAGGAAATCAAATCATTAATTGTCTACTTTTTAGTGAAAATAAAAACTATAAAAAATAATTAAAGTTCCCTAAAAGAAATAGTAATTTTCCGCGCAATTATACGTAGACCTACATTGTTTGGTTGAAATCTTTTTAGATATTAATAATTTAAACTTTCTCGAATAAAACAATACGCAATTTATCGAGTTCTCACGGAAATAGAGTTAAGTACCATTTCCGGTTTCCGGAAGTCTTACAAAATTAGCTAGAAACCTACGTGCGCATATAATGTTATATGTGAAATTTCGTTCACCAAACTTAAACGATATTCCAGTCATTGGCATTTGAGAAACATGAAGTAGAGTAAGTTACTCTAAGTAAGTATCACTTCCGTTTACTGGAAATCGCAGAAAAGTTAATACAAAACTATAAATTCGATTTAATGCTTATTTAAGAAATTTCTCCAACATAACTGAAACGGTACTAAAGTTATCGCGTTCACAGATAGACATACACACAAACAGAGATACAGACAAACTTGCACTGTTTTTCTGACTCATTGAGATGTAAAACATTTTTTGTTCATGATTACAATAGGCTACGTCACTAAACTCCACGTACGAGAATGTACAAATGAGCTAGGTCCCCTGTAGTTAGGTGACCTGTAGTTAGGTGACCTGTAGTTAGGTGACCTACAGTTAGGTGCCTGTAGTTAGGTGACCTACAGTTAGGTGACCACCCGGAATATGGAGAAAAAAATGTTTGACCAGATCTCGGTCACTGGTGTGACGTCAGAGCTAAATATAGAACCACCAACCGTTGACTTGTAAGAGTGTCGCAGAGTGTCGCCAGAGAGTGTCAAGGGCTCTCAGATGTGTATCAGCGACCACGTGACCAGGATGTTCAACATATCTGACATACTTAGCACACATACCACCCCAGGTAACTGGGAGCGGGGGGGGGGGGGTGTCGTCTGCTTGCACAACAAACACGTGACGTCATCCCACAAGTCATCTTTAATTATTATTTACAATGTTCTGTGACGTCACAAATCACACGAATCTCTACCAAGATGTAACACATTTTTAATTGCACCATTTAATTACTTTAATTAATGAGCTAATGTACCAATTTGCCGTATAGTATACTCCTCCACCGTTGTTTCCACCACATATCCAGTTATTAGCTGTCTGGTCAGCTGTCTGGTCAGCTGTCATTTCATGGTCAACTGTCACTGTCTGGTCAACTGTCTGGTCAACTGTCTGGTCAACTGTCTGGTCAACTGTCTGGTCAACTGTCTGGTCAGCTGTCTGGTCAACTGTCTGGTCAACTGTCTTGTCAGCTGTCTGGTCAACTGTCTGGTCAACTGTCTGGTCAACTGTCTTGTCAACTGTCTTGTCAACTGTTTGGTCAACTGTCTGGTCAACTGTCTGGTCAGCTGTCTGGTCAGCTGACTGGTCAACTGTCTGGTCAACTGTCTGGTCAACTGTCTGGTCAACTGTCTTGTCAACTGTTTGGTCAACTGTCTGGTCAACTGTCTGGTCAGCTGTCATTTCATGGTCAACTGTCACTGTCTGGTCAACTGTCTGGTCAGCTGTCTGGTCAACTGTCTGGTCAACTGTCTGGTCAACTGTCTGGTCAGCTGTCATTTCATGGTCAACTGTCACTGTCTGGTCAACTGTCTGGTCAACTGTCTTGTCAACTGTTTGGTCAACTGTCTGGTCAACTGTCTGGTCAGCTGTCTGGTCAACTGTCTGGTCAACTGTCTGGTCAACTGTCTGGTCAACTGTCTTGTCAACTGTCTTGTCAACTGTTTGGTCAACTGTCTGGTCAACTGTCTGGTCAGCTGTCTGGTCAACTGTCTGGTCAACTGTCTGGTCAACTGTCTGGTCAACTGTCTGGTCAACTGTCTGGTCAACTGTCATGTCATGGTCAGCTGTTTGGTCAACTGTCTGGTCAACTGTCTGGTTAGCTGTCTTGTCAACAGTCTGGTCAACTGTTTGGTCAGCTGTCTGGTCAGCTGACTGGTCAACTGTCTTGTCAACTGTTTGGTCAACTGTCTGGTCAACTGTCTGGTCAACTGTCTTGTCAACTGTCTTGTCAACTGTCTTGTCAACTGTCTTGTCAACAGTCTGGTCAACTGTTTGGTCAACTGTCTGGTCAACTGTCTGGTCAACTGTCTGGTCAACTGTCTGGTCAACTGTCTAGTCAACTGTCTGGTCAACTGTCTGGTCAGCTGTCATTTCATGGTCAACTGTCACTGTCTGGTCAACTGTCTGGTCAACTGTCTTGTCAACTGTTTGGTCAACTGTTTGGTCAGCTGTCTGGTCAACTGTCTGGTCAGCTGTCTGGTCAACTGTCTGGTCAACTGTCTGGTCAACTGTCTGGTCAACTGTCTTGTCAACTGTCTTGTCAACTGTTTGGTCAACTGTCTGGTCAACTGTCTGGTCAGCTGTCTGGTCAACTGTCTGGTCAACTGTCTGGTCAACTGTCTGGTCAACTGTCTGGTCAACTGTCTGGTCAACTGTCATGTCATGGTCAGCTGTTTGGTCAACTGTCTGGTCAACTGTCTGGTTAGCTGTCTTGTCAACAGTCTGGTCAACTGTTTGGTCAGCTGTCTGGTCAGCTGACTGGTCAACTGTCTTGTCAACTGTTTGGTCAACTGTCTGGTCAACTGTCTGGTCAACTGTCTTGTCAACTGTCTTGTCAACTGTCTTGTCAACTGTCTTGTCAACAGTCTGGTCAACTGTTTGGTCAACTGTCTGGTCAACTGTCTGGTCAACTGTCTGGTCAACTGTCTGGTCAACTGTCTAGTCAACTGTCTGGTCAACTGTCTGGTCAGCTGTCATTTCATGGTCAACTGTCACTGTCTGGTCAACTGTCTGGTCAACTGTCTGGTCAACTGTCTGGTCAACTGTCTGGTCAACTGTCTGGTCAGCTGTCTGGTCAACTGTCTGGTCAACTGTCTTGTCAGCTGTCTGGTCAACTGTCTGGTCAACTGTCTGGTCAACTGTCTTGTCAACTGTCTTGTCAACTGTTTGGTCAACTGTCTGGTCAACTGTCTGGTCAGCTGTCTGGTCAGCTGACTGGTCAACTGTCTGGTCAACTGTCTGGTCAACTGTCTGGTCAACTGTCTTGTCAACTGTTTGGTCAACTGTCTGGTCAACTGTCTGGTCAGCTGTCATTTCATGGTCAACTGTCACTGTCTGGTCAACTGTCTGGTCAGCTGTCTGGTCAACTGTCTGGTCAACTGTCTGGTCAACTGTCTGGTCAGCTGTCATTTCATGGTCAACTGTCACTGTCTGGTCAACTGTCTGGTCAACTGTCTTGTCAACTGTTTGGTCAACTGTCTGGTCAACTGTCTGGTCAGCTGTCTGGTCAACTGTCTGGTCAACTGTCTGGTCAACTGTCTGGTCAACTGTCTTGTCAACTGTCTTGTCAACTGTTTGGTCAACTGTCTGGTCAACTGTCTGGTCAGCTGTCTGGTCAACTGTCTGGTCAACTGTCTGGTCAACTGTCTGGTCAACTGTCTGGTCAACTGTCTGGTCAACTGTCATGTCATGGTCAGCTGTTTGGTCAACTGTCTGGTCAACTGTCTGGTTAGCTGTCTTGTCAACAGTCTGGTCAACTGTTTGGTCAGCTGTCTGGTCAGCTGACTGGTCAACTGTCTTGTCAACTGTTTGGTCAACTGTCTGGTCAACTGTCTGGTCAACTGTCTTGTCAACTGTCTTGTCAACTGTCTTGTCAACTGTCTTGTCAACAGTCTGGTCAACTGTTTGGTCAACTGTCTGGTCAACTGTCTGGTCAACTGTCTGGTCAACTGTCTGGTCAACTGTCTAGTCAACTGTCTGGTCAACTGTCTGGTCAGCTGTCATTTCATGGTCAACTGTCACTGTCTGGTCAACTGTCTGGTCAACTGTCTTGTCAACTGTTTGGTCAACTGTTTGGTCAGCTGTCTAGTCAACTGTCTGGTCAACTGTCTTGTCAACTGTTTGGTCAACTGTTTGGTCAGCTGTCTAGTCAACTGTCTGGTCAACTGTCTTGTCAACTGTTTGGTCAACTGTCTGGTCAACTGTCTGGTCAACTGTCATTTCATGGTCAACTGTCACTGTCTGGTCTACTGTCTGTTCAACTGTCTGGTCAACTGTCTGGTCAACTGTCTGGTCAGCTGTCATTTCATGGTCAACTGTCACTGTCTGGTCAACTGTCTGGTCAACTGTCATGTCATGGTCAGCTGTTTGGTCAACTGTCTGGTCAACTGTCTGGTCAACTGTCTGGTCAACTGTCTGGTCAACTGTTTGGTCAACTGTCTGGTCAACTGTCTAGTCAACTGTCTAGTCAACTGTCTGTTCAACTGTCATGTCATGGTCAGTTGTCTGGTGAGCTGTCATTTCATGCTCGACTGTCTGGTCAACTGTCTGGTCAACTGTCTTGTCAACTGTCCTGTGAATTTGGCTTGATCTCAGTGTGTGTACACTCTAAGATAGGTATCGCACACTTTAAAAACTTGTATTTAATTAATAATTCTAATTAAAAGTTCACGTAAGATTTATAAATAGATGCAAAGATACTCGACTTAATGAAGTGACCTCTCAAGATTGTAGGAAATAGCTAGGGGAGAGGGGGGGGGTGTGTGTTTGTGTTCGTGTATGTGTGTCTGTGTGTCTGTGTGTGGCTGACTGATGCTAAAGACAAGCACTGGGTCGACATCTTTATTTACTGTAAGACAACGTCACCCCTCCACCACCAGCCCCCCCCATACTGTAAGACAACGTCACCCCTCCACCACCAGCCCCCCCCCCCCCCACCCCCACCAATAGATGTGACCTGATGAAATGGCCAGGTCACACCCAACCCACCTGACACAGGTGAGTGACCTCTGTCTGTAGGTCTGGCATCACGTGGACCCGAGGGCTGCTCTCATCAAGCCTCTAACGGTCTCAAGAATCAGAGAGAAGATTCAAGTGTTCGCTCGTCTTGGTCGGGACTCATAAGTGTGGCGATAATCATCTTGTAAAAATTAATGAGATTTTAATTTGTCTAATGGATGGCAGTGATAGACTAACAGGGATACACAACGACAGTCAGGTGGGACAAATAGGGAAACATGGACAAATGGAAGAACATGGACAAATGGAAGAACATGGACAAATGGAAGAACATGGACAAATGGAAGAACATGGACAAATGGAAGAACATGGACAAATGGAAGAACATGGACAAGAAGATGGTCAAGTATTGGAACATGGACATATTGTCGATACAACTGACCAGAAGACGGACACAGGACTGGAGATTCTAGAGGTAAGTCTCACTCTATTTTTAGCACCCATATTTTGTAAACCCAAATGTTGCCAGGACAATTCTAGTTTCAGTGGCCAGAGAAATTGTTAAATTAATTAACTTGTGCTTGAGTGAAATATATAACCTGTAGTGTTTGGCTTGGTCCCGACAGGATGGGAGTCCAAGAGATTCCAGACAGGAAAAGGGGGACAACCCCACAGACAAGGGGGACAAGCCGGCAGACAAGGGGGACAACCCGGCAGAACAAGATGCCGTCGACTTGTCGTGTGGTATTGGCAACCTCCGCACCAAGGTGTTGGGGAGATGCTACTCCAACCTGTACACGTTCGCCATCTTCATCGGGATCTCGGCGCTCTTCTCAGAGATGGTTCGGAGCATCATCCACGTACAGGTTGGTTGGTTACATGGTTGGCTGGTTTCATGGTTGGCTGGTTGGTTTCATGGTTGGCTGGTTTCATGGTTGGCTGGTTGGTTAAATGGTTGGCTGGTTAGTTTCATGGTTGGCTGGTTGGTTGGTTTCATGGTTGGCTGGTTAGTTTCATGGTTGGCTGATTGATTGGTTTCATGGTTGGCTGGTTAGTTTCATGGTTGGCTGGCTGGTTTCATGGTTGGCTGGTTAGTTTCATGGTTGGCTGGTTGGTTGGTTTCATGGCGGCTGGTTAGTTTCATGGTTGGCTGGTTGATTGGTTTCATGGTTGGCTGGTTAGTTTCATGGTTGGCTGGCTGGTTTCATGGTTGGCTGGTTGGTTGGTTTCATGGCGGCTGGTTAGTTTCATGGTTGGCTGGTTGGTTGGTTGCATGGTTGGCTGGTTAGTTTCATGGTTGGCTGGCTGGTTTCATGGTTGGCTGGTTGGTTGGTTTCATGGTTGGCTGTTGGTTTCATGGTTGGCTGGCTGGTTTCATGGTTGGCCGTAATTTCCTGCTTAATGTTTTGAGGACATCATGTAACATCACGTGACATGATGTAACATCACGTGACATGATGTGAGTATCTCATCCTCTCAGCTGACCTCCATAGAGAAACAGTTCAACATCGACAACTCCAAGGCCGGCCTGTTTGATGTGGCTCAACGCTCGGGGCATCTCTCCACCATTGTTCTAGCTGGTCATTTCGCTAAAGTCAGTTTCTTTTTCTTTTGGACAAACTCATTTTTTTTTATTGCTAACACACATATATTTATATATGTATACTTATATACGTATATAAATATGTATATATATATATATATATATATATATATATATATATATATATATATATATATATATATATATATGTATATGTATGTATGCATGTAATGTGAAGTTTCTCCTGGTATCTGCACCAGAAAGTCCACATCCCACTGGTCATCGGACTGTCCGGAGTGTTCCAGGGTTTTCTCCTTACGGTGCCAGCCTTCCTGCAGTTCACTGACCCGTATCAACTTCCGGTTCTGTGAGTGTCTATTTCTATCTCAGTCTCGCGTTGAGTTGGTTACATGTTGAGTAAATGTCCTGGACAGTCGACGAATGTTTCCACGTAGAGTGTTGACACCAATGTCCATCGAATGTACCAATGTTTGTCCATCGAATGACGTAGTTGTCTTCCCCCCCCCCCCCCCCCCCCCCCACAGACCCCCAGCGGCTCAACTCAACTCCAGCAACTCGAGCAGGTGGGGAGACCAGGCCAAGTACATGTGTGACCCCACCTCAGCCACACACAACCATACCACAACTAACACAGATGATTCAGAGACGGTGAGTGTCACACATACACATCAAACATCACATATTTGTCTGAAGGTCTGAGCTATTTACCTAGCACCACCAGTCTAGCACCTAGCACCACAAGTCTAGCACCTAGCACCCACCAACAGTCTAGCACCTAGCACCCACCACCAGTCTAGCACCTAGCACCTAGCACCGCCTGACCTATATCTCCCCAGACCAACCAAGGTGCCTTTATCGCCATCATGGTGGTGCAGGCGGTCAAGGGCATCACGGACACCTTCCACTCCAGCTTTCTGCCCACCCTCTACATGGATGACAACATGGTGGACAAGGCCAAGATGGGCATATTCTTAGGTCAGTGGGCAGATTCTTAAATCAGTGGGCATTTTCTTAGGTCAGTGGGCATATTCTTAGGTCAGCGGGCATATTCTTAGGTCAGCGGGCATATTCTTAGGTCAGTGGGCATATTCTTAGGTCAGTGGGCATATTCTTAGGTCAGTGGGCAGATTCTTAAATCAGTGGGCATATTCTTAGGTCAGCGGGCATTTTCTTAGGTCAGTGGGCATTGTCTTCGGTCAGTGGGCATTGTCTTCGGTCAGTGGGCATTGTCTTCGGTCAGTGGGCATTGTCTTCGGTCAGAGGGCATTGCCTAAAATGAAAACGTGACAAATGTCCACATCAAACATTGACCGCTGTCCATATCAAACATTGACCGCTGTCCACATCAAACATTGACCGCTGTCCACATCAAACATTGACCGCTGTCCACATTAAACATATACCGCTGTCCACATTAAACATATACCGCTGTCCACATCAAACATTGACCGCTGTCCACATCAAACATTGACCGCTGTCCACATTAAACATATACCGCTGTCCACATCAAACATTGACCGCTGTCCACATTAAACATATACCGCTGTCCACATCAAACATTGACCGCTGTCCACATTAAACATATACCGCTGTCCACATCAAACATTGACCGCTGTCCACATTAAACATATACCGCTGTCCACCCCTGACCCTTGTGTGTACTGTGTCCAGGTATCCAATACATCATCACTGACCTGGCCAGCCCTATCGGCAAACAGATTAACGGCATCATGACGGAGATCCCCATTGACCTCAAAGGTAGGCTTTGTGTGGTCTTCATCTACGTCATCTGCCCTTAGCTGTCTCTTCTGGTTACTTTTTAGATCTAATATTTTAATATATATATGTATATATATATATATAATATATATATATATATATATATATATATATATATATATATATATATATATATATATATATATATATATATATATATACATAAAATTGTATATATATTTCTAATGGTTCCTTGTTGTAGAGACTGACCTTGACCCTAAAGACGGCAGGTTCGTGGCCGCCTGGTGGCTGGCGTTTCTCGTCTTTGGACTTGGTCTCGCGCTGGTCTCGTTCCCGCTCATGTTGTTCCCACGCCATCTGGTCAGCAGGCGACAGCAGAAGGCGGCACTGGACAACGCCGTGGTCACCTTCGCTGGGGGTCAGGTCACTGACGAGGTCATTGAACCCGACACGGCAGAGAGGTCAGCTATATGTCATGTGACTGGATGGTGTGTCAGTTAAATGTCGGGGTGTTGTTGGGGTGGGTTGGGTGGGGGGAGTGAGTAAGATCGGGGGGGGGGGTGTAATTAGAAAAACCCAAAGCAAATGTCCCCATCCCCTGACCAACTAGCTGCCGTCCCCCTAATCTTTTAGAGTCAGTCAACCAGTGGCGGAACTAGAAAAAAAGGGCCACCCCGCAAAACATTTTTTTGGGCCCCCATATATATATATTATATATATAAAAATTAAGGTCGGCTTTGGGCCCCTAAGGTGCCTGCCCCCCCCCCCCCCCCCCGCATTGCGGGGTCTGGTGGCACTGTAGTTCCGCCCCTGCAGTCAACTAGTAGTCCTAATCTCTTAGAGTCATGAGCTCATGATCGAAATGTGTCGTGCAAGTATTTGGTCAGGGTGAAGTCACTGAGTCATAAAGTCACGGATAGAGTCATAAAATCACGGATAGTCATAAAGTCACGTATAGAGTCATAAAGTCACGTATAGAGACATATTATGGTGTGTAGTATGTGAGGTGGTTGACGAATATTAGCTGTGTTGATTGTGTTTGCCCGTCTGTTTAGAGCGGTCACCTTGGACCAAACGGAGCAGACGTTTTCTGGAAGTTTCCACCGGAAGTTTAGCAGCGCCACGGCGGGGTCAAGGAAAGGAAGTCTGGCATCTTTCGGCACGGCCAGTAGCCGCAGGTCAGTCTCTGGAGGTCAGTAGCCGCAGGTCAGTCTCTGGGGGCCAGTAGCCGCAGGTCAGTCTCTGGAGGTCTGTAGCCGCAGGTCAGTCTCTGGAGGTCTGTAGCCGCAGGTCAGTCTCTGGAGGTCTGTAGCCGCAGGTCAGTCTCTGGAGGTCTGTAGCCGCAGGTCAGTCTCTGGAGGTCTGTAGCCGCAGGTCAGTCTCTGGAGGTCTGTAGCCGCAGGTCAGTCTCTGGAGGTCTGTAGCCGCAGGTCAGTCTCTGGAGGTCAGTAGCCGCAGGTCAGTCTCTGGGGGCCAGTAGCCGCAGGTCAGTCTCTGGAGGTCTGTAGCCGCAGGTCAGTCTCTGGAGGTCTGTAGCCGCAGGTCAGTCTCTGGAGGTCTGTAGCCGCAGGTCAGTCTCTGGAGGTCTGTAGCCGCAGGTCAGTCTCTGGAGGTCTGTAGCCGCAGGTCAGTCTCTGGAGGTCTGTAGCCGCAGGTCAGTCTCTGGAGGTCTGTAGCCGCAGGTCAGTCTCTGGAGGTCTGTAGCCGCAGGTCAGTCTCTGGAGGTCTGTAGCCGCAGGTCAGTCTCTGGAGGTCTGTAGCCGCAGGTCAGTCTCTGGGGGCCAGTAGCCGCAGGTCAGTCTCTGGAGGTCTGTAGCCGCAGGTCAGTCTCTGGAGGTCTGTAGCCGCAGGTCAGTCTCTGGAGGTCTGTAGCCGCAGGTCAGTCTCTGGAGGTCAGTAGCCGCAGGTCAGTCTCTGGAGGTCTGTAGCCGCAGGTCAGTCTCTGGAGGTCGTTAGTTCTAGACTTAAGGCATTGCCTACGTATGTGACTACGGATATTTATAGAAATGTTGGTTAAGTTGAACCTTCCACCCCTCTATTAGATCCAATATAGTCGCCCATTGACTGTCAAATTGTTTGACTAGATCTAATATAGACTCGCCCATTGACTGTCAAATTGTTTGACTAGATCTAATATAGACTCGCCCATTGACTGTCAAATTGTTTGATTAGATCTAATATAGACTCGCCCATTGACTGTCTAATTGTTTGACTAGACCCAGCATGTTCCCGCCGGTTGTCAAGCCAACAGAAAGAAAGGTCAGTCTAGCAGGCGACCTGGTCTTTCAGCAGACGATCACAGAAAAACCAAAAGGAAAGAAAGAAAAAGTTATCGACATGTTTAAAGGTAACATTGGTGCTCCTTCCATTGTCTCACTTTTTAAAACATTTCAAATCTTTTTTTTGTTCTTCAAATTTGTGTACTTTAATTAATTCTCGGTCAATTTTAAGTCAATGTGTGGTCAAGGTGCGGTCTGTGCTGGTCAATGTCCAGTCAATGTTTAACTTCTCCCCCCCCCCCCCCCCCCCCCGCCAGATTTCCCTAAGGCCGTGTTCCGCCTACTCAGGAACCCCGCCTACGTCCTGCTGGTCATCGACACGACCATCTTCTCCATCTCCTATGCCGGCACCTCCATCTTCAGGAGCGTCTACATGACCCATGAGTACAACGTGCCCATGTCAGAGGTCACGCTTGCTTCAGGTAGGTCAAGGTCAGGCTTGCCCCAGGTAGGTCAAGGTCAGGCTTGCCTAAAGTAGGTTAAGGTCAGATGTCCACTGGGGTGGGAAGGGTAAGGTCACAGGTCAGATTAGCACACAACCAGGGACAAATTCTCTGAAATCCTGTACGAATATAGAATCTATTTGAGCAACAATTATTCTGCAACTTGGTTATTTAGTGTTAAAATTATGTCACGTAAGTGTACATGGCGTATTTCCCTATTTCCCTTACACTAAATCAAATGGTTCTATTTACATCTGCTGGTGTATATATATTTTTAATTCTTTTCTCAAGTTTTGAATAGAACAACATATAACAATCTATTGACAGAGTAAACCTGACCCTGACATTGCCCCTAACCCTTGACCTACCCCTGACCCTAACCATTGACCTATCGCTGACCCTCACCCTTGACCTACCTTTGCCCCTAACCCTTGACCTGACCCTGCCCCTAACCCTTAACCTTGCCCCTAACCCTTGACCTACCCCTGCCTCTAACCCTTGACCTTCCCCTGCCCCTCACCCTTGACCTGACCCTTACCCTCGACCTGACGTTATCTTTGACCTACACCCTGCCCCTAACCCCGAGCCCACCATTGCAGGCATCTCCACGGCCCTGGGTCACGTGACGGGGACGTTGATCAGCACGTACCTGACGAGCCGTGTGAGCACCAGGACAGGTTACCTGTACATCATGATGAGCAGCTACATCTTCACCGTCGTCATCACCCCGCTCTACCTGGTCTTTGGATGCTCCAACCAGCCGGTTTACGGCGCCACGGGGGAGTTGTAAGTAGGGGGGGGGGAAGAGGTGGGGGGGGGGGGAGGAGAGGAGGGGGTGTAAGTAGGGGGGGCGATAGGAGGGGGAGGGTGTTAGGAAGGGTGTTAGGAGGAGGCGTTAGAGGGGGGGGGGGTGGCGATAGGATGGGGTGTTAGGAGGGGGCGTTAGAAGGGAAAGTTGTAAGTAGGGGGGGGAGCGATACGGGGTGGTTTAAAGTAGTGGGACATTAGGCGGTGGGGGAGTCGTAAGTAGAGGGGGTTGTTAGTAGGGGGTTAGGGTGTCAAACGGTCCATATCAATACGGTTAAACCACCTATATCACCACGGTTAAACCGTCAATATCACCACGGTTAAACCACCCATATCACCACGGTTAAACCACCCATATCACCACGGTTAAACCATCCATATCACCACGGTTAAACCGTCCATATTTGACCACCTGTCGCCTGGACCACAGCGGACGACCGGTCAACACGACTGACGTCTGCGACTGCACGGCCGCCAAGGTGCTCATCTCCTGTGGTGACGACGGCAACAACTACCTGTCGCCCTGCCACGCCGGATGTACTGGGGTCGACGGGAAGGTGGGCTATTTTTAGTTCAGCGTCTGTTTGTTTGTTGGTTTGTGGCAAATCTTACACCTCAATTTTAACATACTTCTACTAATGCGTCAAAAACACACATGTGGTAGATGTGTGTGTGTGTGTGAGAGTGTTGTTGTGTGTGTGAGAAGAATTTTGTGTGTGTGTGTGTGGAGGGAGTGTGTGTGGAGGGTTGTATGTGTGTATGTGTATGTGTGTGTGTGAGTAGGGTTGTGTGTGTGTGTTTGTATGTGTGTATGTGTATGTGTATGTGTATGTGTGTGAGTGTGAGTAGGGTTGTGGGTATGGAGTGTTGTATGTATGTATGTATGTGTATTTGTATATGTGTGTGAGAGTAGACCTGTGACTTGGTGTCCACCTTTGTCTTGACCCCCACAGATCTTCACGGACTGCAGCCTGCTGGTCAACATGACTCAGGGGAGGGTCCAGCCCGGCCTGTGCCCCACCGACTGCCACACCAACTTCATCATCTACACCTTCCTCAGCGGCCTGCAGACCATCGCCTACTCCATGACCATGATCCCGCGGAAACTCATCGTTCTGAGGTGACGTCTGCTGGCATTGTCGTCGTCAGCACAGTTGACGTGTTGGTGTTTGAAGTGGTTGCAATAGTCATAACAAGTTTTTACATACATTAGAAGGATACAAACTAATTATTTTAGAATAAAAAATTACCTTTCAAACCTGACGGTCTGTGTTGCAAATGAAGTAGAGTTCACCTGTTCCTGTGACCTCTGAATACACGGGGATAAAGTTGTCAGCAGCCCATTTTAGAATAAGCAAAACTTTTTAAAACTTTCGACACATTTTTGATTGGTTCTACAATAAATGATGAACATTTTTCACTGAACATTTTACAAACTTCTCAAACACGTCTGCTAATTGGGCTAATTCCTAATTGTGATTGAACTTTTTATTGTTGCCGCCATACCTCGCTTTGTTGATATCACGTGACTTGTTCTCCCATTGGTCGACAGAATTGTGGACCCACGTGACCGAGGATTTGCCACCAGCCTCTTCATGTTCTTCTTCAGCGTCAGTGAGTTCTGTTACTATAAATAGATGTAAAGGTCAAGGCAGTCCAAGTTAGCAACCATTGAAATCAGTTCAATAAGTCGGTCAATAGGTCAAGCTACAACCATCTGTATATGTAAATTGACTGTGCACATGGTTGACTGTGTACATCGGCTTGCTATATATACGTACTTGATGAATGTATGTGTGTGTGTACATGGTGTGTGTACATGGTGTGTGTACATGGTGTGTGTACATGGTGTGTGTACATGGTGTGTGTACATGGTGTGTGTACATGATGTGTACACGACTGTAACAATTACTTTGTGTACTTTGTGTTGCCAGTGGCCATCCCCGCCCCCAACCTGTTTGTGTACATGTGTGTGTAACCTTGACCTTGACCTTCCAGTGGCCATCCCCGCCCCCAACCTGTTTGGACGGGTCATTGACGGCACGTGCCTCGTGTGGGACGGCAGGTTTTGTTCACTCTACGACCGTGATCAGATCAGGTGGGTCAGGGGGGTCAGGTGGGTCAGGTGGGTCAGGTGGGTCAGGGGGGTCAGGTGGGTCAGGTGGGTCAGGGGGGTCAGGTGGGTCAGGGTGGTCAGGTGGGTCAGGGGGGTCAGGTGGGTCAGGTGGGTCAGGTGGGTTGTTGGGTCAGGGGGGTCAGGTGGGTTGTTGGGTCAGGGGGGTCAGGTGGGTCTTTGGGTCAGGTGGGTCTTTGGGTCAGGTGGGTCTGGGTCAGGTGGGTCAGGGGGGTCAGGTGGGTCAGGTGGGTCTTTGGGTCAGTGGGGTCAGGTGGGTCAGGTGGGTCAGGTGGGTCTTTGGGTCAGGTGGGTCTTTGAGGCAGGTGGGTCAGGTGGGTCTTTGGGTCAGGGGGGTCAGGTGGGTCAGGTGGGTCAGGTGGGTCTTTGGGTCAGGTGGGTCTTTGAGGCAGGTGGGTCAGGTGGGTCTTTGGGTCAGGGGGGTCAGGTGGGTCAGGTGGGTCTTTGGGTCTTTGGGTCAGGTGGGTCTTTGGGTCAGGTGGGTCTTTGGGTCAGGTGGGTCAGGTGAGTCAGGTGGATCTTTGGGTGTTTGGGTCAGGTGGATCTTTGGGTCAGGTGGGTCTTTGAGTCAGGTGGGTCTTTGGGTCAGGTGGGTCGTTGGGTCAGATTAGTCATGTAGCGAGTCACCAGGTGTGTTAAGTCATGTATGACGGCATCTGATGCCTGACTAGAGTTATTTGTAAACTGCCTGACTTGCCTGCGAGTGTGACGTCATCTCCCTGCCTGCAGGTACTTCCTGTCTGGCCTCGATGTGGCCGTGCACGTGATGGTCCAGCTAACCTTCTTCATCATGCTCGCCATCTTCAAGTGGGAGGAGCGGAAGTTGAGGAAACAAAACACAGAGGGCGCTGACAGCGGCGGGGTCAACAACGGTAACAACGGTGGGGTCAATGACCTTGAGATTATCGTTCAGGAAAAAACCAAGTTGTGACGTCGGCTGAAACACAGATTGGAATTTTAAATTTTTTTTTCCACATTTTTTTCACATGTAAAATTGGGGCTAATAAACTTTGGTCAACTTTGTTCTATGTTGTGATGTTCTATTTTGTGATGTTCTATGTTGTGATGTTCTATGTTGTGATGTTCTATTTTGTGATGTTCAATGTTGTGATGTTCTATGTTGTGATGTTCTATTTTGTGATGTTCAATGTTGTGATGTTCTATGTTGTGATGTTCTATGTTGTGATGCTCTATGTTGTAATGTTCTATGTTGTGATGTTCTATGTTGTGATGTTCTATGTTGTGATGTTCTATTTTGTGATGTTCTATGTTGTGATGTTCTATGTTGCGATGTTCTATGTTGTGATGTTCTATGTTGTGATGTTCTATGTTGTGATGTTGTATTTTGTGATGTTCTATGTTGTGATGTTCTATGTTGTGATGTTCTATGTTGTGATGTTCTATGTTGTGATGTTCTATTTTGTGATGTTCTATGTTGTGATGTTCTATGTTGTGATGTTCTATGTTGTGATGTTCTATGTTGTGATGTTCTATGTTGTGATGTTCTATGTTGTGATGTTCTATGTTGTGATGTTCTATGTTGTGATGTTCTATGTTGTGATGTTCTATGTTGTGATGTTCTATGTTGCGATGTTCTATGTTGTGATGTTCTATGTTGTGATGTTCTATGTTGTGATGTTGTATTTTGTGATGTTGTATTTTGTGATGTTCTATGTTGTGATGTTCTATGTTGTGATGTTCTATTTTGTGATGTTCTATGTTGTGATGTTCTATGTTGTGATGTTCTATGTTGTGATGTTCTATGTTGTGATGTTCTATGTTGTGATGTTCTATGTTGTGATGTTGTATTTTGTGATGTTCTATGTTGTGATGTTCTATGTTGTGATGTTGTATTTTGTGATGTTCTATGTTGTGATGTTCTATGTTGTGATGTTCTATGTTGTGATGTTCTATTTTGTGATGTTCTATGTTGTGATGTTCTATGTTGTGATGTTCTATGTTGTGATGTTCTATGTTGTGATGTTCTATGTTGTGATGTTCTATGTTGTGATGTTCTATTTTGTGATGTTCTATGTTGTGATGTTCTATTTTGTGATGTTCTATGTTGTGATGTTCTATGTTGTGATGTTCTATGTTGTGATGTTCTATGTTGTGATGTTCTATGTTGTGATGTTCTATGTTGTGATGTTCTATGTTGTGATGTTCTATGTTGTGATGTTCTATGTTGTGATGTTCTATGTTGTGATGTTCTATCGCATGTTCCGGATGTCCGCCATCAGTTGCTGATATCCACTCTTGAAACTTGACGCAGATCTCGGCACTTAGAGGATCACTTACAAACTTAGAGGATCACTTACAAACTTAGAGGATCACTTACAAACTTAGAGGATCACTTACAAACTTAGAGGATCACTTACAAACTTAGATGATCACTTACAAACTTAGAGGATCACTTACAAACTTAGAGGATCACTTACAAACTTAGAGGATCACTTACAAACTTAGAGGATCACTTACAAACTTAGAGGATCACTTACAAACTTAGAGGATCACTTACAAACTGACAATTTTATGTCCTTGTTTACTAACCAGCTGTAGAAAAAACAACTTTGGGAGCCGATACATCGCTAGTCAAGTAGATGGTTACATCGCTAGTCAAGTAGATGGTTACATCGCTAGTCAAGTAGATGGTCATAAAATATGTGTGGCTGACATTTGCACTCAAACCCTGGTCCACTAAAACACAAATCTAATCAATTACAATTTGTTATTGAAATAAACTGAATTTCTTTTTTAGAAATTAGACTGTTTAGTTTTAAACACGATTTTTTTTAAAATTAAGGGAGTTAATAAGCAAAGCCTTGATAAAATAAATGTTTTCCCAGTTATCTCGCTTTGTACTTTCTTAGTGTCTAGACGTGGCCATTTTTGTTTTTGATTTTTTTTTTTAAATATTGGACATAGTGTACGCACGGCTAAAGTGTACGCACGGCTAGAGTGTACGCACGGACACAATCTACGCACGGACAAAGTGTACGCACGGCTAGAGTGTACACACGGACACAATGTACGCACGGCTAGAGGTCCATAAACTAGTGAGTAGCACACACAATCAGCAAGGTGTGAGTCACGTCTGACTGGCGTTTAGAGCCAGCCTCACGTTAAAAAGCCATCAATTTGTTCTTGCCCTCGTCTTCTCTAGGCTTTTCATTTCTCCCATGGCGGGGAGTGGCACTAGGCACTTACCTGGCGGCTCAAGAACCTGCTAACTTGATACCTGGTCCCAGGTAATCAACTTCATCTCAGCCGGTTATCTAAACCTTAACCAATCGTTACGTCAGCAGAGTTCAAAAAGTGGCAGCACTTGAAAAAACAAAGTTCGTGGACTCTTTACATTCAAAATATAGTAGGATAGTCTCAAGTTTTTATATATATATATATATATATATATATATATATATATATATATATATATATATATATATATATATATATATATATATATATACGAAGACCAAGACATCTTGTAGCAAGCCCTTATTTATATTCAATGTTGTTTGGGTCATGTCTACCGGATGCCTTACGGCCGAATCCCAAAAGACATCCTTTGCGGGGATCTTACCAAGGGTATGAGACCCAAGGGCACAAGACCCAAGGGGCAGCGCTGCTTAATTTGAGAGGTGTCAATAAACGAGAGGCAAACAGACATAAACGATAGGCAAACAGACATAAACGTACATGTGGGAGCAGCTGGCCAAAGACAGAACCTATTGGAGACAGGTCTTGGTGACCAGTACCCTCAAAGCCGAAGGAAATTGGGCAGTGGTAACCTTACAGACTGAGAGAAGAAAATATCTGCACAAATTGTACCAATCACAATGACCTGCAATTGCTGGAGATTGCCATTCTAATATTGGTGTCAGCAGCCACAACAGAGCCTGCTCTCAAAGAAAAGAAAATCTCAAATCATAGGCTCCTTGCGAGAATTGGCCATCAAAGTGGCCGTAAATATAAAATAAATAAACCGGGAGTTATTTCCCCTAAACTTTCTCGAATATCCTTATATAACACTACGGGGATGGCACCTCGGGATATAGTCATGATTTTTAATCAATTTTTAATTACTTAAACTTTTTTGTTTTCATTTTCAGTGATTAAATGTACACAAGTAAATTGTTTTTACCTGTTTTTTGTTAATTTGTTGTTTTTTTTTTGCTTCGTTGCCGAAAATACTAAGAACATCACATCCATCTCATTTTTAGTAAAGTCCAACAAAAAAACAAAAAGATTTTTATAACAATTTTTATTTTAGTAACACCGTGTATGATTTTAAAAATATTTAATGGGCCTTGAGCATAAGGCAGATACAAGAACATAGCGGGCATAATGGCAGATACAAGAATATAGCGGGCATAATGGCAGATACAAGAATATAGCGGGCATAATGGCAGATACAAGAACATAGCGGGCATAATGGCAGATACAAGAATATAGCGGGCATAATGGCAGATACAAGAATATAGCGGGCATAATGGCAGATACAAGAATATAGCGGGCATAATGGCAGATACAAGAATATAGCGGGCATAATGGCAGATACAAGAATATAGCGGGCATAATGGCAGATACAAGAATATAGCGGGCATAATGGCAGATACAAGAATATAGCGGGCATAATGGCAGATACATGCCCGTGTGTTGTGGTCTAAAACCGTGCTTGACCAGAGCTAATTCCAGGCTTGTTACGCCGAGCCCCCCCCCCCCCCCCCTTCACCCTAATTATCCCCCTTAATTTCACGTCATCAATACCTGGGTAACTACATGTGGATTATCTCCCCTTGTCAAGTGACATTTTCCGCCCGAGATTTGTCCCGCTCGAGTTATCTCCCGCTGGCCCATTGAGCCGTCTGCTGGCCCAATGAGCCGTCTGCTGGCCGGGAACTTTCCCGCCACATTTCGCCGTCTGCCACCAGCTAGGAACGGGACTTCCCGTAAGTCTATTTATATCCGGCGCCATCTTGAAGGCCAGCAATGGCGATAAGATCCGGTTCACGACGAGCCGACCTTTCGAGACATTCACAGGACGTTTTGTTTTTATTGGAGGTAGACAAAATGTCCATAAAATGTCAAGCCGAATCTGGCCAGTTTTGTTTATAGAACCAGCTCGCGTGGTTGACTTGCCATATTGGATTGTTTGAAATGCGCACTGTGGGGGGGGGGGGGGGGGGGTGTCAGGCGGCATTTCAAGACACAAGACACAAAACACAGACACATACGCAAGACGAGACACAAAACATGAGACACAAGCCACACTCAAGACCCGAGACAAAAAATACGAGACAGACACAAGACACTCAAACCACGAGACACATTATACAAGACACAAGACTGAGTGTTCAAGACATATTGAAACACTTGAAGCCACCAGCTGATGAGCTGGTTCAACGACCTCCCGGCTGCCTTAATCCCCGACTTAATGAGGACATGGATCCATCCATTAATCCACGGATTATAAAAGTTCTATTTCTGGATACTTCACCAGACTTGTGTCCGGCACTCGAGCCTGAAGTTTAAGAAAATGTCAGAACGGTTTAAACCTAGAGGTTTAAATTTACATGTTTAAATTTTGAGGTTTAAACCTGGAGGTTTAAATTTGGAGGTTTTAATTTGGAGGTTTTAATTTGGAGGTTTTAATTTGGAGGTTTAAGTTTGGAGGCTAAAATTTGGAGGTTTAATTTGGAGGTTTAAATTTGGAGGTTTAAATTAGGAGGTTTAAATTTGGAGGTTTAAGTTTGGAGGCTTAAATTTGGAGGTTTAATTTGGAGGTTTAAATTTGGAGGTTTAAATTAGGAGGTTTAAATTTGGAGGTTTAAATTTGGAGGTTTTAATTTGGAGGTTTAAACTTGCAGGTACCGATGTGATGTGCGAGGAGGTATCATTTGATGTGTGTGGTAGGCATACATTAGATGTATGATAGTGTGGCAGTGTTGTAGTGTGGTAGTGGGACAGACATCTGATGTGTGGTAGTGTTGTAGTGTGGTAGTGTAGT